GAGGCAGCGGGTTTCTGCGCGGCAGAAGCTGCAGGCGTCCTGGTGGAAGGAAGGCTGAGCGGGTCTTGCAATGGCAGAAGCAGCAGGTTGCAGCTGGAATGGATGCTGAGAAGGGGTGTAGGTAGCAGAGGGTTGTTGCCTCTTCGAGGAGACATTTGGTGATGCATGTTGCTGCTGGGTGAAGCGGGAGTTGCGAGTAAAGGTGTTGCTGTTGGTGGTAGAGTCGTTCGCGTCGGCAACCTCTGGCTGCATCTCAGCGATTGAACGCTTAGGGTATGTTGCAGCCTTGTTGCTGCGAGTAAAGGTGTTGGTGTTGGTAGTAGAATCATTTTCGTCAACGCGAGGTTGCATGTCGGCGAAAGAACGCTTTGAGAAGCTTCCAGCTCTGCTGAAAGCATCTGCATTGCTCAAGATGGGTGACTTGGGTCGTGAGACGTCGAAATCAAGCCCTCCAGGGATATTGGTAATTGTGGAAAGAGGTGATCGGGTCTTGGGTGGTGATTGCCTTTGTTGTTGTAGATGTTGTCCGAGGGGGGCACGACCGAGGCCGAGAGAAAAGCCTGAGCTACCGGTATTGTCGTCAGAGCTGGAGCCTGAGCTCGAGTAGTTGGGGAAGACGCGTCCAATGGCCGAAGTGTTGACGACATAGTCAGTCGTGGGTCGCTTGGTCCATCGGTTGTATTTGTTTGCGGTGGTGTTAAGGTTGGGAAGCTTTTGCGAGTATTCACCGTCGAGCTGGGACGATACGGTTGCACCGTCGCGTTCGGGGTCGAAGGAGTCGAGGGTGGAGGCAGTCACAGTCCCATGGTCGGAACCATTGGAGGACATGTAAGAGTGAGGCATGATGCAATATGATGCAACATGCGGCAAGAGCGATGTTATGTTAAGGTTGGGAGAAAGGTGAGAAGGTCGATGGTGGAGGGGAGGGGAGGGGAGGGTAGGTGTGAGTGGGTGCAATTGTTTTGTTGGTGTAAAGGTTTGTTTGTTTGTTTGTTCGTATATTGGGTTCACAAGTGTGAGTTGTGAGTTGTGGATTGTTGTCAAAGTATCAATTGATTGTGGAAGTTCAGGTGAAACAATTGAAATGTTGCTTTCGCAGGGGGAGAAAAGAGGTGGGAGAGGGAGGGAACGCGTCTTGATATAGACATGTAAACAAACTAATTTTCGTAGCGCAATCACCGCGCTACTGCACAGACCCACCGAGAAACATGTCGCATGCGGCTGTCCCGCTGTCAAAGCAATCCATGTTGCAGATCAATGTTTCAACGGCTGTGGCGTATTATTGTGTAACGTAAAACCTGGGGAATACCCAAGTCATGCATTTGTACCTCATACATGTATTTTGAACGCTCTCATCTCAACTGAAGACTCCCAGATCACCCATTTTCCTCCCGGCCTTTTGGGACTAGCGCAATCACTGAACTCTCTGCGGGACAAGGCTAGGGCCGGGGGTCCGTCGATTATACACACGCAGAATGCTCCCTCTTACACAATATTTGGGTCATTCCCAACTTCGCGTTTTCTGGCCTGTAAAATGTGTGATAGGATCAGTAGTAGTTTAAATATGCAATGTAGATGCACTTTTTTTGATGAAATTTCGTAGATGCACCGGCAAGGTGGTTTGAATGCTTTTGTCATACGTTGCAGAGGTCCAGTCGATGATCACAGGACTTGAACAAGGCATAGCAACGTGTACTTTGATTCAAAAACGATAGAAACAATAGCAAGGTATCTCAATAACTGCTATCTTGCCTTCACCCGTACTAGTTACATGTCGCCGCGTGTGTTGATGTGTGAAGTGAATGCTGCGGTCACCTCGGAGAGAATGTCCCATGGGTAATGAGAAGTCACCACAGCATAGACCACACCCTTTGTTTGCTCCCCTTGCTCGTTCCTCTGTGTCAATCTTTGCGTTATACTCCTGCAGTCGTATCTCGCAACAGATTTTCAGATCGAGTAACGATAGAGTGAAGGCTGGCGAAGGTTCGAACTCACTTACTAGTGTCAACTTGAAAGTCAACCCGATACCGGGCTTCTACGACCCAAGAATCTTGCAGAATACTGTGTAATTGGAACAGATTCTTCTTGGATCAATGCAAAGTATACAGACAACATTCAGCTAGGTGCTTGTTCCCAACTCGCAAACGCGGAGTACGGTCTGAGACTCATACAGCATCGGATGTGGCCGAGGTGCAATCTTTCGAATCGAGACTGCTACAGCTCTAGGTAGAATTCAATGTTTCCTACGACGTTTATCGAGCCTATTCCATCTTGAATACCACTGCTACGACCAACCCTGCTACAACGAGTACAAACGGCCATATCCATCTCGAATATACCCTCACAAGCTATAAACAAATCGGGTTCAAATTAGAGCAGGTCTAGAAGGGAGATGATGCCAGGGTTGGAATTCGGGTTTGTAAGAGTATCAAGGGTCTCTGTACTTCGGATTATCTGACCCGAATCACCAAGTACAGCGTAGGCAATATACATCTTTTGATACCGAACCTCCCGAAACGTCTTTACGAATGCTCCTCTACACCTCGCAATAACATATACCACCATTCACGGCAGCCACCATGGTAATACAAGCTGGAGAGGGGACTTGGACATACCGAGACATCTTCGAAACTCCCGATTCCTCGTTCACTGCTAAGAGTCAACCAGCTTTGACATAATGTCTGGCCACCCTACTTTGAATGTGCTGTGCGGCGGGCTCTGCTTGGGCAAATATTTGGTCATGTCCCCCAAATCCCCGTCCGTCATCGATATCCCCGAAAAGCATCCAAGCAAGTGAAACCAGACCATAGTGGGGACTTCCACAGTCAATGACATGAAATCGGGACACGTTCTACATCCTATTGTTGCTTCCTTGATGTCTGTCAACTTAGGAAATAATGCGTGCTCGACATCATTGTAAATAGCATACTTTACTTTCATCAAACCCGTCTCTAGTGAGACTTAACTAATCAGCTTGGTGGTATATTCGGTATTCAAAAGGCTGCATTATGTTCTTTGTGGGCAACCTATTTAGGGTTTATCAAATAGAGACCCTTTAGGGGTAAGAAGAGATGGCCGTTAGAATACAACAAATGTGCCATGAACCCGCAAAGATTCCCCTTTACGCGGCACACTCTCATCTACAGTCTTTATTATTCGCTTCATCTCAAAACACAAGTGTGCAGAACTTTATACGTACGGGCGAGGAGTCTCTTTATTCACAAAGACCCAGGCAATGGCGCGGCTTATTGATGGCCAAGCCGGATACTTTGCAGATCGGATATTTCCGACCCAGACTATGTAAATTTTGAGTGTGATACATGTTTCGCGAAAGTGGTATTGTTGTTTGCAACGATGAATGGATGTTTCATAAACATAGTGTGAATAGTTTGCGTTAGCCACTTATTGGGTGCTTCGTCAAGAAGAAATAGAATGACAGAAATCTGACCACAATGTTTCTCTGAGAATGTTCCATTTCAAGCGCGTTCATTACATAGCGTGATACTAAAATTTAGGCATGACAACTACTAAAAGTGATCCATGGTACTCAGGAGAGCGGGTAGACGAATATACTATGGCAGGTCAGAGAGAAAGTTTGGGCCAATAACTTTAGCTAATAATCTAAGTGGTGATATACCTTAGGTCGCTTTTGAAATCGGCGGTTTGCTAAATTAAATCTAGTGAAGTTATTAGCCTAAATTGTCCCTGAGACCTACTTTACCTAGCTCATATATGTTTTGTTCTTTCTTCGTGACGTCGAGCCCGCCCAGATTAAAATCCCACATTCACAAACATTTCTTACTTGACTCCTATCATCCTATCCATAATACGCAACCCCTACTGATTTCAGCGCCACGAGAACCCAATCAGCTCTGCAGAATATTTCCGTCTAGGCAAACCTGCAATATGTTGTCGAGACTCACAAAGCTCTTGTCCGCCAATACCTCAACCTGGAAGGCTGATCAACCTCTCATCAAGTACCTGGGAGAGCAGATTTCCACCTTCTGGAACAAGCCAAGAGTCGATCCTCCAAGACTCGCGGCGACGAATCTACCAACTGGATGCAATCTCAAGGCGAATTGCGCCATTCACGTTACAAATCCGATTGCAAATGCGAATGTAATTGCCAAAAGCCAACGGAAACAGCAGGATTGCTTTTGAATACGGCACTTGTTGGTTCAGGACTCTTGTTGGCAGTAGATACTTGTAGCCAAAAGTACCGCTTATTGAGGTGGGCAAGGCAAGAATGGAATGCAAAGTATGAGCATGAGCAGAGCATGCCAAACACAGATCCAAAGAGGGTGCAATTATATTCGTCTGGAGCTCAAGGCTCTGAAAAATGTGGATGGAGACGACTCGGAGATTCTGCGTATGGAAAATGGGCTTGGATTTTGCATAGAGCTAGTGAGATGGAACAAGAGAAGAGGAGAGGAGAGGAAGAAAATGAGATGGGATTTTCAAGGATTATTGGAACAGGGTAATCTTGCAAAAGAAATATGGAACATCCCGATACAGAGAAACAATGGAATGATTCTCGGAGCGAGACAGACGCTGTGCGAAGTGGCTAGAGGAGGGAGTGAAGGGGCGTGAGAAAGTCTAAGCCAGAAAACTGTGATCATAAGCCTTTGAAACACGTGCTTTCTTCCATTTTTATCCTTTTCTAGATCCAAATCGGTATTGCTTTTTAGCCTATTGTTTATCTGTTTGTTTGTTTTATTCATAATCCAATCCAGGCCTAAAAGGCCTATTGTGAGGAACTGATAAGCAGGGTGAAGTAGACACTAGAATCGGTGATATGATAACTTCTAGAGAACTAAGTGAAAGAGGGTGGAAGCCCCTATTATACAATTTCTAATTTACTATACCTAAATGGTTACGAGTAGAAAGGTCGCCTGTCGTGGTGAATCTCCAAATGCGGCTAGCGCGGAAGGATCACTTGAAGCGCGGTGCCTTTCCGTTTTGGAACTCGAGAAATTTCAACCACCAACACTGCATACGAGATGACGCAGATTATGAAGGACAGCTTCCTCGATCTGGAGAGGCATCGGCAGCTGCTTGAGGAGAACGTAGAAAAGCTCCGCAAGTCCCTGCGGCATTGGCAAATATGGGAGGCAGAATATGAAGGGCTGAAAGAAGAAATTTTGGCAAGACAGCCTCCTCCAAACCAAGAACAATTGATAGAGCTTGTGCGTGACTACGAGGGCGAATTAGTCAATCAAAAGGAAGTCACTGAAATTCTGGGTGAGCCAACGCGATCACCAGCACAAGTTGTGAACCTACTCGACAGGCGGATCGATTACGTCGAGCAAAATGCGCGGAGCCTTCAGAAGCAAATCGAACTGGCAGAGAACAAGCTCGCAGCAGCGTCCATCATAAGTCAGCCAGAAGTCAGGAATGAGGAAGGTCTTCCTGTGACCGATATCGTGGAGGAGCTGGATGAGGAAGGAAACATCATCTCGAGTCACATATCAACGCCTGGAAGCGCAAAGCCACAACTGCTGGAGGTCTTGGAGAAAGCAGGTATCCATGATCTGCCAGAAACAGATAGTCCGCCTCAAAATGTACAGATCCCACATAAATACCGGTCAGAAGCCTCCCCAGCAGAGACCAAACCCGCAAAGAAAGGCGTCAAGTTCTCTGCGGATACAAAGATTGGTCCAGAACCCGAAAAGTCACAAACGGCGAAGAGGGTCGAAACCATCATGAATATAGCAAGACAGCAGGGTACAAGGCCACCAGAACCTCCTATTATACCCACCGATGAATCTCCAGAGGATGCCGCTCTTCGCAGAGAGATGCTAAAATATGGCATGTCAGAAGTTGGGGCTGTCGTGGCAGAGCTTGATGTTGAAGAGGGTGACTGGACTGATGGAGACTACGATGATTATGGAGAGGACGAATCAAGTACTGACGACGAAGATGAATTCGGCAGATCGACTGGAAGGGTCGTTGATGATGAATTACGGCAGCAAATGATAGAGTTGGAAGAGAAACTGGGAGTTAGGATGATGGAGAATGCTGGCCCAAAACCAGAAGACTACGATATCGTGAAGGAAGGCATCGGTCGCATCTCAATCAACGGGGAAGACGAAAAGGGGACCGAGAAAGCTACGGCGAAAGAGTCGATCCCTAGCGATGGCAAAGATCCACTGTCTACCCAGGCATCCAAAAAGTCTGTTCGCTTTTCAGAAGAAATCGATGTATCTACTGCTCCCACGCCCCCCTCAAATCTACCTAAGAAGAAAACGGCTCCTATTGGCGACATAGTCGAGCGGACTGCTCCTGCGCAAGCTGCTACGCCCAAGCCAAAGAAAACATCACGCTTCAAATTAGACCGAGCTGGTGGTGATTCTGCCAGCCATGCAAACATGCCTCATCGGCCCGCTAGCAATCCGATTTCAGCCCTAACCTTACAGCCGGCCAAACCTTCCACGCCGAAACCGTTCTCCGGGCCGATTCAATACCCACAAGAAAGAAGCCGAGTTACCCCTACTGGTCCCGAAGGCAAGACTTTGGCTTCTGCAGTAATCGAACGCGATATCCCGCTTAACACATCCGCCACTGCACCCGATGAGTTGGATCCCGATCTATTGCATCAGGAAGTTGCTATCGAGTACCACAAGATGCGTAATATCATGATTCAGCGGGAGGGGGGCTTTATGAAGGAGGAAGAGAGCGAGATCGTGCCGCGTACGGAAGAGGAAGGTGGTCCAAAGAAGATGAGTAGATTCAAGGCCGCAAGGCTAGCGAAGTCGTAGGCGTTCTCTCAGACATCAAGACAAGTCTCAATGTCATCATGATTTCTCGGATTCAGGTGTATCTGCCTTGTACAAGTGTTATACTCTTTTTCCACTATCCTGTCCCATTTTCCACCTCTCGTGTCCAGGTAGGTCTTGTTCTCGTCTTCATTTCTGCGGCGGAACGAACCATTCAACAATCGATGTGGAGCGGTAGACAATCTGCTTCACATTACTGTTCCGTTCCTAGATTAACAACAAGGGCTCTCTGACGCCTTGATCAAATATCAGTGATCTTGGGGCATTCGTTTCACCCTATACATATCACATCTCCCAATCGCGTACCTCTGATGACCGGTAAACAGAGCGGGTGTTCTTTTGACGTAGGGTAGATTATACGCGGCTCCATAGTGAGGGCCAAAGGGACATGTCTGCTGTACATACCTGTAGGTAGGTAAGAACGGGACAATTCTGCCATTCTAGAAGACTCATGCTGCAATTTCAGGCGTGGGATAAAGAAACCAATACATACCCAAACTTGACCTTTGCAATTCTTCACGCTTTGGTCTGCCTACCTATTATAAGCTCTTAAAACAATCCGAGGTCCACCTTGACCTCATTCGATCAAATATACGTACTTCTAGCATCTCGTTCGTACCCAAAGATATCTCCATTGTTGTTGCCCTCGCAACTTCGTGGCTTGTTGAACTTTGCCTGCTTATTGTGCATGTTATCTTGGCAAGGAGTGTCACGCTGCAGCTACGAGGCTATGCACACGACGTCTCGTACCTTATTCTTGTATCTGCCCGCCTAGCAAACGAACGCGATAAAACTTTACATCTTCAACTGGGTGAGTCCAGGTCCGGGTTATCGATGGAACCGTGACATCGGAGGTTGTTGCTAGAATTCGCGATAACCACCATGTTACGCTCACACCTTTTCACCACAACGTGGGCGACAACGGCCCCATCTTCCCCACGCTATCTGTGGTGTTGCCCATGTTATCATGATCGTCTCCGCAATTCCTCAAGTTCTCCAAGCAGGCCTTGCCGTGGGGCCGTTCTCCGTCTCTCTGTAAATGCTGGCCGTTGGTGCTGCTCTTTTCAAACCCAACATTGCCCCGACTATCCTTGGTATGTCAAGTCTCCAGCTCCATTCCTCTATTCCAACAAGCTCAAAAGTTGTAGACAACCCACCGTTCGGAAAACTACTATTATATCCCGAAATCAACAATTCTGGCATACAGGTCTCCAGATAAAAAACCCACACAGGAAACCCCATTTCATCACCAGAAGAAATGGCATCAAAGTGATCGCTGATCCTGAAGCAAGTTCTGAAAGTGTTTTGCTCTCATGAGTCTGTTTAAACTGTGGAACTCAAGTGAACAAGCCTGACAGGTTTAGGCTCTACCTCTTGATCAATCTGGGCGGTTTTACCGGTGTTGCTATTGCATACCTTGCAAAGCATGTTGGCTTCTGGGCAGCTTACATTATTCTTGGGGTGATCTACTTTATGCTCCCAATCTTGCTGTTCGTCAATAAACGTCTCATAAAGGGGGCTCCTATCAGTAGCACTCTTGGCAACTTCATTTCCATCAGCTTATTAGCCTTGAGGAAGGCTGGGATAAATCATTTTGGCCGCGCGGGATACTGGAATCGTGTGAAGCCCAGCGAGTTGGCCAAAGAACGCAAAGTACAACGAAAGATATATGTTTCCTATTTAAGGGTTTTGTTGTGTTATGGGTAATTAAATCACTACGAGAGATTGCAAAGGCCCAATAATGCGGTTCAAACCCTTGCTCCTCAGGGAAGCGCGACAAAAGGATGTTTTGCCAAAGAGTTTAGCCAGATATTGCAGATACTATAAGGAAATGCCTACCTTAGCTTAATAATGAAAATGGATGAGAAGAGTTAGGGGTATCAAGTTTTTGAAATTCATTCTTCAGAGCGCACAGCGCTACTGGACACTCTCCCACGTAGTTTCGCCCGTCAGAGCAAATGACTCGAATCTCATACCCTCCCCGTTCGTTCCGCCTTCCCTCTCCCATTTCCCCCATGCCCCCTCATCAATCTTCACCACGCTGTTCCAGCCTCTCACCAGACTCCTCCAATAACACACCTCGGCCGCAGGACTCAGCATTCCCTTATCAACGGTGCTTTCTCTCTGTCTGTTGGCAATGCCCTCCGCGAATTCAGGGTGCGCGCGAAGCCACTCGATGGTCTGGTGGAGATCCGACCAGTCTGGCTCAACGAAGATGATGTTTGCTGTTGATGGGGAATAGGAGTCTGGCCAGCGGGGATTGTGGGGTGGAGGTGCGGTCTGGGAGTTGTAGGATGGGGAAAAAGGGAGGGTGGAGGAGAAGAGTGGACGCAGCTGATGCGTGGTATGCATCATGTAGCTGGGTGGTGGAGTAAGGATAATGGAGCGGCAAGCTTGATGGAATGGAAGCCGTCCTGAGTAAGTCACACCCTATGACACTTTTAGTCAAATACTAATCCAAGAATGGAAAGGGCATTTACCTCGGTATAAATAATATACTTGTACTTGCAAAAGTCTTCGATCCCGATCGAGTTTTTTGCCTTTATGCCATTGGTCTCCCATCTCAAATCCTCTACATCTGCCCAATCCTGGTCCTTTGTCGCTGCTAGCAAATTCGGTCTCAGAGCTGTATTCCCAACAGAATTAAACCAAGCCGTTCCTCTCCAGATTGCTTTATCAATCTTCTTCTCCCACGGAATTCTGTGCTCGATGGTGGAAATTCCGTCAAGAGCTTGGTCCATAGTCCCAAGGAATGGTTTCGGCCAAGACCAAAAACTAAAATGCGGCATGACCCAGTAATTTCCTTTGATATTTGGATCATTCGATCGCGAAAAGGACCATGCGTCCTGCCGTGGGTAATCTATGATTGAGAATGCAAAGACCGTGTCTGGGAGGGGAGTTGGAGACGTGACGAGTGCTCGATGGATTTGATACAGCACTGATTGACGTTCCTGCGAAGCATTAGTTCCCATCCGCGCAACTTTGAAGTGCCGACCTACATGAAGCATATCTCTCGACGGTCGCCGTTCAACGGAAATCACGTAGAGCTAAAATTTCCTCCGAAGTCAGCGATGCTCTCTCTTCTCGAGGTCCAGCACATCGCACCTTTCCATCTTTGATCCTTGCCTGCACCAACCCTTGGTAATCATCGGGCTTCTTGTCCAAGATGAATGGTCCTCTCGCAACAGTATCATCAATCTCCTTTGTCAATCCCGGAAATGTAGCCCTACATTGTTGCTCATTCAGGAACAGCGACTCCGTTGTTTCTTTCGACGGGTATCTTGAAAAACTGCCCAGCACATTAATCGAATTCGTAGTTCCGCAAATAGTGCACGAGAACTGCCAGACCATCAATAGGACTACGCAGAACAAGACAAGGTGAACATTTCTTCGGCGTACAAACGCCATGGTTCCTGAATGGCGGTATCTTGCATCTCCAAGCAATCGATAAGGACAGAATTTTGGATACCGCGAACTTTCACGTCTTCTCTGAAATGGAGGGGTTCTTGTGACTTTTAAGTGCCCGCCGACCGAACAGCCTAATATACAACAAATGAGATATCATGGCGGAGATGATGCCACGCTGGCGAGATAAAGTTGCTTATATAGGAAATTAAAGCCGTCAAAGCCGTGGGGTGCTGGTGTCATTTAAATAAGGAATCGAGCCGTTTGAGAAATTATGAAGTGGACGACAATTTCCCCGCAGGAGGAGGGCAGGAGGGGTCTGAGATAAGGTACCGAAGTACTTAATCTCCGAGCCCTCACGTGATTAGTAAACCTGCAGGTACTGCACGTTCAATGCATTAAAGGGAGGAGATTTTCTGTATTTATTTATTTATTTGTTTAGTCCATTACAGTGCTGTACGAGTCAAAGGCTATGTAACACTTTTAGGTCCTTTCTGCCTAAGCTAGATACCTAATCCTTAGATAGTATATCCTCTAGTCCACTATAAAACTCCCTCTATATTAAAAGCATAGAGCCCTATAGATACCTATTTGGCGCAGTATTAAAGGGCGGTTTATCCCCTGATATTTCCATCCCACTAGCCATTTGCTAGCCTTTTACATATACTGCATTGCTAGGAAAACAAGAAAACCCAGGTTTTTAGGCCTATTAGGGATAAATATTTAATATGCCTCTATACCCCCTCTTACTTAAGTGATCCTCCCTAAGTTTCACCTCTAAGCCCGAGCCGCAGGTTGAAGTCGAGTCACGCTTAATGCTAGAATAACTAATCTTGCAAGAGGAGTAGATATTGTAGTATAGTAGCCGCTAGCCTAGCCTCTCTATCTCGTAAAGGGCCTAGGAGGCCGTAAACTCGCTGAAAGAGAGGTCCTCCTAGCTAGTAAAAGGGGTGCGTAAAGAAGAAGAGCGATAATCGCCCATATTAAATCAAATAGAGGGCAGAAGTTAGAGTGAGGGCTTATACTTTTGCGATACCCAAGCATGGTTTCACTCCCTTAGCTTAAAAATGATAGCAGATGTTAAATCTAACTAGGACCTCTATAACTGTTATTGCCACATTTCGTCCCTATGCCTCCTCCTCTGCTCCCTAGGAGCCTGTATAAAGTTATCGCGATTAAAAATGGGAGTGTAAGACCTTTGAAAATTCGGATTTATTCACCGTAGACAGCAGCATGCCTCGCAAACGCGTAACAGTAGCAGCGTAATAGCAAAAGCGTGACAGTCGAATAAGTCGAATAAGATGCAATAGTGTGGCAGCGTAGAGTGTAGGAGGCTCGTTGCCATTATCGTGACTCAATTTCAGCTCTAGGATCGTATTGCAACGTAGCAACATCGCGATAGCAAGGTCACCACGCCACTCAATCCTCAGGATAAGCGTACAAATACACTCATCCACAGGTTCGTAGAGGGCACCGCGTACAGGTGTTGAGTCTTCGCCCTCCGGAGATTTTCTGTAGACAGTCATGAACTGGACTGGACTTGATGTTGTCTCGGTAATTCCTGATTCCTTCAGGGACTACTAAGAAGCGAGGGCATTCCCATATAGGTAAGATCATGCGAGACCTGCAACATGCCGAGTAATCCACAGGCTCAGCACCACACGTGGTGGATCACGTGATCTTTCTTACCTTTTTACCCATCCCCAGATCAAGGATTGTTTGACTTCTTGAGGTTGATCTTTCAATATAGTATTAAGGTTAGTGAGCCGCATAAACCTTCTACGGTACGGTCTAACCAATTTTAAGGTTATGAAGGATCGGCAATCTTATTTCCCCACAGCTTTAACGTCAAAGTTTCAAACTTCCCATGAGGCTTGGGCATTGAGCATCCTGCGTTTGCGGCACTGCAGTACTTAGCAAAACTTCATTCGTCCATCCAGTGCAAAGGCTTTCTTTTACGAAGTACGGAGTCGAGGGATGATGTAACGTCCTTCTTTGAGATGGCATATACTGTACCCAGAAATAGCTTCACCGACCCGCTTTTCAGCAATGCCCAACTCAAGAATCGCGGACTCACCGAGTCGTGCCGGGGTTTGTAGAAGAGGTATAACTATGATGTGTTGGTCTGCTGGCAAGAGTCTATTATTTTTCAAGTGCGATTCTATAACCTGAATTTATCATGAAGTCTTTCTTTGCAATCGGCTCTGCCGCTCTTCTCCCTCTACTGTTCCAGTCCGCAACATCATCACCCATTGCAGAGCCAGGGCCCTCACTCATCCAGGAGAGAGCCATCTGCAATGTGAGCTTTTTACGTTTGACCAAGCAGGATGCAACCAGCTGGCTCGGTACAGTTGATCACAACATCAATCTCCTTTCCTGTAAGTCCCTCTAGAAGCCGGAAAGGAACATCCTCAGACTAATCACACATGATAGATCAAGCCGACAAGCCGAACGCCTACCAGCAAACGTCGTCGTGCTATGGCTGGAATTGGGGCGACGGATGCGGCTGGGCTGTAGCAGGAGAAAATAAGATCGACGAGGGCTGGACGATCCAACACGAAGGTTATACCGCATACGACGATTATGATGCACCCGTCCAGATCCACGGGAACGATTGCGAGGGAACAGTCCTCGAGTGCAAAGGCTCGCACGGCTCTTACACAATCCCCAGTAAGCCCATCAAAACGTGGATGAGATTATACATCATAAGCTGACTGACAATGACAATCGGCAGACCCATCAGGCCCAGCAAAATACTTTTACCTGAGTGACTCAAGGTGTGCTCTCAAGGGAGTGAACGTGGATGCGTTATTCGGAGCCAATAACGAGGGTACAGAGCTGAAACAGCTACTCGATAAAGAGGGCAACGACCAAGGCTTCACCGGAGACTTCTCGACTCTCAAGAGCGACGGTTCCGTGCCCGATCCGGGACCATACACCTGCACGCACTCCCCTGAGGGAACGTATCTTGTCAATCAAGAAACAGTGTGCCAGCAATTCTATGTAAGTAGTTGCATCAGCATCAGCTTCAATCAGCAAGCTATACATATATAGCGCACAGCCAGCTAATCCTGTCTCTAAATAGACGTGCGTCGATAAAGCCGCTAGCATCACCGCGTATTTCCCTGACAGCGCCAACATGCCTGCGACTGGAACCTCTCAGCCAACTGTGGACTCGCTTGGCAGTGAACCAGGTACATGCTCAAAGGACTGCAGCAAATGTAACGAGGACGGGTGCCCTGCTGGTACAGCTGGTTGCTGTGGTAACGGGACTTGCTGAGGTTGAAGACTGTGTGATGCAATGACTTATAGAGTACAGACTTATATACCCAACATGCAATTTTTGTAGCTGTACATATCTTAAAAGTGCCAGTAGAATCATCGTTGCGGCCTTTGATAAAATTACGCCATATCCAAAACGTCTTGAGTACTCGAGATGTTGTTGTACAATGGCATCGAGCTCCTCAAGATCATTCCAGGAATCTGTATCTTCCAATGTTAGGAAGATGACTTGTTCTTCTGAGTGGCGATTCTTGTACCTTTCCTTCCATTCGCCTTTGAAATGCTCAATGGTTCCAATTATAGCTCTGGTCAAATGCTGTGGACCGCAGCTGTTGCCAAAATTAATGATGTCCTGAAGGCTCAGAGGAAAGCCGTGGGTGGCTTGGGTTAAATTTTGGGCATTAGCTCTTCCATCCATAGCAAGAGTGCGCCTTGAAGCTTTGGCTTAAGTTTGATGCATATTTGCAGCAGTATGAAGTACTGATCGCGGTCCAAAAATGCGCTTAAACCGAGATTATAGGGAGTTAAGAGACTTGCAAGCTTTAGTACTACAGCAAGGAATCGTTCATCATCGGTTATCCATGTCGTACTTTCTTGTTTGTGTTTTAGATCATCCTGAACATACTTATTAGTGTGATAATAAAACAAGAGCACCAACTCATCATAAACGAAATTCTTTCTAAAATGCTCTTCTCAAAAAGGTGTTGGATATCTAGAGTAGCCATTTGTGTAAAGAGTTTCTGGGAACATGACCTATCTCAATGACTGCTAGAACGGGCTGCTTGTCCCTGTCCAAGAAGGATACTACAATCGATCGATCCTCTCCTTCGCTCTTGCAATATTATTCGGGAACACCTTTTGAGGCTTCCACACAATCCTCCGATCAGAGGATTTGCTGTCAAGACCACATCTGCTGTCATTTTCTCCTTTCCGTAGTCTCGGAACATGAAACAAGAAAACAAAATATTTGCGACGAAACACCAAAACACAAAACAAGATGTCAATCAGTAAATACTATACTTCCAGGGAGAATCATTCCCCTTTAATGGATCTCATGTCTCTTTCTAACGTCTTAAAGAAAGGTGAACCAAGGAAGATCCCATGGGAATCTATACCCCTTCCCCCGTATCTCCCATCACTTAAATACCCCCTACCACCAATACCAAACCCCACAACTACATAATCCCCCTCCCCTCCCTCTTGATCTCCCATCCAACTCATCTAGTCACATTCATGGCCCCATTCCATGGAGATGAAACCTAATTACCCATTCCTCCTTCCACCACCACCTCGACCTCGACCTTGCCATACCTCCTCACAATCACAAGTCAGTCATGAAAAACACAACTACTCTACCTATTTCGAATCAAAATCTTCTACTGCAAGTAGACGACATTACTGTTGTCAAGAACCCATTTGCTGTCAATCTCCTCCTCTGAACCCCGTCAATTCCAATCTCTCCAAACAAAACAATTTCCACCCATCACCCATCACACAAACGTAAACACAAAATCCGTAACTGACACCCCACACCCATCCGTCCCCTTGTGTTCGCTCTGAGGAAGTGAACATGATCTTGAAACCCCAAATTCCTCTCCAATGACCGAAAACTTGTACTCCATCCATACACTTATTTACTTACTCAAACAAACCACCGCATCACCTACAACAAGCAAATTAACCCCTCCTCACTCCACTTCACTCCACATCCACATTCAACCCCGCACCTTCCCTGCCTCCCTCCCTCCTTCCTTCTCCCCCCATTTCATTTCCCCTACCAAAATGCAACATCAACCATCCAAACAGACTCCTAGCAAGAGCACTACACCGTTGCGGGGAAATGTCTCTCATGAGCTAGGAACAGATAGACATATAAACCTTAAGCTGCTGGAGTAAAGACCCACATTGTCTTTCATAGTGTTCTTTGGCGAGGTTCTTTAAACCAGCACTTGAGGTTGACGTTTTATCAACACATCACATATCAAATATTACCATTCTCACAGCTACATTCAATATTTATTCCCATTCGTTCATTCATTGCTCTCTCTTTCTACCCCAACCTACTCCACCCCACCACACCGTCATCGGCCTGTGACCCTAATCCATGACCCTAGCAACACCACTTGTTGATACAAATACACTTCCCCTCGCTCGCTCAATTCCACATCCCATCCCATCCATGGGTACTCTTCGCTCTCTCCCAAACGCCAAAACAGAAGACAAAAAAGACAGCGTGAACCAGAATGAGAACCAGAACTAGATTCTTCCAAAAACCATGTTTTTTTCATTCTGTGCACATATAAGAGGGAATACGTTCTTTCGTAAGAATGCTTGGCTTTGAAACCGCACCATCATGGGTCTTGTATCCCCTAGCTTTCCACTATAGTTCATCATCATCATCTCTGTGTATATCCTCGAATCCGGTAATCTTGCACCTGCAACTGGCGTCGTCTCGTTCCTCATGGGGTTGTGGTATTGTCGTTCAAAGGGCAGGATTATACGCTTTGAGGATATCCGCTACCGGCATTCGGAGGTGGGCTATTGACCATGCTGTTCCTCTTGTTCCGACTCTTCTTCATCTGGCTCTTCAGTGCACTGGAATCCAAAGGCTTGAGTAGTTCAAAGCTACATAGCAACTCTGTCGAAACACTCATCACCGCGCCATAATTGTCAAACTCCCCGCAGTAATTCGGAGCCGAGAACACCGTGACCAAAATGCGATCCTCGAAGAACTCGTATCCGTCTTCTACAACCATGTGTGCTCGACATACGAGGTCGAAATCATGTCGCGCTAAAAAGTCCGATATGACCTTCTTCCCGAACGAATAACTGACGCCACGCTCGCTCGATTCCCAATCTTTCTCTTGGTCTGCGGGGTCGGCCCATAGGAGGTCGTTCAGTAATCCGAAGTCGGGTACGTCGGTTGGTCGAGCAATATTTCGGATGTCGTCCATATGGCTGAGGGCTGGTGATAATCCACCGTGGACGCAGAAAATCTTTCCTGCAACTATAGCAGCAATTGGCAGCTATAAAAGTCAGCAATTTCTTCTGCAGGATTAGGTGGAAGGACTTACGCAATTGAAGCTATCTACAAAAGTCTTCCAAACCTTCACATTGCACCTTCTCTTGCACTCATCGTAGAATCCATAGACACGGGTAACGTTCGCACATTCATGATTACCTCTCAACAAGAAAAAGTTCTCTGGGTACTTGATCTTGTAGCACATGAGAAGGAGAATGGTCTCGAGGGAATGCTTGCCCCTATCGACATAATCACCTAGAAACAAGAAGTTTGCACTTGGGGGAAAGCCGCACATCTCAAACATACGTATGAGATCCGAATATTGCCCATGGATATCACCCACAATCTTGACTGGAGCTTCTAGCTCAATCAGAGGTGGCTGTTCCAAGAAAATCTCTCTGGCTCGAGAGCAGATAGAGGTGATTTCTGCGTTCCTTAAACAAACACCTTTCGTGCTCTTGCCAGCATACCCGGCATCAAGAAGCCGTTTAATATAGTCATCCACATCCGAGTCCTTTATGTCGCTCAACGCAATGGATGAGGCATTTTGGCTGCTGGAGATAGCGTCTGTACTTGGGGAATGTGTAGATAAAGTATCGTCTTGAATAAGATTAATCGTGTCTGCTCTCTTGACAAGAATCGATTGCCCGGCCCGTTGCAAGTGTGCATGTGGATTCGTGGCCCCGGAAGGTGGTTGATCTGAGACGTGGTCAACTTCGCCACTCCTTTGCGCGGCATCTACATCATGATGTCCTTGGCGCATAGACGCAGATTGGATTGGAGATGGGGGCGGTTGAGGATCTTCAAGAGGGGAAGTGACATCTTCTTGAGAGTCTTGTACTGGGGATGTGGTTGTGGAGGGCGAATCTGGCGTATCTGCGCGGTTGCCCCGCGACATCGCTGATCGAGAACTTCTCCCAGACCGGACTGACGCCGCATCTGACTTATCGCCATTGGCCTCGCCATTGCTTAATCCAGCAGTCGAGTTGCGAGGGCTATCGGTCTTGGACCCTGGTATCTTGGAGCGCAAGGCCCCTCGGATGGATCTGCTGGATTCTTTGGTATCTGCCTTGGTAAACGAGGGATAAGACTGTAAAGGGTCTGTCGTTTTGTCCAATGACGTCTGTGATGCTGAGCCCTTGGGGGTGGTGGCCCCCGAGCCTTTCGAGGATTGGTTTCCCATGATTAGGTAACTTCGCTGTTTGGCGGTGTATATGTAATTGTAGTTCTCAGGTCGCGATTTTCGGTGGACACCATAGGATGATCCTTCTTTTGTGTAGTCGGCGTGGATCTGAAAACTAGGTAGGAGAGTAGTTCCGTGTTGTAGACGGAGTTAATGGAGGTGAATGAGGGTAGGTTCGGTCGGAGTTAGAGATTCGAAGGACCGGGTATGTCGGTTTATTGACTCTTCTTCTGCGAACAGATAACGGTCCTCGGAACCCGTGTCGGACGTAAAGGTAGTGTAGTTGCAGCAAGTGCTTGTTCGTGGTATCGCAGGATATGAAACTGGAGACTGCGGTTTGAAGGGAAGACCGGCAGTGGCCTAAGAAAGGCTAGATGCTTGAGTCACAGTTCGTCAGCAAAGCTTTATCGTACTCGATCTGAAAGGCAGAAGTGAGGGCGGATCGTATGAAGATGCTGCGCTTTGTCGGGGATCTTTTGCTTTTGAGGCTCAAGGAAGGGCTTCGATATGGATGTTCCTGACCGATTATCGCCAGCCAGCCCAGCTAGATTAAGTAGTTGCAGGGATGCGTTGGTGGATATATTCGCGCATGGGTGGGGGGATAGCAACGAACCTTCTTCAGTTGACAGCAAACAGTAGGTATGATAATTGAACTCGGACGTGGTTTACACCTGAGATAAAGAGACCAGAATAATGCAACGACAAGTGATAGTCTGCACAACAGCTGACGGTATTGGACCCGAGGGCAAACAAGGTTCAACAGCGTCGGGACTTTTCTCTTGTGCTTGTGTATACGATAATAAGGCTTAAGGTGGAGAAGACAGAGAAGATGGAGCAGAGGGAGGCTATGCCACCAAGTTGGTACAGTATTGTGGGGTTGAGTCGTCGTCACAACGAGGACGCTGTGTACCGTTGGACTGATTGGAAAATTGACGCCAATGCTTTTAAAGCCGGGGCTAGAAACGTGTCCGTCGATTGAGGCGACGAGGACGAGGACGTGGACGAGGCAGATACAATTTGATTGGCAGCGGCAGAAGATAGGGAGGGGTATCAAAAGCTTGGTGGACAATTTGTACTTGATGTTTTGGTGTTTGATGTCTGGAGGCTCAAATCATTGATGCTCAACAGATTGTATGTACCGGTACAGTACATGTATCGTCGGAACTCGCAACTTGCGCAAAGCAAGACATCTGACAAAATACCTAGCCTGGCAGCTCTTGGCGAACGAGCCAGCCCAGCCAACCATACCGGGCTTGATAGCATCTTCCGAAGGCATGGCATGCTCCGTGGCACTAATGAGAAAGATTCAAGAGCGCTCCAACATCTTTTTCTTTTTTTACTACCACTATTCAAACACAAGGAACATCTGACAATCCCTTGAAAGTTTTGGGGAATATAGCATGTTAAGCCTAAGATTTCTTGAACTGTATTATCTATCCGTTTCCTGTCTATTCACACATGGTACATCATATGGTGGTGACATAATTGATTATTTGCGGTCAGACTTGAAGCAATTCACAAGCAAAACCATATGTTAAGCCCTCTGCTGCTAAGCAAATCTGGTTATGGTTATTTTTTATGCATTTAGTCTAAATCATTTGATTGACTTTTTCCTTTTTCCATACGGGTACGCGCAGCCAGACGGTTTCTCACTATGGCATCCAGCGACGACGAGTCGTCTCTCATGGAGCTCGACGAGCGTAATACACGGGATGTCATAGAAGAGGGCGAAGAGGAGAGGAGGAAGGAGAAGAAGATTTCTATTAGTGGGATCTGGAATCGACTTCATACACAGTTGTCGCTGCGTCAAAAAGCCGGACCATCACTAATCGCAACCACGCTGAGCAAGCTGAGCAGCACAGCACACAATGTCGCCTATCACTCTCCTCCAAACCCACGACCCAGCTACTTCCGCTTCCTGGACCTTCCCGATGAACTCCAGCTCCATATCCTGAGCTATTCTTTCCAGGCACGTGTGTGCGAGATAAAGGACCCGGATGATGAGGACAAGATCAGATACAGACACAGTCCTAAACATACCATCTATGCCACACCTCGCATTGCCCTTGCAGACGTCAGTCACAAACTTCGCGCCATGACCTATGAGTTGCACCCTTACTGCTTTGAATACGAGTGGCAGGGTTCAAAAGGTCGTTATCCTATTAGGTTCAACGTCAAAACTCTAGTTCTCTAAAAAGAAGTGCTTAATATTCATGATATCTATGAAGGTTCTATCTATGAAGCAGAGCTTCCTTATATACACATAGGTATGACTCACACGTCATACCTCTACTCATTCACACACATAAAGACAAGAGACTCTAGAGTCCTGTGAATGGGGCACGTGATACATCACGTGACCTATGTTCAACAAAAACGGATGTGCTTGTCATGCCTCAAGTAGGAATTCACTTCCAGGTACCCAGAAATATGTTATAACCACATACTGATCAATCAACACAGTGGCTCCTAGAAAAGAACGACTTTGAAATGCCGATCCTAGCAAAAGTAAAAGACCTAATCATAACATGCCATAGCCCTCGCCCCCGCCATGTAGGCATCAACCGTCTCAGCCATTTCTCTTCAGACGCGATAATCCATCTCATCCACGCCGGCATCTGGAAATACGATTCTCCCGGCTATACTTTCCTGAAAGGAAGGGACAGCGAAGACCGACTCATCACTTCCAGAGGTCCGTACTGGGTAGATGATGCTTGGAGTGCTTCTCGTACACGCAGAGGCTTGAGACTGTTGAGTGTGTTAAGTGGTAGTTCGGTTCCGTTTGTCTCCGCGGCTAGGATCACAAGTATTGGGCATAGTGATAAGCAGACGGGTTGGAGTTACAGGATGGCTAAGCAATGGGAGTATCGGAGGGCTGTGAAGAGGTTTGAGAAGGAGGAGAGGAAGATTGAGCAGGAGGTGCGGAGACGTCATGTTTTAGCGCTACAGATGGTAGGGGAGGAGCAGTTAGAGTGAGCACAGGTAGAGTGACCAGTGACCAGTGAATAGGAGAGATTATCAATTTTGGACATACAGTGGACAAATGAGGGGTATCAATGTATCATACAATATAATTATTACAACCCCAGTAGCATACATGCGTGCTGGTTAAGAGTATACAGCACTTCGTCCAAAGTTACTTTACTAAACTATAATAGGAAGCCCTTTCACTTGTTTTGCCGTCACTAGACTAGATACTCATCATATCAAGCCCTTTCTTTAAAGAACAATCACATCACGTGCACCAACCCCCACAACGCACTAGCCACCTCTTCTTGTCTTGTTCACCAGGCGAGGCAAACCCCCCTCCCCCCCTCTCACTCACCTGAAACACCTCCATCTCCACCCACGTCGACTTCCACAAGCAACGCATTCACGAGTCACCACCCAGATCTTGATTTGTATGAGCCTCAACCGTCTGACGCGGATAAAATGGATACCAATAACAAGCTTAAATCTACAAAAGTAGAAGTCTCGAAGTCTAAATACGCAATGCCTCTTGGTCCGTAGGCGGGCGACGTACCTCTGTAAGGCTTTTCGTGACAAAAATAGAAGTCCGCCACTGCGTCGTGCCTGACAACGAAAAGCCGCTACTCCGTACTGAGGTCTGGTGTACTGTAAAGTGGAACAGGCAAGGCGTAGGGGTAACGGGTACGCCGTAACCACGTTGGTTATGCGCATAGGGAAAGGGATTGTTTGTGAGGTTAGAAGGAAGAAAGATATTAGGAGGATTAATTATATGGAAAATCGATAGGGATCCACAGGAATACTGAATTCTTTTAATGTTATTGTTATTCCCAGTTTTATTAGAAGAAAAGTCTTGTTCGTATTTACATGGTACTAGTATATTCAGTCCTATGGTGCGGCGACAGTGGGGACTCAGCCCCAGAAGCGGTCGATCCTTACGAGTCCCGGGCGCTGAGTCCCTGACTTGCTGACTGCGCCATTATTTCTCTCTCCTGCCACTTCTGGCCCGTAAATATAAACACGAAACCCGCATCCTCCTTTTCCTCCTCTCATCCTATACCCCATCTCACGAACAGTCCATCCATCCATCCATCCATCCATCCATCCATTTGTTCTCCATCCTCAACCAACATCTCGACGACATCCATCGATATTATCTCGATTGATCGTCAACACATTCGTTCCTCTACTCTCGCTCACGAAAGAATAAGCAATCCATAACCACCAAGATGGGCGTCGGAAGATTCGCCTGTGTGATCCTGCCATTCGGCCTCACACTGGCCAGCTTGATCTGCATCCTAATCGCAATGCTCGCCGGTATCACCAACCACAGCCTCGACATGTTCGACGTCGATACCAAGAACATGTCCATCAGCACCAACGACCTAGCCAACCTCGAGAACTTAGCCAAACGCATGGCTTCTCCCGAACCTGACACCCCCCTCTCCTACCTCACACAAGCCGCTCAAGGCTCAGCTACTACTCTCGCCGAGCACTACGCTTCCGGCACAAACCTCACAGCTACGGATTTGGGACTCGCGGATAGTTACAAAGTTAGCTTGTGGAATTACTGCTCCGTAACAAGCGGCAAGACAAACTGCACAAAGGGCAAATTCGACTGGGCAACCCACGCAACGAACATCACTCTCCTTGAATCCGTCGCCAACGCCGCAAGTGGCGTTTCCAACACCACATTGCCTAAGACCCTCGCTGACTCCCTCAAAACCTTCGCCAAGGTAACCAAGTGGACAGAAGTTGTCTACATCATCGCCATCATCCTCGCAGGTGTAAATCTCGTCTTAGGAATCTTCGCATTCTTCTCGCGCGTCGGTTCCTGCGTCACCTGGTTGATCTCCGGTCTGTCCACAACCGCAGTCATAGCAGCATCCCTCATGGCGACTATCGAGTCCTCTGTTGTCGTAGCCGCTGTGCGCTCTACTGCCAAAGCCTACAACGTACATGCAAGTCTCAACACGTCCTTCCTGGCCACCACCTGGTTGGCATGCGCCTTCAGTATCGGAGCGGGTCTATTCTGGGCATTCAGTATGTGCTGCTGCGCGAGTGATCACCACAAGAGCAACCGCAAGAGCGTGGGAGATCATGAGAAGCTTATTCCAGGTGGAACTGGATATCAAAGGGTCGATGATACGCACCATTTCAACAACGGCCAGCAGACGGGTGTGTTTAACACCGGTGTGCCATTGAGGAATGTGCAGCCGCAAGCTCACGGCGGTGCTTATGAGCCTTATTCCCATGCTGCTATCTAAGTGTTTGAAATTTACAAAGGCAAACGGAGTGCCAGAGCCGTGGAGGTGATATGACGAGGAAGAAAGGAAAGGAAAGGATATCGGACCTGTCGATTTAGCGTGCATTACCCGGCGTTATTGGATGGAGGGGAGGATATAATTTCTATGATGAGAACAATGTATGAGTTGGATTTGGAATCTGAAACCCGTCAGATGCTAGCTATGAGTTGATTTAGAATAAAGATGACCATTATACCCTCCACCACCACCTCTTTTCATCATCATCATCTTCTTCTTCTCATCGCCCCCTCGCACTCTTTCCCATCCCCTCTCCTACTTTCCATTTTCACTACTGTACCAGTACAAGAAACCCACCAAGCGGCGGCGACCCAGAAGTCTAGGCCGTACTGTATGTAATAAGTAAGCACTTGCAGCCGTTCGCAAAACCCAGCAAATCATCTCACATCCATACCTGTTGGTATCACATAGTGCACTTTGCTGGCCTAGTAACCTGTCTTGTATTGCCTTCGCTCTGTTTGGTGGTTTGGTTTCTGGGTGTCTAAGTCTAAGCGTGGAAAGCAGAGCGAAGAGGTGATGTGATGCCTCTGCGTCGCGTAGTCATTCACGCTAAGGTCACATGACTGTACCGTGCCTCCCGACAATATCCATATCATCATGACCCCCAAGCACTTATCGCATCCCGATTCCTAACTATTCCAACTATTCCAATTCAAGCCAAGGCAATCCAGGCTAAGGTAAGCTAAGACAAAGAAAGCGAGATCTCTCCGGCCCCAGACCTTCGGGTCAGATTATCCTATCTATGTACATACAGGAGTACTGTAGTGGCTAGCGTACATGTACGATTTGTGTCGTTCCAGACTTCCAGTTGTCCTGGTACTTGTACGGGTGAGTGAGTGGCTTGAATCACGGTACGGTACTAGGCTTTATGTTGGCATAGGTAGGTAGGTAGGGAGTGTATTTTAGATATGCATGAGTGAGGGTTTGTGTTGTTGTGTGGTGGGGTGGGGTACTACTTACTATACTGTGAATAGAGAACTTGATATAGGATATTGGTATTTCTAGCATGTATATATATGTATATCATCTATAGTCCGCGTTACTTTGCTTGTTTTTCTTGGGGTTTACTTGATTTATATGATATAATCAAGTGATACACCCTCTTCCTACCTACACCTGCTCAAACAATAACCAATCCCTCTGTTACAGACATTCAACCCCCTTCCTGATATCCATCCATATACTATCTCTCGTACCCCACACTATAACTCTCAGCCTCTTCAGCTTCAACGCCCATTTCCCTAAGCAAATTATCAAAATTTCTCAAGGCATCAAACGTATCCTTTCGCACTTCAACGTTCATCTCCCTAAGCATATTATCAAACTCCCTTAAATCATCAAACGTATCCTCCCGCTCCCCATCTTTATCCTCGCCAATAGATAACTTAGCCGTGCCTTCATCAAGAAACTTTGCTAGTAGACGAGGAAGGAGGGGCTTGAGGTACGTGAAGCTGTAGGTTGTGAGACGTGGAGCTTGTGTCTGCTTGGGGGTAGAGGATGTAGTGGTATTAGAGAGTTGGATGAGGCTGGCGCGGCCCGACAGGGGTTGAGTTTCGTTGGCTGTTATTTTGTGCTGTGGGAGAGTCACTGGTGTAGTTTGTGTAGTGCTGCTTTGGTGGTGGGGTGCGCTTGATTGCGAATTCTTGGTCTGGATGCTGGATTCAGCTAGTTTTTGAGACAAAGCTTCCTGTTTGGGCTCAATATGCAATTTATCGGCTTGTTCTTTTGAAGTAGTGGTTGGAGTCACTGCATTACTGCAAGTGACTACCTCAGCTGGCGTTCCTGTAGCTGAAAGCCTTCCTTTTTTCTCGTTTTGGGACCAACCAACGGGTTTTCCCAGTGGTGTTGAGTCCAACAGATTTAAGGGAGGTGGATTGAAAGCATTGTTCTTACTTCGAGACGGATCTGGAAGAAGGGCTTCTCGTTCAGTCCTTGGTCGTCCCTCGTCTTCTATTATTCTGTCCGATGCAGCGGAGGTATGTGGGACAGCAGTAGCAAAGTGGCTGCCATTCGCTTTTCCTGAGTTGGCGGATGTTGGTTTCTCTCTGGGTTCGTCCTGAATAGCTTGGTTGCTTTTGTAGTTGATGGCCGACTCAAGGGGGTTGCGAGTGGCCTTCTGGCGTGTTTGCTGTGGACGGAAGAACTTGAAACTGATTGGTCGCTTGTCGATATTTCCGCTATTGGTTTCCTCTACTGTCAAACTCGGCGGATGAGCCTTCACTTCCTGGTCAAGACAGCATTTTCCAGCACCAAGAAATACGGACTCTCCAATTGACGCTTGCGTGAAAATCAACTTACCCTCTCTATTAACGACCGGTTCCAATGGGTTGCGCACTGTTTGTTGGGGCACCGATTGCTTTGTTTTGGAGAACTTGAAGCCGTATTTTGGCCGAGTGGATCGCTCTGGAGGAGAAACAAGTTCTGTCTTTTGATTTGCCTGGACCGCAATATCACTCAAACTTAGTCTCGAGGTAGGCGTACCGGCATCAACGCCTGCTTGTTCAGGAAGAAAAGTATCAGGGGGCTCGAGGGACGAAGCGGGCCGGTTTTTGTTGTTAATATCCTGCTTGAGAGAACCTGGTGGACCACGAAGGGAGTACGAGAGCAACCATTCTGGTATAACGACCTTGTAACTGAGCTTCCGCAAAGGGGACACTTCTGCACGATTACCCGGAGGGCTGAATTTATTTTTTGCCAAAGCTCTGGATATAGCCTTTTCCAACGCTTCAATGCCTGCTGACTTTCGTTCGTTGGAGTGAAGCCTCAATTTAGCAGGAATGGCTGGCTCCCGGGGGACCTCGGATCTTGACTTGGGGCTTGCTAAGGCCTTTGACACCACCATCTCCGCAGCTGAGGTAAGGTGTTTTGGGGGTCCAAGTGCACCTTGGATTTCGTGTGCTTTGCGAGTTGCCCCAGGTATTATCTTCGATGTAAAAGGTATCGGTAGGGGAGGATCTTCCCTGGCGACTTTTGCTTCAAGAGGATTTTCAAATAATCCCACTTGCTTCTTCCGAGATATCGTGAACTGTACCTTAGATGGCGCTGAATTGATAGCTCTCAAGTTCGAATGAGCTTCTAGTTCTGCGTTTGTGCTGAAGTGAGGAGACACTCCCATGGCGTCTGGTTCCCATGGGCTGCTGAACGCGCGTGCTTGCTTTTGCAGTGGCAGCTTGAATGCTAATTTTCGAGATGGAGCTGTGACAGTTGTTTCATGGTTCAATGGTAGATCCTTCAGAAGCTGTGTAGAAGAAATAGCGACAGGGATAGATCCGAAGCTGGGTGTGGAGGGATATGTAGATTGGTCATAATCCACATTATTGCCTCCTAGGGGAGGACATTAGAAACACACATATTTAGATCTAGGAATCAGTCAGTACTCACCTTCAGAGTCCAATTTGGACAAGAACTGGTCTGCAACAGTGTTTGCGTACTCGTCGACCTAAGTGATAAACCATGAGTTGAAGGGACAAAGACACCTGGATTCAAAAGCATACTTCAACTGTCCCACGGCCTTTGGCGGCCAAATTGTTTTGACATGCTCCATTCGATTGAAAGATAGGGAGGGATCTTTGATCTGTAGGATTATCATGATGTGCATCCATAGCCTCCATCCTCCCGAAACCCCTTGAGTCATATCTATTCCCATCATCATCTCGGTCTCGCTTTCCCTGCTGATGCTGCCGGTTTTCGCCTGGTCGTGGCCTAGTGGACTACTTCTTTTCTCCCTGGCCGCCTTCCTCTTCGTAGTCTAATTCTCGGAGACTTCCACTGGAATCGTCTTGGTGGAGTCTGGATCGCTTCGCAGATGTGTACCAGGAGTCACTCTCTTCACTGGAGACGCGTTTGTATCGGCCCATCATCTGTGAGTAGAGACAGTGTTAACATGAAACGAAAGGATTCCAAGAGAGGATGCAAAGCCTTATGGAGAAGCACGAAGCAATTCAACTTTTACGCTAGAAGGAAGAAAAGCTTGACAACACACCTCGAACACCATCTCAAAGGCTTCTTTTCCGTTGAAGGTGGGTGGAATCACAATAGACAATGACAGGAATAGAATCGAACACCCGCGCATCGAGACATAGCGAGACAGGCAGAACAGCCCCAGAGGTGCTTACACGTGATACTATAAATGTGTGAATACAGTGAAATTATATGTGGACGTGCTAGTGAAGTTGTGTCCTCGTAGTTGTGTGAAAAGGGTTGCGGTTAGGCGCGATTGCCCCTTTTGTTTACTTTGCGTTAGCCGAGTTTTGCATAGCTTGAACATTACATTGCTTGATAGCACTATATTATAAGAGTGGTGGATACAAAGAGAAAATACGTTGCAATTTTTTGATATGTCGCACATCCTAATTATAGTATGAATATAGAATTTTGATATATAATGTATTTCTGGGAGAAGTCAGCCCGATGAGATCGAAAAAAGAGCAAGTGCCGGAAGATGATCAGCGATCCGGGGCCCATTGTACAACGTTTCTTGCATTTGACTACACAATTACATATAATTTTGTTACTTCAATAAGAAGCAAATTTTACACTTTTGCCCTTTTCCGTTTCGCCAGCCCCTTTTCCTTGCCCCCTAGATTTTCCTTTCCCCCGTATCCCTATATGCCCCACTACTCGCGCCCTCATCATCCGCCTCCTCATCCCCACCACCCTCAGCCTCATGGTCATCATTGTCCACCACCACAGGTGCAGCCCTCTTCTTCCTCCGCTTCTTACCCTTCTCAGCCTTCTCCTTCTCCCTCTCTGTATAACTCAAATCATTCTTCTTCGCCCACTCCGCAGCCTGATCCCCAAAAGTCTGCGAGCCAAAGCCTCCTATCTGTTTCTTCGCCTTCAGCTTATTAACAGCCTCCTTCATCCTCTTACTGCCCGCAGTTTTCTCTTTACCATTCGCGGTCTTTGCACCAGCGCCAACAGCGCCCTCAAAGAATCGTGTGATGTTGCTTTGTGTCCCCTCCGTCTCGCGACGATTCATGTCGCGGATCACAGGGACAAGCACTTCATCGGTGCGTTCTTGTGACCAGCCAATCGTCGCCATGAGGAAGTCGCGCAGGCGGTCGAGATCGGGGACGCCCCATTGGAAAGCGTCTGGCGTTGAGTCAACGTCTGGCTTGAGGTATGCTTCTGTGACTGCTGGAGAAGGGAAACCTGGTGGTAAGAAGAGCTTCGTGCCTTGAGCGCGGCGGAATTTCTTGCGGAAAACGGTCGGTTCTTTCGATATGGCAATAGCATGAGGATTTCCCTGAGTAGAGGTCCACCAGTCTCTAAATTCTTGGATGCCGCTGGCGGTTGGAAATTCGGAAATGATTTCGAGGGCCGTGACGGGACCTACGCCGGGGAGGCCTTCAGTGTAATCCGAGCCGAGGAGATGGGCGATTGAGATAAGTTGGTCGCGAGACAATGTGAGTTCTTTTTCGATGTCATTTGAGAGGTAGCATTCTACGAATTTGTTGCTGTTGAACATGTTTTTGTAGACTCGTGTGCCACCAAACAGGAAGATATCACAATCGTCTGTAACGACTCCATCGACGAGACCAAGACGAACAAGCTCGGCGCATTGTGCTTCTGCCTCCATTGGAGCAGTGATGTAAGGGATGCCGAACAGACGTAGGAGTGCCTGACATTCGGTGACCATGATTTGTGATACCTCATCGGCGTCTCTGCGATCTTTCTTCTGTTGATTTCGAAGAGCTCTGAGTTCGCTCTCGTACGCTTCTTGATTTTCACGCTCGGATTTGTTGTTCAATGTGCTTGCGAATCGTGCATGCTCTTCTGCCTCGATAGCTAATTGAGCAAGCAGCTCCTCATCATCAGGATCACTAAAATCAAATTCGTCCATTTCGGAATCGTGCTGCGATCTATCCTTGGTTCTTACTTGAGTGGCAGAGTCCAAGTTCGATGGAGCTTCAATTCCATCTGACATATTGCCATCCTCTAACAACGCACTTAGACTCTTGACACTGTCATTGACGAGCACATGGTTCTCTGGCGTTCGATTTGGAGGTGGCATTTCCACATCTTCGAATTCAGGCGAGGCAGATTTGGATTTGGGAGAGCTAGCATCTGTTCTGCCGCCAGGTGGATTTTCGGTATCGACCGTCTTTGCCGATTTAGTGGTTATGTCTCCATACTCGCTCTCTGACCAGTCCATCGCCTCATCTTCTGGCTCGTTTGCAGCAGGTCGGTGGGGGTTATTCTTGTTCGACTGCTCCTCAACCGATGGCTGTCTATCGTCCGGGATATCGGAGACTGGTGGGTTGGCCCTGAGACCCTCAGCAACATCTCCCATATTATCTCTAAATGTCTCCGCTAGTGGCGGCGCATCAACGATTTCCACGTCGCTGCCATCGTCTGACGATTCGATCTCAATAGGCCCATTGTTTTGCTTAAAGATGCGTTCGTCCTCGAGTGCTCTCTGCCTATCCTCTGCATTGAGCTCAAAATCCCGCTCCTTTTGCTCCTTCACTTGTGATCTGATATCACTAGTACCCACAAGCCACGGTGGTAGAGGCCTGGAAGCTTCTTCCTCTCCATTTTCAAAACCACCAGCGAGATCTTCTTCAGCCGACTCATCATTGTCAACAGCCGCTTTTTGAGGTTCAGTTTTCTTGCCAAAGATCGAACTTCCCAAATCGAGCTTCTCGAACGGCAAGGGGCCATCGAAAGGATTCTTCGCATTGGAAACAACAGGGGCTACTTTCCGTCGTTCTATCGCCGGAGCTTTCCCCTTTCTTGCTTTTGCAAGTGCTGCTTGAAGGTCCATATCGCTATCGCTGTCACTGATGTCCGCTGCCTTCCGCTTTGGAACGGCAGCGTTGGCTCTGTTGTTGACAATATGCGCAATCATTCCTCCGCTAGAATTCGTAAGCGGTTTGGAATTAGGGACCGCTCTCTGCTCATATTCTGGCATAAGGACATCTTCAAAATCTTCCTCCTCATCAGCCTCGGATTCATGAGCATGATTTTGCTGCATCGATAGAGCAATTGCTTGCTTAAGATGTTCCTCTTCATCCATCCCATCAAATTCCTGGTCTCTTTGAAGTGACATTGCAATCGCAAGATTCAAGTCTTCCTCTTCATCAAATCCACGGCCATTCCCAGCCGATACACCAACAGTTGCCTCATCGTCAACGAAAAGCGAATCAGGTTCTATCAATTGAACTGTGGCCTGTCTCGAGCTCTCCCCATTTCTTGAAGCATACACTTGTCGCCTCTGATCAGCCATTTCTTGCGCTTTGAAGTCTCCATATGACAAATTTTGTTTCTGGGCGCCATTTAGTTTTGGCAACCTATTGAGACCCTCCACAGGAACATCTTCAAACTCATCCTCTGACTCGGATGGTTCTTCGTCCCTTTTTGATTTCTGATGCAAAGCGTCAATATCGATTGGCTTTTCCCGCTCTCCCACGGATTTGTCCAGGCTCACAACACCCAAAGCCCATCCACCTTCAACACCGTCATTCTTAACCAACACGTACTCTCTATCTCTTTCGCCCGCAATCCTCGCACCTCCTACGCCAGCCATTCCATCCTCTCCATTCATCCCATTTAGATTCATTAGTCGTTGCGTTAATTCATTTCTTTCTCTCACCCTCTCAATCTGAAATCTGCTGAACGCCATTCGATCCGGAAACATATCTTCTAATTGATCCTTACTTAGGCCCATACGCAACCTACTTCTCAATCTCGCCGCATTCAGGATATTGTATCTGTCGACGGGAGGCAGACTCATAAAGAATTCGCCATTGAAATCGATCTTGCTGAAATCATAGAGATTGACATCTTCTCCATTGTGAAATTGCCTCGCATAATCTTCCAGATCTTCCGCGCTCATAATCCGAGGGTCATTCGGTTGACCCATACCTTCAATACCATTATCCAAATCTGGTAGATGATACGCGTCCGTTTTCTTGAACTTTCGATTTGCGGTTCGCTGTTGTACATTCATGCCCTCTTCGCCTACGTATACAAGCTCCTGCTCATCCGGAATAGCCTCTTCTTCGTCATCAAGAGGTCTCATCCCCGCCTTCTCACGCTCCCTATCTTTCTTCCTTCGTTCAGCCTCCTCCTCCCCCCTCCTCTGCATCTGTACAGCAAGCAGCTTCCCCGCCGTCCTAACCGCATCTTCTCTCCTGCCCTCTCGCCTCTGTTTTCGCCCTTGTATAGTTTGCCTCTTGAGAATCGGTGCCCCGCCATCGAATACAAATACTGGCTTAATACCGAAGAACAGAAGCTTGCAGATCCTTCTGAAGAACCCGACAACGTGCGAGTTTCGCAGCGCGTTTCCTTCCTTGTCGCGGACGGCTTTCAGAAATTGGTAGATCCAGATGGAGGCATCGACAGCGAGACGCTTGCGGTTGAGGGTTGGCAGAGGGGTTGGGCGTGCACAAGGATGTAGGATAGGCCAGAGGCCAGTGACCCCCATGTTGGAGGCTTCCTAAAACCCGCAGGTTTGTCCTTGAAGATTCGTATCGTCGATGTGGATGACGCGGGAGCTTAAGGTCGCGGTTTTGCGGATAGAGCGCGTTGAAGGGCGCATTCCACCATTTTTGTTGCAGTAAAATTCCGTAGCTAGTTTTCACTTCGGAATGCGTGTTGAGGATATATTATAGAGAGAGAAATGTCCCATCGTTGCCTTCAGTGCTGCAATTCAATGACTCTTCGCCGCCAGAAACCTCGTCCTTATCTAATCGCCGCGGGTCAAAAAAGCGCGACGTCGTGCAAGCACTTCCACATCACACAACTCCAACCCCTCCTAAGAACCGCCCCTCTCTGCCTAAGACCTTCATAGCCATCTCACCATGGAGCAAGCCCAATCAAAAGATTATCTAACTTCTCTCCTGAACAAGAACCTCCGCATCACCACCTCAGACGCCCGCATGTTTCTAGGGCAATTCAAATGCACAGACTCTGTACTTCCACCTTTCCTCTACATCTTTTTACAGCATGCTTATACGTTCTGAAGGACCGAAATATAATTTTGGCCCACACATTCGAATACCGCATCCCACCTCCTCCCAAGGATCTCGACGAAAGCAAAAAGCCAGTCACGCTAGATTTGACGAGCAGATATCTGGGTCTGGTGGTTGTACCTGGGGAGTATATTATACAGATTGAGGTTGAGGAGTTTGCTAGTCAGATGAAGGGGAAGAGTTTGAGCGGCAATCAAGCTGCTTTGAGGGAGGAGAGCCTTGTGTGAAGAAGGGCTGAGAATTGGTAACGGATACAACAAACTCAGTGCCGCTCTTATGGAAGGAAGAAAGGAGGAAATGGTCTAGAATCGCCAATGCTAGAGGCCAGGAGCCTGGGAATGACTCTAGAAGTGGATGCGGAGAGCTCCAATTTACAAAGACGCGAAGCAGGGGAAGTCATATGGTAGGCAAAATGGAGGAAGAGATTCAGCTTCCTGGCTCTGGCTCTTGAGCCCAATGCTAGTGTGTCTCATGATCAGTAAGATTGTCATACTGAATTGAATGAAAACCGGGAAGCTTTACTTAGGAGGATTATACGGGTAATGCTGACTGTGCTCAGCTTCACAGTTCAAGTTGACCACTTCATCGACAAACAGACAAACAGGTGCTCATCACTTCTCCTATGCAACACTTAGTATGATCTATCTGACAAATCTTCAAACCTCCCGCTTCGCGCTCCCTTCGATCATTTCCAGTCACTGTGAGCCCAGAAATCCACATTTGTATTTCTAGAGAGGAGATTCTGTGACTTGCATCGGTTATTACACTTATTCCTTGGCTTTGCTTGCTCTGCTCTGGCGTCATAGTAGTGACTATATTTGATCAGCCTTGAATAGTAAGGTACTGTATGTATTTGCTTGAGATGACCAACTCATCCTCTGCTATACCAGATCCCTATTTCAGAATCGAAATTTTCGAATGCTGCTGTGTTCTTTTGGAATTGCCCCGCCAAAAATTTACTCCATTGCAGACCTTCCAATTGAAAATCACTTGCTTTACAGTTATGAAATCTGTGGGCAACCTGACATACTCGGTGACTGCCGCTCTTTCTGTTGAGAATGTCTCAAGGACGTGAGCCAGAATCTAAACACTCAAAGACTAATACGGCCACTTTATCATTTGGAGTTGAGCTTAATTTCTCATCGCAAAATTTGTATTGAATGTCGCAAATACGCTTCAGAAACGTGGAGTCTATAACGGTTAGAAATGCAACCATGAAACCACATACAGATTACCGGGCCGACTAGTGCACTAGTGAAACCAACAATAGCTAAAGGCATCATGTAAAAGTCGTTTCAATTGAAGTTCAACACTTGAGTATACTACTAAGTCCCGGACTAGATCCGATGAGAATTAAAAATAATAGAAATATGTAAGGAAAAGTCGTCTCCAATCTCTCTCCCTCTATATTATAACTTCCTCTCCCCCTACTTCTCCATTGACATTGCTATTGCTATACCTCTAATAATAAGTATTTCCAGGGGTACCTTTTTTGCCCTTACGCTGCCGGTTTCGGAGCTCTGTGAGGTATGGCAACGCGGTATCTTTCCCTGGTAGAGTGTCAGGCTTATTAAATATATGCTTAATCGGGTCCCTAACGTTTCGGCATTTAATAAGTCCTATCCAAGGATGACATTCGTAAAAGGGAGGACGCTCCCATGCTGACTGAAATCCTGGGTGATTCGTATGCTGCAAACTTGCTTTCCAAGCCTCGTAAACCGGTGCCATATTTATAACGACTTCTTTCTAAAAAGTCTCTTTATCCATTTCAAAACTAATATCTGCCTAAAGTGAGTCTGCAATCTGACTGGTTTAAGGATTGCCACAAATTAAAAATCGCCAGCGTTTAACCCACCAGGGATAATATCCAGCCATTTCCTAATCTATAATCGCTTCTATCTTATCATCTTTTACAATAATATTACTGAAATTCAAATCTGCGTGAGTAAGAGTATATGGCTCTCCTTTCAGGAAGTTGGCTTTAAGTTCTTGAAATTTATTTTCAACTAAATGACGTATTAGCATAGTAAATAGCTGGGTTTTAAGATAGATCCTAAGAGCGTTGGAGCTGTTCTGAGAGCTTGCATATCTCCTGAAAAAGCTATAGGCTCCTCAGCTCTAATGGAGGAAAATTGCTTTCTTGCATAAAAATAAGCTTAAGCTCACCTAGTACTAGGTCTTTTGTTTTGTGAATCATGGAAAGTCCAACTCGGAGTTCGTCGGCTATACTTTCAAGCCATTCATCAGCTGTACGTCCAATCTTCTTGCATGTTAGCGGACGCTCTATATAGCAACTAGCAATTAGAATATCATCGAGTGGGTTACCATCAACCTTTTGCGCAACGCTATTTAGTGATATGAATCGTCGGAGTTCTTTAATTGCATCACCAAGTTAGTCTTTATAAGCTCCTTTCTTTTCTAGAGAGAGAGTATTCCAGATTGTATCTAGACGTACGCCTTAGGCCTAAGATATTATCGTAAAGTGTATTAGATCCATAAGTTCGCTTACTTGTAGATACTTCTTTGAAAGAGGAATAGTCAGATTCGGCTGTTTACGGAGAAAAATCTGGACCTCATGCTCGTTCCCTTCTCTATGATTATTTGGCTCGTCTCGAATCATTAATTGAGATCCAAGCTCCCATAGACTGCTTAACAAATTAGCATAATTAAACCGCTTTGAATAGCTAAGGGACTTGGGAGCTGTTCTAGGAGCAGCAACCCATATACTATAGAACGTCCTTTCTTTGCTCATAACACAGCTGTTGGCTCCAGAGCTCCCACGGAAGATATAGCTTTTTTAGATAGGAACTTGGCTTACCCCATATTACCACGTATATAAAAAATCCTAATCCGTGACCCATAAGATGAAATAACTTGGTGGTAAACATTCCAGCCGCAAGACTAGCATAGTTCAGGATAGCTGCCATCAGGTAGCTTAACATCGTCTATGCGAGATTTGCCTCTAGGTGTTAATATATCTAGACGCTCGATGGATTTAAAGAAAAGCTGCGTAGCTTCTCGTCCTGCAGGTAATCTTGACTCAAATTAAGGAAAATCTCTAGTAGGTTTATATATAAGATCTTTATATACATTTTCTGAATGATTATAATCGCGTTCCATGATGTTAAATAGAGTATTAATATATCAAAACTAAATATAAAGCTGATTTTATTAAAAGCTAGAACTCCTAGAAATAATCTTTGGTTTTATAGATTTCCAAGTTCTTTATTGATATCCCTTTTAATAAAGGGTATATAATTCAGTAAATATTACGTGATATTTTAATTACTTGATTAGTTCGCTTAACTTTCTTTATCTCTTTTCCTTCTTTATTATTTAATAAAGAAGGCCTAGAAGCTAATTGATAGTATCACAGGTTAATACGTGATGACCGAAACAGTACTTTTAATGAAACCTGGAGATATCTTCTGCTTGCGCCCAGAGGCTGACCTTGGAAGTCCAAGCAAGAAAATATGGAGACACAATCCCTTGGAATACCGTGGGAAGACCAATTCGAAGGGCAATCCAAAATACAAGAAGCCGGTATTGGACGGTCGAATGGAGCCCCATGTCTTTGCCCGGTTCGAACGCATCGAAATACATGTCGACCTGGACTTATCCGGCGGAGACTTGGTGGTAGCACAGATCGAAATTGATGAGAATTTATTAATTGATGCCGACGACATCAAGAACTACAAATCAATCATACGACGCACGAACTTGTTTAAGGATTTGGCTATAGTTCTAGCTAGATCGCCCATGTTAAAAAGTCTCCAACTGTTTGTGTCTGTTGAAGTGGATGTAGACTATCCCATGGATATTCCGGAAAGCGAAAGCGAGGACGCGGATGAGGAAGCAGATGCTATCGAAGACAAATACATGCTCAAAGTCAACAACATGGCCACGGATATTCTGATAGAGAGTGGCTTGCTCGACCCGTTGAAATTGCTGTCGAACATCGAGAAATTTGACCTCAAAGCTTCTGATATGGACAAAGTGAACCCTGACTGGTCAGGCAACATGTCTCGTAAGCTTGGACCTAGAACCGCGAGGGTAGTTCAAGAATTAAAGCAGGCGATTGAACGCAAGCCGTGAGCAACACGATGCTTACTTTACGAGCACCCAATGCATTTTTTACCCTCGACTATATCTGAACTTGTTACTTGGGCGGACACAGAGGCTTTGTTGGTTTGAGAGAAGGAAAAAAGGCAGAAGGGAAACATAGCATTGGTCAACCTTCTGTTGGCTCTGATGGAAATAATCGGCTTTCACATGGAAAAAAGTGATTTGGCGATCACCTATTTATTGTAAAAGACTGAGAAACCGGGGAGCTGAATGAGAGTTATTGGCCGTTACTTCGTATTCTTATAGAGAATTAACCAATCTGGTCCTGAAAAGAACCTAGGACGGTCTCCGCAGCTTGTTATGAATCTTGGGGAAGACGCGGTCCGCGCTGCAACGAACCTTAATGAGCCTTCAACCAGTCGATGGGACGATCGGCGATCAGGATTCAGGGGAATCAGGGGACATTTCAGGATGGCTACCCCTATTACACGTGATATTAATTCCATGTTGGGTTAGCGTTAATACAATCAAACACCAGAAGCGCCATTTCAAACATCATCTTATTCTAACTTCAGCCCCTCAGGTGTCTCTACGCCCACGCATGCCCGCACAATCAGCAGTCAGAGTACTTCGTAAGGATTTGTCAGACTTAAAGCTGACGATGAACTCTCGAAATCTGGGGGTGGTCTGAACTGTTACCCACGGGGATGGATTGTTGATGATCCGAGGAAAGCAATCTCTAGATCCCTTCACGGTGTCTCAGAGCTCTATTTCCGCGCCCTTGGCGATCCACTTTCAAATACTTATCCATGTCTTCTGGCCGTATCAACGGTCTCGATCCCAACCGTTGCTAGGGTAGCTCAGAGGTACCCGGCTGCTAATCGTCAAAATGCAGACCTTATATTATTTGATCATGGCTGTGCTGGATCTTGTTCTTGGCAATTTATGGCTCGTGAAAGAATGTCGTGTTTCCTCTCTTCTACACCGTAGGTCAACTTCCGTTTTGGCCGCGAATAAGACGCTCGTTATTGAAAGAAAAGTATTTCGAATCCTTCTCTAAACGTGTTTTGGGCCCGTTCACTCGTTATAAGTTTTTAATTCAATTTCCCTTCGGTCTATGTGTAAATTGATTGATCTTTTCTCCTTCGACATACACACCCAATCCAAGTTATTATGTGGTTCAGCTCTTCACTTGCCTATACGGCTGCCATCTGTACGCTTGCTGGTCGAGGTGCAGATGCTGCCATTACACTAGACTTGACATCAGATGCGTCGATAAAGCAAGCAGCAGCGTCCGCAGCGTACAATATGATGAGTTATTATACTGGGAACCACACAGGAGACAACCCGGGGAATTTACCTGCACCGTATTATTGGTGGGAAGCTGGAGCGATGTAAAGTTTCCTATCCTGCGAAGGCGAGACAGTCATGCTAACGTTGCTTCCCCCCAGGTTCGGAACCATGGTCAATTATTGGTACTATACGGGCGACAAATCCTACATTGACGTGACATCACAAGGCCTATTAAGTCAGATTGGAGAGGACTATGACTACATGCCGGAGAATCAAACGAAGACAGAGGGAAACGACGATCAAGGGTTCTGGGGATTGGCAGCGATGACAGCGGCGGAGACAAAATTTCAAGATCCACCTGATGGGCAGCCGGGATGGCTCGCACTTGCCCAAGGTGTTTTCAATACACAAGCAGCTCGGTGGGACGGAGCGAACTGCAATGGAGGACTCAGGTGGCAGATATTTACCTTCAATAACGGGTACGACTACAAGAACAGCATATCGAATGGTTGCTTCTTCAACCTTGCTGCGAGATTGGCTTTATACACGGGGAATTCAACGTATGCGGATTGGGCTACTAAGACTTTCGACTGGGTCAATAGTGTGGGGTTGATGGGGTCAGATTTCAAGGTCCATGACGGTACACGAATTGGAGACAACTGCACAGCCAAGGATAATAATATGTGGACGTACAACTCAGGTGTATATCTGCTCGGTGCTGCAGCAATGTATAACTATGTAAGCTTCTCGCAGCTCGATTATGGACTTTCAGCTAACCGAATCTTAGACAAACGGCAGCACGTTATGGCAAACCCGCGTACAGGGCCTTGTCGATGCCGGGCAAGATTTCTTCACTGATGGTGTCCTGTTCGAGCCCTGCGAAAGCAGTAAATGTAATATCGATCAAAAGTCCTTCAAGGCGTACTATAGCCGGTGGACGGCAGCAACTACACAGATCGCACCCTTCACCAAAGACACCATCATGAAGCGGATATCTACTTCAGCAACAGCAGCAGTGAAGACTTGCACAGGAGGGACTAACGGCAATGGCTGCGGCATGAGTTGGACAACGGGTGTAAACGATGGAAGTCTAGGCGTAGGCGAGCAAATGTCGGCCCTCGAAGCTATCCAGAGCAACTTGGTAGGAAGTGCTGCGGCCTGGGTCAGTGCCGTGAAAGGTACGGGTACCAGTGAAGGAAATGCAGATGCAGGTTCGGACCAAACGCACGATGAAAGCAAGGTTACTTCGAAACCAATCACTACAAAAGATAGAGTTGGGGCGGGGATTTTCACGGCTTTAATTTTGATTGGTGTTGTGGGGGGTTCAGCTACAATGATGATTTCGGAGTGATTTTGGGATGGCATATTTGGGGGCCCAGGTCTTGGGTCTCATTGAATAATTTGTAAATACCACGCAGACAAAAGTCTTCTGCTTTTCTGTTTCTTCATTAAGGGCCGACGTCGAGCTATGCGTTCCTTTGTACTTTTTCCCTTGTTGCCATCACTTAGCCTAGCTTCAGAGGCATCTTTAGGTACAGTATCCCAGAGTTGGGCAGGGGGCTGCTGCTTCCCGGCGTTACCCAAAGGCGTCACAATGTCACTTTCATCAGCGAACAAAACTGCATCAACGCAAAGAACACTCCTTAATTCTCAACCTCCATTCTTCACGTTCTAAATATCTGGGTTCTGCTCCACCCAATCCTTCCCCAAGCAAACAGGAAAACGATCCCAAACCGTCTTGCACCCCGGCGGATCATCCACCTTTACGACCTGCAACGTCTTCTTTAGGTCGCCTTTAGAGAGGTACTGGATTTCGTATGCCTTGTTGTCGCTATCGCTCTTTGGCATAAGGACGAGGCGGTCGAGTAGGGATTCCTCGATCGTTGTGTAAGGGCTGATGGGATTGATGCTGGCGAGCCCAGACCATGCTCGATTGCGGATGCCGTAAATGATGACGTTTATTGTTTCGAGTGGCATTTTGGTTCTCTTGTCTGAGGGTAAGTCGGTAGCGGGTGATTCTTGCATTTTGGAGCTTGGACGGAAATGGGGATGTGGATGTGGATGTGGATGTGGATATGAGGGAGGGGAGTCGTGAAAACTGGCAGGAGTGTATAGGGGTGGGGGGGATTTGAGTCACCAAACGAGGAGGGACATATAGGTAAGTGAATGGATGTCCTCTATGAATGTTCAGTTATATATATGTAGTGTTAACATTCACTATAGGACTCCAAAACCTAGTCAACACCCGACCTGCACTTCAAAACTATAGTTGCGGGCGTTAAGCTCAGCAGTTATTGTCTTCCAGCCTAGTCATGGATGAAGTTTTTCTATCAAGCTGGGCAAAACCATACCAAACCAATTACAATTTTAGTGCTGCTCAGGCTAAATCAACTGCATTTCAAAGAGCATGCGCTCCCCGAGCAGCAGTGCAAGGTCATTGTGTTTCATGGCATGTCCGACACATTCATTCGAGTCTGCAGCCCATACTAGAATTGAATGCTAAAATTTTGGGATTTTTTGATGAATGACTGGAATAGTTGATTGTTCATTGCTACCAATTAGTTAATCTTTTGTTGCTTGGTTGGTTGGCTATGAGTAACAAGATGTCTCGATTCACGTGTCCGTCGAGTTTCTCTTTCGGGGTGAATGTCATGCAACCTCATAATTAGAGACCGTATCATACACGGTGACAACGATGTTAGCCACTATGCGTTCTTAGAAATTGTGTTGGTTTGCACAGCATACCTACCTAGGTAGATAGGTAGGCAGTAGCCGCAGCGTCAACTGCTGATGATAAGCGAGGCGAACCCCCTAGTACCCCTTTTTGATAGATTGGACAATGTTTGCGTTGGAACAATTATCGCCTGCTTAGAGTTATTAGTTGAGGTAGAAACTAGTGAATGGCGAATGAATGACATGAATGGCCGTGGTCCAAAAATAGGTTTCCTTGTGCTAGATTCAACGGTAAATTTAATGCCCGCTTTCTCTTCTTAAGAACTACTTCTTGTATCTTACTTTCAACCTCAGAGGTCCAGAAATAATCATATCCCATCTGACATTCAGCAAACCACCACAAACACCTCAAGATGGATGATCCAAAAGTTACTGCGATTCCCCTCATTCTCAAGGAGCAGATGAAGGCAGTCCTGGACAATCCCGAAACATGTGCGGAACACCGTCAAGAGATCCTCGACATGAGTCGTCAGTTGACAGCCAAGTTGGAAAGTTCGCTTGAAGCAAGATATAACATTGCTTGCTCTGTAAGTTCCACACCGTTGAGCTTCTTTTTCCAATATCACTTCGTCATGACTGACTGTTATAGCCTATGCAACTGGTTGTAGCTTGCATTGGCCTCGATCACGGAATCTTCAAAATAATCGCTGAGAACGGAGACACTGAGCCAGAGAATGCTATTGCATTTCATCAGTCTATGACCGGACACCATGTCAATATTCCAATCTGGCTTAAGGACTACCCCTTCGATGCTAATCATGGCATTGCTAGTACTCCTGAGACTATCTTGTTCGTCGATATTGGAGGAAGCAATGGTCACCAATGCGACCTCCTACGACAGCAGTTCCCCACACTGCCTGGAAAGATCATCCTCCAAGACCGATCGCTTACTCTGGCGAAGGCAACAGCAGGAGAGACGATTGAGCGGGTGAGCTATGATTACCTCACTCCACAGCCAATTCAAGGTATTCTCCAAAAGTCTATGATACCATGTATAAAATACTAAGATGACCTACAGGAGCACGTGTCTATTACTTCCGCTGGGTTCTCCACAACAACACCGACGAGACATGCCTCCTCATCTTGAAGAACCAGATCTCCGCGATGACTTCGGAGTCCGTTATCATCATTGATGAGAAAGTTCTTGCTGAAGAGACAGTGACTGGCGTCGCAGATGCGGGGAAAGGCATGTCGGCCACTCTGAGCTTGATGATGTATGCATTGTGCGATGCTGAAGAGAGGAAGGAGTCCCATTGGCGACGTTTGTTGGACGAGGCTGGCCTGGAAGTCAAGGAAATCCATCGATATACTGAATTTGGAGATGCGGTTATCGTTGCCGTGAAGAAGTGAAGCCTTTGCTGATGCTTTTCGACAAGTATGTTGGCAATAGCAAGCAGAGAACACTTGAGCGTACCGTTTCTATCTAGGCACTGCAATTAACAGCAAATATTTTGGAGAACAATCATATTATGATCTCCTGATAACATTCGCTAGAATACAATCTGGATACTTGAAATTTCCCACCAAACATCGAAGTGATAGATAGCTAGCTCCAAGTAATGCCAAATGGGGTCCGCACAGCAATTTTTAGCGTACATTGGCGAATGGCGCAAAGTAGTTTGTAACTGCTATCTTCCACTCGAAGAAATCTCCCTAACTTGAAAGATGTATTTTGTAGCTTTGTTCTTGCCCGTTTTCAGATTCCTCAGTCCATCACCCCCCGCCCCACTTCCAGCCCTCCTGGTATAATTTCAGATGGATATCTTGAGATCAAATCATCTTTCAAAGCTTTTCCAAACGAACGAAGCTAAACAAAGCATTTCTCAAACATACTCGCCACAGCATTATAAGATGTTTCAATATAACTTGGAATACTGCTGATATCAATATTTGACAATACTAGAGTCATCTTAGAACCTCTTGTTAGGACCCTCCTGATATTTTGAAAGTTGTCATTACTAGAGATCGCATCTGACGACTATTGTACCACATGGTCAAATGCATCTGTGGTGCCGACTTGGTCCAAATGATATTTTATTTTGTACCAAGATTCCAATTCATCCTTTTCCTCTTTGAGAAGCCCTGTCGTTGTCATTGACGGGAAATGCACGGACCTTCGTCGCGTCTCTCTTGTCGCGTCTTCCTTGTTGCATCTCCATTCTACTTTCTGTCAAGAAACCCCTTTTTATGAGGCCGCATCAAAAAGATCCAACCCTTGACTTTCACCTCGACTTTTAGCCTACAAACTTGAATGAAGCCTACCTTTAGGGACTGTCGAGATGGCGTCTATTCCTAGTCAGCAGCCTGCTACCAAAGAATCCGACCACTTGGTGGACCTCGGTCCGCAAGAGCTCAAGGAAGGCCTCGAAGAATATCTCACTAGTATTGAAGGCGATGGTTCATTTGCACTCTTCGAGCCTCTCCAAGACCCACCAAATCCTGGAATTCACCTCAAAGAAGGTGGATTGGTTGGCCTTCCCTTGTCCAACCGTGATGCCGAAGCTATTATTGCCGCCAGTCATCAAGCACCGTTTGGAAAGGGCGAAGAAACCCTTGTCGACACTAGTGTGAGGAAAACGTGGGAGGTATCTCCAGGCTATTTCGAATTGAAGAACCCAGCTTGGCAACCATTCATCAAAACTGTCGTGGCGAAAGTGAGTGCTGGGCTTGGGGGTGGATGCTACCGGCAATGGCGTATCCGCGGAGCTTTACAAGATGCTATTGTACGATGAGGGGGCTTTATTCAAACCCCATCAAGAGTAAGCTTTGGCAAAAAATGTTCCCCAATGTGATCATAAGCTGATATACATGAAAGCTCAGAAAAGGCTCCCCGTATGTTTGCGACACTAGTCATCGCTCTGCCATCAAAGCATGAAGGAGGAGAAGTTCGAGTTACACACGCAGGGAAAACAAGGGTGTTTGAGACAGCAAAGTTCTCCGATTTTGGATCATCCTTCCTGGCGTGGTAAGACTATTACTAAAGTTATCTCTAAATTATGATTATTGACTGATCTGAGGTTTTCGGACGTTACACACGAAGTGAAGCCCGCCGTCTCGGGTCGGAGAATTGTCCTCACGTACAATTTAGTCCATCAAACTCTTGGGCCAAAAGAGTTGGGGGCAAATACAAATGTGGCAATGTCCAAGTTGAGGTTGCTCCTTGTAGCATGGATAAAGGGACTCGAAGAGGATGACACATTCCCATCTACTCAAGCCTTCTTATTTGAGCATCAATACACCGATGCAAGCCTTTGCTATGATGGCCTCAAAGGCCATGATCGCGACAAGTCGCCTCGCATCTACGTGAAGCTTGCAACGAACTCGGGTTTATTCTTTACCTCGCTAACCTCGATCATACAGTCACCGGCGGCTGCGATGGCTCTGATGTTGACGACGGTTGGGGTTACGGTGGAGGGGGAGGAGGAGGAGATGGAGAAATACATGAAATTACCGACGAAATTGAAAGAGAAACGTCCTTGAAAAGAGCGGTGGAATTGGATGGAACGGAAATCGCTACGGACTTACCATTCGACGAGGAAACTTTTATTCAAACAGATGCCCTCGCAGACGTAGACCCTGATGATGAGGACTACTCTGGTTTCACGGGTAACGAAGGCGTATCGACGACTCATTTTTACCATCGAACTGTGAGAACATTTTTCTTTTGTACCCTGAACCTCTCGTGATCTAACTACAATCAATAGGTGGTAATTTTGATACCGAGAAGCTATAGGATAGAATTCTTCCTTGGCCCATATAGGACTACAGATGAATATCCCTATAGCTTTCACTTGAAGCAGGCTCGGAAGCAGAAAGTGCTAGAGTGGATCGATCGACTCTCTGCGAAGAACATCCATGATACCAGCGATCAGTCGAAGAGAGAGGATCTCGAACAAATTTGCAGAATGGTGATCCGTCATACGAAGGCATGGATATCAAAGCCGGCACCAATAGCAGGCTGGCGCGCCGATTTGCCTCCATTCCCCGACAATGTTCTGATGCGAGTCGTAACTTTGTCTCTTGAACTTGACGAGAAGTCTCTCTTTGTTGGAGCTTACAGAGCTTGGACCCAGAAGTCTTCTTCGACCCCTTCTTCGACCAGACCTGGAAATACATCCCCCGAAGCCTTTCAATCGGTTGGAACTGCATTTCTGCGGTATGGCATGGAAAGTTTCCTACCAACGTAAGTAGTTCTTCGACATTTAGAGAGAGGAGAACCGGTTGCTGACCAACTTCGTAGACTTTCCGTACAGTGTTCTGAGATTGTCAAACTGGCTGATCGCTTCCAATTGATGAATGCAGTGGAGCTTGGGTTCGAGACAGAGGCTCAAAACTCTGGCAGAGTATATACTGTTTACAAGGATTGGATCAACTCGGAAACTGACAAAGCCCTGGCGTCTCCGAATGTTTTGATTGAAACTACGGAAGATGGGGCTTTACTTACACATCTCGCCGAGAAGGTGCCATTGCAAGATATATTCAATAAGTAAGCTCCCTGCTTCATGTTCACATCAAAAACTAATGCATTCAAGAATCTTGCCTGTTGTGAAAAGAAATGTACATCACACACTAATGGCCACGGCATTTTTAATCCGCATCTTTGACGCTGGCATTACTGGCAAAATCAAAGAAAAGGCCACTCAAACCATCTTCATCGATGTCATTTCAGACCTAACCGATCACTTTAGTCTGCGTTGGCTTGGTGACCTTGAAATATCCAAAAAGAGGGTAACAGCTTATAGCTGGGCTGCGCCCCTGATCACCCAAACTATAGTACCAGATGACTACAACAGCGTCAACATTAGCACGTTAATCTGCAATTGTGTGACTTTAGAATTGGATACTGAATTAAATCAAATTCTTACTAAAATGGCCAAAGAAGCAGAGACAGCCCCCATCGAGCTCTACGAGACAATATATATGCCCACCCTTAAATTATTGAGCACATCGTCACCAAAGGAGAACTTCACTGGCCATGGCTCGTCATTTAAGCAATTCTCCCAGTCAATGCTTTCAACCTACATAATCCGCTATGTCCAAATGGAACCCGCCAAACCGGCTAGTTGGGCACGACAGCGAACTAGCTGTGGCTGCAATGACTGCCTTTCGCTCAATAGATTCCTCATCGATGAAACCCAACAGATTGGCAGATCCCCAGTCGGCAAGGCGCGCCGTGCTCACTTGCATTCCCAACTCAACGGGCGAGCTGGCTTCACGCACGAGACGGAACGAAGGGGCAATCCACAGACTTTGGTGGTAACTAAAAATATAGGTGCCTATGAAGCTTCTCACAAGGCTTGGACTGAGCGATGCAACGTTGCTAGAAAGCATTTGAAGGATTTGGAGGAGACGTCTCTGAAGAACTTACTTGCAGAGAAATATGTCCCTATTATGGCATTATCGCCAAGTAAGCTTACACCCACATCGAGACAGCAACAGCAACAGCCGCTGTCTTCGATTGTTAATTCGTCAGAATCCTCTTCAAGGGGTGCGCTTCCGCCAATTACGAAGAGAAAAGTTCCAACCAAGGTTGTTGTTATCGAAGACTTGGATTAGTAAATGGATGGCTTCGTGTACGATTGGAACTTGGCGTTTCTGGAGTTCAGGTTATTGGATAGTAGAGTCATGGAAGTGTACTAAGGGGGTTTATGTAGCAACAACAGTTCTGAAAGAAACACAGCACCTGTGGTACTTTCACGACGTAACCTATATTTTAATTAAAGCTAATCAAATATTCTATTGATATCAAAACGGATCTACATGTATATAAATTATAGCCTTCACTGCAGTTTCTAACATATCCCAATGCCTCGCAATGAATCAAACACTTCAACAAACAATATATATACGACACATGGAACACACCCACTCGCCTCATCTACTCCTTAAAAGTATCATACAAACTCCTCTCCCTCAACACTTTCCCCTTCCACCAAAACACCCACGGCACAGGCGTCATCGCCAATCCCACAAACGCAAATACGCTCCCTGCCCAATGAATCCCCATACTCTCGTACATCTGCAGCGTAAATAACGGAAACGCCGCACCCAATCCGTACCGCAAAATCCCATTCGCAGCGACCGCACTCGCACCATTCGCAGCTTGGTACACGTCCACAAGGTAGGTAGTAGCAGCAATGAAGATTGAGAGACAGCCCCAGCCAAAAGGAATTCCCGCGAGAACAGGGACGATCCAGTGCACGGAGTGCGAGGGTGCCCACGCGAACCAGAAGAGGCCGATGGGCAGCATGATCGAGCCGAGGAGCGCGGCGTAGAGGCGGTGTTCGGGGGCTGGACGCCCATTGGCTCGCTTGTCTGCTCTGCGGTAGAGTGTAGCGTCGAAGATGCCGAATGAGGTGACGGCGAAGAGGAAGCCGATTAGAAGGCCCAGGAAGGTGAGGCCGATTTGGCGGTTGTTGAAGCCGTAGACGCTGGCGAATACATAGGAGTAGGAGCCGAAGAATGAGAACATCATGGCGAAGGCGAATCCGGTGTAGATGGAGAGGAAGGCTACTAATGGCTGTTTATTTTGTTAGTCTTAGATAAAGGGGAGGAAGGGGAGGGGAGAGACGTACTTCGAAAAGCATCATGTTGATCGGTCGGAGGCATGCAGTACGCAGCTCCCGTAACAGGAGACGGGTATCGCCTGTCTTATGAGGAATCTTTTCCCCACGAGCTTTGTTGCGGAGATATAGAATGCGCGGTTTGTAGGTTTCTTGCATGAAGAGGGACGCAACCAGGATCGGGGCTGCGATGAACATTATAACCCACAAAGAGAACCTCCAGTTTTTGTTATACTCGGCGATGATGTAGGCCCCGATCAGAGGCCCTAAAGATGGGCCTAGAAACGGCGAGAGGATAAAGAATAAAGCAGCTCTGCCTCTTTGATGATTATCCCACATGTCTGCGATGGTCCCTGGAAATGTGTTAGAAGGGCAGTCTATATGTTTAGGGTTCGCATAGAATTTACCTGCTCCTATTGCCAGCGCCCCCGACCCTCCAATACCTGCGAGCAGACGGAAAAGTATCAATTGTGTAATGTTATTGGCAGAAGCTGCAATAGCGGTGAATATCAAAAGTAATGGCATGGTGATCCAGTAAATAATCCTTCGCCCATATATCTCTGAGAGGGGTGCTGCGAACGTGGGACCGAGGCAGAAGCCCAGAGTGTATAATGATAGGGGAAGAAGGGCCACTTCTCTAGAGATATCGAACTTCTTCATCACCAACGCGAGAGCTGGTACATATGATGATGTTCCCACGGTTCTATTGTTGATAAGTACAGTTGTAGATGGGGTCGTATAGTGGACTTACAAAACAAAGCCAATCAAGGCCGGTATTGCTGTATGGAAGACCTTTTTCCAATTTGACCATAGCTGCGGGTTCCCTGGATCTTCTGGCGAGTCCCAGTCCAATTGATCTATTGGTGTCCCAGAGCTTCCACTCTCCACAGTTGGAGTGGCTGATTCTGTTTCTTCATCCTTTAACTTAAAATCGTCAACTGATTGCGAGCTTCTTTGGGCTTCCTCGTCAAAAATTCCTCCGCGTTGGATTCGGTTTGGTAACTTCTCAGGGGTAGTATCGAGAGCCATGGGGGCGGCAACTTTCCTCACGATAGTTATACCCTGTAGTAAGGGGTATGGACCCGAGGCAGTATAAAGTGATAGAGGTGGGAAAACTCCAGACGGAGATCTAGATACATAAGTAGTTCCACAGACCTTTACTAACATGTAAGCAGGAGGCGTTTGTGCCAATCACGTCGGCCTGGGTCTAATAACTTGTCTCCGCGTGTCCGTTCGAGGAGACATGATCAGTAAATAACGTTGCTGAAGCCGCATAAAGCGGCCTTATACCTTAAGCTATGGCCTATAGGAACAATACGAGCCATATTAGGGTCATTATAAGCGGGCGATAAAGCCAGTGTCGATATAATGTATTGAGAAGCGCATAAGCCAAGAGTACTTACTCCCTTTGCCGTGAAGATATCATCATGTGAACGTCCAATTGAGTTGGACGACTCGGACGAGAGACTGCGCCGACAGTCCGATGGTCATAAGCACTAGCATGTAGACTCGGTGAACTCAAAGGTAACGCCATATATATATTTTTGGTTACGGACGAAAGAGTAGGTCGAATAGCCAATTGCATAGATTTCTTGGTACGCGTGGTGATAATAGCCGGGAAAGATCTTGTCAAACCTCGGCCCCGCGATCACTAATCTTCGGTCACGTGTGGAATAAGACGACCAGTTTCTAGGACTCTGGATTAGAACAGAATCGGGTTAATACTCATACTCGTACATGCAACGTCCTGTTACTAGGAATATTAACTAGTTAATTGATAGAAGTACCTCTACATGCAAAATGTTGACTTTAAATCCGTGTCCGCTGATTGGCCAATCGGTATCTCCCGTAGAAGTGGTCTGAGAGTGAGAGCTTCACAACCTCAACCTTCAATAATGCGTCCACGGCCTCCAAATAGCAACAACAAGCAATGATTATACGGTATTCAGCAACGAGTGCTTTTCGATCCAATGGCCTCAGTACCGTATGCCTGTCATGCCTTCTGCAGACAGCAAAAACAAGAACACCCTCGAGACCGGTGAAGAGAAATTTCTCGACAGCTCCAACTCGCACAGCTGCAGTAAGCGGAACAACACCACGATTACGGGCTGAATACTTCTCTGGAAATACCTTACTCGAGAAAGCACGCGCAGCATCAAGGAGAGGAGCTTTAACATCTTCAGCTCCAAACAATGGTTCAATTGCAGGACAAAATGCAGCTGCTCCCAAAACCGAAGCTATACACACCACCTCCACCTCAACCCCTCCACCAAAAGAAGACCTCCTCCCCCCACCGCAAACGACAAGCCGCCCGCCGCGCAGCATCCCAAGCAGACCTCGTCCTGCCTGCAAATTCCTCCTCAAATCTCACCTCCAAAGCCTCAGCAGCACCGGCCAACTCTCTCCGCCGCCTAGTCCCCATCCTCCTCTCGCTCTCCAAGCCACGTCTGTCCATCCTCGTCGTGCTAACAGCAATGGCATCCTACACCCTCTACCCAGTTCCCGAACTTCTCTCACAAACTGAAACTCCCTCCCTCTCAACCCTCACCCTGCTCTTCCTCACGACAGGCACAGCGCTCTGCGCCGCAAGCGCCAATGCGCTGAACATGTTATACGAGCCGAAATGGGACGGAATGATGAGCAGGACTCGGAACCGGCCTCTCGTACGAGGTCTTATATCTACACGCGGCGCAGCACTGTATGCTGTCCTAAGTGGCGTGATAGGAACAACATTGTTATACTTCGGTGTCAATCCGACCGTTTCCTTCCTCGGTGCCCTCAATATCGCCCTCTACGCGGGTGCCTATACACCGCTAAAACGTATCTCGGTGCTCAACACATGGGTCGGAGCAATCGTCGGCGGTATCCCGCCATTAATGGGCTGGGCTGCTGCGGCGGGGCAGAGCGCGACCAAGGACGGAACGTGGAGGGAGTTGTTGCTTGGGGAGGGGAACATTGGGGGCTGGTTATTGGCTGCCCTGCTTGTTGCGTGGCAGTTTCCGCATTTTATGGCGCTGAGTTGGTCGATTAAGGATGAATATAAGAATGCGGGGTATAGAATGTTGTGCTGGGTTAATCCTGCGCGGAACGGACGCGTAGCTCTCAGATATAGTCTGGCTTTCTTTCCTATTTGTATAGGGCTGTGTTATGTTGGTGTGACGGAGTGGAGCTTTGCGATAGCAAGTACGCCGATCAATGTGTGGCTGGTGAAAGAGGCAGTCAAATTTTGGAGGTTGGAGGGTATCAAGGGGTCCGCGAAAGGCCTGTTTTGGGCTAGTGTGTGGCATTTGCCTGTGGTTATGATCTTGGCGATGGTGGAGAAGAAGGGATTGTGGCAGCGGGTGTGGAGGGCTGTTGCGGGGGACCCAGACCCGGATGATGATGGGGAGTGGATGGACGAGGATGAGGAGGAGGCTGTGTTGGAGGCCAGCAAGGTTTCGCCGGAGGCCAGAAAGGCGGCCATTGCAATGCCGAGCAGATGAGTTGAGGTGATTGCAAAGGTCTGTTTAGCTCGACTGGATAGATATGTTGGTGTAGATCTAATGTATCATACGGAGGGCGTTCAGGTATAGGAGCTTGTATTGTTGTATTGTAAAGGTATGTAACTTCTGTATCTCTGGCTGAAGAGCTAAATGCAGCCATTGCTTGCGGCTGGCTATGCTGTACTCGTACAAACTATTCTACACATCCTCATAAGCGTCATAACAGGCCAGAATCTTCTCTGGTCCCGTCATAAATGAATGTCGTGGTATCTAAATATCCTCAAATTAAACCGCCCAAAACTTATGGGAGTCTCAAATGCCAACACAACGCCTTTACCCAAAAACAAAACCATCCTCCCCCGCTACTAAAATGTATAATTATACGCTTATTTCAACCCCTCCCCCCCCCAACTCTATTCCACTTTCTAACGTGCATGTGCATGACCACCATGTCCATGACTAGGACCATTAATAATCGCATCAATGCCCATATCCATACTCGGCAGTCTCTGCCCATGCGGCATATACCTGCCGTCGCCCACACTGCCATTGCTATGACTATGATAATGGCCATTCTGCCCGCCATACACAGACGTACTACGATCGCTGCCAGCGTCGTATTCAGCTTCCAGGTCCTCGATGCCAATTCCGCTGTCGTCGGCGTGCGCGTCCCGCCCGTAGCCACTGCTCAGCATGCCAGCGTTGGTGTCGAGCATGCGTTCGCGGCGCGCGTGGGCGCGGGAGGCGGTTTGGAGATTTTTAAGTCCTTGGGACATGCACTGTTTGGGATGGTGTTAGGATATGTAGGGAAATTGAGTGGAAGGGGTAGTGGGGAATAGGAGAACTAACCTTTTGCTCAACAACGTTCCATTTTTCACCAGTCTGCTCAGCCAAACCCTGCCAGATCTCCTTCCGCATCCCCATATAGCACTTGGCCATATTCTCCAGCTTGATGCCGTCCCAACCGTCCGCATTGCGGCGCTCCATCAAACGCTCGTGGCGTTTGCGGCATGCGTTGGGGGTTTTGTTGGGGAAATATGCTTGTTGGATTGGCGCCCAGTTCATTCCTTGTGAGCGTGCTTGCATGAGCGTGTGGTCGTCTGTGGAGTTCCAGGCGCCGCTTGAGGGCCGGATGGATGGTGGTGGTGCTACGGGCAGTTGCACATATTGGGAGGAGGCCATTGGGTGTTGTACTGGCCCGCCTTGGACGTAGCTTGATGTTGACTGTGGCTGGTATTGTTGCTGGGTTATGCTATTGCTGCTCAGGGGCCCTGAGGAGTAGTATGTATCTTGAACTGGCATGCGGGACGAGCTGATCGGCATTGGTGCGGCGTATTGGTTTGTTGGTGTAGAAACGGGGGAGAGATTGTAGTAACCGGAGGAGGTTCTAGCTGAACGATGACGATCCCCTTTAGGCATTGTAGGAAATAGAAAAGAAGAGTATAGAGAGAGAGGATTAGGATTAGATGCCTCGCCGGGAGGACTCCGTATCAAACGAATGAGGTGATGACGGGATAGGAGAGTTTGGAAGAGAAATAGGTGAAGAAAACCGACAATCGATAAGGAAATCGCAATGAGGGGTATCGTAAAACAATTGGAACTGATCTGAGAAACAACAGGCCGTGTTAAGGGGCTGGCGGGCCCAATCTTATATGATTCCGCAGCTATGCAGAACGAAGCGGGTTGGCAGATAGATGGGGGCCAAAAGAAATATGTTTATAGCCTCATGGACGCCGGGTGTCCTAAATCGAGACCAGCCTGGAGGTTGAAACAAGCAGGGGGGGCTTCTTTGACTGCTTCTGTGCTGTGTAACTGAGCATGCCCACCCAGCATGTTGGTTCAAGACAACAGAAGGGGCCATGAAACCCCCAAACAGTCTCCAACTCTGAAGATACGGAGCGGTAGAAGCACGCATATTGGTTGCAGAGACCCAGCCGGCGGTTGTCTCATTTGCGACCGCGAGACTGAAGGTCGGCGGTTAGGATGGGTCGTGAAAGGGGTTGTTGGGCGGTTATCACAGCAGCCGAAGAAACAGAGAAGGGATGAAAGAGACGCCAACGCCTATATAAAAATAGCGAGAACTATCTTGGGCTAAACAAGACACAACAATATACCTAGATAGGTATAGTCACTTACTAGACTCAGCCTTACCAAAAATTACCGTGTTTCAGAAGACGCTCCCCTGGCCCTGTCATGGCTGTGACTGGCCAAACAAAAGACAAGAGCGCGCGTCTAGACGAACATGGCATCATGGTACTACTGTATGGCTATATTTGGGGCCATTTGACCACCATCTTGGTGCAGGATGGATGCACTGCACGGCACTTTCAGATGAAGCTTGGACCCCACCGATAAGCGCCACTAGCGATGAACGTCACGTGTTTACTCAAAGGGGGTTGATTTGAAACTCTGGTTGACACGTAACGACTGCCAGGAAGACTCTTCGGGAAAAGAACTGGCGCTTAACTGTGCAGCTACTGCATTCAACTGATCGTGGAGTGAGTTTGTTCTTCAGCGACCAAGATTCACTCGCTATTGCGGTCCTATTGCGGTTAGTCCGTTTCATGAGGATGCTAGGCTAGCCTCAGTTCACAAATCACCGCAAATCTATACTTACATCCGCACCACTATAAGCGTATCTTGCAGCATCAGCACGCAACGGCATTCATAGTCAAACCACAACGGATCCAGGGGTTTGAATAAGAATATACGACGTACACAAGGTTTAGGCTGAGTGCTTGATGAATGTTCCACAACCGCTGGAACCATCACAAAGTTTTCACTATCAAGGTCAAACACCAACAAATGCGGAGGAATCCCACGACTGCAGACTGGGGGTCGTTTATCGTAGATCCCCAGATGCTGGCGCTATCTATGCAGTTCGGCTGGTTAATTGATGCGAAGCTCTCCTATTTATCCATTCTTACACTCATTGGTGCGGGGTTTTGACTACCGATATCACGGGCTCTGCGGAAATCGCGAGATAGTATGATATCCACTGACCAAGTATCGTGAGGTCTCTCTTTGGATGTTCAATGGGTGGACTGATGCGTGACTTATGCCAGACTTCTGTGTCTGCACACTAGGTTTCTTACCTGTGTACCTGGGTATACATCATACATTCGTCCACCACTTTAGCCGGAGCTGTATAGCTCCAAGCGAGGTTGGGATGCTTTTCTGGCTCTCTATCTACCAGCACTCTAAAACAACGTCAGTCTCCTCCGCACAATGAAGCTTTCTCCCTAGTCCCTTTGTAGCTACTGCACTCAAGTTTTTTCCGTAGTATTTGATTGCTGAATTATGAAATTTGTCTTTTCTCTCTCATATTCGATTTTGAATATAGTTGGGGGTCCTTGCGCGTGGATGATCTTGTCATTGCGGAGTTTGGCCATTGAGTAATTGACCGTATGGTATTGCGCTGGACGTGTCGAGTAAGTGGATGAATAGTTGTATCGTTGGTCGGGTTTTCAATCTCCCCACTTTCCCTTGTTTTCAATTTGCTAGGTGTGCAGCACTTTCTGATGTAAGAAAAGTATATGCAAAGCCAGACACGGTCTTCGGCATCTGCTACAACACCGGCACTTACCTCATTTTTGCATTCCAAAGTCTATCTCCGCAGGTTTCATCTACTTCATAGTTCCTGAAACCAAACGTTTAATGCTGGAAGAAATAGATGAATGCCATGTGAAGGTACGGCGCAAGCTAACTTTGAAAGGATGGGTGAGATGAACAAGGATATTGGAACATTTTATGAAGAGTGCGGCACATCAGGGCAGTTAACATATGCATGAGAAGAATGAAAAGGAAATGTTGCGGAGGAGTAGTAAATAAAATTGTGAAAAAAGGAGATCCGATCACGTGAGGAAGGGTCATGGAGGGAGTTTTGCTTGGATCAAGAGCGCAACGTCTGAACTGAGCAAAGAGATTATGTTGAGTGATGCAAAACCCCTCTTTCATCATTGCGTCTTTTCCCCTCCTCTTCTCTCCCTACAATAAATGAGTATACTAGTTCCAATCATCAGATCCCCAAATTCACCCACGCGGATTATCACCTATATAAGCATACAAATCTCACCTAATAAACAGTAAACAAGTATCCGACTCCCCTTAAATTCCCCCTTACTATACTAACGTCAAAAATCCTTCACTGGAAACAAATGTACGAAACATCTTCTTCCAATGCTGACACGCATGTCAGCACTGTATTATGATCCTCGATTAGGCTTGTTCATCCATGTCTATAATTCGAAAATAACGGGGTTATCATTCTTGGTAGAAGTAGAAATACAAGTAAACGATTATATTATTAGACCTCATCTAATAATGAATTGAAACCGATTTAATATTCCGAAGGTCATCTAGTACATTTGTCCACTGTACTATATGCTTCTGATCCTGGCTATTGCAGCCAATAGATGATAAAAAAGCTCTAGAAATGCCATATCTAACAGACATATGATATACTCTAAGACTGCCGATGTACTATGCTTCCACCGTTTTCCGGAATATGGAATCCTTCTGCATCAGCTCTCCAGGACCGCCAAGTTCAACCAGGTTACCACCTTCAAAGACAGCGACTTGATCGTAGTCGAGAAGGGTTACCACTTAGTGTTCTACGCAAATTGACAACGCAAGCTATAGGCTAGTTACATAGTACAATGCAAACTTTTGTAGCAAAAATGAATAAAAGAGTCGTTTTAATCCGTACATCGTACTAAGAGACATAGCCTGTAAAGAAGGCGGTAGATTTGGGTGGAAAAGAGGATACAGTGTCTAGGTTGGAGAATCCAGAATGGAGACTTGATACCCAGATAACTGGAAAGGCCCGAACGCCCGAATAGAACTGCGCTAGGGTGGCGCTAAGGCCCCCTCAGCTCAGTACGTATAAGCTGGGACTAAAATAGTTTAGGAAGGGGAATGGTCTGTAGTTAGTCTAGAGGCGGAGTGGGCTTGCAAAATTCTTTGCCCCTATTCTAGTCAAAGATCTAAGAAACCTCAAAGCTGATTTCTCGAAAAGATATGAAATTCTAGAAATGATATCGTAAAATCATCGATTGAAAATCTATGTTGAGGCTCTTCAACATCAAAAGCAACGGCTTCTAAGTGAAGTCAAGATCAACGCTTTATAAGTTTTCCCAATACCAGCGCGAGCAAGCCGTCTAATTTAGATGAACACATCCAAAAGCTAAAGCAATTGTTCCTCTCCCATATCGCCATACCAAAATCACGCCTCAAGCATTCCCGTTAGCTGTCCTAGCAACCATCGCGCCCCACTTCCCCTTCCCATCCTTCCTACCCGCCACACTCTCACTATGCACAACCCTCCCCCCCATCGCCCTCGTCTGCACCGGATTGTCACCAAAGTCACTCCCTGGTCCAAAGTCCGGTGTTCCACCCAGAGTACCAAATATATCCCCGATATAATTCTCTGCCTTTACGCCATTCTCAAACGTGCAACCCCATCCCTTCATAATCCCATCAACAACCTGCGAGCCAGCGAGAAACAAGTTGTATAGCGAAGACTGGAACGCGCCTTGCGAGGTGGAGAATAGGTTATCGAGACAGTCAATTCCAGGCGGCGGACGATCGAAGTTCGTGCCTGCGCGCATGACGATCACGCGTGCGAAGTCCATGACCTTGGCTTTCGCGCCACGGACCATGGCGCCGAGGATCGCATTGTCTTCTTGGGCCGTCATGCAATATGTGGCTGAGCCATTCGTGAATAGCCTTGTTGTGTTCTCGAAACCCTCCGCGAGCAGCTGGCCGGAGAAATAGACATCTGACGTAACGACATCACATTTGATGACTGACGGGGACCGGAGGCCTTTGGCGTAAGGACTCGCGGCTGTCTGGTTACCAGCGTACTGCTTGCGGTATGCTGCTGTGACGTTCGTGTCGATCATTTTGGCACGGCTGGCGAGCTTCACAGCCATGTCGCGGAGGGCCTCGTTGAGTTCGAAGACCTCGGTGCCGTAGATGCTGCTAGGATAATCGTCGGGGAAATGCGAACCTTGGGGTATATAGCCAAATCCGTAGCCACTAGGCAGTTCCCGGGCGTCGATTTCGTATTGCAGGGCTACTTGCACGGCGTATTTGGAGAAGGCGACGTCATTGAGGGTGGCCTGCTTGGGGTTCACGCCTGCGATGCCTGAGATTAGGAAGTAGGTTTTGCGGAGGTCGAAAAGCGGGGAGAGCATGAGAGCTGAGATGGTTGCTGCGGCGTTGATTTCGGATTCACCAGTTGTGAGGAGGCAGACTGAGCCATCGTGTTTGCAATGTGCATCGGGGTAAAGTGGTGAGAAACCTGGGACGGTGATGTTTTTCTCCAGGAGGTGACTTCCAAAGCCGCTAGCTGTATTGGAGCTGTTGAGCCAGGTATCACGCTCGGGAGGGAACTGAGCAGTTTAGCGGGACTATAATACAGAAGGGTGGAGGGAGGGAGAATATACCAGAGCGATGATGAAAATTTGGGGTTTTGTGGTGTCTCTGTCGTGGAGTACGCGATTGTCTTCCCTCGTCGAGATCAGTGGCGATGCCATGCAGACGCCAGCTGCCCAAAAGACAGCCATGAAGCCGGTGAACTTCATTGTCAAAAACGGATGAACGAAATAAAGCAAAGAAGTAAGACAATGCAACGATTAATGATGGCTATTCGAAGATATGAAGGGGTAGGAAAAAAGAGAGAGGGAAAAAAGCTGGCGGTGAACAAGTTGTGGAATGGAGTGACAAAGTCGCAGAGCGAGAAGGACAGAGCCTTTTGTAGGTGTTAATATTCACTCCTCTGTGACTCACATGGTCGTTGGTTCATTCGTTTTTCTTTCCACAGAGTGACTGAACGTATTCACTAAGACTTCCTTACTTGAAGAAGCCCCAAATCGAATATGCTTCCGCTCTATCCTTCCGCTCTGCGCCATGCATGTTCTCAACTTACAGACACAGACGGTAAAAGTTCTTCAAAAGCTCCAAAGAGAGTATCATTCACCACGTATGATAAAATGATGTTGACCGTATGTTTTTGCTTGAGTTGTTGAACGGCCGGTTGCATTTACCGGTGACTTGGGTGTTATGCTTGTTGCGCAAGAATGTGGACGGCGAAAATTCTCATCCCTGTAAACAAGGAGTTGATATTTTCTGTTGCTCGTTCTACGTTACCATGTAACATATCACACTTTTGTCTTTTTCTACTTTATGGAAAAGACGGGTCAGCTACCCCTGAAAGAAGCTGCAGCGCGGGTCTCTTCCCCGGACGCCACATAACGCCAACATCTTGCCGGGTCCAATACTCTTGGCCGCGGACAGCGTTGTAGTTTAAGGGTTGAGCGCCCCCAAGAGCCCCGAGAGCTTACAAATTGCAATGAGGTGAATGATTATTATCCGCATTGGCCATGGGTGATGAAAGAACCAGAGAAACAAATTGCTTATTCCAGTTTGCAGAAGCATGGCTGAATAACCCTAAATGTGACATATCATGAGGGCGGGCAGCGGCCCGGCAGCCTTTGCAGACGCAAGGAAAATCAACGATAGGCTGGTCTGACTGAAGAAGATTAAAGCTTTGTGACATGGTCTTGATCTGCGAGATCATGCACCCACCCACGTACGCCACGAAGAGAGTCCGTACCGTAGAGACACTTTTCACCAGCTCTGAAGAATCCCAACTCCGTGTTCCCGGAACTATTATAACGGTAACGTGCAGCGTCTAGCATCGTTACCCCAAACAATAGTCTCGGTAGCACAAAATTCCAGTGCATTCGATTCAAATTTAGGACCCGGGCTATGTTTAATCAGTTTTCATGGGTCTCGTAGAGGTGCGCGGTTTTCGTAACACATTCCTCATGACTTGCTTTTCCCCGCCTACCTCCCACACATAATGCGCCTCCAGCCCATAAATGCACGAAAATCTCTCCGCCCAACCTATGCAGTGCTAATGCAAATGCAAACTCCAAAGCAAATCTGTGGCTCCACAAAGCAAAGAAATTCAGTTGTCACCAAGCTCCCATCTCTCGAATCCCATCTCCGAGCACAAACCTCTTCCAAACCTCACGACGATAAACAGAGTGATAACATGAACCATGGCCAGTAAACCCATCACTCTCCAGCGGATTTTGTTTCCCAATGCTAGATCTAATGCCGCTATGCCAAGCAGTGGCCACCAAATCGTTTCCCTCGGCATCACAGGTAGACAGGGTTTGGTGAGCGAGAACACCTTGGTTCCGAAAATGCTGATTCTGAGCAGCATATATAAAGTTTGCTGGTTTAGAGATGCCCATGAGACAACATAATGCTGATAGAGGGAAAGTTGGTGATTTAACGTCGACATGCGTGAGTAATGTGGGGGCATTAGAAGTGGAGTTGCTATCTTTGGCTCGAGTGAGGACCCATTGGTTTGAATTTCTAAAGAAGCTTGCGCGTGATCAGATTCAGTTGCCAGTTGAGTGCCCAGTGATGACTCTGGAGAGGCCTCCTCTGATGATGGTGCATCTTCTAAGTATGCACCTGAATGATCACGTTTACTGGGTTCTGCTGAGGGTTAGCATAAGGTAAATATTGGCTGGGGGTTTCTCACCATGAACAGGTGTACTTGGCGGCATTGGAGAATCAATATTTCGGATCCGACCGCCAAGACCCGAAGCACTACTAGGTCTCTTACGTGGATTTTCGAGTCCCTTTTCCGTTCGAATAGCATGTAAAATGTCGCTAGCACTCGGTCTTTCCGCAGGGTTGATAGCCAGTAACCGTTTCAAAAAGTTGTAAAGTTGGTTTGGCAACTCTGGTCTCTCGCGTCGCTCGTCTTGAAATCCTTTCCATGAACTAATCTCGGCCCTTAGAGTATCGATATCTTCGAATTCTTCCAGGATGCTGTCTGCACTTTTATACGGAAGCCTTCCAAAGCACATGAAGTACAAAATCATCCCAAGGCTGAAAATATCAGATTTGGTTGTAAAGTTTCCATAACGATTAAGATGATCCCTTTTCAAGACTTCCGGGGCACAATACGAGATTGTTCCAGTGGACCCAGTAGACTTGCGAACGACATTCTCTGGTTGTACTTCTCCAAAATCACTAATCAAACAACGTATCTCGTTTCCATCTTGGTGCAATAGACAATTGCTTGGTTTGAGGTCACGATGGATGTAATTCGAAGAATGGAGATGTGCAAGGCCAGATGTGATATCTTTGAAAAAAGAATATATCTCCTCAAATGAGAGCTTTCGCTGTTGAGGTCTCGCATCTCCCATAGTTTCTCCTTGCCCACGTGATACTCTCCGCTGCGCCTTGAATCGCTCCTTTGTACTTACCACAGACGGTGCAGATCCGGCAATGTAGTGCAAGAGATCTCCCGAATTGCAGTACTGTTGTAGAATGAAAGCGCACGGAACCGAAGGTCCAAATCGATTGAGCTTGACATCTTCCAGCCAGACATGTCGATATGAGACCAAATTTGGATGGGACAATCCTTGGAGAAGCTGTACTTCAATAAGGACTTTCTCCAACCACGCATGATCGTCCCCAACGGGTACCCTTTTGCAAGCAAATTGTCCCAATGACACTCCATCCAACTCATGTTTCACTAACAGCACCACACCTTTTCCACCCCTACCTAGCTCCTTCTCCTCCGTGAAGAACGTCTTGAAATAGTTCGGACTGAAAGCTTCCTTTTTTATACTATGCCCAGTATTCGGATCAGGAGTACTGGTGACAAATTCGGCATTCGAGACCGACGCTCCTACATTACTGGATGGCGAAGCAGCCCCCGGTTCTACGAGTCTTCGGATTGGACTTGAAGGAGGATTGTACTCGTCGGTTCTGCCATTCGCAGCCTGGAGCATACGAAAGTATTCAGGGCTAATGAATGGCTCTGGAGTGCGATGGGGGGAGGATTGGCGCTCTGGAGAGGAGCTTCGAAAGGGTCGGTGGCATGTTGGACAGTCGGAGAAGGAAGGGGATGGGGTGGCGCCCCGAAGAATCAGCTGTTGCGTCTGGGGATCACGAATGACGATGGCATCATTATGGCGGCTTGTAGAAAAAGAGTCAGTATTCATGCCGCATGAAAATATTACTGGGACTGGATTACAGCAGGACTGCGACCCTAAACAGAGTATGGGAATAGCTCTTGAAGGGATACTCACAGCACGACTTCGCGGCTGTCCCGCGATGAATATGGAACGAGGGACATCAAGAAGATGGGTGTTTAGACAACTGGAAGTAGCATGTTGATAGGAATCTTCCTCTTATCCTCTTATCCTCGAGCCTGGAGCGTAGAGCAAGAAGATACCGCAAGTTGTCTGTCTGTCTGTTTGTTTGTTTGTTTCCGACGTCAAGCTTGCATCAGCTCGGAACACCTTCCTTGTTGCACCCCGCCTTGCTCGTGACACACCTGGTGACCTCCACTTTACATGACCATTTGGATATAAAAATGGTGAAATGATTATCTCCTTCAATGCCTCAAAGTATCAGCATTGCAAAGTCAGTCCAGTGCCTCTCTGAAATTTCTTGGGTTAAGTACCATATATAAGGTAGTCACATCTTAGTGGAGGGGCAAAGCTGTTCAAATGAGGGTTAGCGAGAGTGAGTACTGTGTGGGGAATGTTCAAATCTCCATGTTTGAGATCGCTATTTCACAGATAGACATGTATACTTCACAAGAGAATATCCAAATAATGCTAATCATATTCGCACCTAGAAAATCTTTCAAACCCCAACTTCGCAGACAACTCAATTATTAATTCACTCCAAGCCCCTCGAATTCAAGCTAATTCCGAAGAATCAAAGGAAATAAAACAGTGTTGCTAAGACATATTCTCAAGAAAGAACCCCCAGATATCTCATTTCTCTCCCTCATCACCCCTTCTTACCCGGGCTCCGTCGTGTCTCCCTCTTGCTAGGACTCGCAAGATGCACCTCACTCTCCTCCTCCTGCTGCTCAGTATCCAAGTCATCCTCAGCTTCCTTGATAGCAGCATTGCGGCGCGGTCTGCCAGGGGCTCTCTTGATCGTCTTGGCCGCTGGTCCATCTTCAGCTCCCGGCGTAACAGACGTAACACGCATCCTCTTGATGGCTGTGGCAGGTGGAGCTGGCGTCGCGCTAGCACTGCGTGTGTTCCTGACTTTGGGCGGCTGCTTCATGGGGGATTCACTCTTTACAGCTGTGTTATCGGAATCCTCTTCATCTTCTTTACCTGCCGTTTCATGCTCTGTGTCCTTCTGAAGGCTATCAACAGTATCCTTTATCGATTTCCGGATAGTTTCAGTCCGCTTGTTTGGAGGAACGTTCTTGAGAATGGCGTTCGTTCCTTTGATAACCCGCTCTAGGGCCTGATCGTATGAATCCCTGCTACTAATGCTACTACTGTCCCGAGGTAGATTCGTACGCCCGTCAAGCTCTTTTTGCAGGGCTCTTTTGATCTCCGTTGGGGTTTTCGCATCATCTAGCGGATCGTGATCGTTCGAGGGATCGCCAGCACCACTTATCTGTTGCTTCACATGGGTGTTAAAGTGACGCCACAATCCTGCCTTGGTCTTGTCGTGTAGAACCTCCTCGCATCCCTGGAAGGGGCAGGCCATGGAAGTTGCAAGCGGTGGGTCAAGTCTGACTCGGACATTCAGCTCGTTCTGCAGTTGTTCATGATCTTGTCGAAGACTTGCAATTTCTTTTTCTTTGCTATCAAGTTGCCGTTTGAGGTGATGTTGTGCATGATTATTGGTATTGCCGCTCCCTGATTGCCTTTCTCTCATTTTCAAGGCTGTTTCTCTTACATCATAGTCTTTTTCCTTTCTTGCCAACTCTCTCTGTCTCTTGTCTAAAGAATCCTTATTGGCATAGTTTCTTGCCTTTGCTTCGGCCAATTCTACAGTCATTCTTTGGAAAGCCAGTTCTACCGCAAATCATCAGTCAGTCATTTGTCAATGTGGGTGGATACAAGAAGTAACTTCTCAGAGCTATCTAGACTATACTCTAGAACTCTCGAGATGGCATGGAAAATATAATGGCATACCTATTTTGATTTGCTGATTGGTATTGGGTCCTGCATCACGGTTGAAACATGTTTGCTTATGATATGCGATGCTGAAGTCGTCCATAACCCCAAGATTAACTCCACATCTGGCGCAAAACTTCCTGTCGAATCCACCAGGTGTCGTACAATGGGACCTGTGCTTAGCCACACCATTTTCGCTCAATTCGGTGATTTCCAGCCCGCAAACATCGCACCAGAGCCCTCGACCAAGACGACAGTATCTCCGGTGAGCTATTTCCTCTTCATGAGAGCGCACTGATCTATTTTTGCCACACGTATCGCAGAATATTGGGGTTCTAGCGGTGAGGTCCCTGTCTGGTTTCAGGATGCACTCTTGGTGATGGTAATCGATCTCGACTTGGTCGCAGCTCTTGAGATGAAGACCACATCGGTCGCAAAATTCTAGAACTCCTGGCGTGTGCTCAGCCATGTGATACAATATAGCTTTGGTGTTTCCCAGGTCGTCCAACTGTATATCACAGACTGGGCAGAGAAGACTGTCCCAAAATGTCCTCGCTACCTCGCTATCTGCAACGCCAGCGTGAGTGCTCAAGTGCAGCTTTCTTTCATCAGGAATCCACAGTGACCATTGTTCTGTCTCGCATATGGGACAACTGCCAGCGGATTGTATTTGCTGGATGTGTTTGTTGAAATGATCACGAGTTTCGTCCGTTCTGTATTTTGCGATGTTCGTATCGCAGATGGGGCAGGCCGTCTCTCGTTCGAGTACTTGATTTTGCAGGTGTTTTTTCTCATCGAGGACCCGGGAGATATCTGTTGGCGTAATTCGTTCAAAAAATATTGACGGCAAAGCATCACTGGTTCGATGGTCGATCTCTCTACTCTGGCCATAGATGGGTGCTTGGGGTTGATGGCCAGGCTCGACGACGGGCCGATCAACAAGGAAAGAGCGTATTTGGCGACCATTCTCAAAATTCTGTTTCTCTGACCAATCCTTGTATTTTTCTGTCTTGATTGGAGCCGCTCTCGGAACAATTATTCTCGGTTTGTTGAATTTGGGGCCTCGTGAAGCAGGAGGCCTAGTGGTCTGGGCAGGTTTATAAACAGGAGGTTTAGGAGCCTTTGCTGTTACACCCCACGCTGTATCACCAAGGTCTGATTGTATGGATTAGAAAAATAATATAAAATGGGAGGATAGAAACTTACTATAGGCGATCGGGTCTACTTGATCGAGAAGCTTTACTTCAAGCTTAGAACCATGAAACCAGTCATAAACATGCATTCGCCATTCAGTATCCAAATTGGTCACTTCATCACCGTCCCAAATATCTCCGTCAGCCACATGAATATGAAACTTCAGCTTATCGTGCGTGTCCACGATAGCAAATGAATTTTCGCCGTCGTAGCCAAGTTGACCCAATACATCTTCTTGGAAATCGGACAGCTTACTACCGTGAGCGGGGTGCCAAGCAGCATTGGCTTTGCCATCTTCGGCTTCGAAGACCTCGAATGTCTCCCATTCGGGACGAAACCATACACAAGTCGTGCCCTGCGGGTTCTTGGTGAATAAACCCTTGAGAGCATTTATTGCCTTAGCCTTAGGTTGGAGAGCAATGACCACGGGCTTTTCATTCTCGATCGCCAGTTCTTCCTCGACTTCACGTGAACGAGCTTGCTTCCATACTCGAACATTAGTAGGCATCGAGGCAAGCTGGGTACCTGCCAGACCCGCGATCTCATTGTAAATTCGGGTAAAATCGCCCTCGTCCGCCTTTCCTGAGCGCTCACTCCCAACGAGCCGTATGCCTGTGCGGATGGTCGCTCCATCATCATCATCGCCATCAGCTGGTTCGAGTTTGACATCATAGAACGTCTTCCCGGAAGCTTGTACGTCAGCCCATAGCTCTTTAGTCGCTTCCATTCCGCCCCAGCCAATGGAGAAATCTCCAACACGAATGTTCTGTGCTGGAGGATCGAACTTGTGGCCTTTTGCTGCTTTGGCTTTGCTAGTGGGGAACAGCAGTTGCATGGCATCTGTAAAACCTTTTTGACATTGATTTATTCCGTACGCTGGAGATGCGTATGCTGGAATCTTCCAATAAGCTGTGCTTAGTGACTCTCTCTCAAGTTTGATGACATTCTTCCATGCCTCTTCAGGTTCTAGACTTGAAGGCACCGGCTGGTCATTGAATCGAAGGAAGAGTGCGCCCTCCGTTGTTAATGACGGCTTAAGTAATTTCGATATGTTCTGGTCGAAAAATTGTTTATTATATATTGATGCGTCAACCCTTATCGATCCTGAGTGGCCAAGGGCAACATCAACAGTGAAAGCCCAGTCCGGACCCTGTTTCAGGCCAAGCAGCTGACGCGCCGTCTGAAGGAAAGATGTTGTGTTGATGCTGGTCGAGACTTTGCCCCTATATCCGCACACAACCACTCTTTCGTCTAGCAGTGTTGCTTGCTCTACTCTCGTACGCGCTTTGCGGACGGCGACTTTCCATTTCTCGGCGCCATCACAGAGATAGGGTCGTATGTTGTCAAAGATTTTGGTAAGCGTTGCCCTCGTAATAATATGAGTGTCATAGGCTTTGCTTGGGTCGGTCTTCTCATTTGAGTGATAGAGGTCAACATGGAAAGTCCAATGGGCTTCATCCTCATCCAAGTCCAGTAGCTGCAGAGCTCCACGCAGAAAAGCCTCAACATGATTCTCCACAAAAGTCACATCCCACGTGCCATCTGGGTACTGTGCGAACAATGTCCAATTGTAGTACTCCCCTGGAACTGGTGGATCTGGCTCTTTCTCTGGTACTGGTGTTTTCTTGAGTGGCGGCGGTGCAGCAGCAGTCGTTTTCACTGGAGATGTAATTTTCGCTAGTTTGCCTTTCTTTGGTGACACCTTCTTCGGCGACGAAGCTCTCGTGGTAGTGGTGTTAGGATCTTGAAAGGGGTGCGTGGGTATTGGTAGTGAGATCTTGAGGGCCTCTGAAGTGGGATTCCCTGTCGCTGACTTCGTTGGTTGCGTGACTTTGACGCTATCAACCGTTGGTAATCTGAATGTCGCAGGTGCCAATACGCCTGGTGGTCGTACATGGTTGACCACTAGGGGCCAATCCGAATAAACATCGCAAAGTCTGGACTTGATCCAGGTGTCCCACACATGTTGACCGTTGCCTTTGGTCACGGTGAAGGTCCTCGTAAATTTTTTCGATTCATTGCCTTTGTTCAATTCCTGGTTGTTGTATTGATCAACCACGAACTCCCAATCCTTATTTTCATCTAAGCCTAACAGCTTCAGTGCCTGCTTTTGAAATATGGAATACTGATCTTTGATCTTGCTTGGACATGTTAATCTCGACCCATTAGGCCCATATAAGTAGATCTTAGGTCTGCCAGGCCCTGCACCACCGCGCATATGGACACCACCACCGTGTTGGTTATTTACGGGCCTACGCAGCATAGGAAATCCATGGCCCCTCTCGCTATATAGATCCAAAAACTCCAATGGTTTTTCTGAAAACATGATTCTCTGAACGCTGGGAATATCCTCTGGTGAATCTTCTTCATCATCTTCATCCTTAATGCCTGCGTTGAAAACGTTGTTGAGCGTCATGCCCTCAATCGGAAGGCCAAAAGACAGCATTGCCAACTTTGTCGTTAAATTGTTTTTCTCTCCATGAAAAACACCGCCAGGTGCCAAAGCCTCAGTGTACCTCCTCCCATTCTCCTTCTGAATTTTGAGGGCTATGCTGTCTCGATGGGGAGGCTTGAGTAACAACTGCTGCGGTTCTTCAAAGTATTCGGTTACAACAGCCAGCACCGAGCTATCCTCAAGCTTTTTGTGGATTTCAGCCCGGATCAATCTATACTCGTCATCCGTGGGTTTGATATTGATGTTCCACTTGAGTTTTCGATTGGGGTCTTTCAGGGCCGCTTCTGCCTCTTTCTCGTGTTTATTGTCGAAATATTCGTCCACGAGCTTGGCTGTCCTCTGTTGAATCTCAATTGCGCTGGGTCGCGGCGGGGAAGCAAAAATAAGGTTTTGATCTGGACTTGGAGTTGGACTTGAACTTTGATCTGGGGGCGATTTGTCCCTGTGAAGATCTTTACTGGGTGGAGATAAGAAGTTGCGAAACATGCCAACAAGACTAGAGGATTGCTTCTTGGGCTCTGGCGTAGAGAGGTCATCCTCAGCAGGCCGTTTAAAGCCGGCTGCACCAGTTTCTTTCGCCATGATTGCTGGAGAGAATAGGTGGGGAGACGGGAGAAAACTTTATTTGGGTGGAGATATGAAAAGGCCAGAAAGAGAAGAGTGAAAGTCTGGCGCACTGCATTCTTAAAAAGTCAAGGGTTGACATGGAAATTGGAATACATTCCTGAAAACCACCCGAAGCCTTTGGCAGGACAAGTCTCCAACCTTAGAAACATCGCCTTTTTTTGATAATTGAAGTACTTGTGACCTTGTAAATGAGATATATACACATCATGGAATCTTGAGATTGTAGAGCAACTTTCGGAAAACCTTTCGAGCTCGTGAAGCTTTTTAAGGCACCCAAAAGTTGGTTGGCTTCATTCCAATGCTGGCGGCTTTCGGGATTCTGAGACACATCCAATGTGTGACTGCCTCGCAACAAACACTAATATTTGTCACGGTTCTGATAAGCTAACAGAGATACAGGAGGGGGCGCTGCGCTGACAGGCTGATTGTTGCAAGAAACATCGGAAAGATTTCTCTCACTTGGCCGGCTTCTTGAGGACCACTCCTCTCAAGGATCTTGTGCAGTTGTTGAGCCTGGTTCTAAGATTTGCCTTAGTTATTCACACCAAGTCGATGTTTTTGGAAGGATTCAAGCAGCTGAGAATAAGCTGCAGCAGTTGTATATTCCGCGGAAAGCTTGGGCCGTACTCGATTATAGGATTATTAACCTTAAATAAACATTTCCCCTAGTTCAGCCAGGGCTACTCATTGGTGCCCTTATTTCCAGTGGGACCTTGGAACGTAAGATAGAGATTCAGGTCGTGAACTAGGCCTGAAGCTCTTGGTGCGGCTCAGCCTGAAATTTAACCCTTCGCTTAATACTCGTAGCACGCCACGCTTACACCTAACGCCCCCAGAATACTCACTGGACTGGCTCACTACCTATACATAGATCCCAAAATGAACTGTGACACTTTTGGTCACCGCACCGTAGAAGCGGGGTATTGCGTGGAAGGATTTCCTGAGAATGTATGTAGCGACTTGAACTTTGGAAGCTTTGCCTTTCCTATTCGATGTGAAATTCTTCTTTCTCCACTTAGTCTGAATTTGGCATCTTGGTACATTTTCAGCGCAAACTTCCCGCATTGGCAACGGTTTGAAGAGATCCGGAGGATGCAAGGACGCCTTCTAGAAGAAGGTCGAAGCTTGTGAGACGTGAATAGTTGAAACAAATTGTCGACTAATGATTCATGGTTCACATTATCATACACGACTCAGTTGATCTTCCCGAGACATCGATGGTTGTGCGCTCTCTTGGGAGAGTAAGATCTTCCCTCAATACCAATTGTGACCTTTTTCTCCCAATTTCGTATTCTCTGGATTCAGAGAAAGCATCCTCTGACCTGGAATAGCAACCCCAGATTGAGCCTCAAAAATTCCTGAAATGCCTCTTCTCCCGATGGTAGCGAAGGAGTCGTAATCCGTCTCCCGATCGCAAGCAAACCATTCCCCTGATAGCGGTGTGGTCCCATCCCCCAGATCGCTCCACCTAGTGACAACAATCGATTGCTTGAACTTATTGACCGGATCGTTCTTATCCTCTTCGAACCTAATTTCGATGAGATATTCCGTCGGACAATCAGGGCATCTCCGCATGGGTCGGCATTTCCCGCACAAACTGACGATAGCATTTACATGGCGGATAGCATTGTTGATCTGCGGTCCAGTGCGCAGCTGCTGTGCTATTGTTTCTTTCGGCTTCGGTATGTGACTCAATGCACATTTGCAGTTGTTCATGAGCTCACCATCTCTCCAGTGAGCACAAGCAGAAAAGTACGGAAAGTAATCTTCTCGCGAGTACAGAAGGTGCCGCAAGCCACTTGGTGGAAGACATGGCTCAGCAAAACTCTTACTGACGACTCGAAGTAATAAATGGCCCTTATCGATATAGTATCTTGACTGATGGGACCATTCACTCTCGCGGCTTCTCCAGCGTCGACTGAGGGACTCTGGAGGAATTCCATATTCAGGTCCATAGCGATGAGCTCGCATGACGAGTTGAACGAATGTAAATGGAAGGGTATGACCTGGAGTTAGGCGCATCCGCAGTGGGATTTGGGTTGGTTCTGAAGCCCAAGGACAGATGAACAGAGGATTCGTGGTCGCGGTGGCTCTCAGTTGCTCGTGCCCCTTCTGAACTCTGCGGTGGTAAGTTATGCATCGGAAACATAACAGATGGTCCGGAAGTTGGCTGTCCAAGGAAACCAAAAATTCGGTCTTGAACTGTTCATTTTCAGGACGATTGAGGGCGATCCAGGCTTCGGGTCCAAGGCGATATCGAAGTGTTTTGCTTGCGAATGCAAGACTAGCAACACCAGAGGGTGACAAGTGCCTACAAATTCGATTCCATAGTACTTCAGATAGACTAGCTACCCTGCGATCCCCTGCTTTCGTATTGGGGTCTAGCCTCTGCGGATCTAGCCTAGAGACAGATTTGAGCGAGTCGAACGAGCCTTGGTGGCCTAAGCCATGAATCAAGGCGGTATAATCCTGGCGTTCTCCGGTTTGAATGTCAACATTTGGAGAAAACTCATTTTGAGCCTGATTATTTGTCCGAGTGGAAGAGGTGGAGAAGGAATCTTTCTTCAATGGTAAATCCTTCGAAACGGCAGCTTCTCTGAGGTTGACGGTAGACTTTTTCACCAACCGTCTCCCGGACTGCTTTGGTCTCAGCGCAGTCGCGAGACGTGACCCAAGACCTGGTTTTCTCGGAGGAGTATCGTCCATTTTTAAAATTACAAATTCTTAGGGATTTAAAAGAAAGGAGTCGTGTTTTGATGAGAGGGACTGAAGGATTGAGGGACTTGGACAGGACCCGCATGAAAAGTTTTCAACCGAGATCTTAAAGAGGTGCCTGTTACCAAAATAAATATTCAAACATATATTTTCAAGAAAACGAGATGCCTTTCAAGCTGGGGAGATTCTCGACCACTAGATTATGTTATGTTGATGAATGACGATGTTTATGGTTCAACGGCAAGTCTCGACTTCAACCGGCTGTTCCGTGGGCATCGTGCCTGCATCCCCAAAGGGGTGTCTCGATCACATCAACCTCACCTCTGGAACTTCTATAGCCTTTAAACCAACCACACCATATCACACCCACTCTGTTGCATTTACCGCATTGTTTTCGTTCTCAGAATCGACGCATGAGACACGTTCAATCGTTGGTCCAAGTTAGCAGGCCAAAGAAGTGGACAACTGGCTCACCGATAGCTCTTTACGCGTCCAACATCACTGCTAGCCAAGCCGTAAGGCACCTTGGCTCTGCGCCTCGCAAGGGCTTCGACTTCCTATCACGAACCGCCAAGCTACGAGACGAACTATCCCAACCTTGAAGGGATATGAAAGGAACGCGTGTTCGAAGTGACTGAGGGTTGTTGTGGAAGCAAGAAGCAGATAGATTCGAGTGAAATTTGGTCACTTTTCCTACTTTTTATGTACCATTCCATGCAAACCAGCCTATGCTTTCTCCTACCATATATATTACTATGACTGTCACCGTTTACTCTCTTCAGGTTCTTCCCCACACATTGCCAAGATATGTTCTGCTAACACCCACAAGGCACGATGTCCACACCAAAATCCTCGATCCTGTCTGCTACGTCGGTCTTCTCTTGCACAATGGCTTTAAATGGACATGGGCTATGAACTCTTAAGATGGCCAAGCTCCCACCCTCCGTTATTGCTCGAATACTCAACACTATGGTGCTACAACCTGCTCTACACCCAAATCTTGGACCGATGGGGAGGATATTAAGTACAGGATACAGGCTCGATGAATGAGGAAAGGAAGAAGTCTACAATGCGATGTTTCAGTTGCTAGATAAATTCAGAACACAGGACTGAGGAGACGAATCGATACCGGTCATAGTGTTGGCGGACATGGAGTTCAGGCTGGAAGAGCAAACTGCGACGCTGGATGTGGCCTTTAGAAGGTAATAATCCTAAAAAGCTAGGTTGGTCTTGCACTTTAAACATCAGGTTGATAATACATAGGTGAGAAAAGACGGGGAAAGATAGTAAGAGGGCTTCATGAGTACAGAGTACTTCTGATGATATAATTTGGCTTTTGATAAGTCCACAGAATGGCTTGACCTGCTGCATGTCTATCTGTTATGTCCTAACATCTTCCTGATCCTCGACTACCTCGATGTAACAATTTATTTATTTATGGCCCGCTCATTTGGACCTAGTGGCGCATGATTATATTTGGGTCTTCTTCCTCCGCCGCTAGAAGACTGCGAAATTTGACAAACAATGATCCACCAACTTTGCGACCTCATCCCGGTATTCTTTTTTATGTCATATTTTAAATTTGGCTCCTCCTGTGTAGCTTGTGTAGCCCCCGCTGGTTCACTATCGATGTTGCTATTGCCGTTCTTCATCGCGTTGGCTCTTGCATTCCACTCTCCCATCTGGTTGTATACCGTTTTGCGTTCGCTAGCATGCATAATGTACAAGCATCTAGGCACTGCGACTCTCCAGCTCTCAGCACGTATCTGATGTTCTCTATCCGTTTTGGCGTGCAGAATCAGTGCAACAGCTTGTAAACAGCAGCCGAATTTACAAACAGTTCTCGATGCCAGCTTCTTGGTACCGTTGTTGGATGTCATGCCGAATATTTGTGGTCGACCATGGCCTGCCCTATATAGCGTAGAATCGTCACCCGGGACAGAACTCATGTCATCCTATCAAAGCTCTCTATAGGTTGTTGCACTATTTCTGGTGTATCGATTATTAGAGGCTAGCGTCAAGTACTGGATAATATGGCCCCAGATGCACCGGTTGCTGCTAGGGTCGCGGTAAGGAACAATATATGGCGTGGAGCGCCTTCAGTAATTCTAAAAGAGGGTTAAGATGGGATTGAGTCTTGGAGCGGATTGTTTGCCAAACGTTGTCCTGTTTGGCCTAGTCTTTGCCGCTGCGCTGCACGAATGTCCTATACCCGGTTGACTAGACTTCCATAATGCCCCTTACATGCCATTTTAAGTCTCCTGAAAAGCGAGCTAATGTTTGCCAACGCCTGGACGTTCTCTCGCCAGTCTAGTATTTCACCTTCTATGACCCACGTTAGCCCACCGTCAAGCTGGATGACGTCTAGTCTTGGGATATTGATCTACAAAAGTTGTAATGAGATGCAAGTGTTGTCCAGCGAAGTGAGCACACCAGATGCGGGTGTACAACTCTACTGTATCCTAGGGAATAGTCTCGAGGATATCATGCAGATCGGACATGCTTTGTCTGTTCAACAGGTAATGCACTAGGGATCGAACAACGACAGCCAACCAGTGGAAAACACCGGGAACCTTTTCGGAAATATCGTCGATGAGCTTGGCCGTAACTACCTGGGAGATAGCTCTTCGTTCGTCGCTCAAAGTTGCTGTGAACTAAACCCACCATGTCTCCTTGTGTGGGATTTCTCATGGCGAGTGAAGGACTCTAGGCTAGAGCCCCTGTGAATCCTATCCATGATTGACTTGGCTATGCAAATTTTGACGTCGTATTGCAATTTCAGCAGCTGTAAAGAGGCAATGCTATCCGCAAGGTTCTCGTCGAATTGGTCCAGGCCGTTCGGCCAGCCCGCTCGTTAACTAGCAGTGTCAGGTTGTAAGTCCTACCGCATTCTACCGCTACGAGAGATGAAATCTCATGCAAATCTTCCACGTCCATGAATAAAGTGCGAATGAGATATCCAAAGAACACTATACAACTTCAAACGGCGCCGGGAGACGGCTGGAATAGAAGACCGCTGTGCATGTATTGTAGGAGTTCATGCGAAAGAGTCATCATAATCCCCATCCTAGAATTTTTGCCTTGGATTGATTGAGCTGCGCCTCAGAAGTAGCAACCTAGTCATAACGGCTTGAGTTGCCTAGGTGGCTGCACTAAACGGCATCGGGGTATGTATTTCAACGTGGGCTTCCCCGAGCCAGGCTTTCCAATGATACTGTAGATGGAGTGCGTATCAATTCTCCGCCACGCCTGAAATACAAACAAGTTGTCTTCTGGCTCCTGTAGGAAGAGCCTGTGGGATGTGTCGAAGGAAGATGTTGGGACTATTGTACCGTGGTTATTCATGCTTATGATCATTAGGCTTTCGAGAATGTTCTTTGAGCTGAGGATCGAGTTGATAATCTCTGGGCAATCGAGTTGAGTTTTGACTGAAACTCCGCGCCTGGTCAAGTTGACTCTGCTCGTCTGCCATATGCCAGGAACGAGTGAATAGAGTGTAAAAGGTTCTTTTCCCAAAAATGAAGAGATGATATGGAACCATTGTTCGGCTATGGTATTAAAGATTGTTTTGTATAGTATAAATTCAAGATCGGCATGTTGTTTACAAGTGACAGTACTGTATAGCTACCAATAAATAACCATCCTAAGCAGATCTTCCCATTATTTTCATAAATCTCCTCTTCCATATGCAAACCCTCACCATTTCAAATGGGCAACCGTTTCAAACCCATCACACTCTCTCACAAGCGTCACCGTGGCCTTCTTATCATATATATTACAATCAAGCGCTTTTATAACCACTTTCCGCTCATCCTTCACCACCCCTCCTCATCAACCCCGCCATCCGTCTCCTCCACATCCCTTAAGAACTTCCCGATAACCGTTGCAGCCTCAGCATCATAGACGCCCTCCTTGCGCCCCCGACAGGCTTCTATCACCCGCAGTGCACGCGCCCTCGTTGGGGAGTGTCTACACATGGCCGAGATCTGGCTCAGTGGACATATAATACCCAGGTCGAACCGGTAGATAGTAAGGGATTTGTTGAAGCCGACATGTGGAGCTACGAGCTCGCAGAGCTCGACTTGTACTTGGAATTCCAGGAGGTGTGCGTCGTAGGATGTGCCGGGTGGTAAGCAGGCTCGCGATACAAGGACGCGGTTGAAGCTCGCGTGGAGCTTCATTAGCAAAGATTGTAGATAGCCTTGTGAGGGCGCTTCTCCCCGCTTTGGTAGCTGGCAGGAAGGATCTGCGAATATGGGTTCGGCGGCTGCTTCCCAGCGCCAGATGTCGTCGATGTAACGGTCTTGTTCGGCGAAGATGTGGTCTGGCATGTCGAATGCGGAGCTAGAAGCTGTAGGTGCTAGAGACATGGAAGAGGGGAAAGTGTTGGCTTCGCCGGTTGAGGAGGAAATATTCTTCCAAGCTGGGCCTAAGATGTTGGCGAGGTTTGAGTTGGGGCTCGTCTCTCCTGCCGGTGCTTCAGCGACAAAATGGAGATTCCGCCGCATGATGAATTCCCACCAAGCCTTGCAATCAAGCAAGGACTCAAATTTCTCCGGCATCAGCGGGACAGCCTTGTTGATGGCGTCTTTGAGGCCCGTGTGTATTTCAACGGGTCTTTGGTCAACAAACATCAGCGCTTGTATATCCAAGCTTGAAAACGCAGTCAGTAGGTCCTCCTGCATGCTCTTCTTGTTGACCGTAAGTGGCGATACTGCACATTCCTTGGGTGGAATTACACTTGTACTCCATTGCTGGTACAATACCGATACCAAACTCGCAGCGTGCATACTTGCCGCCGCCTGGTGCCCTTGCATACTCTCGAAGGAGGAGACCAGTAAGCACGCTACGACGGAGTTTGCTATATCGTCTAAACGTAACTCTTCACGCATTCCTTTCAGTGCTTTCCCGTAGGCCTTGAAAGCGTATATCTGATGCGGGTTGCTCAATGATGGCGCCTTTGACTCGCTATACGATTTACTCAATGCCCCTAGCGCAATAACGGCATGCTTGATACAGGGCTGCATCTCGCCTGCGTGTGGAATTAGACGGTCCCAGACGGCCGTTTTAAAAGTGAAAGGATCTTGCATCTGAGAAGCTATTTCATCCAAGTAGAAGTGAAAGTAGCGGTTCTCTGTCTCGTCTGAGAAGCGGGGAGCAAGGAATGACGGCTCGATTGCTATTGCGTCTTGTGAAGAAGCTGCGGAAAGTTTGGGAACGATGGGCCTGATGTTTGGGGGGAGGAAAACGTTCTTGGACGTGTAGCCTGCGCAGGGGATGTCGAGTTTGCGGCAACGATAGCACCCTGGCTTGCCCTCATCGCATTTCACTCTTCGTTTTCTGGGCTCAGTTCAGCTTAATGCTCAACTGAATCTCGGGTGATTTGGGACAAATACCTGCAAGTGAGACAACCAGTTTTAGACTTTGGGGCTAGCTTTTTCCGCCTCTTCTTTTCTTTCTCTCCATTCCATCCTGTTGCATATCTTGCGGGATGTGCTGGTGGAGGGTCATCGAGAAGAGTGAGAGCACATGGCTCTGTAGCTGTATCTGTAGCTGTGATGGCGGGAACGTCGGTACTCATTATTACTTGTTACTAAACGAAGGGGCTAGCCAAGAAAAAAGACTTGTGGTTCAGACTCATTACCAAACGTTAGAGTACATGTGTATATGTAGTACTTGGTAAATGCATATATTACCTGGGGACTTGATGATAAAGCCTTGGTAGCTCCGGATGTGACTTGATTGTTTTGGTCTAGCTTCTGGGCCACCTCATGTGTGGATCCAGGATCGAGAGACCGGCTCAAGACGGGTACGACGGGCGGTACGAGTAGCGAGGGGCTACGGAAGGTTAGCCCAAAGCGGCAGATTTTCGTAGAGGGGAATTTAAGAACAAGTGTGAAAACAATGAGGAAAAACAGAAATGCACGAAACAAAATGCCGAAATTTTGTAAAAACTGCTGTTTATATCTTCAATATCATAGCAAAGTATCTATCATCATCGTTGTATTAATTTTATATTATTAAATAGCCTGGGAGAGTATCTCAACTCCATCATTATTTTCTGACTAATCAATAGTGGATCGACAATTGAGTGCTGCCTTGAATCCTATCTCCAAGGTACAGCCACCGAAAACTCCGAATAGTTTCTTTTAATTTTAACCACCTAGAATAGACTTACTCGAATCTTACTGCCTAATATCTATAATCCTACAAAGGTCTCAAATTCCTCGAGGATTCTGCTAGAAAATGGCACAGAAAGACCGTGTGTTCAAGTTATAAATACTTGTTAAAGGCGTTCGGCGAAAGTGCCGTGTTCGGCATTTCTTTATAGGCTTACGGAGTAAGCATACTAAACTCTATGCTAGGACATCTTGGGTCCGATGGGCCTGATTATATGCTTAAATCAAGGTTGCTATATCTAATAATAAGAGAAGAAAACTCCATGCCAGCCCTTTTGTAAAGCCTACGAGAGTAAGTTAAGTAAGGTACTATCCGCATATAGAGAATACATATAGTACAATGTTCGTTGTTGATATAGTAATAGCACAGCCCTTCGTCGTTCGCTCGTCCAATCCCGATCTCTAATTTTTTAAGGTTATATGCCGAAGCTCGTGCGTATTCGTAGTCGACCTAAAAAGCGGCACCAATTTAAAGTAGGACATCGCGAAAGCCAATGATAATAAGTGCCTCTTTGTATATCCATGTTTATTTATATGCTTAAGTCCTGGCCTATCACATCCTCTCCTGTGCGAGGTTGTCCATGTCTAGGTATCCCTAAAAAAGTAGCTAGCACAAGTTCGTATATGCTTATTAATATAGTAATTACTAACGAGCACTATACTTAGTATGGTATACGGGAAGTATACTTCTACATACAGGTATACGCTAGCTAACGTTAATCTAGTCTGTACAAGGCATGCACCAAGCAGGACAGCACAGGTACGAGGTGTACCTTACATACAGCGGGCGGCGTGGCGAATATGACAAGCTCGGCCCGGCATATGCGGAGATCTTTCACCCGACCAATCAACCTTATTTACTTCCTTCCTTCCCTTCCTTCTTCTACAAAACCACGTTTATTATCATTATGGCGCAAGGTAAATCTACTAGGTAATACAATCCTCGTGCACGCTATTCGATGCAGCCTCCCCAAGTCCCTGCCTAGGCAAATCCGGCAATGCCGGTCCGGTCTAGATGATGATAATGATGATAATATTGATTAACGACGGGGAGCATATAGAAATGCTCCAAGGACCTCCTTAAAGGTCTATGGTTATGCTAAGCTAACGATTTTTACATACAAAGTCCTATATATAAGAAGAGCCAAGAACTATAAGAGGAAAAAAGACTCCTTTTATATATAGTCCTAGGTTCTTGATCCCGTGGTGTCTTCATGCCTTTTAAACCCCAGAAAGCAGTTCTTGCATACGCGTAGCTGAAAAAAGGCTATATAATTATAATATTCCCTGCTAGTTGGGATGGACCACTAGATTTTGTAAGTGGAGTGAAATCCACACCCAGAAAGCCGATCCCTACTAAAAGCCCCTATTCCTAGCCTCCTATATGCCCTCCCTTCCACTATATGCTAACAAAGGTCGGAAAGCGTCCTTAGGTTACCTCTATAGGAATCTTCCGCATGCCGTGGGTCTGAAAGCCCTCTAAGAGCCGCAGATCTTTAAGAGGAGAGAAACTAGAGCACTTTTGCGTCCTACCCCTCTACCCCCTTAGCTGAACTATATATAATATCGCTCTTGCATATAATCCGCTATGTATAGATACTTGTAATATTCGATAAAGCTCGGGTTGCTACATAGAAGACTATATTATAATAGCTATTCTATGTCAGGACTATACCGCTAGGAGTTACGGTAACGCGTGTAGCTTATAGCATATAATCGCCTTAGTTAGTCGCCTTAGGGACTGCGTTCTCCTCGAGGTCCATCTTCTTCGGAAGGGGCGTCGATCGATTTAGCGTCTTGTACAAAGCAAAGCACCTCGAACAAGTCAATCTACAAGTATAGTAGTAGTTCAAGATCAGATAATACGGCGTAAGAACATTATAATTTCATTGCTAATCCAATCTTGTTGCAAGACTAAACGAAAGTCGGGTATCTACTATTTATCTATCCAAGGACCAGCATATAAACAACCACCGACTCCACAATCCTATCCTGACGCCCGCCCAGGAATTAAGCAACGGTATTTGTAGCTTCCGCCTCACGCTTCTCGCGCTTATGTAAATGCATACCCGTCCCGATATCCACCGCGTCCACATTTCCGAAATCCTTCTCGTCGCCATGACCATGATGCACAACACCCGTGCTCTCCACATCACTCGATACCCCGCCATCTATGACATCATGCCCGTATGTGGTTTCCGTGACAGAGGCCTCGGGACTGGGGAAGATGTAGCTGAGAGATACGTAGACGACGATACTAGTCACGAAGCCAAAGAGCCAATCAAAAGTATACAGATGCTGTGCGCCCTTGCTGATATGCACTGGATTCGGTTTTGTGGGATCAGATGGCGCGCCGATGGAATAGCCGAGGCCTGGGAGGTTGGGCGAGACGGCGATGAGGAGCGCGAGGAGCGCGCGCCAGTTGATGCCGTTCCAATACCGGTAGCGGCCGTCTGGGTTGTAGAGGGCGGGGACATCAATATGTTGTTTCTTGACGAGCCAGTAATCGCTCGCCATGATTCCGGCAATTGGCGCCAGGAACACGGCATACCCCCCCATGAATGCGAGAAAGGTGGACGCGGAGTTAATGATTTTCCACGGCACGATGACCCATCCTCCAACGATTGCGGCGATAATACAGCCGCGCTCGATATTAACGTAGCGAGGAAAGAGGACAGTGAGATCGTTGGCGGCGGAGATGGAGTTCGCCGTGATGTTGGTGCCTACCTGTGCGACGTACCAGGAAAAGGCACAAAAGAAGGCGGCAGCTCTTCCTCCATGGCCCATATCCAGCCACTTTGCGATGATTTCCACGGGGTTCCAGATCAGCTCTCCGTAGATGACTCCAGTAGCAGAGGTAGTCACAATACCGATAACGGCACAGATGGTGAAAATGATTGGGAGAAAAGGCAATTGGATGAATTGGCCCTTGCTGGAGCGAGCATATCTCGAGAAATCGGGGATATTGCAAGCGAGCGTAGCCCATGATCCTGTTACGGATGACATCGAGGATAAGAAGAGATAGGCCTTCTGACTTCCACTGACGGTAGCTTTGAGAGCAAATATATTTCCAGAACCGCCTGCCTTGTGGACACACCAGCCCATTGTCGCGAGGGCTGCAACGGGCGCCGCCACAAGCTTAACGAGAAACAAGTATCGGAGCTTGGTTGGTGGGATGAGAAGGAGGGGAAGTTGAATAATCCAGAATAGGAAATAACTACCTGAATCAGCTCAAGCTCAGCATAAAATAATAAATACTTTAACGTACCTGATCATTCCCTGCGTGGTAATTCCTTGACCTGATGGGATATGGTTCTGAACATTGGCATACGAGGGCCAAATCGCCGTAAGCATGACAGTTATGCAAATAGCACTAGATCGGGAGTTAGTTATTTCCTCTTCAAGAGTGTTTTGAGAGCGGGCCTTTGCATTCATGTGACTTGGTGCAGATGACGTAGGCGAAGAAGGCATAACCTCTTCGTCCTGCAATACACGATAGCTTCTGCACAATGAATGAAACAACCAGAACCAATATCAAGTCTCACTAGCTAGTGAGAAGTGACCACCCCCTGTGATACCAACAGAAGAAGAGCAAGTTCCCTTTTTAGGAAGTATGTAAAGAGTAGTTGGAGTACATGAGACGAAACATGATAGAAGGGGGTAGCGTAAAATCAAATATCCTTACCCATTGGCACCTTGGATACCCAACCAGAACATAGCAAGAACCGAGCGAGATACGATACAGAAATAAGCCAGATAGTATCCGAAGGAAGATCGAATGGCGACGGAGAAAGGGATGTGTAGTTTAGCACCAATTGCTCCGTTTAGGACCATGGGAATGGCGACACAACTTGTACCGACCACAATCTTGAGCATTGTTAGACTTGATATATTTTGAAGTCGCTCTGGAAACTTACAGCAGGGATTGCCTCTCTCCAACTCAGACCAACAGCAAGAATAGCAGAGGCTGTCTCCCATGTTCCCAAGTTACTGCAGACTTTGTTAGCTTCTGGAGCTCTACGATTCCCATTTTCAAGGCTCACATGGTATCAGTAGCCCAGTAGGCCATCCAGGTCCACATTGTCCATGTCTGATTCTCCGGCTTCACTGGATCCATATCTTCATTCGTCCAAATGTGAGCCGGCGCGAGGGCCGACTTCTGCTTAGGCAATTGCCACGCCTTGATGGAAGTGCAGCGCTCCTTGAGCTGCTGCTTAGTAGGGACATAAGACATGCTCGTGATGGACTTCATGTTGAAAACGGGCTCTTTGTACGGAGTACGCTCGAGTTACATGCAGCAAAGAAGAGGAGGGGGGATGATCAAATTATACCCAGGTATCTATCTACCTAGGTAGATAGCTGGGTAAGGTAAGGGTATGAACTGATTATTAGTATTGTAGTGACAAAGGAATGGATGGGTAACAGATAAGAGAAAATGCTGCGCGTACTAGGGCCAGCTGCCCAATCGAGATAGTGGCAGGGCGCTAGCATGCTTTCCCAGTGCAACGCTCACTCTAGAACACGCACCGAATACAAGTACGGAGGTACATGTTGATACCGTACCGCACGATTAATGTGCTGTAGACGAATCAAACAGGTACTACTTATCAAGGGCCGTGGCGGCAGCGGGGGGGGGGATGGGAGGGGAGGGGAGGGGGAAGGGGAGAGGCTTGTTGGAGAAAGTTGGAGCCATTGCGCGGTCGTAGGTAGTAATAATTTACCATACTGTGATTGTGAATCTATGATTGTGGGCCATCTACCTGAATAATTAATCATTTACGGAGGTACTTCGTGGGTACTGTAAGGTAGGGACGGGGCAGGACCAGACTAGTCACGGAGTTGTGTAAAAAGCCTTACGGTAAAGACTGGGGTTTTATCTGCGGCCAAGCACAAGCGTCCGTGAGAATGATTTAATTGGTCGTCGGAACTCGCAGTCAGAAGTGCCATGTCTGTGTTTTCGGCATCCCCGCGGTTTGGGAATCTTCAACGTCAGAATGATATCGATATCGATGTCCATCCTATCCCATCCCATCCCATCCTGCAGTTATGGTTGCATCAACAGTCACCCTGGTCGGTCCTAGGTATGAAGGTACGACGTACAGCGTAAGCGTAGGTATATAGGTCGGTACTCCGTACACCATGCTGAGATAAGGTGAGACCTGACCTTAGAATTCAAGACCTTCAAAGGCATTCGCGAATAGCCTCACCCGCCCGCATATATCGTTTACGTTGCACCCAAAACAGCCATCCTTTCCCTCCCGCAAACGCCACATTCCCAATCCGCCATCTGACACGTGAGTTCGACGCCACTTCTAGAGCTCGATACTTCGTATGTCAAGCCACATAGATAACAAGATAACAAACATCAAACTCTCGATGGAATTATAGGCGGCCTCCGTGTGGCAAGTCATCGTCAGCTTTCTGTGTAGAATGAGTCGATCATAACGATATCAGCCGACCGGAGATACTTCGTTACCGAGCACAAGGAGAAAGATATATCAACCCCTACATGCAATTTTTGAAAAGTCTGACTGTCCCACTACTTTTACTCCATAAATATATACTGCGCACCACTTAATCAGATCTAATAACTATAGAGCCTTTCAAGGCCCCAACTTAGAAGTCTGAACTTAAAGTTCTATCTATCTATACTAAGTAGTAAATGTATAGTGGGGCACTCAGACTTGAGAAAAAAGCGAGTACCGTATAGTATATTACGGCCTATTCCACCTTCAAAATCGCGAAATAAACACGTGACAACGCGATGAAGGTAGTAAAAGGATACCGGGAATCTATAAAAAAGCAAGAAAAAGAAAGAATGGAAACCCCTTTAGATAATTCTATTCACTATATATAAAACCTTCTGACTTTGTTTTAATAAATCAAAAGCTTTAGATCCACATACCTCCACAGATTATCCGTATAACATATACCAGGTGTAATTATAGAGGAGGCCGCAATAAGGCTCCTAGGAGTTAAGAGCCTCTACCTGATCTAGATTCGACAACCCTTGATTTCCTCTGCCGTGCGTGAAGCAGCAGCTCATCTGCGACTCCCGAGCCGATTTAGGCCCATGCGCTGCATATTCTTTTTTCCGACGGAATGCTTATAAGGCTAGAGATGAAGCTATTCCCATCTACACACAGACCATTCAGAGCGCATAAATAACAATTTCACCTAGTTGGTATTTATTAGGAGAACACCGCGCTCTGGTCTTTATAAATACTCAAATCTTCCCTCTTCCCTCTCTCTCATCATCCACTCACTCCACTTCCACATCCTCCACATCCAAATGATTTTCACATTCCCGTCCACAGTCCACCTCCCTTCCTTCCTCCCACCACCATCGCGCATCCCCACCACCACCCACCCACCATCCAATCCATCCACCCCTACCCAAAAACCCAACATCCTATTAATAGCCCCTTCCCAACATCCCTTCCAATACCTCCATTCTCTCACCCCCTCTATACTTTTGTTGCACTTCGCAGTCCACTTTCCCGGGAAACCTAGCCCACGAGTGCTCCTTTACCCATTTCTCGACATGTGTGTTTCCTTCAAAGGTGGGCTTAGTTTTCCCGGGTGCGGCCAATGAGGAGAGGGTAGGTGGAACCCAGGTCATTCGTGCAACGAAACGCATCGGAATGTGTTGAATGTTATTGTTATTTGCTAAATTAGGACATCAGAACCCTTGACTTTCGTATCGAATTTGATGATTGATATTTACGGATTAAATTCATGGATTTAACAATTCTTACTGTTGGCATAATGGGACTATATCCCGACCTTTCTAGTCATGTGATCTTGCGTAGCTTAGTCAGCAAAGAGGCATAACCTTTTTGCGCGTCAACACCACCATGAATGCTAAGCAACATCGACCAGAACCAAGTATCAAGTCTACTACGTATAAGAAAAGTGATCACGATTCGATACCTGTGATACCAACACTTACTATAGCTATTAATTAATTGGTTATATGAGGGATAATTGCACTATACTAAAATAGGTAAAAATTATAGTTATACTTAGTATTACGTCTAAAATAGGCTTAGACTATATATATTAGACTTAGTCCGAAATATTAGTACATGAATCTAATAAGGATAAATTTATTGATTCCTGATCCATTTCGGAATTTGATGGCCTTTGGTAAAAATCAATGTCCTATGCTAGATTAGTCATCGATCGCACTGGGAGAAAGCCGCTTGAGCAGAGTATTGTAGACAATTGAGATGTTTTTGGTTTGACTTGCGTTCATTGTTATACATTGCGTGTGCTTCGCATCTTTTCGATGCGAATATGCTATGGGAATCGAGTTTAAAATTACAATTCTAAATGCTTAAGCATCTTCATTATCCGAGAAGTATTCAAACTCCCTCGGCACCTCTGCCTCCTCACCGCCCTCCTCATCCTCATCCACAGCTGTCAAGACCCCTGCTGCTGCCGCAGCCCCAGAAGCCTCACGACGGAGGTTGAAGGACTCATTGCGCATATCCTCGAGTGTGGTGGGTGCGGCTGCTTTCTCGATGGAAGCTTTCTTCAACTTCTCTTCGATGAGGACCTTTTCTTCGCCAGGCTGGGTGTCGATCATAAGGATTACGCCACCGGTTGGCTTCTTGACTGGCTTGTACCGACCGGACGGGAAGCTAATGAATTTTAGCTGCGCGGGAAGCACACGCGACATGTTCTCCATCTCATAGCCGACTTTCTCCTTCTCGAGCTTCTTCTTGGCGATTTCGGCGGGGCTGGAACCTTCCTTGTCAGATTCGGCTTTCTTGTCGTCCGACTTCTCTTCCTTGTCCTTGCTTTCTTCGTCGACGTCCATCTTATCGCCGCCGACGGGAGCATTGGTCTTAGGGGTTGTTGGCGTCTGATCGATGTCCATGCTCTCTCGTCGCTGGGCCCGCTCTTTCTTTTGGGCACGTCGCTTGGCCTGTGCGGTTGTGGAGAGAACGGCCGTGGCGATGAGGGTAGGAGCCTCATCAGTCTTGACCTCTTGCTCTGGCGGGTAGTCGAAGAGGCTTGGCCGAGTAGCACTGTGGAAATTGAAGCTTGGAATATCCAAGTCATGATCAAGACCGATCATAGATGTCGGGATGAAACTCAATGAAAGGAAGTGAGTAAATGGGAACCAGTACCAGTATTGGATGAAGACAGCCATTCCAACAATACCAGCCATGTTGAGGTTGCCGGTTTGAGTCTGTAAGCCAATCGTACAGTTACGCCCACCAGCATCGATAATACCCAAGGCCAGTGCACAACCAAATTTGGTCATAGCATCTTCGTGGCGATCACCGACAATCTTCTTCAGAGTCTTGCGGATAGATGCAACCTTTGGGTTCATGGCCTCGTTTTGCTGCACCATGATCATAGCAAGCGATATCAATGCACCTTGGCGAACGAAGTCTGTAGGGTCCTTGATCATAGGCTCAAGCAGATCAATTGCCTCGTCCAAGCCAGTGCCTGCACACGAGATACCAAGCGCCATGGCAGCTCCGTACCGAACATGTGGGTTGTAAGATTCAGACAATAGCTCGACCATACGAGGAACACTGCCAGGCTTACGGAATAAGATAAATCCTAAGCTCATGACTGCGATTCTTCGGACATCGTCGCTGACATCGCTAACAGCAACGTGGAGCAGCTGTCGTACGGCCTTGTTGCTCCCTGTGCCACAGTATGCAAGAGCAACGGTCATGATACCACCGTAACGCAAAGTTGGGTCAGGGTCGTGTAAAAGACCCTCGATGAGTTGATCGGCGCCCTCCTGTCGACCATACATAATGAGAGCAATTCCTACCGCAAGACCTCGCACAATCTTCTCGTGCTGGGTCTCATGCGCATAGGTGATCATGTCAGCGACAGCCTTTTCGTTGCCGGTACCAAGCATGATAAGACCCATGGCAAGTCCAACGGCCTCACCATTCAAGGCCGAGTCGGTGTACAATACGCCCTTGAGGTTCTCGTAAATTGATTCCGAGCCTGTAGCCATTCCTGCAATACCCAGTCCCAAAGCACCACCATGTTGGATGACTTCCTCCTGAGCTTCATTGAACTGACCCTTCAGATATTCGAGCGCATCAGCACCGTGATTGGCGTAGATCAAACCATAAGCATAGAGCGCACCACCTTGGCTAAAAATCGAGCCTCCGAGAGATCCACCTTGCTTCGGCAGATAAGGTTCAAGCAGCTTTTGACACTGGGTTAGATTTCCACGATGGATGACACCGAGAGCTGCAGTTGCAGAGAACTTCGACCAGTTTACAGCCTTTCCAAGCCACTCAAGATTGTCGCGGAAGAACTTGTCATTCGTGGTTCCTTGATTCATGAAGGCGTTGCAGAAAGTAACCGCGGTATGAAATATCGAGTTTCTCCCCTCCAAACTATCTTTCACCTTGTTCAAAATGCTCAGATCTGTGTGATTGTTTCGGTAGAGGAATTCAAGATTTAATTTGATCGTCTCACTGCCATCGAGAATGCTGCGTATCCTGTCAAATGTTTCTAAGTGCTTTTCGGGTACAGTTTCAGGACTTGGGACTGGAGCGCCTGCGCGGTCGCTGAGTTCACCCAGAAGCTGGTCTGATTCAGTTGCTATGAAAGGCATCAGTAATGGTCTTATGTTTTTAGCATGACTGGCTTACGGTTCTCTTTCTCGGCGGGCACCTCCTCGACCTTTGCAGGAATGGACTTGATAACTTTAGAGAGGAACTCCTGGGTGCCATTATCGTAAAGATCAAATGCAATTTGATATGCGATGGCTGTTGAGTTTTGATCCTCATTCGCCACGAGTTTCTTAAGCATTGTTGAAGCCTCTTCATCCTGGTTAAGATATACCACGCATTTCGCAATAGAGAAGTAGTCGGGAGTCGGAATTTCGGATAGAAGGTCCAGGATTAACCGTAGAATTTCTGTTCGAAGCCCTCTTTCTTGGACGATACCCATGCAAATATCGAGGACGTATTCCATTAATTCCTCAGTCGGTGCTGCAGTACCTTCAGCCTGCTTTCCGCTTGAATTCTTCTCATCATCGCTTGCACGCTTAATAACTCTGCGAAGGACATCCAAGTTCCGTGCATCCACTGCAATGCCCACAACTTGTCTGTATTTGCCTTCCTTCAAACAGCCCTCGAAGAGTCTCTCAATTACTCTTTCTAAAGCCGCTTGTGTATTTCGATCTGGTACCACAATTCCTTCTGGAACATCAGTCTCTACAACGGTCGTCGAGGCGCGAGAGAGAAGTGATTTGGAGGGTAGAGCGGATTGGGAGAATGGGGTCGTTGGCGAAGTGAGAGCTGCAGCAGCATTGGCATCGTTGATTGCGTTTGCAAACGAAGTAGCAAGGCTGGGAAGGGAAGAATCTTGGGCATTAGATTGGGGAGCGGCGTGACGGGCTCTTGATACAGCCATGTAGGTGTCCACGCATTTCGAGATGATGGTTTCTTCAAATTCGCCGTGGTTGTCAAACTTGAAGAGATCGCCAGCGCCGAGAGCAAAGGTCATGCTGTCATTGTATTCCTGCAGGTGATAGTAGACCTTGGCCAGTACGAGTGATGCCAGCTGCCGTTCAGGAAAGCTTTCATTTTCATAGAGCTCCTCGCTGAAGGGGGAGTTAGCACAAGCTCGGGGACATAGTATACTTTGGAGTAAAGTATAAGCCCGAAAGATCAGGAACACTTACATTTTGCCCACAAACCCTGCCACTTCAGTCCACAAGGTGTCAATGTCGTCGTTCAAAGTTTGCAGAGCAAAGACCTTGAGTTCGGGCTCCTCGTCGTCCAGGAAGCCCAATACTCCAGAGGCGGAGGTCAAGCCAGGCATGGTGTTTATGATGCTTTGTAGAGCTTGAGATGCTTCAGATTTGCTTTGTCTGTTGATGGGAGAAAGGAAAAGGTCGGAGAGGTTGATGTGATGAATATGGGGGATGGGTTGGGGAGAGTCAATACAGGTGGATTTGGAGATTGCTAGGCAGACTGGAACACGAAGCTTGGGTTGGCCTTGGAGTGTCGCGTAGCTTTCGGCACTTCTACAGAGACACCTTTTTATCTAGACCCACCCCGCAATGTTTTTTTTTTTTGGTACAGTCAGGAATGGCACGCCGTGTGCAAGAAGAACAAAATCCGTTTCCGTGTAACATGAAGATGTATATTTTATGTTCAAATAAGTAGTATCCACATCCATTTACGTGCTCCTCACGTGGCGCTTCCCCGCAGAAGCTCCCCATCGTTGCAGGCGCTTTTCAGGGAGGGAGAAGAGGGAGAGCAGAGCGTTGCTCCTTCTTAGCGAAGTCTGTATCTGTCTGTATCTGTATCTCTATGGAACTCCAACTCTGCCCGTCCTCCACCTACGAATGCCCCCATCGTCGCCGCGCGCATCCATGTGTAGCTGGAATCATTGCCCTTAGTCTCAGTGATCCCACCGACGCCCTGCGAAGCCCCGGAATCCCCATACCTCCCTCCCTGTTTGAGTGTCGCGTGGTTCTTTGTTGAAAAGAGAGGATACCAACATTTGCGCCGCCAGCTTAAATATCCACCATCCGTCGAGTACTGTAGTGTTGGGTCGAGAATAATCGCGGGAAGCTTCAGATGATTGCCACTTAGAGTCTTATATCGATTTCCTCGCAGCCAGGGGGTCAGGGCGCGCTTGGTCGAGTGCTGGGCGACCCAGTCCAGTCCAGTTGACCGCAAACATGGATCTTCGCTCCATTATCAATACAAACGAAGGCGGCGACAGCTCTGTCCCCAAGCAAGCGGCGCCGGTCACCCCAATACAGGCTCCTCCAGGGCAGGGCTTTCGAGAGTTTCACCATCTTCCCCAAGCCTCACCAGGCAAACACCCTTCACAAGATTACACCTCACAGACCGGCCCCTATGCTTCGCCAACTGCATATCAGGGTGCCTATCAAGGCCGACCTCCTCCACCTCCACCAATTCAAGCACCTCAAAACGATTTACGTTCCCCAGCACGATCTTACAGTGTTCAGTCGCCCTACCAACATACGCCCTCCTCGTCCAGTACCAACCAATACCCCTTTCCACAAAGCCAAACCCCCCAAAGCCCTGCACAACAGCTCCAGCAATACCCACCGTCTTTTCCACAACGCGAAAGTTATCCTCAATCTAATCCTCCTCATCTCCAACACCATAACCCACAAAGTCGGGGATCTCCAGCTCCACAAACTCCTCCAATTGGCATACCCGGCGCTCCTCATCCATACCTCCAACATCAGAGATCTCAGTCTTCAATCTCTACCGGCACACCTACTTCAGCGCAGAGCCAACAGCCATACTACAATCCATATAGGCAAGAGAGCCCCGTCTCTACTAGTCATTTTCCGCCTACTCAAATTCCACAACACCAGCGACAGCAGTCACAGCCAGGTACACCACTTGGTCCACCCCTGACTCAAAGGCATTCATCAGGTGGCTTTGTTCAACCTACAAGCCCATATCAGCAACGAAGCGCCTCTTCTGGACCTTTTAACTTTCAGCAAACTTCTCCCGCCCCTCCACCGTCTGCCTCTATACCCCGACAGCCGAGTACGCCTAGTGCGTATGATTCACAGAGGACGCCCACGAGCGAACAAAGGAGATCTCAAAGTGAAAGAGAACGAAGCATTAGCGTCAGCCCCAAGACTCGCCTTCCGAGTCAACCGTCAACAAACATGGCAACGGTAACTCCGCAATCGGAAAACGGTTACACTAATTCGACCAAGAGGAAATTGGACGAGCGCGAGATGCCAGTCGAACAACCTCGACCGTCACAATATCCTGATGTAAAGCCTCCAGTGAATGGTGAATCTCGCACCTCTCAATCCCATACCGTATCGCCGAAGCCACCTGCAAAAAAGCGAATGCGCTACACAGAACCTCCAATTTGGGCCCAAAGCATCAAAACCAAGACGGCTTTCGCTTCTAAAAAGCGAGCTCTTGCAAATTTGAACGGCAAGCAGCCAGAACCATATCCTATAGCTACGCCAGTAGTGAAGTCCGAAATGAATGGCAACCACCAGGTCTCACCTGCGGCGCCTCGACAAGGTACATATGATGCGCCACCTGATCAAACAATTCTCCTTGGCCCATGGGAAAAAAGCATAACTGGTAATCCACCCATGGACCAGACGACGAAGAAGATAGCAGACTTCCTGTTCACTACAGTTGTCTCCCGCAATGATTTGGGTGAACTTTTGAGCAGGGGGGTTGAGATCGAGATTGAGGCTAAGCTTGGTCACCTCATCGACAAGCAAACAAATGTGAGGTTTGAACCAAATGTTCGTATTGAAACGGAATGTGTTCTAGCGGAAAATCCCAATCTCATCGCCTTCAGAAGCTCAATGACGGATGTAAGCATCAACTTCAAAAATCATATTCAGAAAACTAATATTTGCAGGCTCAACACTCCACGTTGAATAACTTTCTAAATGCACAAGTGGCAGCTGCTCATCCAAACAATCCGGATTCCAAGAAGAGGGTCTCTATCGACTATCTTCATCGAAAAGAGACCGACACATTCTATCATCTACCGCCCTCCTGGTTGCCTCATTTACCAGCAGTCATTAGAGAATATCTCAAACCTCACCAACCTGTCAAAGTTCGAGTTACTCGCGACCAAAAGACCGGCAACGTCTTGGCCAAGATAATCAAAGCTCGCATTGCGGATATGAGTATCTATAATCCTCAAGCGCCGCTTGATTGTCGAATCAGCGTCAATTTTGAAATGCGGTACGATGGTGACATTGAACTGCTCGTGCCATCTCCGGATGCGCCAGAGCGTCACAAAGATCGCATGAGCTACACTCAAGGCCCCTATCAGATTGATCTCACTCTAGTTACGCAAATCATGGCAGCAAATGTAAGAATTGACCCCACATTCTAACTCTGGCAATTATTAATTATCAACAGGGTGGCAACCGAACAAGCAAAGAGCATGAGCTGGAGATTGAACTTTCTACGGCAGCTGTAAGCGAACAAGGCCGAAGAGCTGCGACAAATGAACCTCACGAGTATCCTTCTTTAGTTGAGGGTTTCCTGAATAACGTATTGGTGCTTGCAAGAGAAGCGCCGCCGGTTCCACAATAATGACTAGGAGGGCTCGTCTGTATTGAGTAGTGTGCTTTTAGGTCAATGTCAATGGATACCCTGGCGTTCATGGTGGGGCGCATACGAAATCCCAATACAGACGGGAAGTCTGCGCTAGGGAAAGCAGATACAATATAATATTCAAGTCGCAAGTCGCAAAGGAACTCGCTTTTCTACTCGGCATCTCCTCGAGCATCCTAATGTGTCGATACTTAGCGGAGGCAGGTGGCTTTTTGCACTTGTTGATATGTTCTGATGAGTCTCTGCAAGTGTAGGAAAGAGTGGTGAATGGAACCCTTGCGCCATTTCTGCATTTTACCCCAGTTCCTGGAGTCCCAGAGTACTGCCAATGCACCAAGTGCTTAATAGCAATTTCCTGGGTATGAAGTATGGCCACTGATGATACAAAGTGTTGTAGTTTCCGGGAGAATAGGCCCCCATCAAGAAGGATATTTCGGGACCTCACTTCGTACAAATAATCACTTAAACTCATAAAATTCCAAACCTTTCAGTACCTCTTGATGATTATATCCTTCCTGGACTCACATACGACCCCTGCTCCCCTCTTATGTTGCTCGCACCCACACACCCACCCACCTACAGACAGAGCGCTCAGGTAGCTAGCATGGCAAGCGCGATCAGCCGCACCCCAAACAGACTACGAAAGCCAATATTCTGTTACGTTTGACAACCTTCACTCTTAAGTCCACTGTACCGCAGATCCATAGATGAATCTTGCAGCTGTCAATGCCTTCCTTCACTCGTAGACTACGAGAGAAAATAGGAAAGAGTTCTTGAAATGACGAACGATCCAACAATGGCGCCTCAGCCTCGTCGTCCAGAGCTCATCTTCTGTCCTATCTCCAGCCCAAGAAGCTGGCTCTTCTGGACTAGCACTACGACCGTTGGATTCAAAGACTGGCATTGATGTACCCATTGCTGGATCGATGTCCACAGGAAGTGCTGGTGTGTCTCGACTAGAATCCCACTCTTACTCTCAATCGAATCTAGCCTCGGCGACTCCGATTCATGAACCAACATCAGTGACGCAGCCTCGATCTCAATCTCCGGTTTTGGCTTCAACTATAGCTCCTAGGGCCTCGCTACGGACCCTAGATAACCCTCTTAGCTAGGAATGTACCTTTCGTGAACGTCACAGATACTGACTTTGACACAGTACCGGCCAGATTGAAACCTTGAATCGTGATCTCAAAACTGTCGCTGAAGACCTAGATCCCGCAGAAAGAGCTGCTTTCTTGCAAGCTCACAAGAATATCTCCTTTGATCAGATGGCGAGCGAGGTCAAAAGACTAGAATCATCTGACACAAAAACGCGAGCACGACTCGGCACCAAGTCGCTTGAACCTGCCCTACGTGTACTAGAATAGTTCATGGCAAGTGTGCCGATTGGGATTCAACAAAGTCCTGAGCTATCGTCATTGGTTGTTGGAAGGGTGAGGTTGATCATTGACGTAAGTGAAAAGCCCCAAAAGAGAGCTCCCAGTGTTGAATGAGACTCTTGCCGCCTTTAACAACAAAGCTTGCCTTTCGATCAAGTCCCCTAGGACCTTGTGTCCAGATTCTGAGTAGGGTGGAATTTTCCCTGCCCCCATTTCAACCGAGTGTACTTCCAAAGATGAGCAATTCCATTCTCCTAGGCTGGAATTCAACGGTGACTGTCTATTGAGTCTCTGACCTTGTCCTTTTTAGCTTGTGGAATTTGTGCAATCTTATGCGAAGCTCAGTCTTATGATCTCTCAGATGGTAAATTATTTGGAGCCACTGAAAAATTGCAGCACAAACTTGGGCGAAGGAGATGTCGTTCAAACCGTATGTAGCCCTTCTACTCTATCAGTTATGAACCTGTGTTTAATCTTGCATAGGCTTTGATTGGAGTGTACAGCGATCTTTTGCATTTCTTCCGAGAAGCAAGACTTGTTTTCGTGTACTCAGATGGATCTGTGAAAAGTATGTGGTCATTTGCTCTGGTTCGACCGGTGGCGGTTAGGCTGATGTATGCCAGAACTTGGTCATTTTCGTATGTTCTTAAAGGTCCAGTGGCAGCCATTTGAGGACAAGTTTGGAGAAACACGTTCCAGCTTTACTCACCATATTGATGTTCTTCTACACTCTTCCCAATCGCAGCAGCAAAGGTCATTGGACCATCTAATACAAACCGTTGACCTCAATTTCACTGCTCTGGGGAAAGAGCAAAAGCGTACTGTTGGATTCGAACTCCGCCTTAAAAATTGATATGAACCTGGAAGACGATATGGGCTTTCTTTCCTTTGCATTATGCAGTCGTGAGAGACTCTGTTGGCCTTGTCGAAAAAGTACTAGACATGGGAGCGAATGTAAATGCCGTCCACCCGCATTTTGGCCCAGCTTTGCGAATAGCCTGCCAAAAAGGTTTAACCATGGTGGAGGTTTTACTAAAGCATGGAGCCGATGTAATTTCGCAAGGTACTCTGTCGGATGAAAGTACGCTATATTTTGCAGTATCCACAGGCAATGCAGCCATCATTGATCTCATTTTCACATACGGAGCTGATATCTACTCTCGGAAAGGTTCTGCTAACCTTGACAAAGCTTTAATCGCGGCCTGTAGATCTGGCTCTCTAGAAGAAGTTCATTTACTTCTCGAGAAAGGACTGACGGTCACATCCGACGCCATTAGAAGCGCCAATAGGAGGGGTCGTGAAAGTGACTTCATTTTGGATCTACTTCTGCAAAAAGGAGAGAAATTAGCCCCGGGGCACTAATCAGAAGTGTACAAATGGGCGATTATGAGTCTTGCATTTATTTGTTGAATCATGGTGCAAACAGACCTTATGCTCTCATCTGATCCCAATAATCACACTTAACATCCTGCCTCACCTCCACCTCTTCAGCAACAACCCTCACCCTATCTCCCTCCTTAACCTTCTTCTCCTTCATAACCTTCTCCACCAACGCCTCCAACTTCCCCAACACCGGGCGCTGCCTCTCCAGCCACCGCACCTCCTTCAACCCCTTATGCTGCAGCACAAGCCTCACAATCTTCGCCAGCTCCGCCTTGCTCTCCTCCTCATCCACCACCCTATCCCCCCGTCGTATACTCACTCCGATGCAGCCACTCCTCCCACTTGATCTCCAACCTCACGCTCTCCAGCCCGACAAAATGCTTAGCCAGCAGCCTAGCAACGGCCTTCATCTCCGAAATCCCACTCTCCAAACAGCTCAAAGCCTCGCCGAAACGCAGCTCGAAAATGACTGTTCGGATCATGCTCAGCGCATCGCGATTCCGGTTCTTGGATACGAAGGCTTTGAGCGCGTGGATGTTGGCGAAGTGCGGGGATGCGAATTCGCCGTTGGAGAGCAGGAAGGTGTTGCCCTGCCAGAAGATGGGCGAGATCTCGGCCCGGATGGGCTGGGAGACACGGGTAAGGGAGGAGAAGGTCGCGGCGGGACGTTGGATCACGCTGCAGGGGTGGCCTTTGCGCGGGGAGGTTATGGCGATGGGGCTTGGGGAGAGGAGGACGAGGCTGTAGATCTGGGCCCGGATTTCAGGGGGGAGGGCGCTGATGGGGTCGGACATGTTGGTGTGGAGAGTATGGGTAGGTAGGGAAAGAAAGAAAGAAAAAAGGAGGGAGGGAAATGGAGGGAGTGGAGGGAGTAAATTGAGGCTCGTGTTGCGGCGTAGTAGTTGTGTTGTTACCGTAACTTGGACATAGGAGGTAGAGGCGGCGCCGGCTTTAATACCCCTCGGATATTAGCGAGGTTCCAATGGCTTGGGGTTAGGGGCACTAAGCTAGTGCCCGATGTTCACTTTGACCCTTTGGCCCTTTAGCTTAGGATATTTTGAAGTTCCTAGAAGTACCGTATCAAAAGTCGTAAATCATAGACGCGTCTTTAAACAGAGGAGTAGTCACATCAATATAAAAAGAGTACCAACTTTTTGGCGGGAGGGGGGCAAATAATATGAAAAGAGCGCTGTATTCTGGCTCTAATTGATGAAAATAGCTATAAGTGGTACCTTAGTTTTTGTGGACTATCGAACGATAATATGATGGAAAAGAGACAGAAAGACAGCTTTCATAGATCGTTGATTGATCCTTAACCTCTCCCCTATATTATACAAATTGAAACAAATTTTGGAAGTAAAGTACGAGTACGATACTGTATACGACGGGTGGTGGAGGCATCAAGCCTATGGGAATTGTTTACCCATCATTCTTGACCTCCATTCTTGTATTCAAGAGTGTAGGAGCGTAACAAATCCAATTGTAATTAGTCCATCAGGATAGTCCACATGGCGACTACATGTTTTAGAAATAAAGTTTCTCTTACTGTGCTATATGAGAGTTTATAGAACTTTGGTGGTAGTGGTGAAAGACCATTGACGTTGTGAGGAAACAATTCCGCTCGGCAAAAAACTTCCAAGCTCAACCTTGTCGAGTCTCTCCAAGCAATAAATTATACAACACCATGTTTGAAAACCTCTGCACCCTCCCGCTCTCCTCAGAGCTCTTCACCCAAGCTCTGCATCCCAATGAACCAATCCTTGCCGTCGGACTATCTGGCGGGCACGTACAGTCGTTCCGGCTTCCAGCTGTAGCTTCCGGTAGCGACGACGAAGATGGCAACGCCAGCGTCCTGTCAACCGGCACAAGCACTATAGACACCGAATGGCGGACCAGAAGACACAAGGGTAGCTGCAGAACACTGGCATTCAGTCACGATGGCGAAAGTACGGCCTCGGATGTTCCCCAATTGACCTCTACTAATCTTTTCGAACCGTAGTCCTCTACTCAGCTGGCACCGATGGCCTTCTGAAAGCTGCCTCTTCTTCTACCGGCCAAGTTGTCGCAAAAGTCGCCATTCCCCTCGATCGTTCCACGGACTCTGCAGATCCTCCCACATTGTTACATGCACTCTCACCACAGACATTGCTTCTCGCAACCGATTCCGCAGCTCTACATCTCTATGATTTACGCACACCGTCAAGCTTTACCAAAGGAAGACCGAGTCAGACCCATCGTCCGCATGAGGATTACATCTCTTCTTTAACACCACTGGCGCCTACGGAAGCTAGTACAAGTGGGTTCAGCAAGCAATGGGTTACGACTGGTGGTACAACGCTCGCGGTTACAGATTTGAGGAGAGGGGTTTTGGTAAAAAGCGAGGATCAGGAAGAGGAGCTGCTGTGTAGTGTTTTCGTCGGGGGTCTACCGTCCAAGCCGGGTCGGAGCAAGGGCGAGAAGGTGCTGGTTGGGAGCTCGAATGGGGTCCTGACGCTCTGGGAGAGGGGCGTTTGGGATGATCAGGACGAGAGAATTATTGTTGATGGTGGAAGAGGTGGGGGTGACAGCTTGGATGCTCTGGCTGTCATGCCAGAAGGTGTTGGTGATGGAATGAAAAATGTTGTTGTAGGGCTTGGGGATGGTACGGTTAGGATCGTGCAATTGGGGAAGAATAAAGTCATGGGTGATCCATTGCGACACGACGAGGTTGAGGCTGTGGTTGGAGTGGGATTTGATGTTTACGGCCGACTTATTAGTGGAGGTGGATCGATTGTGAAGGTGTGGGAACAGAAGATGAATCTGGATGAGGAGGAGGAAGAAGAATCCGACGAAGAGGAGTCTGGTGCGCAGAAGAGGCCTATTGAGAGCAGTGACAGCGACGACAGCGATAATGGGGGTGGTGCAGATAGCAGTGACGATGAGCAAAGCGGCCGAAAACAACGAAAGAAGCGGCGGAAGGCAAAGAAGGGAAAGAACGTGGGCAATGGGATCCTGAAGTTTAAGGGATTGGAGTAGTTCCAGCTTCGAGGCTTATGAGTATACCCCTTCAGCGACTGTCTTGCCCATATGATACCAAAAGTCTTTTGTCTTCTCACAAAGTGTTGTATATCACAAAATTCCAGAACACGATGCACGCATTGTCTTCAATTAGAGCCTGAAGGTTTATTGCTGATATAAGTGCCGAGATCATGCTTACTCTTACTACCGAGCACCAGATGAAGAAGGAAACGAATAATGGCAATAACGCCAGGTCTTGGCTTATGCAGTTTCAATTTTCATATTTGAGAATAATCTCTCTTCTTGTTGGGAAAATGGGACCGCATCCTGAACCGCATCCCGACCTTTCTAGTCATGTGACTTAGCGTAGCTTAGTCAGCAAAGAGGCATAACCTGTTATAACCTCCTTTCGCGTCAACACCACCATGATTGCTGTGCAACATCAATATTACAACGAGGCTCTCACAAAGGGACGATGTTATTTTACAAGCCGGCCTTCCTTTAGATATTTTTTGACTGATGCTTGAACTTCTTCCAGTAACGGCTTAACCTTCTGGCTTTGAAACAGGCGTAGAAGGCATCTTTAGGCTCAATATACCTAGGTTTCTTAGCGCACGTTGCCCCGCATACCCCGCATCCCACCTCACCTATGCCTTACCTTACCTTACATACCTTACAGTATGGAAAGATCAGCTATAAAGTCCGATAATGCCGACAATCCCATGGATTTCTCGAAGTTAACACTCGAAAGCCATAATCAATCAAAGTTCACGACAATATGTCATTCAGATTTAAATGATCTACTTGGTCAGAATTATCATCTCTATAATCAAATGATAGAAGAGGCACGCTTTGTAGTCGAGCAGCTTATAAATTGAACGTCACTTTGCTCTAAACACTCCTAAATAGTCATTCCGTCCCCAAACTTTCTAGTACTTCATGACCCCTATCTGTCTTACCTAGAGAATAGCAGTCAGCATGCCTTATCCACCCGTCCCAATCAATAATGGTACGTGATCCGGCCCCTTTTCCCAACAACCACAATCTAACATACCACAGGCTTCAACTTCACCAAAACCATCCACCACGATACGTACCCCGCAATAGACTCCGCTCCCCAGGACCACAGCAAGCACTACATCTTCATCACAGGTGCATCCAAAGGCGTTGGCCGTGTCCTCGCACTCTCCTACGCAAAAGCAGGCGCAGCCGGCATCGCACTCGGCGCACGATCCGACCTCGCAGGCGTCGAGCAGGACATCATCTCCACAGCACAGGGAGCCGGGAAAGCGATTCCCAGAGTCCTGAAGCTCAAACTCGATGTGACAAATTGGGATGACGTGGAGAAGGCCGCCAAAGCAACGGAAAGGGAATTCGGGCGCCTGGATATCCTAATCAACAACGCGGGGTTTCTAAGTGCTTTCGCGCCGATCGTTGATAATGACCGGGAGGAGTGGTGGAACAATTATGAGGTTAATGTTAAGGGTGTGTATTTGATGTGCAAGGTGTTCGTGCCACTGTTACTGAAGGGCGGGGAGATGACTGTCGTTAACTTGACGAGTGCCGGGGCCCACGGTGTTGCTTATGGCGGCAGTGGGTACCAGACTACGAAATTTGCGCTCTTGAGATTCACGGAGTATCTTATGGTTGAGTATGGGGATAAAGGGATGTTGGCTTATTGTGTCCATCCTGGGGGTGTTCCTAGTGACATGTCGATCAAGATGCCGGAACAGCTATACAAAGCTGGTAAGTTCTGTGTGTAAGGAATTTCCGAGACTTTTTATTGACATTTTTATAGTTATTATTGATAAGGCTGAGCTTGCTGGGGATACGATTCCGTTCTTGACGACTATGAGAAGGGATTGGTTGGCTGGTCGATACATTAGTGTGAACTGGGACATGCAAGAATTTTTGGGTAGGGAAGATGAGATTGTGAAGGGGGACAAGCTGAAGATGAGAATGACATTTTGAGCGCGAGAAACAATTTGCCTAGACTAATGCTGATGGTTATGCCTTAGCCGGTGGTTCTTTCCTCAGAATATCTTCTGACAACGACTTCCGCGCTATTTTGAAGTAGAAGTATCACAAGCAGCTATAGACAGCTCAGGTTTAACGGTGACGTTCAATCCGCAAAGTCACGGGTGAGAGGGCAGGTGTGGTCACGATTCAAGTATGAGAGTATTGCTGCTGTTCGTTCCTGCCTCGCAGCCTGGTTGTTAGAGTGTCGTTGTAGATTGGCGGCCATGTGGGGTTGGGGCTTTCCGTGCGGGAGTACCTGGACTAGGAGGACACGATCAACACTCGCACGTCATATATCCTTCCAAAGTTTGACTTGTCCTACAGTAATAGTGCCCGGAATAGTGTCTAGACCAGATAGAGTTTCAGCAAAACGTGTACTTCGTATCATCTTATCTTTTTTCTACGCTAACGCATGCATGTCATGCATTTATCCTTGTTCTAATCCTGGCGCTTCCTATGACTAACTGTTTTGGATCACTTTTAGCTTGCCCTAACGGCTGTCCCTGTGCGGCTCTGGCACCACCGCCGCAGCGCCAGTGCATGATCATGAGTTATGACGAGACGTTCTTTGCGTACCTACCTGGGTAGGGAGTATGTGATTATGATGGGATGACTTTGCAGTTTGTTTAGTTGGCAAACTGAAGTGTTTAAAAGGTGTGAATGCCTCCGGTTTTTACCATCCTTCTTAAACATGTCTTGCTGGAATTGCCGGCCCCCCTCTCACATCAGAAACGAGTGTAAGTTTTCCTCATTCCATTCTCTATTCTCCATTCGCAGTCTTCAACCTCCTATTCGCCTAACAGGAGAGATCCGGGTTCAATTTCTTGTTTACATGTTGAAATAGAACAAACATCTTTCAAAACACTGAGCGTGTTATGGCTCAGTCCTGTAAAAAATACGAATCGAATCCTCCGTCGAATTTCCTCAAAAATGCCTCGCCAACAAGCCATTCGCTCTCAGTACGTCTTTCAACCGGAGGCTCCGGCAAGCGTAAGTTTCCTCCTCCTTGTATTATCATTTGGCTGATGTCTCTCTAGGCAGTGAATAATCTGCAGCGCCTCTCGAACACTTCAAATCAAAAAATTGAAGCCATGGAACCGAAAATCGTTACCTTGCAAAATGTAAGTAAAACCCCTTCTGAGATTTCCTTCCTTTTGGATATTTCACTCACAATTACCTAGGAAATTGCCGACCTGAAGCGGGAGATGGAAGGATTGAAAGCTGCCTTCGCGCAGAAGGAGAACGTCGTAAGTAATCCCCTTGTCAGATTTCTTTTTGGGACATTTCGCTGACTGTAACATAGCATGATGCCGGTACGATGGATGGAGTTGAGAAGAACATAAAGATAGAGAAGCAGGAGAACTGAATGAGCTGTTTTTTTTTTTTTGCTTGCTTTTCTTTTGGCGCCTTCGGGCATAACTTGTAATTGCACCCAATGAACGTCAGCAATAAACCTTCAGGCTCTAATTCAAGACAATGCGTGCATCGTGTTCTGGAATTTTGTGGTATACAACACTTTGTGAGAAGGCCGACTTGTACAATAAAATTGTCCCTTTGTGAGAGCCTCGTTGTAATGAAAAGGGCTCCAAGCTTGAAGCCTAGATACTAAAATAGACCTTCCCGGTTACAAAGCCGTTTCAATTTCTTTCTTTCTTTTAGATAAACTAAACTGTAGTCCCTAATAGAAAACAGGACTAATAAACACAGACACGCTCACTCCAGATCCTAAACCAAGTGAGTTACTTAACATCCTTCTCAAAAGTTTGGATGCCAGTCAACATGCCAGGATCCCACGGCCCCCGCTGCTCATGCGGCTACAAATGGATACCCCACCCACACGGCTACCGGTGCGCAGGCAGACACCACTACCTCAACAATCTCGGCCAGGACCCGTCCGAAGAACATCCAAGTCTCGACGAAGAAGAGGAAAGACTTTTAAGAGAGCTACATGAAGCGTGTAGAGAAGGCAACGAGGCTCAATACCTGGTCCTCAAAGGGCAAATGAAGAAGCTGAGAAAACGCAGAAAGGAGTTTGAGGAGAGAGTCAAGTGCCAGGAAGAGGGAAAGAGAATGGATCGGGAGCAGAGGAGGGCGCGCGAGCAAGAGCGGAGTGAAAAAAGAAGAGCGGGCCAGGAGGAAGATTTCGATAAGCAGAGAAGAGAATATTTAGAGCTGATTAGGGCTATACACGATGCTCAGCTTCATACCTTCATGACTGAGCAGGCGAGTAAGGATGCACAACCGGCGCCGCTAGTTACTGATACTCTAGTAGGATCGAATGATTTTCCCTGGATGGGAAATCAAGGCGAGCATCAGCGCAAGCTGGAGACTGCTGGCTCAAAATGATAGATACGACGAAAGATGAGAGAGAAAGTTGCGCAGCTCTAAGACAAATAACTGGACAGGAACAAGCAAGATTATTTTCGTGTTCAAGGGGTATCAAATGTTGAGATTTTTCTGTACATACCCAACCACAGTCCATTATCATAACATAACATCAGATTACAATTCATGCCATCATGACTTTTGTTCCTGTACACCCAACACATTACATACAGCCGCCTAGATCCCCATAACATGCTATATCGACCGAATTGGTTTATTTCACATCCTGTTCTGGTTCCGCAGGCGTCGAGGGCTTAGTCAGTAGCTTTCGCTCTTCTCCTAACACCACTAACATAACAACGCATTAGTTATTGTTCTTTCTTCCCTACTCCATATCCAGGTGACTTACATCGCTCATACAGCACATAACTCGTAACAATCAAGATCGGCGCCGCCACAATCCCCATAGTAATCTTCCTCGCGACACTTTTGTAGTTTGGTGGTAGAGCTCTACTACCAGCTGTGTTTGGTCTTGCGCCTGCCCGTGTGCTTATATTCGACACGATCGCGGAGTTCAGTTCGGCGAGCGGGACATGGGGTTTCGTAGTGGGCGAAACCGTTGCTTTTGGTGCTGGTGGAGGTTTGGGAGGGGAGATGTTTGGTTTCGGGGCTGTTGCAATTGGGTTTGGGGGAGGTGTTGTGGTTTGCGGAGTTGGGACTGGTTCTGAGTCGATATTTGTTGGGGATGGCTTTAGCGTTGAGGATTTAACAGCCTCTTCTGGGCTTTGGATGTTTTTTTGGGAAAGCTCTCGGACTTTGCTTAGGATCTTGGAGGTCTCTGGAGTGACTGGTGACTTTGGGGATTGCTTCGCAGCAGCTGGAGGTGGAGAGGGAGGCGGGGTCTCAGATTCTGGCTTCTTCGCAGGCGGAGATGGAGCTTTTGAGGCGGCTTTTTGCGGTGGTAACGAGCTAGCAGCTGGTTTGGATGCAGAGGCTTTCGCAGGCGTAGCAGCCTTTGCCTTGGGTGTACTTGACTTCGCAGTTGCAGCTTTGGTAGACTTTGTTCGAGTTGTAGATTTCTTGGTGGTCTCTGTTATTCCTGATTCGATTGGATCGGAAATGACCTTCTTGGGCCTTCCCCTCTTCTTGGCGATTTCTGTAGACATTTCGTCTGGTAATTGTGTAGCAGGAATGTCGTGGACTGAAAGGGGTAATCTTGAAGCTATCTACCTCAGCAAAAAAGTTTCTCGGCGCGTCGGTAGTTGAGCACGCGTTTTTCCGCGATTCTCTTGGTGCTGTGCGAACTTCTCTTCTCACTTGCTCTTGCAATAGAAACCGCAGATTGACGCTTGAAGTTATGAAGCTCAGCGGAATCTTTTGTATGTGGAGACGATAGTTCGTTTTCAAGGGCTTTTTTTATAGGTTTGCTAGAGACGTTTGTTGTGGAAGTGGAGAGATCGCGGTTTCGCATGAATCCACAAGATTGATCGCGAATCCCTGAAGCGATCAACTCTTTTTTTTATTTCTGATTCTTCCACGAACTTCTGATTTCGCAAGATTTCCCCGAAACACCCTTTGTAGTATACAAAGAAAAGGATGACATGTTCTCTTACCCTTTCAGAAAAATCACTGTGTGCAGACAATGATTGGCTTTGGGATTAAGGGATTAAGGCACAAGGTTCGAAATTTGATAATGTCTTTTGACTCCCTTGAAGTCCTGGTGGTCCAGGCTCATCCAAGTATGGAGAGAAAGGACAGGCTTTTCTTTATTCAAGTTTTCCAGTCAGTGGGAATGTGCATTGTTCAGTTTCAGTCTTGTGACTTTCAAGCAGTATAACCTCACATTCCAAGGTAGGCGGTCCGCCTCAATACCTAAGGAGTATTACCTCCAAAAGGACTGGATGGGATGAGCCCCCATTTATGAGTGGCCATTTCTCTTTCGATTTCATGTCGCCATGTGGCCCAGTCTTGCTTCAATTGAGAGGAGAACCCGCCTTTACCATGTAAAACTAGTTAAAAACCCCTCCTAGACACATCCGGCCTCATCCTTCAACAAGGTTGATGGCATTCACATATACAAAGAGCCATTCAGATTGGAGTCTGTATAAGCTTTGCCCCAGTTTAAGGCTCGCTCCGCACAACTCCAGATGATTCTTCGTTTCAGATTGCAGTGCCCCTCATCGGGTTCTCGTATTCTTGTACCGCCCCGCAGATCTAAATTTAGCGTGAGGAATGTATACGAGATTGACCACGTCAGCTATACAGTTATACAAAACTTCCTTTATCAGCTTGAATTCTTCAGGTTTTCCAACTTGCTGATCTATACTACGTTGCAGACACAATCATGGATGAAGAAAACGAAATTTTTATTACAAGTCGGAGTAGAGCGCCGAGCATCATTAATGTCAAATCTGAAAATGTTCGAGTCTTTGTTCAACTCCCAGATCTTATCCAAGAAGCTGCGGTTTCTACAGAATGTCAGTTCTTCTAGCTGCTAAAATCTATACTTCTCTGACTTTGAGCAGTTTCCAGTCCAAACCTAAGGATAAAACGAGTCCATAATAACCGAGTCATTGGGCCGTATTTTATGAAGCAGCCAATGTTCTACGTCGCTTCTCGTACAGACTCTGGAATTGACTTGCCCGATTTGGACGTGAAAGATGAGAAGATATTAGCAAAGTACGGCTTAGATTTGACAGCCAATTTTGCTGATATCAAAGCCTACGGAGCAGAAGCTTTCTTCCAAAAGAAGAATGCCTCAAATGGCTCCAACTATTCCCTCTGTGCTTGTGCCACAGGATACATATGGATTTCGGTCCGAACTTTGTACGAATCCACAAACCGAAAAGAGTTCTCTGACGTGGAAGTACAAATCGGAACGTTTGCGTTGAAGGCTAAAGCCATCACCACGATGGAAATCCCATTGCAATACATGTATTCTGGACGCGATGATCCGCTAGATGGACAACTAGCTCTACTCTGTTCAATCGTCCTCGGAAAATACCTACGCCTTCGAATGATCGGAAAACAATACGAAAGTGCAGCAGAAACAGCGATTAAAGAAAGCCGCAGACAGTTATCTCCGCTCAGGATCGTCGACCCAGGCCGATTCGGAGATTTCGAATCATTTTTGACACAAATATGCGAGAACGCACCACTGCCGCCAACATCAGATGTGTCCCTGATATCGAGATCAATGATTACGGGACGATGGAAAATCTGGAGAGAGCGATCCATTTTACGAAGACGATACTTCCTACCTCATCGAGTCGTCCAATGCTTTCGACAGTCCCAGCATGATTCGATTGATCTACTCAGCGGCTGTTTCCAAGCTCTTACCCCTGAGAAGTCGAACTCACGACCGCCTATTATTACTCCACTTACCTGACCCGGCTCGAGAATGTCTCACAAAGTATGACAAATCGATATGAATCTTTTTAAGTCCAATCCCATTCAACAGAGCTCCCTCCTAAGAAGCATCCATGGCGTCCCATAGACTATTTTACATTCAAAATCCCATCATACTTGCAATATCCTTCACAAATAGCTTCGCCTTCACCTCAAGACACAGGGACCATCAATCTATCGATATTTGGGGCTACACATAGTCAGCATACCATTTACTCAAACATCCTCCCGTGGAACCACTTACCCCAACCCCCATTATACGCCTCAAACGCAATCGTATTCGCACTCCCACTATTCAACGGAACCGTCAGTGTCGCCGTCCCAGGCGTATTATCATCAGGCGTTGGAATGAAAGCCACAACATGGCTGACACCATTTACCACCACACTCGCGAACCGCTGCGAAGCATCCGCATTCGTATAATGGATCCGTATTGTCGTCGTCGTCGCCACGGTACTAGATATATTCGGGAATATGAGTTTCCCGCCTGGAGAACCACCGATGTAGCCAATAGATTGGGCGCCTGAACAGCCGGAACATGAAATGACCTTTGCACCACCGGAGAGCGTGTTGGTGCTAGCTTCTGCTTCGGGTGTGGTTTCGCTGGGGCCGCTGGACCAGGAGTTGGAGTTTAGGATCCAGTTTACTTCGTTGTTCTGGTATTTGTTAGGAGTCTGGGGGAAGGAATATAGGGTGGGGGAGGTACGAGAGTTGCTGTTGTGCCTGAGAGGGTGAGAGGAAGCCAGACGTAGGTTGACCGCATAAGGTTAGTCGAGACCCAGCGGTCGCCCATGTACCTGTTTTTCTGTCAACACAACACGCTTTATTTGTTTACTTGCTTGTCTGATTCAAGTAGAGGAAGGCAGGGTAAAATACATCACCGTTCCATCGACCTCCACAACACCCGCAGTCTGCGAGGAATAAGTATCTGTCCCACTCGGTGCGAAAAGAGCCCAGCTGGACCACGGGCCGGAAAGGCTAGTTGCCGTGCAGTAAACATTATCGTTTGGTGCTAGAATATGAGATGAAGTTTCACATTAGCCAAGTCATAACACAACAGAGTCTCAGCGAGAAAAAGAAAAATGAAGAAACAGCCAAACAACTTACCCCATCCGCTCTCATGCGACGCAAAAGCGAAATAAGTATCCCCGGACTTATAAATCGCAGAAGCCTCGAAAGAAGCTGGGTTTGCCCAGAGATATGTCGCAGACTCTACTGTCAAGTAATCCGATGACAGTTTATCGATCCTGAGTCCGTTTACGCGCTATCAGACGATCTCATCAGCTTCTCTTCTCTCTTCAACCCTTTTTTCCTTCTTAGAATACCCCTTAACTTACATCTTCAGTCAGCAAATAGCCAGTGCCATCAGTATCTATTCCCGATTAGTCTCTCGCCTTCTTTCTTTCCAGGGTCCACTTAGCAAACTTGCCTTTGAAAACATTCAGATCCCGGCTTTGAAATCCAAGCGGTTGACTCGATCCACTGCAGTAACAAAATTTCAGCACCAGCACCAGAAACTTCCCCCGCCCTTCCTCTCATTCATTCATTCACTTTTCAAACTCACATATAATCATACGACTGCCCGCAGATACTACTACTAGTACTAGTCGCCACGCCCGCCTTCGCCTCTCCGTAGCTCGAACTATCAATATGCATCCACTAAAGCACACCCATCAGATCAGCCCAGTCCCGTCCAGCTCTCCACATCCCCGATCCGTATCTCCACCCCACACTCACCTCTCTCTCTCTCAAAAAAAAAAAGAAAGAAAAGAAAAACACAACATACCATAACCCACTTTCCCGCCCCCTCATTCCAAAGCACATGCGGTCTCTCCACCACCCTCCCGCTCCCCAAATCCCCCCCATTGTCCCCCACACTCAACAACTCACCCACAAACGCCCAATCCACCAGATCAGGCGACGAGTAGCAGTTTATGCTCTGGAAGGCCGAGCCGTTTAGTTTGTTCTCGCCGATCAGATAGTAGAGGCCCCCTGTGTAGACGATGGAGCCGCCGTGCGCTTGTAGGTGTGCGTTTGTGCCGGTTGCGGTGATGGATGCGCCGGGGACCTGTGGGAGAGAAAGAGGGAGGTGTTAGTGTTTTTTCTTAGGCAAGGGGAAGGGAGGGAGGGAGTGGTACAATTTGGAGGGATGATGTGGCGAGAGTTGCAAGCGCAAGGAGGATGGTTGGTAGGAGGAACATCGTGGATGGATGTTCAAATCAGAGTTATGTCTCTCTTGCTGTCGACAAGAATCATGCAATATATATATGAAAAATAAACACGAGAAAAATCAAAGAAGCAAGTGAGTAAGAAAGCAAAACTAGATACAAATAAGGCCGGGTACCCCGCAATTATATATATAACATGCTCCTCTCTTTATGTACTGTATTAAACGTATTCTTATACTCCCTTCGTATACGAAAGTTATTCCATATTAGAAAAATCCCCGCATAGGCCAACTTGCTTCAACTGCCGTGATGGGGAAACAAACATGCCAAGTGCCGAATACACCGGATTTCTCTATGTAAGATCTCACTTCGTATAGTAGCATCGTGTCATGTCATGCGCCACACCTCGATCTCGTATAACCCTTAATTTCCCGGAGATCTGCTACGCTGTGGAGTCAGTCGGTGGAATACTACGGCGAGGATAGGGGTAATTCTGTTTTGTGTGGAACTTCGGAAAGATGGTGAGAAGTACTGTACTTGACTACCTAGGTACCTATTGTAAACAGACGCTCCAATCAAGCAAGCACAGCACAGCACAGCACATCAAAGCACCAAACTTACAATTTCCAAATTCCACACCGCATTTTCTTTCATATCCACATGGACATCAACATCCACACTCATTGTAAATACAAAAGCAGGGCCTCCGAAGCAGCAACTGTAAACGTAGCCGCCCCAGTAACCACAGCCGTGCTCTCAAAAACCTCTGTGCCCCCAATCGCACACGTGACATTTGCAAACGTCTGGCCCCCAAACGTAGGGTTACTCCCCTGATCCACCCTACTCCCGGCCCCCGCAGCAGTCAACCTCTTCGCCTTCACACTCGCCGCCGTCAAGCCCTGCAGCACGAAGCTCTGACTCCCCCGCGTCCCAGTCCCTACGGCATAGTAGTCCGAGTTATACAACAGTGCGCGCAGCGGCTTGCGTGCCGAGTCGTAGATGATGTAGACGGCGTAGTTTGTGCTCCCGTCATCGAGGGCTGATATATAGGAGCCGCCTGCCAGCGCGGCTACCGCTGCGTATGCGCCGTAGTACGGCGCACCCATATCATAACGGCCCCACCAACAATAGTAGCAGGCCCCGATGGTGCCGTGGTGGAAATACGTGCGTTTGATGTTGGCGAGGGAGGTGCGGAGCGCATAGTCCATGGTCCAGAGGGCTGCTCCGAAAGCAGGAGATACGTCTGCTGCTCCACCACCGGAGACTGTGTTTCTTAGTTAGTGCTGTTTTGAGGGTGTGGGATGGGGTTGGGGAGAAGGTACCTGAGTTTGTTTCGCCAAGTACATATTCTTTTTGTACCGAGGTTGCCGCTACAATGTCCGATGTAAAGATTTCTACATTGCTCGAGATGCTACTGTGGCTCATCAGTGAAGTCAAGGTTCCCCCGGGATAGTTATGATGGGCATAGTCATAGACATAGGACTTTGCCGTAGTGTTCTCAGTAGAGATCAGCTCGGCTGCTCCCCATGTCGGAGGCGCTGAATTTGAGTTTCCGGCTTGGATGATAGATTGGGTACTCAGAGCTTGCCCGACTTGTATATCCCAATCATCCTGAGATGCGGCATCGGTAGCTGGAGTCCAGGTCCCGGAGGCGATGGGCTGAACTCCTGACCAGTCTTGCGAAAATTAGCTGTTGATCGAGTTGTTTGGATGGGAAGAAGCCTTACATTCTGGTTCATTTCCTAGCTCAATTGCAAGCAAGTTTGTCATGCTACTCTTTGCGATTTTGGCCGCAGCAATTGTGTTTGTGATATTGTCATGACCGCGATTGAGCCCTTTCAAATGGTCAATTGAAGCTCCAAATTCCCCAAAGTTGACCTACCAAGAACGACGCTCCCAGCAAACGTGCCCGCGAGAGTCATGAAAGCTGGGCCGAAAGTCAAAGCTGCAGGGGCATCGGTCGAAGCAGCCACGGTGTACTAGATCACGGGGGAGTTAGTTATTTCCTCTTGAGAGTGTTTTGAGAGAAGAAGAAGAGCAGATTCCATTTTGAAGATGGAAGTGGGTAGAGTAAAATCAAAGAGCCAGTTATTCTTACGACAACATAAGCCGAAGTATTGGGATCATAAGTAGCCCGATCTCTAGCTCGAAATTAGAAACCAATTTGCTACCGCAAGACTGGGAGGGGTGTACTGGGTTGTTCCACCAATTCGTATTGGAGGCCATGTTCCTGTCAATGTCTCAAAATTTTGAAGACATTGGTTCGTCGCCGTCACGTTTTTAAAGTATGATGGGAAGGCGAAGAATTCGAATCTGCCATGGTACCATCAGGACTGAGCAGAAGAAATTGGGGGAAGACATACGAGAGTCCTACAGGAGCCGGATCGAGAGCTGTTGCTCCTGTTGCGGCAGAAGCTGGCACTGTGTAGGTGACAGTTGCGTTTGTCACAATCCTATTTGCCAGAACTAGCAGAACGCACAACACTTTCTTCATAGACAGGAAAAACATAATTCCAGACCTTTGTATTCGACGAGCGCGCAATAGATGAAGACGAGTGGAACATATGAAAACACGTTCTACTTATATTCTGTCGAGTGCGCCAAGTTTGACTTTCAAAGCGACGAAACTTTTTACTAGCCGCAGCTTGTCCGTCAATTGTGCCGAGCTGACCATCATATGGGTCACCTGCCCGCGCGAATTGACAGATATTGGGTAGAATAGTAACCCTTTATCCTTTGACAGCCGGGCAAAGGTACCCCGGTAGGTACAGTACTTTTTAGTATCATTATACCGCCAAGCAGACACGCGGTGTCAATTGTGCCGGGCGAAGTGTAGTTTCTTGCGGGGAAAAGCAGCTTCCCCAGATTGTGGAGTATCCGGAGAGAGGATATTTTATCCTCGAATGAAAGCACCCGAGCAGTCGCAACTTGTTAACTAGAGCTGGTAGCCCCTCTTAGGAAAAGCGCAATGATGGAGATTCTTCGATCCACGTGTCGAGGTGATTGTCTTGTCTCGTATTGTGACTGAAATAACTTTAACATCCTCTTGATATGTAAGATTACTGTACAGTAATCATACCCACCTTGAGCTCAGCCGCAACTGACCATCACATGATCCATTCTTTATCGCGAACATCGGTCTCAAGGCTCCGTATGATTGTTCAAGTTGAAGTTGAGGGCGGAGTTGATGTATCTTGATATTCCAAACGCGAAATGAAGGAAGAACTCGTGAGCGACGGCCAGAAAATCCAACCACTTCGCTTAGACACGTGATGAGACTTCCAACAGGCTCCCCTCCCTCCAGCGGCTGGAGCCCCGCCTTGCGCCCCTGAAGCGATCTCCTGCTAAGCCTGTACGTGAGCCCGCACTTTCCAATCAGCCCCCCTCGTTACCGTAAAATGTACCATCTGGACCCCTGAAACTAACAACTATTACACTTGCTCTGCTGTGCCTCCCGGGCCTCAAAGGATCGCAAGCCAAGCCACGATTTGGCGGCACAGGAATGACTTCAAATATAAGACCGCCTTCGCCATTCCCAGTCTGGCTGGGCTCTTGTCTATTAATTTCCTTCTAGAACAGGGCAAAGGCAAAGAACAAATCCTACGGTATTGTGCATCCTTCTCCCCCAATCGCCATACAAATCTTGCGTGTCACGACCCAGGTATTTAAGGGCAAGACTACCTACACTACTGGGTACCTTAAAAAAGAAGGCGTAAAGCAAAGCAAACATGGACGCTTCAAAAGGAGGCAACGACAACTACCAGAGTGTTTGTAATCCCCTTAATTCCTACAAACATATCTCAAAACTAACATTCCCCTCAGCTCCCAACCCAACCTCCACCAACCTACCCATACCCACAATCAGAACACTACTCCCAGCAATTCCCACAAACGGAAAACCAAGTACCCCTCAGCAACTACCGCCATACGCAACCCTTCGGCGGGGCCCCTCCCCCCTACGGCGGCTACGTCTACCGCAACCGCTACCGCAGCCGCCGTTGCATCTACTTTTGCGCCGCGGCGATCGTGATCAAGATCGTAGTTATTTTGGTGGTGCTGGCTGTGGTGCTGCATTGGGGGCATCATCGGGATTGCTCGTCTGATGGGGAGGATACTTATTGTACTTGAAGGATTAAATGGGAAAGAGAGAGTGTGTGAGGGGTTGGGTATAGAGGTAGAGGATAGATGAAGGACTTGATGGACTGATTGGTTAATTATGGCGTTTGGGCGCGTGGTTCTGGGTCATGATGATGGATGGGCGTGGATATCAAGACGTGCTTGCTCTTTACACTGTAAATGTACCGAAATATACCCAACAGGCAGGCGTTTTCTGCAACCTAAACTTCAAAGCATGTCTTCTCACAGCATCTACTCGTATTACTTAAATAGCCTTTCACTTAGTCCCTTTCCCTAAAGTCAATGAAGCGAAGCATGTCGTGTCAGTGTTGCTCGCTGCCTAAGTGCAAACTCAGCCACCCAACACAATAACGTACATACCAGTACATACATATCTATAAGCCGCTTGGCTCATGTTCCGATTTCACGTACTCTTTCTGCAGTCAACCTTGTATAAGCACCCGCTTCATCAAGGATCATAGGACCGAAACAACAAGCGAATCGCACGTCAAATTTTGCGGTATACAGTACCAGATACTATAGCTATATCTAACGAAAAGGCCATTATAAGATTTAACGCTAGTCATATTATACTTCCAGTGAGTGACTAGACTTACGAGGGCTGTAAGTTTTGCTGCACTTGGCATGTGTGTATATTGATGAGACTTTGCCACCTCACTTGAAGTTTCAAAGTAACTTATTATAGTTCGGTTCACACCATCAGCTTTCCGCCTCAGTATCCGCTTTCCAGGCAGTTGAATAAAAAGAAAGAGAAGAAATAATCGGATGATCATGGGTTCAAACGACAAGGAGAGAGAATGGTCTCGATATAGGAATAGTAAGTCTCGACTGATATGCGGTGGTCGGCTAGAACCACAACCCCACCATCACCAATGCACCAACATGAAGCCGAAGCCAAAGCATCTCACCTCTCGAACACTAAAGACGAACACCCGACAAAGTAAGACAACGATAAAGCGTTCCCAGAGGCAGCTGGCGAAAAAGCGCGCTGCTAGGATAGGGATTCGACTGAGTGTTGGGTTATTTTTGAAAAAAAAAAGTAAAACTTTGGTACAGATAGAGGATTGATCTTTTGGAATGAGGCGCAAAGGGGGTTTCGGTGATTCTATGCTAGAAAGGAGTACGGAAAATTGATATAGGGCCTGCTTTACAGTGCTTGTAACAATGGAATAACGATGGGATTCTATCTTGTTTTAGAGTAACTTTCTCTAGCAGAGCAATGCACTTGCTACAATCTTGCTCATCACTGTGCAAGTAACTAAAGATGGACTGTAAACATTTTGGTACGCTTGTCTAGCCTAGTGAACAAATTAAACCGGCTGAGACTCCTCCAGGCGTCTCCTTCTAGCCAGTACACGTTGAACGCTATCTTCAGTGCTTGATTGGCGTCGAGAATAAGTTTTTGAGAGATGTAGTGAAAATGATAATACAGTAGGGCACCAAATAAGGACGTGCCCCGCGTTACTCCTTGTAGAGAGGAAAGTTAGAGGTCACGGTATTCCAACGCTAAACTGCTAGCGCCAACGCGGTCCGAGCAGTCTCCACGTTACGGAGGTACCTTCGTCCTCCGCGCCCATGTTTCGAAAAATAGTTCATACCGGACCAGCAAACCATTTGATTGAGATTTCCCTCTTGTGTCTTGTTTCAGCCTTGCAGGATGGGCCCCTGCATGAAGGATTCTCGGTAGGAATTCTTTATTTGGATCCGACAGTCATTAGGCGCCACATTTATCACAGAGGCTGCGCCTAGGATTGGGCGAACCTGACACAGCCCTCTTGCGCGTATGCTACGCTAATGGAATTGGAATGGTCTTGGAGGTGTAGGAATGATGTGATGTCGTAGGATCACACTCTCTCTCTCCCTCTCCTTTTAAGCAATTACATATTCTGCGACGACGAAAATATATCAATTAACTCACAGTCTTTCTTTCAATACTCTCCTTAATACAATTCTGAAGCTTTTTTTTGTCAATCAATTCATCTTCGATACTTTGGAAATACTATATCTACACGGGAAGAACAATACACTAACCGACACTTGAAAATGGATGCCAGCAATAACATCTTCACGCCATATTCAGCCATGGAAGCAGAGGCAGAGCCTATGGTAAATACCTATTCCATAACTCACGTCTAGAAGAAATTCTAACATCTCCCAGTTGCCTCTCTACACCAGCGGCACACCACCACCATACACCCCACCATCGCACTCCTCCACCACCCCTCCCACCGACTCGAAGCCCACAACATCACAACCCTTACAAAACCAACAATGGAACAGCAACACAAAGAACCCGAAATCATTCATCTACATCGGTATCGCCATCGTAGCACTTTTCCTCGTCCTCGTCGTCCCACTTGTCGTGCTTACAACTGGGGGATGTGCGGCGGCCCACAAGCAACGCGTGGACTCGCATGCTGTGTTGAAACCTACGTTCGCGAACCCGGAGAGCAATGGTGGGTTGTCTGGGACAGTTGCTAGTGGACTTGCTGGGAGGTCGATCGAGGGGTTTGGGAAAATGGGGTGATTTCTTTGCTTCTCGATATCAATCAAGAAGAGCAGACGCGACGAAATGATAGCTGGCGATGCTGCAATCGTTTGTGGAAGATACAGTGCAGTATCGACGATGGAGAACCGGGGTGGGATTCTGAGGGTTACAAGGACGGTTCGAGGGAGGACCTAGATATGGAGGGGCATAAGACTACCGGGGAAGACTTGCGGGACGGGGAATTCTAGACTGCAATGCAGTTCGCAAAGCATATGTAGCAGCAGAAATAGTTCGACGAGATAAGCAGGATATCGAGGACTCCAAATAAAAACCACATCAACCTGTCACAAACCCTTGCATGCCAATCAGTTTTTGATAGGTCTTTTGATTCTCGCGAGAACTCATGAGATATCCAAAATTAGATCGTTTTAGATGATCCCATAGGATATATTATGATCTAGACAGATTTCCTTCTCGCGCTACAGTATCCATCCTCTATCCAACCTTACTACCAAATTAATGTATTGATTTTTCGCGATGTCTTCAGCCTGCAAGCCAATCTCGAAAGCTTAAGATTCACAGGCAAAGCAATTATAAAATCACACGGTTCTGCACATCTACTCCTCGTGATATCAGTCATTATGGAGTACCTAGCAACAAGTTATTACCATATTCCAAAGTCCAGATCCTCCCTAACCACGACTACCTAATGAAGCATGAGACGCTTGACGTGCTGTCTGTCGCAATAAGCGCCGGGAACACCCAACCGGGCCAACCCGACCCTATCTATCTTCGAATCATAGTCGAAACATACGAGTACGGTGCTACACACTCAAAGGTACCAAATCAAATAGGCAATCCCTCTATTATTTTCCGATGTGTGCAAAGAAACCAATACAAATTCGCTAAGAAGCACGCATGCTAGCATTTAACTCCATCCATCCATTAGGGTATTATTTATTCGTCTCTCGCACCATCCATAACCCCTTTTCATGATCCCGGCCCGGATCCCCCCTTTTTCTATCGCTTATTCTTTGATCCCACTTTTATTTATATTTATACGGAGGCTGAGGGAGTAAGAGATTCGTAATACAGGAAGGTGTTGATTCTAATAAGGACGGGACCGGTTTGTATATAGTGCCACCTATCGCAGCTAGCTACGAATATGATATGGTTTTCTTTTACAAAGATGGTAATTTTAGATTATTTGATTAATCAACAACACTCTTTTTTATTCCTTTCCGTTTCAATTTAACCTCTCTCTATCCCTTCATTCTATCCACATTACTCACCCTACCCCACTACTTTATTCGCACCAACCAATGAATCACCCAATCAATTAATCCCTCCCCTCCCCTCCCCTCCCAAAAACCCACCCCAGCCCCAGTCGTCGTCAAACCGCAATCGGCAGCTGCTGAGAAGAAGCGACACCCTCCTCCACAACACCCGCTGCATGTACGGTTTGTGAGGGGGATGCAGAGGATTCCTCCACAGGACCAGGGGTATTAGGATCGACAGCTTTCTGCTCGGGTACTTCTGCGAGTGGAGCTAGTTCTTTCTGTGCAGCTAAAGGCGCTTCAACAGGATTTGCTTTCGATTGATCTACTGCGGGTGTTTGTGAGGTTTGCGGTGTAGCAGCGGGTGGTGTTTCTTTGGAGACTGGAGCGGGGTTCTCGGATTGCACTGCGGGAGTTGGCTCACTTTCGATCAGTGTCGACTCGCTGTCGATGGTCGCTGGTTTGGATTCTTCACTGATAGGTGTTGGCTCCTTGGCTATGAGGTTGCTTTCCTCCACTACTGGTGAATGTTCATCTTCTTTTGGCTCTTCGATTGCGGCTGTGGGCTCGCTCTCGGTGGTCGCTGGTTTGGATTCTTCACCGACAGGTGTGGGCTCGTCCACTGCTGGCGTTGCCTCTTCCTCTTTCGGCTCTTCGGCAGCAGCAGAAGTTTGCTCTTCTACAGCGGGGTGATTGTCTTCAGCAGGAGCGCTCTCGACAACAGGCTTCGGTTCCTCAACAGCGGGTTTACTATCCTCGATAGCCGGTACCGCTTCTTCGACATCAGGGCTAGCCTCCTTGGCTTTACTCTCCTCAGCTATCAGAGCAGGGCGTTCTTTGCTAGCTGGTGTAGGAGCAGCCTCGCTCGTTTCCTCAGCCTCCCCCTCAGCCTCCGCAACAGCAGGAGGAGCGCTCTCTTCACTTTTGACTTCCGGTTCAGCGATAGCAGTTGTGAGGTCGGCCTTTACCTCGGGAGTTAAATCCTCAGCAGCAGGAGCTGCTGCTGGTGTTGCTGCAGGTTCAGAAGCAGGAGTTTGTTCTTTTGCCAAGAGAGCTACTTCACGCGCTTTGATGTTTTGCTCTCGCAATGTGACGGCCTCTTCTCGAGCGGCTATTGCTGCTTCGCGGGCGTCGATATCTGTAGACATTGTGGTTGTGATGTTGCGGTTAATGGGCTAAAGTTTGGAAGGGAAGCTGGATGGGGTGTGATGGAGTGGATGAAGATGACTATTTGTAAGTCCCACTGAGGATAAACAATATAAAAATCGTAATGGCGGAAGGTGAAGGATGTATATAAAGACAGTCTGATGACTCAAGGAACGGGGGATGTAGTGGGGGATCGTTCTCTCCTGGCAAACCCACGCAGCATGTGCTTAACTCCCATGCATTGGGCACCCCTACATACATCGCCCGCAGTCAATTTCCTTCATAGTCAATCTCATTCGAGAATTGGAACTCAATTCTGCCATTTGTGTAGTGCCGAGATGAAGAAAGAGGTTTTGTGCAGAACCTCGAACGCTGTGTAAACCACTAAGTGCAGAGAAGAAAGACGGTATTTGCTAACATGCAGTGCATGCAATGCACGTAGATATAGAGAACGCGGCAAAAGAATATGAATGCCAGCTTGGAAGATTGGAGTGCATGGACTTTCTGCAAACTAAACAGTGTGATGAGACACCAATGTGCTATACGCGTTTTGCGGCACTCAAGTATAGTAATTAATTTCCTTGGCAGATTAATTCAAGCTGATACCTGTTACAATAGGTGGCACTTGCCAACACACAGCCTCTTTTGGTGTACAATCAGGTAGTAATTTTGGCAAGTCATGAGATTTGAACATTAAGATTCAGAGGCTTGGCTCGAGAATTTCTATCTCTTCCCGGCGAAAGTCATACCCAGACTACGATAACGGTTAACCCGCGTTACACCCGCGCTCACCCTGCATTAAGCACGACTTTTTACTGGACGAACCGCAAGCCTCTTCGTATCTATAATGAAGTGCAGAACAGGAATGAAGAGTATCGAGTAACGTGGCAATCGTAGGATCCACTGTTCTGTGACTTGAATGCGGGGTATGTGGTATTTTGACCTGTCAAGATCAAGAGGGCTCACTAGAGCTTTGGGCACCTGTTAATCAGACCCTGAAAGTAGGGGATCGAGTATCTTTTGGGAAGCATGCAGCAAAGGAAGAAATTTCAGCTCCCACGATCGACTTCTTTCGTAGGTACAGATGTAAGGGTCAATTACTATTGCGTGGGGTAGACTTCTCCAGAAACAAATGCAGGACTTGCAGGATGTAGATGAAGTGTGGTTGGAATAAAGCTGGATTGGTAATTGCTATGAATCAAAGGGCTTTCCGTGGGACCCAATAGGTGCCCAAGATGAGGGTGATTTTCACATTAGAATGGGCACGGACTAGTGAGACACACGTACCAAGATGAAATGATTAAACGATCTGAGCGACATTCACTCCAAAGTAGGTACATACATGTTATACTATGCACTCGGCTGCGAATGCTGTGAAAGGGCTTTCCGCCAAGTATGACTGCCTAGACAAAAGGGACACCAGTCTCCTTTTGGATAATCTCAAACGCTTGAATTACCTTCTCATCCTCGAAGCTATAACACATTAGCATGATCTTGGGACGCATACAGACGCAGAGCAACATACCCTCGGCCAACAAGTTGCAATGAGATTGGCGCGTCTTTATAACCCTCCGCACCATATTTCTGCCAAAGCTCCCAGTTCTCTTTATCGGTTTCATTCCTCGGTGAATGGCTCTGTGTACCTCCATCTTTAACGACATCAACCTTGTCAACAGGAAAGATGAGGGCAGGATAGTTCAGCACGTTCCACTGGCTCAAATATCCCCACCATTTAGCAGTATCAATCTTTGGCGCGACTCCAGGGCCCGCTGGGCTCAAAATAACATCGACAGCCCCTTCTAGTTCTCCATTTGGACCAGCAGAGGTAGCGGTGCTATTCCAGTGCTCGGCGTACTCGACTCGATAAGCATCGCGCTTTATAGTGGCTTTATACATCGAGGGTATAGTGTGCGTTTCGACATGTCGACTTTTAAGGATGTGTTTGGAGAGTGGGCGCCAAGGTTCGCCGGATACATCAATAAGATCTGATTCTTCTTTACCACCATCGCAGAAGTAAAGGTTTGCCTAAGAAAGTCACAATCTGAAGGCTCTGGAAGAAAGACACAAGACTCACAATGATTTCCCATGCAAGGTCATGCTTGTATGGTTTCCATTCAACTATTTCCACATTTCCCGTCGATTTCAGCTTGTCAACCATCTGCTTCAGAGCTCTTGTGACTGGTGGATGAGGCTTCACCACTTCATCGTCCCAAAGTACTCCAACCTTCAATTTTTTGCCTTTGAAGAAGTCTTCCTGCTTCCAAGGGAAAGGCATGAGCGTAGGTTCTTTTAACCACGGTTTAGCATCAAGCAAGGTCTTAATGAATAATTTGCAGCCCTCTAAGCTCGTCGACAGAGGTCCGATTGTAGCAACAATTTGTTCCTGACCTCCCGCGGGCCCAAGCAAGCCTAGAACTGGCAATCGCAAAGCTGTTGGTTTCATACCATATACACCTGTTGCCGAAATAAGCTTCTCTCAGAGTACAAGGTTTTACACATACCGCAATTGGCAGCAGGTGAACGGATGGAACCACCAATGTCTGTCCCAATCCCAAGACATGACCCCTTGAATCCAACCAAGGCACCTTCACCCCCTGAAGAGCCACCCGACGTAAGCAGGGAATTATAGGGATTCGTGGTTACCCTGCGATCCGTCAGTCTATATAGTCTCTCCTGATTTCTTTCCACGGACCCATATAAATTACTGCTTGTCTCCAAGTGCATCAGCGTTTGTGGTTGTGTAGTCCTCGCATGGAACACCGCCCCAGCATTCCAAAATATTTGCAGGATATATGCATCTTGGGGAGCAATATTGCCAACCCAACCTATGAAACCTGCATTATTGTCCAGGTCTTTCATGCCAATATGCTCCTTCACGCTGATTGGTATGCCGTGTAAAGGACCGACTGGCTTGCCATTGGTCTTAAGGTAGTCATCGAGGTATTTAGCACGCTCAAGGGCGCGAGAGGGGAGAAGTTCGGTGATGCAGTTTGTCTGATAGATGGAAATATCAGTAAAAGCTGATGGAGACTGGTGACATGGAGGATTTAGTTTCAATTACCAACTTCTGCGCAAGCGCCGCTCTGCGTAGGAAAGCTTCCACAACTGTAACGGCACTTAATTCCCCTTGAGCAAGCTGCGGGGCAAGCTCCTCGACTTTACTTTCAGTGATTTTGATCTCCTCTTTTGTGAGGATGTCTTTTGCGATGGAAATTGTATTTAAAGATGGGGAGGGGATATCGGGAATAGATGGCTTGATAGCTGCAAGTGTTGCATCACGGTATTTCTGCCTATCTGCTGCAACCTCTTGCCATGTTGCTCCGGAAGCTATTGTCACTGTAGCTGCCATGGTAAGTATCACAGCTCGTCAGTACAGAAAATATGGGTTGCGAAAGGAGACAGGTGCCAGTAGCATTGCATTGAACATTATATAGATAGAAGAAGATCATTACAAAGGTTTCCTGCCTGTCCTAGAGTGGGATAGATACTGCGATACAGAGAAGGATGTAACCTCCACTTGGTGATTGTGTTTGATAATGACGGCGCGCCGCCCCCGCGATTTGATAAGGATATTGGCTACAGCGACAAAAGAATTAAGAAGGTGTAGCCGAGAAGCCAAGCCCTTTTCATCCAGTATGGGAGGCGGTCACGGCTGGCAAGAATGCTTGGTGATGGTGCAACACTCACTCAAGAGTCACAACCGTACTTTGCTGTATTTTCATTTGAAAATCTTTGATTCATTCTCATGTATTTGAATATCATTCGTTTGAGTCATACTGTATATCCCTTTCCCTTTCCCTTTCTAATCCGGTCCCAAAACTCCAACGCCGCGCTTGTTCATAAATCAAATGCAACTGGGTATTCAACATCTCATGGATGCGTTACAATGAGGCCTCCCCCAGTTAAACGCTGTCCCAACACTTGCAACCGTCAATGTGATCAACAACATCGCGACGACCCATTTGCAAATATCTTCTGTACTTTCTACAGGGTCACCTTCTGCGTCGAGTGTTCTCTCCAAGATTTGCATCTCAATTTCATGCTCTCGGTATAAATCGTTGTAGGATGGAGGTGGCTGGGAAGTATCTATATCGACCACGAAGGGTTCGTCTGGTTCGTCTCGGTATGGCTCGAAACGAGGAGGTGCGATGGGAACCTGAAGACTGTCGGACACAGAATGTGGTTCTGGAAGTGGAGGATGTCGCAATTGATGTGCTCTCAGGTAGTCGTACATTGGTTGGTATTCGGGAGGTTCAGAGGGTAGAGCTTCTGCCTGGTTCGCCCCGACTCGTTCCGCCCCTTCTTCGCCCTCCTCTTCCGATGGCTCTGGATCATCTCGATATGCAGGTAGGTCGCTCAGAAGTAATGGCAATGGTAATGGAGGTAATGGCTGTGACAATCGCATATGAGAGACGGAAGATGATCTTCGATGGTTCGCCATGCTTCAGCTTAGCCGGGCCAGCGGGCAAGATGACAGCCTCGTATTACCGTTCCCAGCCTTGCAGTTGCTCGTTCAGGACCCGATAAGTAGTCAGTCTTTCAAGTAGAATAGAATGCGCAGTTCAGAGGCAAGCCTTTGATCACTATTTCGTATGTGGATTTGCTCTTTGGAGCTTGAATGTGGTCGAGGAAGCCTATTCGTATGAACTGTTCTATGCTGCAGTACGGCTACGCCGCTGCCCACTGTTGGGTGGATGCGTGGGTGGCTTAGGCGGCCAAGGATCAAGCGCTGCGCTGCGCTGTCGCAGCCCAGCGTCTCGACGAGGCGAAATGGTGTTTCATGATGGTTTATTTTTGCTTCAGGACTGTCAATTTCAACAGTCGCTTCATCCACTTCGTATCAGTTTCATTCAAGCTGCCAATCATACCGAGTACAACGTCCCTTGTTTAGGCCTTGAGGATGCAGCGACTCTAAGCAGCAAGTCTAATTGTTCACCACGGCATGCTTCATAATCATTACCTTAATCAGCCTACGCAACCTCGGTTTGAGGGTATAAAACGTATCGTACCTACCTACCTACCTAGGTAGTCATCACAGTCTCATACCATCGCCCTGCCCGATAAATTGTTCAAATCGGCCCAATCCGTTTCCGCCGGTGTTCTTTTTTACCGCTGCTATCTGGATAGTGAAGTATTATCGTAGATTCACGCTGGCTTTACATTATACAAGCCTATCAGGTAGTCCCATGGAGACATTTTGCAAGTGCTTGGTCATGGCGGCGGGACGGCAATTGAAAGCCTACAGAGTACTGTACAAATCGCGTTCAAATCTGCACGTTCCTTCTGAATAAGTACTCTTCGTTATTTTTACATTTCTTTCCCATTATCAAGTTATTTCCTCTCCAAATCTCCCAGCATTGTAAATATCCGCACCCAAAAAATGTTAGCCTCGCGAGAAATAAAACTCCCAGGTGGACTTGTCCTTCCTAATCGCCTTGCTAAGGTAAGCTAGCCTTAGATCTGAGGGATAGAATTTGAGGTTTCTCGACATTATATTGACCATCTCTAGGCTGCTATGGCTGAAGCAATGGCTCCTGCATCTCACGTTCCCGATGAGAAGTTTCATACTGCGTATGGAGAATAGACAAAAGGCAGATGGGGAATGATATTGACAGGTAAGTGACAACCTCAGGCTCTTTCTGAGATGGCCATTCTGACTGTGCTGTAGGAAACGTACAAGTTTCTGAGATGTACCTTGGACAGCCTGGAGAGATTCAAACTCCAGCGAGTCCCTCTGATGGTACAAAGCAATTGTGGAAGGAATGGGCAGATGCTACCCAACGTTTTGGAACTCCTGCCTTGGTTCACCTTTGTCATCCTGGTCGTCAGTCACCCTTAGGAGCTGGAAATCGTAGTTGGTTTTCGAAAATCGTCGCCCCCTCGGCCGTGCAGCTCAACCTGGGACCCGGCTTCCTAGCAAAAGCTGCAGCTGCTCTGTTAGTAAACTTCCCTGACAAAATTATATGTGTTACTATGTGAGCTCCAGAGCCGAGAGCTATGTTGGGGAGTCAGAAGCAGCGTAATCCACAGTCTATGGGATCCCGGCTCCTAAGCAGCTCCTAGGCTCTTTATCTATCTAGCAATTCGGTTCTTTATCATACTGATACATTGGGCAGCAAATTCGGCACTCCACGAGAAATGACGCATGAAGACACTGCGCTTGTAATTGATTAATTTGTTGCTAAATTCAAAGGAGTTGAGCTACATGCTGCGTAAGTTACTACTTAAGTAACCCATTTAAAATGTTGAACTCAATACCATATAGACACAGCTATCTCCTTAGCCAATTCCTCACCCCAACAATGAACTTCAGAACCGACGAATTCGGCGGTAGCCCCGCCGAACGCGCCGAGATCGTCCTCCGAATAATCCGCCGCATCAGAGCCGAAACCAGCCCCTCCTTCACCATCGGAATCAAACTCAACAGCGTGGACGCCTCTGCCTCATCCCTGGACGAAGTAATGACGCAAATCAGCCTGGTCAAAGACGTTGGAATCAACTATATGGAAATCTCTGGAGGGTCCTATGAAGACCCCGACATGATGAAGGAGCCCGACCAGGCACCCCCAGTGAAGAAAAGCACGCTTCAGCGTGAGGCGTTCTTCCTCACCTTCGCGCAAACAGTCCGCTCGCACTTCCCTGCCCTAATCCTCATGGCCAGTCACAGGCGGATTCCGTACTCGGATTGGCATGGAAGCAGCTCTCCAATCAGGCGCTTGCGATATTATCGGTATTGGTCGTCCTGCGGCCGTTCTCCCGCTGCCGCCGAAAGAAATTATACTGAATTAGGAGATCCGGGATGAGGATGCGAGTGTGAAGCTGAAGCCGTTGGTGCTGCCTGGTTGGGTGAATTAGGTTTCTGTTACGGCTGTTGGGGCGGGATTGCAGAGGATTATTATGGGGGGCAGATTCAAAGGATTGCGATGGGGTTGAAGCCAGTTGATACGAGAGCTTGATGGTGGCCGCGAAAGTTACGAGGTTTGTTCAATGATTCTTAGCTCAACTTTCAAGTTCATGCCGAGAACTTTCAAAGGTAAAGATACACGCAAGATAATACACTATATATATAAAAGCAGATCTTAACGCGCGCATAGTCTTGTTCTATTAAAAAAGTCCTGAAACTGAGTATAACAGTCACGTGCAGGCGTCATTTCGCGTGCACAGCAATCGCCTAAATTATCACCAGCGCGACTCTTCTCTTCCTTCACAAAACCCATTCGTTCAGCCTTTTCCACTTCATGTTTTGGACCCAACATTCTGCCCGCATCAATTGAGCTTGCTGGTTTGGCAGCTGCCGCTTCATCAAATAGCGGCTTGGTGTCCTGAGCTTGAAGTCGTTCCTCAAAGTCAATGATTCTGGCTCTTGCTCGGCATCCCTTGCAACAGCAGCGTCGTTGATTCGTGGGATTTGGTGAAGACGGCATCCGTTTCTCGACAGCATTCCCAATTGCAAAGTCTTCAACTTTTGACTTTGATTCAAGCTTCTGGATACTCTATTATGACCTCAAAAATTGGGTAATGATCGCTATCTTTTTTCATATTAGGGAGCCGAAGTCTTGTTGCAATTCGCAGAATCTTAGACTTCACCTCCGAAAATCTCTATTTCACAGCACATTGCACATTACCCACAAGAATTACTATTCGGAGCTGTTTCGATGGCGGGAATAGCATATTTTTGTGACTCGGTACTGCCATTTTGAGGAGCTCATTAAGATTTTTTGATCGCGTCAGGGGGGTTCGATTCGCATCAATGATATAGGTTTCCGCCGGAAGCGTCATTGGTGATAGGGTGCTTCTGAGAAATGGCACCATGGCTAGGCATGCTGGATGGCGGAAACGGAGGTACCACACTAAGAGTATCCCAGCTGCTCCTTGTTCTGACCTGCGATCGCTCAGAGATATCAGAGGCTCTTAGCTCTCATATTCTCCCGCCAAAGTTCTGTATCGACAGCAATAACACGCGCCAGCTCCGACTAAGTTCAATTACAACATTTTCTAGTGGAGCACATCCTCTCTTAAACCATGCTTGACGAACAGAAGTGACGCCCACCAATGATGCATAGCATGAGAATCAGAGCCTATGACGGCAGTTGACTTGGTCGTTCTATCATACGCTACTTAGACTGGAAGGTCATCAACCTAGATGCTTGCTATAGCCAAGACATACACCCTTGTTCGTGTCTTGAACACAGCTATCCAGAATTTCCGTGTAGATTTTTACTATAGCAGGGAGCAAATGTCGACATCTACGTGGTACGAAGACTTGTGGCTTTAATAAGGTTTCTGCAATCAAGTCGATCAGCAATTCCGAGGTCATCTGTCCGAATACATTGGTACATGCATATGGCCAAATAGGTGCATCAACTTCGTGTTTTCTGGCGGATAAGAAGGAGCGTCGTATTCTGAAAACATCAACCACAATTAATCCGATAGGCTCATGGGCTATGTCATTTTACCTAAGGAAGGATATATAACATCCACCCTTCTCCCAAATTTCAGGTTTTCTGTCTCATGGCCCTTGCCCTTTAAAAAGCCAAATGACCCCACGAGCGGTCTGTGACTCAAGCCACAAAACCATAACGAGATCTTTCCCCCGAAACTGCGAATTCAATTCTTCTGCCAAACTTCTCGGAATTCTGTCAAAAGACTCCCTCGCCATATACACGACAAGTTGTATCACCACGTGTCCTCTTTGGAGTTGTGGACAGGAGCCATGGGATTCTTGCATCAAGGCTTCAAGCTTGGGACTTTGCGGTGTGGTGGTTGCAAGATGTTGAAATTACAATTCAAGGTATGTTTTGTTCGAAGGGATGCAGTAAGAACTAAGCTGACCTGTTTAGCAGCACACCTCCTTCTTCGCTCAGACTTATGATACACTTTACAACTGCAGGATCGAATTAGGTGTCTACAAATATCACCGGTCCAAAAGTTCTATGGCAAGTCAAAGATACCCGCGGTGAATCAAGTAGACTACTAATCTTTTCGTGGTAGATGCTACTCGAGAATAATGATGAGGCTCTGGCCTCTTGGCCTACCTGAGGTCACTTGCACCTCCATCGTTCATACTTGGTGTCGTACAAACGGCTTTCATGTATTATGCCACTGGCTTTGCAGAGCCATGACACTTCGCAGTACTCTCAGATTGCACATACGTACTACTACAACCCTAGCATACACCGATAAGTGCAATGGGACAGCCGATGAGTGGCACAATAAACTTTATGGGCCGTGTGAAGTCGATAGGGGAAGGTCATACTTTCCACAAGCCGGCCCTGAAAGGAGAGGGCCGTGTGAAAACCGCAATTATCTTTCTTTCATCTCCTGCGGCAGACATGCTCCACGTTTAGGTCCAACAACACCGCAACTTCTTTGCCTCGTGAGCAGGTTCGTTAGACCAGCTAACGCGAGGTTGCTTTGCAGAGTCTGGCCGCTTCCGTGACATCAAAGGGCCGACTTGCAGCCAACTTTAGATTACTCTGGTTTATCATCAACCTATGGCCACTAGGGTGGTCAAAACTCCTATAAGGGTTCGATGATCCGTGCCAGTCAAGGCCTCAAGGGTCTGGAAATCCGGGGAAATGGGTCTTCTGGAGTAGCTTCCGGTTGCCAACTGCCCGATATTATCTAGCGGTGAGTTCCCTGCTTTGCATCCGCAGTATCATATGAACAGCAGACGAGCATGCGGCTCTCAAGGATGTTCCTACCACTCATATGCGTTGTCGGCAGCCCTGCCCTAATTAAAGCCCCTTGGTTGGACCCTTAATCAAGTGGGTGTGGGGTAATGGAGGATTGGGACAGGGATTCCGACCCCTTGCAAGTCCCATGATATACTCTCAACATCTACTGCGCTTTGTGCTCACGAACCCCAATTATGAGGTCTGTCCATGCCAACATGTAGCCTCGGCCGAAAGGAGAAAAAGCCGAGAGAATACTCGTCTATGCACAGATACGACATCAAATCACGACGTGGTACCAAGTATGCAAGATCGGAACAGATTTTTCCGAATCATTGATGAGTAGGCAATCATTTACGAGCGACTGGCAGCACTCAAAGACTAAGTTTGGCACATGAGTGCCGTTATGCTGGCAACTTCGTATACTGCAATCAAGGATTAAGCATAATGCGCCTACTGTACTGGCCAACAAATCCACGACGGTTTGGCCCAGTTTTCGCCAAATCAGCAAACGGCAGTGCTCGCCCTGAATATTCAGATCCACTAACATGTCTTCCTCACACGACCGTTACACATGCACAACAGATCACTCCCGCCTTATACACCCCAAAATGCGAATATCATGAAAACTTCTGTCAGAGTTAGAGTTATGAATTACTATGTTGGTGGAATGGAATCACGAGCTCGCCCCTGGATCTTCTTCGGGAAGGCGATATGATTTCATATCCCGTCATTTGATGAATGCGAGGAAGTCCATTCATGTTATGCAGGTAGAATGTATCCTCAAAAGGTCTCAAAACCTATTCCGGCGTCATCTGACCGGGATATGCTATTTGTGAATGTAGGTGGGAGGAAGCCAAAGGATATAAAGTTGGCGCAGCGAGCTGTTTCAATGGCTTCTATTCTCCAGTCACTTGTCAGCCACGAGGCTATTCACACTCCTATTCACCCTTCCCCGGATTATGTCATAAGTTGTACCTAAGGTATGCTATAATCTTGCTCTTTCCATGTAGCTATCAGCAATGAACAAATGTCAACCCTGAGCGCTTTTTACAACTAATCGCCTGATAGCAATAACCGCCATGATTATCTTCACCCTTACAGTTATCCTCGCCGCACTCCTTCCCCGCCAGTCTCTCGTAGCTGCGACTGGATGCTGGAGAGATACACCTTGCACTGGCCCTTCCGCTGCATCCTTCCCTGGGCAATGGGACCAGTACAACTACTCGCCTACCAGCAGGACAGTCAACCCTGTCAGAATCCTTTCATCTAGCAACACCTTTCTTTCTGACTTTCCCGGACCCTCAACACTCAGTGGAAATGGATCGCTTTTGATTTTTGACTTTGGAAAGGAAGTGTCAGGTATTGTGACAATCTCGTACGCCGCGGCCAGAGGTCACGGTCAAATAGGATTGGCATTCAGCGAAGCCAAGAATTGGACTGGAGAATACTCAGACGGCACGAACGGATTCTACGATTTTGTTAGTGAAGGAGCCATATATGGCAACGTCACTGCCACAGCAGAGGCAAACTACACAATGCCCATCGACAAGCTTCGTGGTGGATTCCGGTATTTGTCTGTGTTTTCTATAGCAGATTTCTCGTATGGCGCAGAAGACAAGGGTATAATTGAGGTTGACATCCATGATGTAAGCCTGGAGATTAGTTATCAGCCTTCTTGGACAAATTTGCGCGCCTACCAGGGATACTTCTCTTCAAGCGATGACCTGCTGAACAAAATTTGGTATGCGGGGGCGTATACTCTTCAAACTAACTCCATTCCACCCAACACTGGCCGACGTCAAGTTAATCCGGGCTGGGAGAACGATGAGAACCTCAACCTCAATACTGATGGTGATACTATCTATGTGGACGGGAGCAAGCGGGATCGAACTGTATGGGCTGGCGATCTCACAGTTGCTCTTCCCAGTATTTTGGTTAGCACTGGCGACCTAGATGGGCTTAAAAATACTATCCAAGTGCTGTTGAACGATCAGGTAAGTTGCACAATATATTCTAAGATTTTGTTACTCGCTCACATATTTCAGCAATCCAGCGGCGAGCTTCCATTCGCTGGGCCAGGACTCAATATCTTCGGTTCAGATACCTACCATATGGCTACACTAATCGGAACGTATGATTACTTTTTGTTCACGAACGACACGGATTTTCTCAGTGCAAACTGGGATAGGTATAAAGCCGGCATGAAGTTCATCACGGATAAAATTGATAGTACTGGATTATTGAATGTGACTGGAACGAATGACTGGGGTCGCTCCGCGAGTCAAGGAGCCCATAACACAGAAGCAAACATGTTCATGTACCAGACTCTTACAGTTGGCAGCGCCCTTGCTAATTGGACCGGGGATACTACTTCTGCTTTAGCATGGTCATCACTGGCAGCTACACTGAAGACGGCGGTAAACAACCTCCTTTGGGATGATTCAGTAGGGTATGTACTTCTCCATCTTCTTGGTTATCATATCTAACCATTCCTAGTGCCTTCAAAAATTCCGACACAGATGCTAGCGTTCACCCCGAAGATGGCAACAGTTTAGCCCTCTATTACAATGTTGCGGACGCTTCCAAGGTCCAAAGTATCAGTAAGCAACTCACCAGCAACTGGGGTCCCATCGGTGCCATCTGCCCTGAGCTTCCCAACAACATCGTTGGGTACATCGAAGGATTCGAAATCAAAGGCCATCTCGTAGCACGCCAAGCTTCCCGAGCCCTTGATCTAATCCGGCGTTCATGGGGCTGGTATCTGAACAACCCCTACGGCACGGAAAGTACGATCATCGAAGGGTATCTCGCGGACGGCACTTTTGGCTATCGAGCAGACGATGGGTATAACAATGATTATGCGTACACTTCGCATGCACATGGCTGGAGCACTGGCCCTACAGATGCACTGACGAGCTATATCGTCGGGTACACACTCACGGCACCCGGAGGCAGCGAGTGGCAAATCGCTCCCCAGTTCGGAGACTTGACGCACGCAGAAGGCGGGTTCACGACCCCGCTGGGCAAGTTCGCCGCCAACTGGCATACTTTTGATGGCGGATACACGATTGCTTGGGGAGGACCCGCCGGAACGTCTGGCAAGCTCATTTTGCCAGGAGCTAATGGCGTCGCGCCTACGGTGGTGAAGGACGGGCAGATTACGGCCAAGGAGGCGGCAGTGTATGATGCGGAGGCACAGACTCTCACGATTCCGTTCCAGGCTGATGGGGGCGCACATAATGTCACGGTTACTTATTAGCGCTCTTATTCGGTTTACGGTCACGTCAGGGCTTGTATTTAGGGGTTGGGGTGCTCGGTTTGGCTGTACGTAAGATCTTACATATGATATACCCAATTCATTCGTTGGGTGGATGAACCCATGGGAGACTTAAGAATGAATTCTCATTACGTAATTAAACTGCTACTGTGAATGTTTGGTGAGCTTCGGGTATATTCCTTTTCCTTTCTAGACAAGGTGTTCAGAATCCACGAGGCACTTTGCTACGAGCGACTTCATCCATTTTTCTTTACAGATATTCGTTCGGTGGTTCTCTTCATCAGGATCGGGTTGTGGATCTTAGTTGTCCTACTATTTCTCATTGCGATCTTGTGGCAGGGACTTCTAGAGGTGTCGAAAATTTGGCTAGATCTTTCCTCATGTAAGTGAGGTAAGCCTTTTTTATATCTTTCGGATGATGAACAAAACTCGTCTTGGTTTTCAAGTTTATTGCTAACATTGAATGATTTAGAGGTTATGGAATATCGATTCCCATTTAACGTAGCTCTTGTTCTCGGTCGGTGACGATTCGATATAGAAGTATACTTTAGCACTCGCACTCCGCCGGATTCTTTGTATCCATCAGGTTTTCTTGACCCCTAGATTAGAATACCTATAACCTAAACCCCCGTTTCCGCAACGTAAAACTATTTTAGTCCACTAGGCGGCAAATCCTGTCTCCTGGTCCCCCAACGACTTTCGCTCTTCCCCAGCGTTAACTCCAACACTCCCCCATTCAGCCAGAAATCATGCGTGATCCAATTCTTCTCATACGGCCTCCCATCCAACGTCGCGCTCTGGATATAGATATTCGCATACTCCGCATCGAAATTCACATTCCGTACCGTCGCCTTTCTTCCTGTCTGTCCACTTATAATGCTAACTTCCGGGAAATATGGCGGTGTGATCAGGTACACGTCTTGTCCAGACACAGGCCATAGACCTATCATAGCAAGCGTGGTGAAGGAGCCCATGGCGCCCGAATCGTCGTTCCCTGCGATACCCGAGATCGTGTTGTTGAACTGGGACGGGATATAGAAGTGTGAGAATTTTGCGGAGAGGCCTGGACGGCCGGCATAATGGAATTGGAATACGGGGAGGAAAGCTTGCTCGTCACCGATGTACAGCAGGCCGGACGTGTGTAGGTAGGAAAGGCGGGCGGAGAATTGGTCGGGGCCGCCCAGGGTGCGGATTAGGGAGGCCATGTCTTGGGGCACGAAGAAGGTGTACATCCAGGCAGAGCCTTCATAGGTCTCGTGGCCGTTGGAATTGAGGTAGCAGGAGGTGAAGTTGAGGAGTGGGGAGCAGAAGGATGGGTCTTGGTATGCCCAGGATCCGTTGATGTTTTTGGGCTGCAGGAAGCCCGTGTATCCTGTGTCGACGGTTTGGCCTTCGTGGCCTGTGGTTCCGGCTACGAAGGACTTTTGGTCGCTCTTGTAGAGATGTCTCCAGTTATTTGACCGCTCGAGGTATTTTCCCACATCAGAGAATTTATCAAGGCCTTTCGCGACTTGCGCGATGCAGAAATCATCATAGGCGTACTCGACTGTCCGGGAGACTGAACGTGTCATCAGTCCAGTGCCATCGGGGTCGTTGTCGTGGATGGGGATGTAGCCCAAAGATTTCCAGCTTCGAAGACCGCCGCGGCCTTCGATTGACCAGTCTGCAGGCTCATCTGATTATTAGGTAGTTAGCTGGTAGTACGGGAGGAAGGTTATCTCGGATTCTACCTTCAGCGTCTGAAATCAGAGCTTCGTATGCCGTTTCCCAGTCCACGCCAGCCGTGATGCCTTTCAAGTAAGAATCTGCCAGGACGATATCTGCATTCGAGCCACCTTGAGTAAATCCCTTGCAGAGAGACATTCGGCAATCAGGGAGTTTGCCTGGGTCATGTCAGAGAGCTCTCAGAAGATGAGAAGGGGCATGAATGGACTCACCTTCATGTCTATAAATATCAATCAGACTCCTAACCATCAGGGTCTGACTTTCAGGATCGAGCAAAGTAAGCAACGGATGAATACTCCTGAAGGAATCCCAAATACAGTAATACGAATCGTAGTACGGTTCGTCGGAGTCCCACAGGTAATTTTCTCCGGTGTAATCCTGCGGCGAGATCATCGATCTGTAGATTCCCGACCAGAAAACAGTCTGCAAATCATCATCGACTCCTGTTTCATCAACTTCCACTACCGAAAGTTTCGTTCTCCACGCATCCTCAGCCGATTTCCAAACTTTCTCAAACCCAAAATGTGGAATTTCGGTTTCAGCATTGTGGCAAGCTTGAGCTACACTTATAAAAGACACGCCCACTCGAGTGAGAATTTGATGGTTGCTGGGTGCTTTAAACTGCGTCCAAGCTCCTGCTGGAGCTTGTGCCTTTGTGAGATTGTTGGTTCCAGGGCTAGGTAAATTGTTTTGAAAGATACCGGTCTGTCTGACTTCAGCTCCGGAGAAATCGGCACAGAAGTTGAGATTATATGTCCCTACGCCAAATGAAGGGCCGAATGTACCAGTTCCTGAAATTCTTCCAGTTTTCGGATCAACTGCAATGCTACCATTAGTTATTGACTGTGGTAGGTCTATCAAGTCCACGAGAATCAGAGGACTGTATGAGTCGTTTTTAGATGCATCAGTGCTGTTGGAAGGGAATGTTATTCGGTACAAAGCTGTGTGGTTCGTGACTGTCATCTCAGTGTTGATCAAAGTATCCAAGCTGATTGAGAAGTATCCTGGCTTAGCTTTAACGCTGCCATTCAACCGTTTAGTAGCACGGTCATTTGAAGCGAAGTGGCAGCTGGTAACATTATCTCCAGGGCATCCCGCCTGAGGAAAAATGGGAAAGTTTCCAAGAGAAGGAGACTAAGTAATTGGTCAGAAGATGATTCCGCTGCTGTTTCGTGACTATACTCCTCCTGTTCCATCATCATGCATGTGAGAGAAACCGGTGATATTGCTGTCGTCCGATGCAAACCCTCCTTGTTTTTCATCAGGATTATCTACATCAGCCACTGCCTTTGCCATGCCTTTTCCAAATATTAGTGAAAGTCCTGATTGGAAAGCGCCAGTGGCCTACCAAATGGCAGTGTTGCACCAGGAAACACGTGACCTATTCTGCTATTAGACTTGGTGAATCTTGCCATAGGAAAGGATGCAGTAGGTTTTTTACCTCCATTGACAGTCCCAATTAACGGATTGATGTAGTCGAAGACATCAAAGTCTCTCTTCTCCGCCGCTAAACCAAATACAAGAGGTAGAGTAAGGGCAAGCCCAGTTAAGCATTTAACATTGATGTTATACATTGTGCCCTCGATGTATGGATGTTGACGGAAACATAAATCTCAGGGGATGAGCTTCTATGTAAGTCTGGACTCCGACCTCGACCTCAACTTCGACCCCGCTAAGGCTAGGCCCCCTGTGGGCTTGGCTCCTGCCCTCCCAATGCACAATGCTATTACCCAATTCATTTCACGACATATCGCTATATAGACTATCCTCTAAAAAGCTTTGCACATGAGTAGTCATTAACTACTAAAGTAAGCAGATCTTCTGACAGATTAAGCTCGGGTTGTGGCTTTATGGCGCCAACATAACTCGTAAATTTGCGGGGTAAAAAGTGATAGTGGGGTCATGGCCGCCACCAACGCCTGTGCCGACCGGTACTCAATCATGGCTGACGGGCGTGATGAACTTGCATGAGTTAGATCTAGGTCTGACAAGAGGCGTTCCGGAGTTGCACCGCGTTTTGTGAACATTAATTGACGTGGACGTTGAATGAAGAAGGTGTCTCTCGGCAACTCGCCTCAGTTCGGTCCGACAGACAGCCCTTGGAAGCTTTCGTGATACTGTAGAGAGACAGACTACTAGTATCGGAAGAACTTGTGTAATCGCTTGGAAGAAGTGCCCCCACTGCAAATCTTCGGAGTCAAATAATCAAAAACAAATTACTCCAGCCAGAAATTAAGAACCCTTAATTCTGGGGTCCGGAACACGCTACGGCCCGCCCCTTCCCCCTATCTTGCTAGCCGAGAATCGTTCTACTCAGAATTTGCAAAGAGATCAGGATGATCTTTACGTCTCCCTCGTTCCTTGGGGGTAAGTAAATTGACTTCCCTTTATATAACCATTAACTACCTCAAAACCCTTTAAACTCAAGGAATCGAAAGTCAGTGCCACAAGGTCACGTGGAATGATCCCGTCAACGAGAAATGTATGACGTGACGTGCTTGTAATCTTACAACATCACTGAACATCACTGAACATCCATCAACAATTGAGAACAATATTCTCTACATCCATCTACAGAACAAACCTTTTGACTCTCCAATACCAGTAGACTCTTCAAAATGGCCTCCAAGTTCTATCACGATGATACCCCAGCAGAAATCAAGAATGCCAAAGTCAGACAGACCCCAGAGCAGATCACAATGTAGAAGTACGAACTAATACGGGGTAAACCAGGGGCTTCATTTGATTACAATGTCAACACCCAACGGCAAAAAGGTTCAGATATTTCTTGAGGAATTGAAGGAGAAATATGGAACAGAATGTAAGCTGCATGGCACGCCTGGGCATTTAATCCAGGGAGATTTCCCTGTCTGAAGCTAAATGTTATCAGACACGAAAACACTCATTAATATCAGCACAAATGAGCAGAAGAAGGATTGGTTCCTCAAGCTGAACCCAAATGGTATGTCGTTCCAAGAATTGAAGGACTTTGACCTCACGTAGTCAATTCAGGAAGGATACCAGTCATTGTCGACAACACAAAGAGCCCACCTTTCGCGGTCATGGAGACTTCTGCCGAACTGCTCTATCTCCTCAAGGAATTCGACCATAATGATGCTTTCGGTTTCAAAGACGAGTTTGAACGAAATGAATGTCTTCAGTGGCTGTTCTTCTGGCATGGCAGTGGACAACCAATCCAGGGTCAGTTGAATTGGTTTTCAAAGAATGCAAAGGACGATCATCGTGAGTTTTCACACCATATCAAATGCATACAGTAGATGATGCTAAGAGACACAGTGGCGCTTAATCGTTTCAAGAATGAAACCCTGAGAGTTTACGAAGTCCTTGAGATCCAACTTTCAGGCAGATATACGGGCCAGACTCGTGAATATCTTGCTGGTAAAGGACAGGGCAGGTACTCAGTTGCTGATATTGGGGCTTGGCGTGAGTGAAAATTCTAATGAATCTTGCCTTAGTGCTGGCAGCTGACAATGTGAAGCTTGGATTAATGCCTGGGGCGGGTCTGGTCATATTACTCAAGAGGATATCGATAAGTTCCCGCATTTGAAGGGATGGCTTGAGCGGATTGGACAGCGACCTGCTGTTCAGAGGGGCATTGATCCGAAGACTTGGCAGGTTTGATGGGGGCTGAGGTTGGAGTGAATTTGTTTCCGCTATTTCATACATTACCGTATTGGTCCCGGTATCTATTGTACCTATTGTGGTGTTTAGAGTTTGTGTTTTGCTTAATTAGTGCTTCCTATTGTGGAAAGTTTAGTACTTAGTATGTTTATATTTTTATTAATTCTCCGTATCATCGTCATTTTCCTCCTCAGAAACATAGAAAGCATACTTTCTAGGACGATATCTCGCAAAGTCTACGAAGTTTCGAAGAAGCCGGACCAATACTCGTATAAGTTATACGCCATTCCTATTTGCTTTATTTCATAACATGGATTCGGTGATCGGCCGTGCCAACTATGAAGGGCCCGGGGTACGCCTTCTATTTGATGCTGTCCCTTTTTTATCGACGATGCGACGTGCTTGGCAGCAAAGAGTGGCATGACAGTAAATAATGTTCGGTCGTTTGGAAGAGTGAATATCTTTACGGTACCGAACAAATACTGGCATCAACGACTGTTGTCGATATTGGTTTGCCGGCAATGGAATCTTCGACAAAGTAGTCTGAGCATTCAGAAATGTGTCCGCCATTTATTGATATCCCTCGATAGGCTTACTGCGACCTTGCTGAAGTAACATACGCCGTAACAGAAAGTGGTCAAAATACAGAGAATAAAGGAGCGGAGGTCAGTGAAATTTAATTCACTACGTTCCTCATATCAAGGGAACAATAGCTAGAACCTATATCTCAACAAAACCCCTGAATTCCACAATAGGTACAATACAATACTCCAACTGCGAGCTGACACTTTGCTATAATTACTCGTGAAGATGTGAGTTACCTTTTCCCTCTTGCCTCCATCATTCTTCAATCTGTCCTCATTACCATTGCTTGAAGAGAAGCTCTCTAAAATCAAACACAGAAGCACAGACCAAATTCAAAAGCAATCATGGCGCAAGACCTCCAACCCCTATCGCAACCCCATTCTCCTGAGCCCCCAGAGGGTTACGAAGCTCCAAGCACCCAACTCCCGACTCCCAATTCCTCTCCTCCATTCTCACCAAACCCAAACTCTGCAGCAGGTAGAGCCTGGTTACTATCCACCATGGTTACTACCGCTGAAGAGCTTGCTCGCCACTCTATTCCGCCAACCCCTCCAAAGCCTATATTCAACAATGATTTCTTCGAGGTCCGATCCTCACCAAAAAAGGGACTGGGAGCGTTTGCATCGGTGGATATCCCAAAGGGAACTATCATCATGGCCGAGGAGCCGCTATTTCGAACGGAAGAAAGTCAAATCTTCTGGACCTATGATGCTTTGTCGGATGAGCAAAAGCGGGCATACAAGGGATTATCATGTTGGTTCGGGATCGAAGATCATAGAGTTCCGGCCATCTTTACAACCAACCGGTTTGTCCCTCCAAATAGAAATAACTCAAAGCTCGTGGAACATTAACTGACAATTCTCGATCCAGGTTCGAAACCGGCACAGGCCTAGGCGGTATTTTCCTAGAATCTTCCAGGTTCAATCATGCTTGCCACCCGTACTCGACCTGTACCTACCGCTGGGACGAAGCAGCAAATACGCTGACTTTTACGACCCTTATGGATATAAACAATGGGGAGGAAATAACGATATCTTACACTAATAGGCCTAAAACACTATATCGAAACTATGGCTTCGATTGCGATTGCCCCGGTTGCTCTACCCTGGAGGATTTTAAGGAAGGCTCGCCGCCTGGTGTGGTTATTTCAAGATTTGAAGATACGCAAGTGATGGTGCGCACGGGTTGATCCTGGTGGTGCTGTATTATAAATTTATAATCACTTACTTGGGGTGCGGGATTTTGAATTCGCTGGTTTGGGGCCAGGGGGTGGATATCTGATTTTGAATTCGATAATTATTTGACGGACTGAAGATTGTTCCAGCGAATGTGACGTTTCCATATACCATCGGTGTTTGAATTCGGTCCCCCTAATATGTCCTTTTCGGGGATACATTTAAATGTTTCATCTGCTGTGGGACATTCTTCTCCTCCTGATCCGGTATTGCGGTGAGATAACCAACCCCTTTTCAACAAGATGCTGGTGTTGCCATAATCATCCATGCTGCGTGAAACATTCACCACCATCCGTCTGAGTAACACTTGTCTCGACCATACCCACATTAATTGTGAATGTACAGTATCACATAATATATATCCAAACCCTTCTTTCCGCTCAACGCCAACAAACTTCCACGAAACATCATCATCAGCTTGTTTTCTTTCAACCCACTACACAAGAGCCAACAGTCCCTAGCCCTAACCATAGACGTACCCAACTTCATGATGGACTGCAATGCCACCAGTCTAGCAATAACCAAGACGAATGTCGCGACGCTAGAACCCCCTAAACTAAGCAAAACGTTCAAGAGGTCCGTTCCACCGGCTTTGAGCACACCCGAGGAAAAAAGGATGAGGAGGGAAAAAGAAGAATGGGCAAAGAGAAGGGTGGTAGTGGTCCCTGAGTGGTTGGAGGGTTGTGGGGGAGACGGGTGTGTGGGGTTTGGGGGAGAGATAAAAATTTCAAGAGAGTAGTGGAAGTTAACCAGGAACTTGAATATACAAAACCCGTGATCATCTATATTTTATTCAGACAAGTAGCAGTTGTATGTCATGAAGTGTCATATTAACTAGACACCGTTTAGTTTTGCCCCTGCCTTTATGCGCCAATTCAAAAATCTGGGAACCCCTTTCTGGAAACTATTTGAGTTCTTGGACTTTGGCGGGTACGGGTACGGGTATTGACTCATGAGAGTCTTCAGACCTAGGGTTATATTACTAGTTGTAGTAATTATTATTCGCTTGCTACTTGTCTCTGTCTGAATAACTACAACCCGACATTCACATTAATTATTCCTTATCCTGTTGTAAGACACTAACGATCACCGTCTTTAGGCTCGCCTGCTAATTCTAACCTCCAACATTCTATAAAAGACGCTAGGTATCTTAACACAACCACAGATCTGACTTAAATACAACAATTCATTCAAATACAGAGGATGAACCATGGCACATTGGAAGTGGCCTCGGATATTGAACCCATATCCAGAACAGCATGCTTTTTCAAAAGACTACCCTCCCTCGGAAGATGGACCGGCTAGCCTGGGACGGACAACAGAACATGATGATACGAGTGAAAACGGCACGGAGCTTTACCGAACATCGTGTCATAACGCTGGACTAACAACAGGCTACAGTTCGAACCAAGCTCAAGTTAATTCCACTCCTCAGCGTTCACTAATGGCTAGCATCCGAAAGGATGCTGATATACCCAACGAAGCAATCCTAGAGTTCAGCGCTGAATCTGGTCTGGGAAGGAAGGGGGAAAGTCGAGAAGCGAAAGCCAAGCGCGAGCGCCATCTTGAAGCTCTTGAGTACTACAGAAAGCTTTCGGAGATCCACCAGCGTAAGAGTGATCAAGGCGATAAGACTTATATTACGCGGACGCACCAGGAGGATTACATGAACGAGTTGAAGGCCTACTACACATTAGAAAGGAAGAGAGAGCGAGAAATGGCGTTTGCCCTGAGCCAGAGTGTTCAGATTTGGATGATGTGGTGTGAGTACGAGGGAGGTGTGGGGTGGCCTGGGAGTAAGGAGACGAACGATAGAGAATTGGAGAGAGCTCAGGGTGGTATTTGGGCACAGGATAGGTAGAGTAAGAGATATGAAGGACGATGAGAGTCGAGACAATTGAAAAGAAGAGCAAATATGGCAGCGTAGATATTCAATACTCTACTATGTCCAGGGTTCTGGCTTAGCAAATGATGAATTGTGATTTAAAGGAACATGACAGAACATCTTATCAAGAACGACTGGTAAATTTGAAAAAGAAAAGTACCTATGGGATAGATTTAGCATCAACTTGACGATGAGACATTATTCCTGTACATGGAAATAGCAACTTAGCACCAAAACAATAAAATGTCAAGAGCACTTTTGATGTGGTTGAATTAAGGAGATGTCGATGTCTCCAAGCTTGAAGACAGATCTGTAAGCAAATTAGCATCAATCATGTAACGTACAACATACTGTCAGACATCCTCTATGAATCTATATTGGCAGATGCTTAAGAACATCTATCATCAATTTCAACCCTGTTGGTATCACATAGTGCACTTTGCTGGCCTAGTAACTTGTCTTGTATTGCCTTCGCTCTGTTTGGTGGTTTGGTTTCTAGGTGTCTAAGTCTAAGTGTGGGAAGCAGAGCGAAGAGGTGATGCCTGCGTAGCTTAGTCATCCGCGCTAAGGTCACACGACTATACATGCGAATACATCCCGACAAACTCTCTCTGTATATGAAATTGCGAATTTATCTCAAAGGTCTCCGCTTAACCATCTAATCAGTCCAGCCCAGGTTCAGCACCTGGCTGACCAGCCTTGACTTAAGAATGTCGGAATCACCCCAAGAGCCTAAACCCTCCTCCTACGTTGTGCTTTTATCCGGAACTCATGTAACTGGAAAAGAGACTCTCGCAGTCTCTCTATCACAAGCATTGAGCTGTCCATGGCAGAAGGCCCAAATGATTCACGTATCAGCAACCTTTGGAGCTCAGTCTCAGGCAAGAAGGTTTCAATTATAGCGAAGTCTTTGGGCGAATTTGGGTTTCCAAGATGCGAAGAGCTGGCTTCTTGTCTAATGGAAACGAATCTGACGGAGAATCAGAGGTCGAAATTGACAAGAGGCTGGAGAATAATTGCACGGCGGTCATCACTTGCAATGCGATGCGCAAGCCAGCTCGAGATGCCATTCGGGATGTTATGCTAGCGCACTCGATCAAGACAATTTTTGTGATTATGCATATCACGACAGAGACACTTTCTGGGAGGACTTTAGGAGCCGAAGAGCCTGAATTGGCTAAGAGGATTATGGGAGACAAGATAGCAGATATTGAAGAACCTCTGGAGGAGGAAAAGGATGTCATACTGATCGACTCAATACACGACGTTGATACATCATTTTTTGAGATCAAGGAGGGAATAAGTCGGCAGTTTGTAGATCTCTGAGGGGTTTGCTTTTTTATTTCATTAATTCTTCGTAAGAGCCTTCCAACCTCGCCTTCGCAGTCATCTTTTAAGAGACTTGCCGTGGTTGATGATGACGTCCAGGTGTTCCATCAGGGATGTAAATTGCAAGTCTGAGAGGTCGAGGTTGATAGTTGAAAGGTCGACGACGTACTCGATAACCTTATCAATAATTACTCAGACGTGACTCGGTTTTTTGACTTCGTCAAGTCGCATTGCTAAACAGTGTACCTGTGTCACTCTTGGGTGTTGATGAGATATAAGAAAACTGACCTGCCTATGAGCCGGTTAAGAAGACTTAAGAACCCTGTTCGAGAACTTTTGATGGGACGGCAAGGGAAAGAGCCTGGATTGAGGAATTTCATCCGCCGTCTTTGCAAACTCCAAGTCCCAGTTGGTTATTAGCTGTGTCCTGGGTGCCTCTAGGTTTTAAAAGATAATCCGTCGTCTGCAGCAGAGTACCCTTGTGGGAAGCATCCATAGCATTTGCAACGAGCATAGTCATGTTGGTCAAGGCGCTAGTGTGGAAGAGCTCAGGCATAGATAGCGTCACGCCGAATTGGACGCTGAGAGATTAGAGCTTGATGCTTAGGGTTGACCTGCCCCCAACTTAGAATCTGCGTTTGTTTTTTTGGGTTGAGAGAACCTCTCCACCGATTGTTTCCACGGGCTCAAGCTGTACCCGAGAGTGCTATTGTACGCGAAGTCAGGAGCTTGGGGATAGGTGTTTTGTCTACCGCGCCGGAGCTCTATGGCCTCCACGATTTTAGTCTTGTTGAAGATCTGACATTTGCTGACTTCAAGCTAGTTTCTCGGGCTAGGGCCTCTAGGGAACCCTTATACTACTTCACTAGAAGCGCGCCATCAGATACCCCATACAGAATCCACAGCATGATACGAGACAAGGGTTCAGTCCGACGTCGAGAGTAATTTTGAGGATCAGATTGTAGGGATTTCCTTTCAGTATGGTTCTATCCTACTGGATTCTTCCATCGCTCCTGAAAATCGGATTCAGGTCGTCAGGATCGTCTACGACTACGTATTTGTCTTGATTGTCTTCCATTTCATTTGTTTCTCGTACCACTATACTAACTGCTACGCATTCATTATATAGTACTTCGAGATCCAATAGTCTAATAATTTGTTGAGATTTATAATTTCTAGACAAACGAGTTTCGATAAATGTATTGGAAGGGGGAGACAAACATTTTCCTTCAAAGCTGTTTACCTTACCATCATTGTACCCCTATGCCACCTCAATAACTCATTCGTGTACAGCAAAACAAAACACGCAAGGCTCATCCGTCATGTTGACTCATGTTCCACAAAGGAGATTCAAGATATTTCTAAGCAATATCAAAAAGTTGCTTCTAATTTGAATTGATGGGCTGTATCACGAGGTAGACATAACTCAAAGTTGCTTGATCATAAGTACACTTCCGTTAGAAGCCGAAAATACCCAGCACGTCTTTTAATAATACTTTTATTAATGTCATGATTGAGAATCCTGTGAATGGACTGCTAGCGCAAAGCGGCACCATAATGATTCACAGGCCTTTGATTCACAAACGTCTCTGAAACTCACTGATAAAGACATCTAGACTGGTCAGTTTCTTGAATCTCTTCTTTCCCCCACATTCCAAGATTCCAAGTATCTGCTAAAATAAAAAAGTAGCTTCGGTATACCTAGGTGACTTCTGCCGTACAATCTCACAGCCATCAACTACCCCCCTCTTCCAAATGATTACTCCACCACCTCCACCGCCCTCACCACTCAACACGCCGTTGAGACAATGCCCGAATTATTCTCATCGACTATCTGAATTCGCCTCGCACGATCCAACCCAAACCGTTGCTTCGTCCTCTTCAGCCATGACTACCGCAACATCTCAAGCTATGGAGTCAGCTACAGATGGGCCAAGTACTGTTCCATCATCTGAGTGTTCGGGATCCACAGTTTTAATAGACTCGGAAGATCTAGCCCAAATCTTTCGCAAACTCGGCACAGACTCCAGCTGTATAATGACTGGCGATGGAACTTCTCGACCAGGTTCTAGAACGTCGATCGAAAGTATCATGTTTGACCGTCCGCATCCGTATCGAGCAGACGACGACCAATCAGAACCAACGCATTACCATGAAGATAACAGAAAGCTTCACAATGGCGTACTCACACCGGAAGAGGAGAAAGAGGTGATCGAGACTGCCTTCAAAGCCTGGGGCGTTGCTGGAAAACTTCACGGCGCCATTCGTAGAGAAGATATTGCAGATGCTGCTGTGAGGACAGCGTTGCGAGAGAATGCTCCTTTGCTGACGTCTGGTGGATCCGAAAAGTCTGTGGGGGTGGAGATGGATCCTTTGTTTGCACGAGCAGACGAACATATTCGGACTTGTCGCGGTTGTTCACGGCCTGCCGAAACACATCAAAAAGCTACTCCCACGGGAGCCACACCTGAGAACAGAATGCAAGAGGTGCCCCACTCTCAAGAGACGACCCAAATCGAGATGTCTAAGCGACCGGCAAGTTCTAGAAGCCAACAATCCGACAGGAGGACTCTTTTGTCGCAATCCGCTTTTTCCGAAGATGATGAGGAAGACGACCTTGAAACGGATGAGAAAATTTGGAAATTGGGGGCCGAGATGACCTTTGCACTTGGCCATCTTCGCACATGTACAGACTGCTGGTTTACTTTCGATCAAATCTCTATCGCTAAGAAAGAACTCGAGAAGTACCGACAGAGAGCATCCGCAGGATATTCAAGCACTCCGGAAATTCCAAGCGAAGAGCTCTCACAGGATGAAGTAGAAGCGGCTTTGAGTGAAGACATCAGTGCTTTGGAGCAGCACAAGGAGTTCATCACGGGTTATATGGAGCAGGCTTACTATGACATGGCAAGCGCTACCGATGGTGATGGCGAGATTGCTTCCACAGACTGCGTGTTCGGACTTGCCATGGAGCACCTGAAAAGATGTCCAGGATGTCCAGGAAAGCTTGCTGCTCAAGAGGTTACTTCAAGCTGGACCCATGAACACAGTAGACATGACCTAGGTCAAGAATTTCCGATTGATTTCTCGAGAGATCTCGGAGAAGCAGTACCCGATTCAAGCTCTCTGATTCTCTCACCTTTTCGTACCGAATCACCTCAGCTGCAGCCATCAAGTCTTGACCATAACCTAAACCCCAACTTATCCTGGCGCTTCCCTTACGCAACTAGCGATGCTCCTACCATAGACAGTTCTTTCCCTCCAGAAGATGAGGGTCGAGGAAGGTCTCACTACCTCCGCCGCCACACTTCAGATCTCCATTACCACGAGTACAGCTGCATCATATGCGGGCGAACCCCACTCGATTTCCCCGGAGCTGGTTTCTCTCACAATTCATACGACACTCCGACCCCCAGCTCACAGGCCAGCTCTCGCGAGTCTCGAAGCGACGTTAACGTTCGCAGTCCTCGGAGCAGCACACCGGCCTTGACACCCCCACCCGGAGCGTTCCTTCGACCCGTTCGGGCCCGCAGTCCTGGAAGAAGTGCATGTTCTTCGCCAGCACCCTCCGTCAGCGATCGGTACAGCTGCAGTCCAGGACGGTCTTCTTTGCCGCCATTGACTAGACTAGTGTCAAGTAATTGTAATGCACCGCCCGCTGCGTCGCCTTCCCCGAGACGCTGCGTGCAGAGCGATGTTGAGCATCTCGATACGATCACCGAGGGAAATTTTGATTCCCAGTCGAAGGAAGTAGAGCTTTAGTTCTGATGCTAAGTGCGAGGGTTTACTATTGCATGTATGTATTTTATAAAAAAGCGTTGGACATTGATTGATTGCTATGGGAGCACACAACTTGAATGAAGACATGCGACATTTACTTTACTGGACGGAACGAAGGGAGGCATTTCTGTGAAAGCTTAGCATAAATCATGTTGCGATAGACAATAAATCAATGGCTTCCAAAAGCATATTTGCTTGATATGATTGGTTTTAAGAGCTGTTTATGGGGATGAGAAAAGGGGCTCGCTTGCTACAGTGTCCGGCTAAGTGGGTCCTTTCTAGTACACCAGACAATACGTAGAGTACCAGTACGTCACAAATGAGCTGGTTATTACAAGTAGACTGTTAATAGCTTCCCTCCTTTGCCAAGATTTAGATACGACATGGTATCTTGGACATCATACATAGAATTCCGAGATCTTGACACAAACAAATCCAACACAAATATATACAGCCGCCGGGTCTCTACCATTTCCCAACTTTTCCCAAAGAACAAAAGCAAAAACAGAATCCATAAATGGCTGCATCATCCAACGTAGGTATCTCTTCCTGTACCATCTTCAACTCCATCTCCTCCGAGCTTCCAAAATTACATACAATAACGGACACAAATTGACACACCACCCTACACACAGGCAGACGTATGTCTCTACATCCTAGCCATATTCTTGCCCTTCTTGCCCATCTTGATAAAGACGGGATGCGGCTGCGACTTGCTGATTAATCTGCTGCTGTGTATGCTGGGGTGGCTGCCTGGGGTTCTTCGTGAGTTCGAGCTTATATCTATGGATAAAGGGGGATGGGTGGCTAATGAATGGGAATGTTAGATGCATGGTGGGTTATTAGCCAGAATGATGAGGCGAAGTACGATTATCAGTAGAGATAGGAGGTGGGATAGTGGGCGGGGAGCGAGGGTATGGAAAAGATTGTGGTGGAGGCTGGAGACTGGACTCTAGGGCCATTTGGTCGTAGCAAAGAAGCAACTTCACGATGGTATTCATAGAAAGGTAATTCAGAAGAGTTGAGAACTGTTTCGTTGTCATATGATACAATATGTTACATCTTGCGCCATTATTTTAGTCCCCGGTTCCACGCACCAGATGACAGGTAAGATCTTACACTCTACACTGCATTCCAAGCCGTACAATGCAACAAAAGAAGTCTATTGACACACCAAGATCGAAGCTGCAAAAGCAACCTCACTTCTTATGTCTATCCGTTTGCGCCTTCTCGTATATCCCAATAAGTTCCTTTCTAAGCAGGTGTCAGTACGTGAATAGGCATAGCGTGAGGGAGACTTACTGCAATTGACCTGGCGCCGGACTGTAATGACTGAACTCCATTCCAAACTCGCCCTTTCCTTGCGTCGCAGCTCTCAACTGAGAGCTAAAGCCAAACATGGCATTCAAACTACAATCAGCCAAGAGCGTAAAGTCTTCCGGTCCAATCTCCGTATCATTGATAATTGCATTCCGCTTATTCAGCAGCCCCACAATATTCCCCTGGAATTCATTAGGTGCCGTGATGGTAGTCTTCATCAACGGCTCCAAGACCTGGGGTTTGGCTTCTTTGAACGCCTTTCGGAACGCCTGTTGAGTCGAAATCTTGAATGCCATTTCGGACGAATCAGTCATGTGAGTAGCACCATCGTTGACGACCATAGTGGTACCAAGAACAGGGTGGCCGATAAGTGGGCCCTTTTCGCAAGATGCGAGGAAACCTTTCTCGCATGCGAATAAGTATTTTTCGGAAATAGAACCTCCCGTGACTTCTTGTCTGAATTTGGAGCTGCTGTAGCCGTTTGGACCAGGTTCGATGGGCTCCATATATCCTACGACACGGGCGAAATCTCCTGCACCTCCAGTTTGCTTCTTGAGTGTGTGGTCGAATTTGACACTTTCGGTAATTGTTTCTCTGTAGGCGACTTGAGGCTTACCGGTCTCAACTTCGACCTTATATTCACGACGCATTCGCTCGACGTAAATATCGAGATGCAGCTCACCCATTCCCGAGATAATTGTTTCTTGACTCTCGGAATCGACATGCACGCGAAACGTAGGGTCTTCGCGCTGGAAACGAGCCATAGCCTTGGAGAAGTTCGAAGAGTCTTTCGACTGCTTTGGCTTGATCGATAAAGAGATGACGGGATCTGGTACGAACATGGATGACATCGAATATGGGAGGCCACCATCAGTGAAGGTATCTCCGGATGCACAATCAACACCGAACACCGCGCAAATTTCTCCAGCACCGATTTCCGGAACTTCTTCCATCTCGTTCGAGTGCATTCGTACAATTCGGGGGATCTTGACTTTCTTGTCTGTTCTGGCGTTGAAGACGTTCATTCCTTTCTTCAAAGTCCCTTGGTAGACCCGAATGTAGGTCAATTGACCATAATTGCTTTCTTCAAGCTTGAATGCCAAGCCAACGAATGGCAGAGAACCGTAGGAAACGAGTTTAACTGGTTTTTCATCCTTTAGCTTGTCTAGAGCCAAATTTTCAACCTCTGCAGGATTTGGGAGATAGTCACAGACGGCATCCAACATAGGTTGAACAGACTTATCTGCTAGCGCACTTCCCATCAAGACGGGTGTGAACTTCAGTGCGATTGTTGCTCGTCGAACCGCGGCCTTGATTTGTAATGGGGTGGGAGTCTTCTCATCCAGAAAGATTTCCGCAATCTCGTCATCGACATCAGCAAGAGTTTCGATCATCATTGCTCTCCTCTCCTCCACTACATCTTTGAGGTCCGCAGGAATCTCGTCGGTAACTCGCATCGTTTCACCTCTTGGACCTTCGTTGTAGATAGCTTTCATGTTGATTAAATCCACCACACCCTTGAAGGTGTCCTCGGATCCAATGGGCACCTGTAGAGCTGCGGCTGGGATCCGAAGTTTTTGGTTGATTTGCTCGACTGCCTTAAAAGGGTTCGCACCCATTCGGTCCATCTTGTTGACGAAGCTGATTCGGGGAATATTGTATCTTCGCATCTGCCTATCCACAGTAATCGTCTGACTTTGAACACCACTGACGGCACAGAGAATCATGACCGCGCCATCCAAAACTCGGAGAGCTCTTTCCACCTCGATTGTAAAGTCAATATGTCCAGGTGTATCAATCAAATTGATGTGGTATTTCTCCTCCTTGCCGTCTTCAACTTTCAGCCAATCACAGAATGTCGCTGCAGATTGAATTGTGATTCCCTTCTCTCTCTCCAGCTCCATAGAATCCATCTTGGCTCCGACGGCATCTTTGCCTCTGACTTCGTGTATGGCATTGATGCGACCGGTGTAAAAAAGGACTCGTTCGGTTGCTGTTGTTTTACCACTGTCGATATGTGCCTGCAAGTAGAACGATTAGCTAGTGTTTCCTTCCAGGAACTGGTGTCTACGTACAGCAATACCAATGTTTCTAATTCGGTTTAACCGTTCTTTTTCTGTACTATCCAAATTCTCTATAATCTTCTCTTGGGTGAGAGCGGAGGGATCGGCTGCTGCTTGTTTTAAACTGTAACATCAAATCAGCTTCTTGTTCCTAACACGCCATGCGCCAAAAGCAACTCTGCCATTTTCACGAAGCTTCCGGAATCTGCTGCTAGTGAATACATCTGGAGACCGACTAGATACTTACACAGCTTCTGCAACACCAGCTCTTATACATCTCGTTTCCGAAAAGTATCTCTGAGCTCCTTTCCCTCTTGCCCCTATACCTCCTCCAGGCGCAAGCCCCCTACTCGATGCATTTAAGCAGAGAAACCTGGGTCTTGATGCGGAACTTCTGATAGAACCAATTGATGCTTCTGCCGAAGCTGCAGCTCGGACAGCTCTATGCATCCTCATGGTTGTTGGTACAATTGATGGGGTTTGGAAACAGATCGTCTCGACTCAAACATTTTTCTGGATCACGGCTATAATTTTCTCCGTTTCGCACGTGATGGCGTGTATGCTTTTGCACGCGTCTGCCCAACTTTGTACTCAGCATCAACACTATTAAGAGATCCGTAAAAAACCCCCGCGCGGCTCATCAAATGGACACGAAGCTACGAATATACAGAGACCTCATTTGCGCGACTTCGAGATGACAGACGAGCCTCCAGCGGAACCAAAAGATGGACCAGAAGCAAAGATTATCAACGAGCATGACACGCTCAAATATTCTCTCCTCGGACCCTCCTTGACAAAGTCCGGGCAAGATAATGTGGACCAGTCAAAGGTAGGTAGCTCCTTTGATCAACATAAGGCGCTCTCACTTATACTGCCTAGGTCTCAGAAATCATATACAACGCCTCCAAAGGCTCCAAATACTTCAACAACGAAGAAGCCCGAGACAAGAACCTGACTCAAAAGATCGAGCGAATCCTCACCAAGAAGGCACAACTCGAGAGGTTAGACCTAGCTAGTGACCGCCGAAGAGCAGACGATTACATAGCTGAGCTCGAGCTTACTAGAGACTTGTCGCAAGTTGTGGTGCATATTGATTGCGATGCCTTCTACGCGGCAGTGGAAGAGCTCGATCGCCCGGAGCTGAAGGAAGTCCCATTCTCGGTTGGGGTTGGGGTTCTTACAACGTGCAATTACCATGCCAGGAAATTTGGGTGTCGAAGTGGGATGGCGGGGTTCGTGGCGAAGAAGCTGTGTCCGCAGCTCATTCAGTTACCGTTGAATTTTGATAAATACACAGCGAAAGCGCAGGAGGTACGGGAGATCATTGTAGAGTATGATCCGCGGTTTGAGAGTGCGAGTATCGACGAGGCGTATCTCAATATTACGGAATATTGCGAGACGAATGATATTGGTCCCGAAGAAGCTGTGCAACAGTTGAGACGAGAGGTCGAGGAGAAGACCAAGATTACGATTTCTGCTGGTATTGCTGCGAATGCAAAATTGGCGAAGATTTGCTCGAATAAGAATAAGCCGAATGGTCAGTTCAAGTTGCCGAGTGATAGGAACTCGGTCATGGCATTTATGAGGGACCTTCCTACAAGGAAGGTTAATGGTATTGGGCGAGTATTCGAGAGGGAGCTTGATGCTGTGGGTGTCAAGACTTGTGGGGATATATACGCTTACCGACATTACTTGTCGAAGTTGTTTGGTGAGAAAGCATTTGTATTCTTGATGCAATGTTATCTTGGCTTAGGACGGACGAAAATCCAACCAGCTGAAGAATATGAGCGGAAAAGCGTCGGGACTGAAAGCACGTTTGGGGAAATGGGGGATCCAGGGGAGCTTCGTAATAAACTACGAGCTACAGCCGAAGAGTTAGAGAAAGACATGTTACGGACGCAATTCAAAGGCAGGACGTTGTGCCTGAAAGTCAAGCTGCACACATTCGAAGTCTTCACGCGCCAAGTCATACCGCCGAAAGCGATTCATTTAGCAGATGATCTTTACAGATATTCTATGCCAATACTCTCAAAACTAGAACAGGACTTTCCCGGCATGAGACTACGACTCATGGGATTGAGATGCACGCATCTCGTTAGCATGAAGAAGCCCGATACCATGGCTTTCTTCGGCTTCAGAAAGCGTCCTAATTCCTCCACAGAAAGGGAGTCTAGCCCCTCAGATAAATCGAAACGAAGAATCGACGCTCTATCGTCTGATCAAGAGCAATGGGAGGAATGGCCAGATGAACTGCTTTTCGAGGATGCTGAGCGTCAAGAACGAGAAGATGAGTTCAATGAATTAGAAAGTCTGAGCCAGGAGGTTGACAAGCGGAGACATCATGGTAAGGAGATTGTGCCTAACCCGACGCCGAGAAAAGAAACAGAAGAGCCGTGGTGGGACTGTCCTATATGTATGAGACCGCAGACAGCGAGTGAGAAGGAGTTTAATGAGCATATTGATCATTGTCTTTCGCGGCAAACGATTAGAGACGCGGTCCAGGAGACTTCGGAGCAGGAACCTACACCTACTGCTAAAAAATTCAAATTGGGGAGTGAGAAAGGAAGGGATAGGACTGGGAAGGCTGATCCAAAGCAACGACGGCTATGTTTTGGATGAAATCATATCTGGAGTTGGGGACATCAAGCATTTCCACAGGCGTTTAGAGGATACCATTAATGAACAAATGTATTTTCCGAGAGTCAAACTTCAATACAATTCTGCAAGTTCTAGAAAACCCCACGCATCCCATCCCAATGATTGTGTTTCCAGTTATCGTTTCGTATGTATAATATCATCGCATTCATCAATCAAAATGCCTCCCAATCCACGATTTTTCCACTATCCCAGACACCGAATTCGAATCCCAAAACCCCCTCCAACTACTAATCTCTTAATTACGCACCGCCCTCCCTCTTAGCATACTCCTCCTCCATAGCGTCCTCATACTTCTTACTCGCGTCCCCTTCCCCTCCAGACTCGTCGGATCCTCCTTCAAAATACCCTCCTTAACCAACTCCTCAGGCGCCGGCCTATGCGCAATCTTCTCATTCAGCGTATCGGCCTTCATGTTCTTCTCCAGCTCGCGCGAATGGGCCTGGATAGCGGGCGCGGCTGTGGAGGGCGCGAGGATGTTGCGCTCGATGAGGTCTTCGCGGTGTGGGCGTGCAGAGAGGGATTTCTTCAGGCTGTCGGTTGCACGTTGGCGGGAGAGGTCGAGGGCTGTTGATTGGAGGGCTCTGTGGAGGGGGAAGTGTTAGTTCTTTCTTTTGTTACTTCTTTTAGAGGATTGATGTTGGAAATGTGTGGTGATGTGATGTGATTTGGTGTGGCGTGGTTTGATGTGATTGGTATTGGTATTGGGATGGGATGGAAATGGGGATTTGGGGAGAGAACGTACGGAGCAGCATTTGTGTCAAGTAGGATGTGTCTGTCTTTCAACTCCTGCGGGTCGGGACGCTGCTGCAGATGCTTCTCGAGGGAGTTTTGGCGGACGTGGGATGCTCCTGCGATGGGGGAGATGGGGGTTTCGTCGATGACGGCGCTGCGGTTTTGGTCTTCGGATGCCATGTTTGTCTTTAAGTTTGAAGGTCTGGGTGTCTGTATTTGTGCTTGTGTGTTTGTATACTTGTACGGGGGTGGTGGTCAAAGTTGATGTTGGAGATGTTTTGTCTTCCTTTGTTTATGTGCAGCTGGTGTTTACTTGAGCTTGAGCTCTCCCCGCATTTGGTTGCTTGGAACTAGTCTTGACGAGGCTTAGTGTATGGGTCCCTGCATCGTCATCGTCAATGAGTACTTGTAGTGCTTGTTGCTCAGGAGGATATTTCTGCAGACATCTGTAGATATATCTTATTCCCTCTATATTGCTATTTGGCTCTAAATACAAACATCTACAAGTTCTTTAACTCAAACTTCTTCCGAAGCCGCTCCCCCCATTTCATCAAAACAATAGGAACAGGCAAGAGAGCCATAGCCACAAATGCCAACAGACTATTTCCCCAGCCTAGCCCCAAGGCCAGATACATCTTCTGCCCAGCAAGTGGCAATACCGCGCCTATCACACTTCGAACAACCGAGTTAACAGCCAGAGCACTCGCTGCATAAATCGTAAAAGCATCAACCAAATACACCGTAACAGTCATAAAAACAGCGATGGTCCCAATCCCTATCAGACTCGTCGAGACGATGGGAACAATCCAATGTACGTGATAGTTTGCTGTCCAGCCATAGAGCAAGAATCCAATTGGTATAAGCACCGAGCCAGGAAGCATCATCGGCAAGCGGTATTCAGGCTTCATGCCAGCGGATTGCTCACCTTTTGCGGCAGCAGCAACGTCTGCTTTCTCAGTCTGGCGTTTGAGGATTTTATCAGACGCAAAAGCGAAGAATATGAGTCCGCCGATTGATCCCACGCCGATTCCCATAAAGGTCAAGCCGACGGAGCCTGAGGAGAAGCCATAAGCATGCTCGAAAACGAGCGTGAATGTGGTGAATAATAGATACAGATACCCGTAAATAACTCCAACGTAGAGACTTGTCGATAGCACAATAGGTGAAAATGCGAGCATCTTGGCTGGGCGAATGATGGACCTGATAAAAAAGTCTTTCGTGGACAGTCCTATATCAAGCTTAGATCGAAGCTCGAGATTCCCAGTCTCTTTTCGCAAGCGTGCCGTTTTCCTAGATAGTATTGTTGGAGCATATGTTTCTCGCATGAAGAAGAAACAGAGTACTGTGCAGATTCCGGATAGCATGGCCAGAACCCAGAAAACCCATCGCCATCCTTTTGCTTCACTGAGGTAGCCACCCGCAACAGGACCAACTACATAAGTTAGCCTTGATCGAAACTCGAGGTGCCTCTTTCAACGTACTGACAGGTCCGACAATAGGTCCTAATACGAAAAACGACATTGCTCTTCCACGATATTCTTGTTTGACAAGATCTGCAATACTTCCCCCACCTAGGGTTTTTATTAGCTCCTCATTAATGCAGCCAACAACTGAGGTACATACCATTCGTCAAAGGGGCACTCCCAAAACAGCCAGCCACAAATCGAAACCCAATGAGCATTTTCAGATTAGTAGAAAGTGCACACGCAACAGTAAAGGCAACAAATCCAACATTACACGTATAATAAACAGGGAGCCGACCGTAAATTTCGCTCAGCGGAGCCAAAAACATCGGGCCAACAGCAAAACCAAGTACGTAAACAGAAACCACGAAACTCGCCAGCTCAACGTTGTCGTTCTTGAACTCTTTCATGGCTGCCGGAACTCCTGGGGCGAACATTGAGGATGCTAGAGGTGCAACAAAAGTGATCGAGGCCACTAAGCCGATGTTCAAAGCCTTCGACCACGAACTGAAATTTATGGGGTTCTGTGGATCATCAGGTCCGTCCCACCAGACGATATTAAAATTATCTGATTCTTCCGCCGATGCATCCGCATTTTGTTTTTCAATCTCTGCACTTGCACCATCTTTCGGTGGCGTTTCCCCGGATTTCCTTGTGCTGTGATATGTAGTGTATTGTGTAGCAATCGCTTGCTCGCGTTTCAATTCTCCGACTGCGTCTAGTACATAGCCTTCGTTTGAAGGGATATCGGCATCGTGTCCCTCGTAAGTAGCAAGCATTTCTTTCTCGATGTCGGATATGGAATGTTTGTGTTTTGCAGAGCTCTGGGCATCTTGCGCCACAGGACTCGGGACCTCCATCGAGGAAGTCATCCTGCTGTTTACAAGTTAGCTGATTGATCTCCATCGCGTCTAACTTGGCTCGCTGTCGTATATCGCAAATAGTCAAGAGGAGAGAAAAACACAACAGGTTAGTGTGGAGAAACAACAAACTTACGGGACGGCTAGATCCGCGACACCGGTGGCAACTAAATGCAGATCCGGGGTACACTAAGAAGCAGGCCACTACTCCGTATATCTAACTCGAGTCTCCATATCTCAGAGAACAGGTGCGAGTATCGGTGCATGGACTTGATGAATTGAACCCATCATGAAATTCGTGAATGAGGCTAATCTCACACAGAGGCAGGGCGACCACTATCTCCGCACATCCTCGTACGTGGTACCAGTACCTCACAAAATGCGACCTTGCGGGTGTTTGTCCCGCATTTGGAAGCTGATAGGTTTTAGCTTTAAGCCTTGGGACTGGATAATGCAAGTCGGGATGGAGATGCCTTGCATAAATCAATAAGTCCACCAATTAGAACAGGGGCCGGAAGTTCCAGCATCTATGTATGTCTGGCACTCTTTTGAGCGCCTGAGAATCATACAGGATAGATGCGGTCGGAACGAAGAAAACGCAAAGCCAGGCAGGCGGTTTTGAAGTGCATCCTCAAAAGCTTCAAGGCCTTCGCCTGACAATTATCGCGTTTCCCTGTCTTGCAAGACCAATAATGTTGTGAATGCAAACAAACTTCTACAATACGGACAGACACTACTGACCAGTATATTTCAATTCTCCCGTGTCGAGCGCCCACCTAACAGTTTTGCAGTTAAAGGCATAAACTCGCACCCGGCATGAAATACAAAGTAACAACAGTACCAAGTTCATCCATCCAACCCGATTGTGAAAGACTACGCGTTCCTATGAACCCTCAGCGCATCTGCTCTCTCTTCCATCGATCGATTGTCGGATGCTAGTTGCGGCATTCTCCACGTTGATTGAATTGAAGTAGTGGATCGCGCCAGAATCAAGACGAGACGCTGTACTGTGTCTATAGGAGTAAGTGGGCAGGATAGATAATGCGAATAATAGGGGCAGAAACACGCCATTACTGCTCGCATAACATAGCTAGGTACCTATGTTCTTGCCAGAAAGAATTTCCACGACAAAGGATGCAGGTGGAGTGGCACTGCTTATGTAGATGCAATTGAGGGCACGCTATGCATATCTTCTTCAGACTCCGATGCTCTGTCTACCTCCCTCGGGGGCCTATCGACGACCACCTGAGGATTTCTGGCTTCTGCTTTGGCAGCAGCAACTTCAATCCTGGCCTGCCTCTCCCACCTCATCAGAATACTGCATCTTGCGACTCGAGCAATCCTAGAACGCTAGCTTATGGGAGTGCAACGAGGCCTCGATTATTATTACTACGGGCCTGATGATGGCAAGAACGCAAGGCTTTCACCTTGATGTTTTGGATATTCGCAATCTGGGCCCAGTGGTTAGCTTGGTATTATCTTCTTTGGCAGTATCTTCTGGAGCTTTGATCCGGATGGAAGCTTCTAGGCCGCTGCCAATTCCCCACTGGGGTGGGGGGGTTGTTCATCTCTTGACATGGGCGAACTTTTGGCCCGAAAATCGAAAGACAATTCAAGAATCAAGAGCGACTGGATAGATTTTGTATTCCTCGTATCTGCTGTACATATCTCCGACCTCGATGATCGCTCAACTGGAAAGCTCATTCTTTATGCGGAACTGGTCTCACTGTCTTCAAAGGCATCTCTTAATTTCGACTTCTAGGGTTAAACCAAGTAAGTATATTCTCCATTCATGTTCAGAGCTCGTTAATCATTACAAAACGTTAGTGTCCATATGACTATCCTAGCATGTCGACGTCTAAGCGCTGCCAGAATTGCCCGCCCTGCGTCTGAGCCTCGCCTCCTTCTGCAACTTTCTTGCGTATTTGACTCCGAATCCATGCTGGAAGATCTCTCTGATGTCCTCGAGAGTCATGCCTTTCACCTCTGGGTAGCAAAAGTATACTGCAATCCATCCAAAGAAACAGATAGCGGCATAAAATCCAAAAGCTCCTGAGGGAGTAGCTGCTTCTCGTCAGTATTACGTTTAGTAGGTCGGGATTCGGAGATTCTTACTATTTTCCATTTGAGTCAAGAATGTTGACGCTACAATGATGTTGGCACCCCAGCATGAACAGGTGAGCATCATTGTACCGTAGGCTCGGACTTCCATAGGGAAGAACTCGGATGAGAGCCATGCCGTGTTACCCATACCGGATGAATAAAACGCAACATAAATAACCATGCTAGCAAGTACGACATCTGCGGGCCATCCAACTTTGTTTGACTTGAGCGACAGATCGTGGTTGATTGGGATCCAGTGGAAAGCAACAGCGGCGATAACCAAAAATAAAGCCATTCCCCACATTGTGCTCAACAGAATGCGGCGTCGTCCAAAACGATCAACGACCATCAGATTGACCCAAGTGAAGAAGAAGTTAGTTGCCGCGATAATTGTTCCGACGGCCACTGGATCAGAGAAACCCACAAGAGCGAAAATTGTTGAGGAGTAGTACATCAGACTGTTGAAGCCTCCAAGTTGACTGATAGCCATGAGTCCACATGCAGCGATAAGGGCTCGAAGATTTCCAGGAACCACGTAAAGCTGTTTAAGAAGCCAGAAGTTGCCCTTGCCTTCGCTGTACGCCTTCGCTTCTGCAACATGCCGGGTGATGTGAGTGACTTTTTGTCGGACTTGGTCTGGAGTGCCATGCGGGAAAATCTTTTGGATGACGATGGCGGCCTCATCGGCTTTGTCGTGGTAAACGAGCTGACGAGGTGATTCTGGGCAGAATGGAAGAAGGCAACAGAGGATAATAGCAGGGACAGCTCCGAGGGCTACCATTGCTCTCCAGCCATGGGCAGTATTTGCAAGAGCGGCGCCGATTCCATAAGAAATTAGTTGCCCTCCAGTGATTGACATGTTGTCCAGACCAATCATGCGTCCACGGTATTTTGCGGGTGCGACTTCAGCGATATACAGGGGGACAATCATGGCCGCTGAACCAACTCCGAAGCCAACAATGAGTCGTCCCACAGTCATTTGAGCAAGAGAATAAGCAGCAGCTTGAAGGACGGCACCAATTATGAACAGGGCGCATCCCATGTAAATTGCGCCCTTGCGGCCATATCTATCAGCGGTGAGTCCAGCGGCGACGGCACCAATAAATGCGCCTCCTGAGGTGATTGAAGTTATGAGTTCTTTGTCACTCGAATTGAGGATTTTGCCGAGGTCGTCGTTGAGGTAAACAAGGACTGCCGAGATAATTCCAGTGTCATAACCTGAATACGAGGTTAGCGAAAAAAATAATAACCCGAAACTCCTACTACATGGTACCTACCAAACAAAAAGCCACCGACACCTGCGGTGATAGCGACCAGCCAGGCATATTTCCCGGCTTGCGTTTGCTCGATGCTATCTAGGTCGTCGATATTCTCGGAATCTTCGAGGGAAGATGCCGATACCTTCTCAATATGAGCGGCGTCGGCCTTGGAGTCTTCTTTCTCGGTGAAGGAACCCATGTTGAATAATGGACAGGAGTATGATGTGGAGGAGAGGAGAAGAGACAATTGTCGAAGAGGGATGATGATGAGATGTTATGAGATGGAAGATGGCTGCTGGAGCATGCTTTTCAATTTACACAAGGAGGAAACAACGAGGTCTTATATTGACTTTTTAGAGTAGCCTTGCCCGTCGCCGAGCGCCTCGTTCGGGTTACTAAGACCGTTAGGTAGAGAATACAGGCCATGTAGATCAGAAGGAGGCGCTGGGCTACGAGGAATTGCCGCCATCGAGACCTTTTGCGGCGTCGTCAGCTGAGCTCCTGGAGGTTTATGCATGGGTCTTTGTCCGGGAATTTGTGGCGTTTCATTTTTGCGGGGAACCCCAGACTTCAAGATACGTAGGTAGTAGGTACAGACTACGGACCGTAGAGTGCGGTAAGTACGGAGTAGAGCAAGTATAGAGCGAGCGAGTAGGAGTGTTTCGACAAGGATTGGATCGACTCCCAAATACTCGTAAAGAAAGAAAGAATGATTGAATGAAGAATGTCGGCAAGTCCATCAAATTGCCATTCAGTGATTGGAAAGTCAAAACCCGAGGCGGGCAGTGTGAAGCGCTGAATGTGGAGAAAACGTGGAGAAGTGGACGCCTATAGGTCGGGGTTTGGAGGATTGCCGTGGGATGCGAGTCAGCTGGTGCGGGGGGCTGAAGGGGGTTTCCCCAGGTTGGCGTTCACGAGTCTAGATAACTACCCCAGCCGCCCCGCATTGGGTAGTTTCCACTTCCAACTTCATCCTGCTGCTATTCCTGTTATTCCTGCTCTTCCTACTATTCCTGCCATTCTTACTTTTTGCATCTTATCTTAGCCTTGATCTCAAACATGCGATGATAACTCCGGGAGTGCTCTAGAAGTAGATGCCTCAATCTAGTCCAAGGTATGATAAGGCATCAACCCTCAATCCTCAGTCATCAATCCTCAATCAACAATTCAACCACACAGCTCAATGGTTCTGACGTCATCGCATTTAGTCCCCGGTCTTCTGCAAGCAAGCAGAGCAATAATGGTAATCTTGCTACACATGCCTCCTTTAGTTTGGATACTGTAGGGGTTGGGGGCCAGTACCTCCCACGCTCGGCCCCCCTTCCGGTGCTTCCTAACCGACCACCGATCCCAAAAAAGCCTCACTCATTACTAACAGCCTGAATAATAGCACAGGGAAATTCTTCCACTCCTGGTGCCCCAAAAGCGAACTTTGGAAATTTGAGATTCAGACACGGCTCAAGCGCCAGATACGATTCTGACTTTGCCAGAGACCAAGTCTGGGTCTCCATTTCTGGTCAAGGTAAGTCCGCGCTGTCGGTGCATATGCATGGCAATTCCATTGTTCTATTGCCAGCTTCTAATGCCTGACTTCTGAGTTTGGTAGTATGTTCTCAATTTGTGGATGAGCTTCCAGAATTGCATGAGATCTATTCCACCACTCCCAAAAGCGAACAGACTGCTTCTGTTGCTACACCACAACGGAGTCGGCATACCGAGACCGAGTCACCTGCCGCCTCACTTACTGCCCCTTCAAACCTATCAGCCATATCTGAAGATTTTGGCGGCGCTCCATCCGCATCGTGGATACCTCGATCAGCACTTTCAGAACCCCAACCTACGTCACCGGCCAAAAGGCGGTGTTCCAATAAAACCGACAGATCTTCATTCCACTCACTTAGCCAGACTTCTGGCATACTTTCCACCTATCCACAGAGTAACAGTAGCTTTGCAGGATCCCCAATAGGACATGGGGATGCTATCGATTCTCTTCTACGAGCGGCAGACTACTCCGACCATCATAGGCCGCATCAACCCGAATTACCTAGCTCTCCTCGACAAACTCAAATATCTCCCTACGATGAAATCGACCATTCCATGTCTCGGGCATGGCCTGAGGTTCGCATCCAGGAGGCCTGTCTTATGCGATACTTCATCGATGAACTAGCTTGCTGGGTAAAGTCCCCTTTACGATTCTGAACAACATCTTAGCTTACATGGAAAGTTTGATCTTTGCGATCCGGAACGCCATTTTGCTCTTGTTGTCCCACAGAGATCTCAACACTGCCCGGCTCTTTTAAATGCCATCTATACGGCGTCAGCTCGGCACCTGTGCCGTCTTGATCAGTACAAGAAAGATGGTTCCGTAGAGTATCTCGAAAATCGGCTACCAGATCTGCACATGGAAACGGCCGTGGAGTATCACAGTCGATCCATTGAGCATCTAGTTGCCGTTTCCCATGATTCTGAGGCAATATTCGACGAGAATCTCCTCGTTGCCTCGATAATTCTGCGCTTCTACGAAGAAGTGGATGGTTAGTTTCCCTTCCCTCGGCCCAACCTCGGCGTTTGACATAAATATTAGCACCATTGAATGGTGGAGACTGGGAAACTGGTAAGTGGCAACTGGACATCCAGATGATTCTATTTCAGACCCGTGTTCAGCCCTGTGCATGAGTAAACTTGAGAACACAAATAGTTCAAAGACATAGTAGGGTGTCTGAAGCACAATATGCTTTGCCAAGTAACTCATGCAGTTACATGACAGAGCAATCCATATGAAGCAATATCTGACTTGACATTTCCAGGTCTTCAGGGGACTCAGGTCTTCATCGAAGCACAAGCTTCTTCAGGCCATGCCAGCAGTCTCCGGCGTGCTGCCTTTCGTGTAGCATGCCGCCAAGAAGTGTATATGGCGTTTACAAAACAGCGGTACGTAAGCATAACGAAAGAAAGACTATCCTATTCCCAACGCTTCAATGGGTATGTGGGTCAAGATGCATGCTCCCAAGACATTGAGGGTTTTGGGGAGCAACATATCATCCTTGTACACACGAAACATAGTCTCCAGTCCACGTCATATCCTAACGAAGAAGCAATACTAACTCCACGATTCACATAGTCCATTTTCCTTGCCACAGCACGACTGGGATGACTATCGGTCCCTCGAGCCGACAGACGATCACACATGGGCCCATCGAGTAGTCGTTCACTGTGCAGATGTCCTAATGTACTGCTACGGAGAACATCGATCCAATAACAGCGACTATGATGCTTCGGTGGAATACCACGCTAGCTGGGACAGATTACGCCCCAAGTCTTTCGAGCCGATCTACAGAAGGCCTGCTGACCCATCCAAGGGCGAGGTGTGGCCGGAACTGTGGTACTTGAGTGATTGTCATGGTATGTTATGTCATGTTAGCGCCCGGCATCGTTATCTATGTTATCTGATTGCCCTTCTAGTCACTGCGGTGCAGCACTTGGACCTATCTAAGATCCTGCTTACGGTGTATGATCCACGAATACCACGACTGGGTCCCTCGCACCGTACCGCCATCAAGCGCATAGAAGTAAGCTTAGACCCCGTGCAATCATCTCCTTTCTTGCCTGGCAATATATTATCTAACACTCCTTCATTTCTTTCAGGCCGAAGTAAACGAGATTGTGAAACGGCTTTGTGGGGTAGCTATATCCAATAGACGCGCCCCACCCGCGATGAACACGGCGTGCATGGCTATTGCAATGTGTGGTGACCAGTTCACCGATCCTAAAGAGCAGCAGAGCATTTTGGATCTTTTGGTATATACAGATACGAAGCATGCATGGCCTACCAAAGATATACAGAATAGGCTGAAGGAAGCTTGGGGTTGGATGGTTTGAGGGTTGAAAAGCTGTTGATGATTTACGTATCATTATGGTTGCATTTGGGGGGGTGGGGGGCTGTACATTTTGGAGCTTGGACAAAGGCAGTAGATAGGGCAAAATATAAGGAGAGGATCAAGTTATACCTTGTGCTGGTATTGCAGGTACCATTAAGACGGCGATGAGAAAGTTGTATTCTAATGAAAAATATCAAATAATACTTATTATATATATATATGATGCTGTTGTAAAGTGACTTGCTCTAGCTGAATTCATTGTGCTCTCCGTGAGGCCTCTTTGAATGAAAGATTCTGTTACGCTTCTTATTAGGCAGGTATATGAGTCTACATTTCACTTTAAGCACCTATCTCTTTAAAAAAAAATATATTCTCATTTAAACATTCTAGAATTTGATGAGAGGGATATCATCCACACATAATCAAAGAACTCGGAGATACATGTAATCATGATTGTAATCTCTGTCTCATAGCGCATCCCCAACTCATAATCCTGTCTCATGACCATAACCCATAACTCCTTTGATAATATTGATCAACCTAATGATATCACCTCACTCCTTATCCTCAAATCTCTTCCAAACCTTCAGCGGCATAGGACCGGGAGAAAGATTAAACGCTTCGAACAAGTCAGGCGTCCAGTCCGGACTAGGTAACGCCCACTCAAACCTGTGCACCACACTCGCCAGAAGCACAGTCTGCTCGAGGTAGGAGATATTCCGACCAATGCATCCACGCGCTCCCGCACTAAAGGTAATGAACGCGGCCTGCAGCTCCTTCGCATCCTCGCCCAGCCATCGCTCCGGCATGAATTTCTCGGGTTCGGGAAACACTTTTTCGTCCCGGTGCGCGACGTACGCTGAGATGGATACGGAGGTCTCGCCGGGTATGAAGTCACCTAGGATGGGCGCTCCTTCGGGTGGTGTCCGGCGCGGGAGTCCAAATGTAGAGGGTGGGAACATCCGCAGTGCTTCGTCGAGACAGGCGCGGAGGTAGGGTAGGTGTCGGATGGTGTCGTATGCGATGACAACCTCGGATGGCTCAACGACAGCATCTAATTCGGCCTGCAGTTTTGCTAGGCACTCTGGGTTCTTGAGGAGCAGGTACATGGCGTTGTTCATTGCGATGGCGGTAGTGTCGGAGCCGGCGTTCATCATGATGGAGATCTCGGCAACGATCTCGCCCCATTCCATGCCGTTGGGGTTGCCGTTCTTGTCGTCCATAAGCGCTGAGAAGAAATCATCCAGTTGCTCTCCGGCTCTGTAGCGCGCGAGTCGTTGGGTGGATCGGTGCCAAACAATGTCGTTCCAGCCCGCGTTGAGCTTCCCTAGGTCCTTGGAGAAGAACTTTGCCACTTTCCAGAAGAAGGGGTACCAGTCGTATGCCCAAACAGTGCCTGCCTGTCCTCTGGCTGTAGCATGGAGACATTTCCGATAGTTTACTTGATACAGCTTTCCGTCCATCGTCTCGGCAGTGACGAGGTCGTGGCCTTGGTCGAGGAACCCGAGACGTTCAGAGAGTCCAATGTCGGCGATGGCGTCGAGAGTGAAGAAGTTGGAGTAGGCACGGTAGTCGAAAGTCAGACTTTCAGGGGTCGGCCGCTCTCCCTTCTTCAGGGGTTCTGTGCATCGAGCATCCGCAGCCTTGATGAATCGCTCTGTCTTGTCGGCAACTTTGTGCTCCCAGCCCTCGAGGTTCTTAAGTGCATAGGCACTTGATAATATGCGGCGTTTGCGCTGGTGGTCTAACTTGTCTCTGACATCGGCCAGATGGTGATGAGAGCCTGCGAGAGTGTCGTAGAATAAATCCTTCACGCACTTCGTGTTGTGGCCGTAAATATCCTGGCTGGGTCAGCATTTGTTTTAACAACTCGGGACGTTGAAATGGACCTACCTTGATAGCTGAGAGATCTGAGTATGATAATGAGTTGGGACCAATGCGGACTACTGGCGACTTCTGATGCGCCTCAAGTAGAGCTTTTGACCGAAATCCCTTGTGGGCTTCATAAAGAAAACCGAGATCAGTCACACCGGACAGAAAGTTAAGGTTGGGGTATTTTCTCAGCCCTTTCGGGTCTCGAAAATAATCAACTACTGGCCAAAGGATAAAGTATGCAAATAATGAAGAAGCCGTTACGGCGAAGAGAATAATTCCGTACATGGTGAAAAGTTTGAAGATGAGATGAAAATGAGAGCAGACTTCTGTTCGTGATGGTTTTATGTATGAACAGCGTATGTCAATCTGCCAGGAAAGGTGTGCTTGAAGACCCGCAAAACTTGTACAGCGCAATATTCAAAACTGAAAAGGGCAACCCGGAAAAGGGGGAGGGGAAAAAGCGAGAGCTCGTATCACATGCCCAAGAACAATGGGGATGCCACCACTAATCCCTCCTTGTGTGGGGTATGGGGAATATGCATGCACGAACGTTCTCCACGATAACTAGCAACTACTTAATTTGTAGAATTAATGGTCATGAGAACCTTCCACCGTCTGGAAATAGAAGGGCCGTGCTTTATGCGAACTCTGACCACATGGTGATCACCAAGCGTAGTTGTTATGTGCGGCTGCATGGGGAAAAACCTGGAGAAATTGCCTTATCGAGCGTCGATGAGGAAACTTTCTCCCTAGGAACGTGGACGGTACTGTAGGAGGGCTGAATTAAGTACATCCATGTAATAGTACCGAGGCAAATTTACCCCAAGTTTTCCCCATGAAGCCCCGCTTTGCAACTAGACGTCACATTAGAATAGTGGCGGCTTAAACCCGATCCTTGGAGGGTAATTCTGAAGCTGACCCCGGATTTAAACCTTATCGTGACTCGTGATTCGTACGAGGCCGATTCGTAGCTCTTCCGGAATAAGGGCGGAGGCGTGGTGAGTGGGGTGCGAGAGGCTACTGATCAAAAGAAGAAATTCAAGCTATCGATCAGTCTGTAAGTATCAATTATAAGATACTATTCCACGTCAAATTTAGAATCCAAAAACCTTTCCATCCTTCGATTCTCTTCAGCAACCATGTCACAATTCGCAGACATTTCGCAATTCGGTGCACTGCAGAGCATTCTGCACCATACTCGCAAAGACGATGTTGCATTCCTAGCCCTGGCAATCTTCTCGGGCATCATCTATACTCGCTTCATCCAAGACAAACCAGATCCATATCACCATGTCTGGTTTGAGAAGCCTCAAGCAGCTGATTCGAGCGGAAAAGCCGCCGAAACAAGAGACATCGGGAAGAAACTGGAAGAGAGCGTAAGTAGAGCCACCTAATCATCTACTTACTCGGCTAATTTTATTATAGAAGAAAGATCTTGTTGTATTCTGGGGTTCTCAGTCTGGTACTGCCGAAGGACTTGCAGCTCGACTCGTGAGAGACTTTAGAAGTCGCTTTGGGCTTGATGTGCTCGCAGCAGACCTTTCCGACTATGATCCAGAAACAATCAACAACATCTCAGAAAAGAAGTTTGCAATCTTCATTATCTCGACCTACGGAGAAGGCGATCCCAGCGATAATACATCAAATTTCATGTCCTGGCTCAAGACCAACAAGAGCGTGCGATTCGAGAAACTTCGGTATGCCGCTTTTGGGTTGGGAAATAAGAAGTACAAGTGTTACAACAAAGTTATTGATGTTGTTGTTGAATCGCTTGACCATCTGGGAGCTGCTGCTTTGATGCCAGTTGGAAAAGCGGACGATTCCAATGGTGCCACAGACGAAGACTTCACAGAGTGGAAGCAATCGTTGTTCTCCTTGTTCCATGCACAGCTTGGATTTGAGGAACGACCTGAGCGGTATGATCCAACGTTGCGAGTTGTGCAGGACACATCTTTGGACAAAATCGACCTCCATATCGGTGAGCCAGTTAGGTCGGGGCAATCGAAGAAATTGGCTGCAGGAATGTCAACCATCCAAGCTTTGCCAATCCGAACAGCAGAAAAGCTTCTTTCAACGACCGATCGAAACTGCCTTCATTTGGAACTCGACACAAATGAATTCCCAGAGCTGAAATACAAAACTGGTGATCATCTCGCTGTTTGGCCTTCGAATCCGACATCAGAAATTCAGCGTCTAGTGAGAGTACTCGGCCTTGAAGAAGTCACTGAAACCCCTCTCTTGATTCAAAGCCTAGATCCATCTGTACAAGTTAAAGTCCCGTCGCCAACTACTTGGGAGGCTCTCCTTCAATACTACCTGGAAATATGCGCACCAGTCCCACGAGAAGTCGTGCTATCGCTAGCACAATTTGCCCCTTCTGAAGCTGCGAAAGCTACCTTGAAGCGACTCGGAGCAGACAAAGATGTCTACCATGATTACTGCTCAAAAACCCATCTCACTCTCGGTAGACTTCTTGAAATCATTTCACCGTCCCAAGGATCCTGGTCTACAATTCCTCTGTCGTTCGTCCTGGAGAGTCTCCCAACACTCTCACCGCGATACTACTCCATCTCATCTTCATCAGTCGTTTCTCCCAAAAATATCTCCATCACAGTAGCAACCTCTTCGGAACCTTCTCCGACTCACGGTGCTCCTATCCCAGGCCTCACCACAGACTATTTACTGGCAATTGAGCGCAAAAGCAAAAGTGCCACCACATCCAGCGGGCCTAGCTACGACATTTCCGGTCCAGGCAATTCTCTGGAACAAGGGAGTAAGCTCTTTGCACACATCCGGAAGTCGAAATTCAAACTACCCATCTTACCCAAGACTCCCGTCATCATGATCGCCTCTGGCAGCGGCGTAGCCCCCTTTCGCGGATTCCTCACCGAACGAGCTCGAGTCGGCCACATCGGTCGAGAAGTAGGACAGAGCCATTTATTCTTCGGGTGCCGATCCCCAGACGACTATCTGTACCGCTCGGAGCTGGAAGCACTACAGCAGTCCAACGAGGAAATCAAGGTCGTCACTGCGTTTTCAAGGACCGAGCAGAATAGGAATGGAGGCAGGGCGTATGTTCAGGACAAGCTTGAAGAGAACGACGAGAAGATGATTGAGCTGTTGATGGAGCATAATGCGTATCTGTATATTTGCGGCAGTGCTGCTATGGCGAGGGACGTGGCGGCTAGACTTGGCAATTGTATGCGTGCGAGGAAAGGGTGGAGTGAAGCTGAGTTGAGAGAGTGGTCTGAGGTTATGAGGAAAACACATAGGTGGCAGGAAGATGTTTGGGGTTGAGCCTCGATTATGGCCTTGGCATGCATTATTTGACTGTTTATATATTCCATAGTTCACGAATTGTGAATAGTTATTTGCATTATTAGAGCGTTATTAGAATTTTGATCCTCTTACTTTCTTGAAATTTTTGATCTAACTTGTGAAAAGGATTGAGTTCAGTGTATCTATAAGACCCAACTTTACTCAAGTCGAGTTCAGTTGAGTTGATGTCCTAACTCAACTCAGTATTCTTAGAGTGGAACGACAGCACAGACCGCGGTCAAGTTTATAAGCAAAACGCCAACTAGATAAAAGACCGTATTTTTCACAGGCAGATTCTACATCCGTCCGCAACTTCGTACATACAACAACAGTCATTTCCCCTCCCGCCATCCCTCTTTTTGTATATAGACAACCAATCATATGCCTCCCCCTTTAGAGGAGCTCGAGAGTCATCATTTGGGTCCTCGGGCATACCATCAACTCTTTAGCGCCATGCTGTGGCCATAAGCCTTACCCTAGACATACCAGACCCAGAAGACCCAGGGAAAGCTGTGCCCCGCAATACAAAAGTCACGTTACTTAAACCACCCCCTCTGATGTGACACTGAGAACAAACTCAACTCAATTCACACGCTAGGACTTATATTTAAGTTTTTTTTTTTCTTTTTTCACTTGGATAGATTTAAGCCATTCAAGTAGTTTTGTCTATGCTGTCTCAATTTCACTATTCATATGTCCCACAGTCCACAGTTTGCATCGTTAGACCTTTAAAATGTTTTCATTCCTAAGTGTTTACACAGGATAACCTTATGACTTGTCTGGGAACCCAAAATCGACGCCAAATGACGGATACACATATCTCGTCAGCTTGCCCTCCTTCTGCAGCTGTGCCGAATACTGATTCAAAGTATCCATATCACTATTATCAAGATGAATCAAAGATTCGGCATTCACCTTGATTCTTTCCGGATTGACCGATTTAGCAAGCACGGAGCTGCCTCTCGCAACTTGAGGACTGTTAGCCTCCACTCGTGGCTCTGGGTTTGTTTTTGAATGGTACTTACGGTGGTAACTCAACAGAACACCAGCAGGTGAAGCTTTACGTTTATTCGCAACTTCCCTGACAGCTGCAGCTTCCATCAACGGACCTCCTGTGCTTCCTAACGGGCTATATGCCGTGATATGAATGCCTTTAGCTTTGCAGAAATCCACAATATCCTGCTGTGGCAAGGACGGGTGGTTTTCGATCTGGTTGACGGCAGGGATAATCGTGGCGTGAGGCAGTAATTCCTCGAGATATTTGACGCTGTAGTTCGCTACTCCGATGGCCTTTACCTTGCCGGTCTTCACCAATTTCTCCATCTCGAGCCATGTTTGGATATGGGTCCAGGACGTATCAAGATCGCGAGACCCGTCGGGATGTTTGGGAAACTTGGGGTCGTTACCTTGGAAGCAAGCGTACTGTCAGCGCAACTTCGGCAGAAGGAGGTCAAATTCGAGCTGTCATACCATTTGGGTTCATTGGACAAGGCCAGTGCATTAGATACAAGTCCACATAATCGAGACCCAAGTCTTTAAGACTGATATCCAGATTCTCCTCGACGCGCGAATGATATGTGCACCACAACTTGGTAGTGATGAACACGTCCTCTCTCTTTACACCTGTAGCAAAGGCCTCTCGGAGACCTTCACCAACTTCGTCTTCATTGCCATAGCAGTACGCACAGTCGATGTGCTTGTAGCCGGTTTTGAGGGCGTACGAGACTGCTGTCTTGACTTCTCCGGGAGCAGATTGCCAAGTTCCTAGGAAAGTTGGTTAGCAGTGTGATACTCACAGATATGTAAATGCAAAACATTTACCAGCCGTACCTAAACCAAGGGCTGGGATTGAAGCTCCAGTATTGAGAGGGAATTCTGTCGCGGAAACGCTGATGGAGCCCATGGTGTGGATTGGTGTTGGTGTTGACGTTGATGTTCTAGATGTAGAATGTTTGAAAAACTCATAGACACTCAATGCATTCCAGCATTATAACTCTATGACTTTGCAGATTTCATAGTTGCTCCCCTAGCTGCACGAGGCTGACGGGTTCTTCGACTCAGCTCGGGATCAAAGCCTTTAGGACGGCAAAACGCGGGGCAAACGCGGAGCAGACGCGGAGTAAACGCGGGGCAACATTTGCCTGTTGACAAGAAAGGGAATTCTGACGACTGATAAGATTTCATCCAATCATCGCTTAGCCGATAAGCCTTCCAACTTTCAAAAAGGGAAATTTCCTTTTCTGTCTCGCTAAGTGGAGTGACGCTAGAGAATTGCCCTCGGCAAAGAACCCGGGGACGGGACGGGTAGACTAGAAGGGTGGGACTTCGGTGACCATGCCTATCTTGTATGCAACGCGTATCGTCGTCCATTCTACTCGGTATCTTGCAAAAACATGCTTTTGACCATAACCCTCCACAAGCGTCGAATGATAGGCAATTCTGCAACACTTACCGTGGGGAAATCTGACAGACATAGAAGGTTATGTCACAAATAATCGTACTATATTCAAGGAGGTCGTATGCTATTTGACTAGAGTCTTACACGCTATTTGATATTTCCCAATTTTTCCTATTAAATCGTTTGCATTATTCATCCTTCAACTTCACTTTAGTTGCAGCTCAAGTGACCTACCACATATTCAACAGACATACACACACACAGGTGTATATTAAGCCAACGCCTTCCTTTACTCTCCCTCATTCTCCTATACCTCCCTATTTCCTCCACATACCAAATCCCGCATCCCACCTTCTTAATATCACAACTTCTAAACTCCCTCCCTCCCTTCACCATGGCACCTTCAGCCATTGACCCCATTTCCACCATCTCCTCCCACAATGGCACTGGCAAAGCCCTCGAGGAAATGTCCGACAAGATTGACGCCATCAACGTTCTCAAGGATGAGTTAAGGAAGAAGTCCGAATTCGACGCCGACAAAGTTAAGGCCAAGTTCCGCCAGTACGACCAAGCCGACGAGACCGTCGTCGGTCTCTACCGAACCCAACACGAGAACCAGACCGTCGCCTACAACCTATGGGCCCGCAATGACTTCAAGTCGAAAGTACGCGCCAAGATGAGCATCTGGGAGGCCATGGAGAGACTCAACAAATTCGTAGACGATTCCGACCCGGACACTTCGCTCTCTCAAATCCAGCACCTGTTACAATCCGCCGAAGCCATGCGTCGGGACGGCAAGCCGCGATGGATGCAAGTCACGGGTCTGATCCACGATCTCGGAAAGCTGATATGTGCATTCCGCGACAGTCAGGCACAGTGGGATGTGGTTGGTGATACGTTCCCTGTAGGGTGTGCGTGGAGTCCTGGGATCATCTACAGCGAGAAGCCGTATGATACCTTTGAGAAAAACCCCGATACCAAAGACCCCATCTACAGCACCAAGTACGGCATCTACTCGCCTGGCTGCGGCATCGACAACATAATGCTGTCGTGGGGACACGATGAGTATCTGTATCATGTTGTCAAAGACCAGTCGACGTTGCCTGCTGAAGCCCTGGCTATGATCCGGTACCACTCCTTTTACCCGTGGCACAAGGAGGGTGCGTACAAGTACTTCATGACGCCTCATGACGAGAAGATGTTGGAAGCGGTTCAGGCTTTCAATCCTTATGATCTTTATAGCAAGGATGATGGTGTGCCAGATGTCGAGACGCTCAAGGTACGGAAACATCCTATTCCTATTCCCATACTTCACTTTCAAAACTAACACCCACTGCCTATAGCCATATTACATGGAGCTCATCGATGAGTTTTTCCCAAAGAAGGTCCTCGACTGGTAGTGTTTTTTTTTTTGGCGTACAGTGTATGAGAGAATTGAGATGCGGCACATGAACCATGGTATTCACTCGGATAGGAATTCACTTGGATAGGATTCTTCCAACTACATAGAAGAATAAATTTTCGCTTTCGTTACTTTTGAATACGATTCGTGTAATGTGGTTATACCATTAAAAATACTACAATATTTTGACTTTTCAAGACAGGCCATGATGTCTCTTCTGTAACATAAAATTACTACTATTAAATCAATTCCTCTTCATACAATCGTTACAACTATCCTTTTCACCCCTCGAGGCCTGCCAAAGGTGTAAGGTTTTTACAGGGTATCCTGCGGTAGATAAAAGCATCTGATAAGAAGTCTACTAATACTAGAATGACCCATACAAAGCCGTATGTGTAATTGCATGTCCTTTTACATCTAATAATCCCTCCGAGGCATGGAAGTATGTGTATACAAGACATTGTTCCAATATGCCATTCAGATAAAACCACAAACAGTCTGTCAGGTGAAACGCTCATGTAATTGCTGCATACTTATATTATCAAACCCAAAAGTCTAACGCTATCAACGATCTAAAATAAATCAAAGCTGTGCCTTTTCAGATCTCCTTCCCACCTCATCGAAGTAAATCTTCTTCCCCGAATTCAAGCTCTCTTGAAGCGCACACCCAATCTTAACCGCCTGCACCGCCCCACTCAACTTCATCGGCAGCCTCAGATCGTCCAAGATACAGCTCGTAAACTCATTCGCCTCATTCACAAACGCCTGCTCGAACCGCCCATAATAATGGGCCGGGATCTCCCTCCTGATGCCCGTCGGCTCATAGATGTTCACCAGGTTGCTCGAGGGCTGGGCATTGACCGTGAGCTTCCCCTCCGTGCCAATGATCTCCGTAGCATCGTCCTGGCCCGCCGCCATCATGCGACTACAGAACAGATACGCAATCTGGCCGCCGTAGAACTCGACAATGCCAACCCCGTTATCCACATCCTTGTGCTTGGCCAGCTCGGGCTGCACGGCCGTGATGCCGGACGCCACGACGGATTTCACCTTGCTGTCTTGGCCGAAGAACCAGAGCGCGAGATCGATGTCGTGGATGGAGCAGTCAACGAAGATGCCGCCTGAGAACTCGGCGTAGGCGACGAAGAAGCCCGACGGGTCGAGCTTGTCGCAGGTTTGCGAGCGGAAGACGGAGGGTCGCCCGATTAGGCCAGAGTCCATCTTGTTGTAGGCGTCGCGGTAGGAGTCGTCGAAGCGGCGGGAGAAGCCGCACATGACTTTGAGATGGGGCTTCTTCTTCGCGGCGTCCAATACGGTTTGGGACTATTGCAAGCAAGTTAGTTATCATAGCTATCATGGAAGTAAAGAAAGAAGGTGGGTTGGGATAGAACTTACACCTTCGACGGTCACGGAGAGTGGCTTCTCGCATAGCACGTGCAGGTTTGCTTCTATGCCCTTGATGGCTTGTTCGGCGTGAACAATGGTCGCGGATGCAATGACCACAGCCTCGAGGCCTTCCTGCTTGATCATCTCCTCGTAGCTGCTGTAAAGAGTGACTCCGAAAGGTTCTAGATTTTGTTTTGCCCATTGCATCTCTACATCATCTGGGGTGCTTGCTGCCACCAATTCGGCGCGAGGAGTGCGGTTTAGGAAATGGAGGGCATGGCGCTTGCCCATGCGGCCGAGACCTGCGCAGGCAATCTTGAGCTTCCGAACAGCCATTTTGGAGAAGAAGAAGGGATTGTGAGTATTTCGGAATGAGATGAGATGAGATTCTGCTTCTGAAATAAGGGCTGGCTGATTGAGATAGAGAGAGAGAGAAGTGATGAGAGAAATTGCACCACTGGAAAGCTGGGGAGACGCGTTAAGTACACAATAGCTATACGGGCATCAGCGGTGAGGGGAGTACTACACGTGATATTAGAATCTGCATAACGAATTGCCCAATTGTCTGATTTCTGCAGCTGAAGTGGAAGGTCAAAGCCTTGTGGTTGGGGCTACGATGCGGGGACTGCAGGCGAATGGTGGGGCGAGACGGATCCCCGCATAAGAGTCCCCGCATAAGCTTGACCGTCTTCCAGGAACGGCAATTTTGAAATTTGCGTGCGGCGAGCAGCTGAAGGTATGCATGGCTTGAATATCATAGTAAGGGCAACAATGCCGAGCTTCACTTTACGGAGAGCTTCAAACTGATGAAACCTTTTACGGAGTAAGGCCGGCATCTCTAAAAATACTATACTGTACCCCACAGAGACATGGGACTACCCCGCGAAAGACCCCGTGAAGTGTCAATCCACTACTCCGTACGAGTTAAATGAGCAGGCCGGGCAAAACAAATGCTCCGCAGGGACCATCTCAGGGGCTCAGTGGCCCGAGCGTAATGCCAGGGGTTACTCTAATATGAAGTACGGACTCATCACTCGAGTAAGAGCTGTCATAGAAGATCACTCCTACGGGAAGTTCATCTTGCCCGGGACGAAATAGACCGAAGGGAGCTAAGTAGGAAGACCGACTATTAAGTACGAAAAAAATACTCTTCCTACAAAGTTCAAAAGTCAACTTGGAACCTTCAGCGGCATTATTATGTTCATTCATCGAAAATAAAGACGACCAGAAAACTCGTGGCAGTGTGAAGGCGAATAACACAAACCCCTGCGTCCAGTGAGTCCATGGCGGCCATACCAGATCCGCAAACATTGTTGCCCCTGAAGAAAGCTCCTGCTAATACTGCTTCAGTTACATTTATCACTTCTTGGATGTGTATCGGACATTTACTTGTACCAGCATTACCTACTTCGATAACTGCGACCTCCCTCACCCCCTCAGTCCCTCTCCCTAGAAGAATTCTTACGCATCTACATCTTCAAGTCATCGCAATGGCCATATAAGTCCTCACGACCGCAAAGGCAACCGCTACTGGCTGCCTTGCATACTCCAGAAGGATTTGAGGTACATCACGTGATATACATGCGTTGACCCAAGGTAACGTCTCTCCAGTATACTTAGCATCGTTAAATACCTAGGTAGTAACCTGTGATTGAGGCTCTTCCGCCGGGGAAACAAGTTCGAGCTCTGCTGATGGCTTGAAAAGTGTTGCGAATGCTGCTACGGTGAAGTTCTTTGAAAGTCACACCACTTGAGAGACATCGAGGATGCTACTATGACTTCGATGTCCTAGGAATCCATGGCTGTTGCTTGAACGGTTTCGAAGAGGTGATGCGTGATTTGATAGGTCAGTCGCTCTATCTATGATAGATACTTGTTAGGCACGTGATAAGGATATAGACACAGCACCCAGACTTCCCTACCTCTCGTCGTGCACAGTCCGTTCTTGTCCGCGTCCTTGTCTGACGACATAAACTTCTTCACAAAATCACATACTCGAGTATACACGGCAAGAGGCTGAATAGGTAATGTGGTAATATGTCGTTATTATCATTAATATCATTAAGTAGTTTGTTCGTCATTACAAGATGGTATCCTGAACCTGTCTGCCAGAAAAACAATGCCAACGACGCCGAGAGCCGAGTCCGATGTTTAAACCGGGCCCGGCCGGGCCCGGGATCATCGGCCGCTTCTGTAACAAGCAGAAGCAATATTTCGTAATGCATGTAAACATCATGTGACGCTCCTCTTTCAGTAAGTGGGAGTGGGGTTGTCCGGAACGGCCCAACCACACCTCCTCTTCATTGGCTCCCTACTCGGTGAGGGGTCCTCGTTTCTTCGTATTCCCACCACGCCAAGCTGCGAAAATATTCAATAACCTCCTCGTATTGCTTCAGAACCAGCCTCTTTGGTTGATGTATGGAGCCGGCGACATTACAGATTGCCGCAATGGCCAGTCATCCACCTCCTGTTCAATCTCAACAGCCTCGTCGATTTTCTCGCACTCGGTCTTCTGTGTCTGCTCATACATTGCATACAGCGTATCAACCCAGTGGTCTAGGATGCTGTCAAGCCCTTTCAATTGACATGTCTGACCCGTGAATTGCGATTCGTAGAGATCTTGTCGAACTTGCTGCTGCATGGCTTCGTAGGCTTCAATCATGAGCAGGAGTTGCAATCCGGATGTCCGGTCTTGCTGTTCCCTCGTATGTTGCTTGGAAAGCACTGTCGCGAGTTCATTGGATAAAAGGGTCGTGCACATTTGAAGCGCGATGTCATCGTCCGGTTCAGGGACTGCATCTGCATCTGCGTTCCAGGCCTGCGAATCAGGCGGGAGGATGCGCATGTATGGTTTATCCACTAAATGGAGCTTCTCGATCTCAAAATAGCTTTTTGTTGGCGAGGTTGGGAGTGTTGAAGCTGGTGATTGAGGCGAATCTAAGCCCACGAGAGTCTCGCAACTCGAAATGGAGGAATTGGATCGTGCGTGCGCTTTGATGGTATCTCGTAGACTCAGCTGGCTTTTGACTTTCCGAAGCCTTCTTCGTGGGTTCGCGAGCTGAGGTGCAATCGAGGGCGTGTAGACGCGGGGTGGTAATTCGGCGCGATACTGGTCGGCGTAGCATTTGGCGGGGTCGACATCGATTTCTAGGGGCTCGGATTCCAGCTGCCCAACATACAAGACTGGGGTTTTGCATCTTCGACGTTTGCAGTCGCCAGCGTCCATTTCGTCTCCGGAATAATGGCTGAGCGCTTCGTTTGAATGATTTGAAGGATGGATTTCGAGGACATTGTTGGGTATAGCTAGATGTTGAAAAGAGACCTCGCTCGTACTCGTACTTCCGGTTTTCTGGAGCTGACTGTGCCCCTGGTCGGTCAGAACGTCATCACCGTTGTCTGTGAGTGTGAGGCAGGATTGAGCCTTTACAACATCGAAAATGTCTTTACAGGGACGGAAGGCTCGAGGTGGTTTTTGTAGCCTCCTGCGCTCTTTATTTTGTTGCATCGAGGTGGTTGGGATATCTGAGGTTTGGTGGTGCGCCATGCCCAGCATGTATAGTAGAAACGCCATCTCGTTTTCGTTTTGGTCCACCAGGTCGTGTCAGAAAGAGCCAAAGCAATCAATGCCACGGCCAACGAATGCTCGGTATTCAATGTTTGTGCGTTGCCGTTTGTGGTGAGCTTGGTGTTCTTCGTCCAGGCAAACACAAACAATTTCACAATGCCAACATTATGTGTTTTCCAGAAGCCAGGCTGTCCGGACGACAGCCTTTATCGTCAATATATATAATTTGAGGCCTTTCCTAAACTTTAAATCGGGGGCGCAATTCTCGTATTGAAGCTTGCTGCACGTCAACGCTATCGGAACACTTTTCTCTCCTCCAGTTGCAATTGGTGTGATAAGCTAAGCGATGCATCTAGGGAGGTCGGGCGGTTTTGGCGATCCGGAAAACTTGACCATTGAAATCGTAAAAGAGGATACGGAGGTACATCGTATACTCACTGAGTTGTCTTGCAGTGCGTGGGTCGGTGTGAGACTGTTTGGTGGCGTGTTGGATTTTAAAAACAACGTTAGACCCTCTTCTAGAACAGATCCTTACAGGGTTACAGTTCAGGCCGAGTGCCCAACCGAGTCTTTGGTTTTTAGATGGACATCGACACCCAACCTCCCGAGTACTACTCCAACCTTTCGAGTACTCCAACCTCCCTCTCTCTACTCAAAGCATGAACATGGTCATACGCGTGCCCCAACGTATTAGAGTTAAGTATAGTTCTTTGTTTCCGGCGAGATGCCCTTGTCTTGATTTTTAGAGGTGGTCAGCGGGTGCGCCGACTGTGAGATCGATACTGCAAGGCTGAGATAATCCTCGAAAATTGAATGCGGGATTGCAGTCATTGACCTTCAATAAGTCACCGAAACATCGTCTAGACTTCTGTCACTGTGCTTCTGCCCCTACCGCAATTGTATAAGCTGGGTTAATCACCCACAGACAATATACATTGGAGAAAATGATTCAGGTTTCGAGTTATTAATAATCTTGCCCGTCTACATTTGACCTGCTGAATTGCGTTCAAGGAATCTCAATCCAACGTCATCTATGATCTTTCACAATTAGGGGTGCGAGCCATATACGGAATAGTCTCCTAATCACGTGTGCACATCATTTTGTATTTTTCGGATCCTGCCAACAGGTTGTCGTCATGATTATTGTTCCGATTATTATCCCATTTGTTAATATCAATTCATGAAGGTCATCAAAACCTTCAGCCATTTAGGCTCCCCACCGCCAGCTTAATATCAAATCAATCGTCCTTGAGTCCCAACGCCTCTCGCCTGGTAGGAGGCTCCGGATCGAAAAAGGGCTTCTCGGCCAACGAGGTCACACGAGTGCCGTGTCTTGGTTCGGAACCCTCATAATCCCAAGATGCGTTGTGTATGGTTATTCTATTATCCCAGAGCGCCGAAGTTTTTGGCGTCCACTTGAATCGGACCTGAATGTCGACGTTCTTCTCATACACATCGTATAAATAATTGAGAATCAAGTCGCTCTCAGCCTTGTCAAGCCCAACGATGGACTTGGTCATAGCTCTATTCACGAAGAGAGACTTCCAACCAGTAGCTGGATGGACGCGGACAATAGGGTGGATGCGTTCAATGTGTTTTGGGCCCGCGTTCGGGTCATTGCGGTCGAGGTATGTGTGAGCGCTCACATAGATGGCTTGCTTTCCATCGATGATCTTTCGGAAGTCTGGACTCAATTTTGAGTACGCGGCGTAACCGCTGGCCCACAACGTATCGCCGCCGATCGAGGGAATAGTGTCGTTATGCAAGTGTGTAATGCCCGCCGGGTGCTTTTCGTGTACGAGATCAGTGTGCCATCTTGATGCACCTCCTGGCTGTCTGAAAGAGGCTGGTCTCTCTTGAGCTTGAAGTGCAGGCCAGATGATAGTCACTCCAGGAACGCCAGGTACGTGCGGAACTTGAGGCTAGGAGACATCAGTACCGCATCGCTCTCCAATGTCACTTTTACTTACATGGATTTCAATCTCTCCATAATGCTCTCCCAAACTTTTCTGCTGTTGAGGAGTAATATCCTGATCTCTGAAGAACACAACTGATCTCTCTGAGATGAGCAATCCCAACTCGTCTCGTTGCTGAGAAGTAAGATCCTTCAGCTGGAGACCTACGATTTCTGTGCCGATATGGCGGGTCAAGTCGATGACCTCTTTTGCTGCTGAAAACAGAGCACTTTTGGATTTATCGGCTCGGGCTCCAGCCTCAACGTGCTCGCGGTCCTCATTTCTGATGTTGTAGGCATCATCAAGGAACAACGGCTTGGCTGGACGCTCTGGGTATCCATTGCTGAGATCGATGCCTGCCTTCTCAAGACGAGCTCGCGCCGCGGCTGGTAGAGGGAGTGTATCTTTCTTTTGAATCACAACATCTTTGATCCGAGAATCGATTGGCAGGGGCAAGTCAATTGCTGAAGGGGCCATTTTTCTTTGTATTTGGTTTACTGAAGAAGATATGCCGGGGAAGAGTTGTACTTGCTGAAAGTGTAATGTAAGATGTTCATGTGGGATTCGTTTTCTTTTTGTATCCTCTCGCGATCAGGATGATGGTACGATATATTCGATTTCTAATCCAACGCGTGCTGACCGTTGAGCGCACAAGAATGAGGGGTAAAATGGCGATCTCTTGTAGTCGTGGTGGAGGAGTCTGAGCTGCCTAGAGCTTCGGCCAATCAGCTGCCGCAGACGTGGTCGATGAGGTGCTTTCTACAGATGTGACGACAACACCCACAACCTTCAACGATCGCAACCTCGTATGTGTTTCAAGTGATTACAAAGCATTTCGCTACTTGGCTGCCCAAAGGAGCCCTCTTATCCTGCTATCTTATCTGGCACCCTTGATGTCATCCCTCCATCACTCTCATTTGTTGCATCGCCTAGTGGCATCATGAACCCTTTGTAGCACAACATAATTTCAGCTGATCAATACGCCTTTTTGCTGCAGCAATGCGGCCAGGCAGACTAGATCCGGGTTTATGTTTGACTACTCAAAGAAATTTTATCAGTCGGCTTCCAACAGATGAGTATTTTGATGCTCGTCAGAATGTCCGATGACAAGTCTCGTTATGGAGCCGTGAATACAACACTTGGTCCATCGGATTCCGAATCCATCACTTCAGAGCCAAGTGTCAAACATAAGGCACCATGGTGGTCATATATTTGGGTAACAATACCCAAGTCATATCAGGAACTCGACGTTAACCAGAACATAGGACTACGACCCAAACAGAACACACGTAGAGCGAAAGTTCCTTCAAAAACTCGACCTCTCTCTATTGACCATTCTATCTCTTGGATACTTCATCAAGAATTTGGACCAGACAAACATCAGCAATGCCTATGTTAGTGGAATGAAGGAGGACCTTCAAATGAACGCCAATGAAATAAACCTCATTGACATCGCGTGGACGACCGGCTATGTTGTTGGCCAACTCCCATCTCAACTCATCCTTACGAAAGTAAGACCATCAATTTGGATACCGTCCTGCGAACTAGTTTGGACGATACTTACATTTTGTCTGGCGGCGGCTTCGACTTCAAAGCATGTCATCGTAATACGTTTCTTCGTCGGTCTCGTCGAAAGCATATTCTACCCTGCAGCTCATTTCCTCATTGGATCCTGGTATAAACCTAATGAGCTCGGAAAGCGAGCTGGTCTCTTTCATGCATCGTCTGCTGCAGCGGGCATGTTCTCGGGGTATCTGCAGGCGGCGGTATATAAGGGATTGAACGGCACAGGTGGTAAGGCAGGATGGCAGTGGCTGTTCATCATGGATGGGATTATTAGTGCTCCCATTTGTCTCGCAGGCTTCTTTCTGATTCCAGACTTACCTGAAAACACCAGAGCATTCTACTTGACCAAGGACGATGCAGGCTTGGCGAGGGAAAGGATGGATGATGTTGGACGTGCGCCGAGAAAAAAGTTGGGGTGGTCGATTTTGAAAAGAGTTTTTACCAGGTGGCACGTCTGGGCTCTGACTATTCTTTACATTATATTTATCAATATTGGGCCTTCGTCTAGTATTTCACCACTAGCACTTTGGTTGAAAGCCAATAAGTGGCCTATTACCAAAATCGTAAGTTACCTCTAACTGCTTGCTGATATCACTTACTGAAAGCAGCACAGAACGTCATCCCAACAGGCCAAAGCGCCGTACAGCTCGTATGTACTGTTGGCTTCGCTATCCTCAGTGACTTCCTCCGCAACCGTCCCATCGTCATGACAATTTCAACTGCACGTCTCCCTTAATCAGTTCCCCTGCCATATTCTCCCCCGATTACTAACAATCTCCCAGTTCTTCGGCTTCCTCTCCAACCTGTTCCTAGCAATCTGGAATGTCCCCAAAGGTCTAAAATGGTTCTCCTACTTCGCCGCCCGCATCGCCGTTCCCTACGGTCCGCTCTCCATGTCTTGGGCCAACGAAATCTGCGGCAACGATGCCGAGGAACGCGCGCTGGTGTTGGGGATCATGAATGCGGCTGGATATGCGTTTCATACGTGGTTACCACTGTTGACGTACCCAGCGAAACAGGCGCCGCGGTTCAAAAGGGGCTTTATCTTTTCGACGTGTGCATTTGTTGCGCAGTTCGGTATTACGGGGTTGGTTTGGTGGCTGCAGAGGTGGGAGGGGAGGAGGAAGAAGGAGAAGGGGAGGGAGAGTGAGAGAGAGAGTCTGGGTGGGGGTGGTGGAGAGGGAGATGGCCACTGAGCTTTGATCGGGCTTGTCTGTTTTGCAGTGTTTGGGATGATAGGGCGAACGCTTCTGTCGGGACATATCAAGCTTCGAGCTCGATTCCTTTGGATTATAGGTATAGCCCTTGCAATTTGGCAAAGCCTGGAGAGATGGTTTAGAGTCTAAGAACCCTAGGTGAGAAAGATGCTTCGAACTTGGAGGATGGAAGGCTGAAGTCTTTGCTGGTAGAAGAGGGCTGTCGAATCGATCGAGGGGTTTTCTTCAAACTTCTATTTGACGTGGGATATTCGAATGTTTTCCGAAAGAGTCTGCATAGGACAATCCCGCCCATGGCCCCAAAGTCTCCACGAGATGATGACTGCATCTGGGTTAGGGGTGACAATGGGCTGGGTCGGGGAACTGCGAAAGAGTAACCGAGAATTATTAACCTGACCGCACCAGGAATAAACCAAGGGGACATGCCCATCCCAAAGAATACACGTAGAACCAGAACCGACTCCAAAGGAATAGAGGTATTCAAAAGAGTTGGCCAGAAATCCATTTCTTGGATATGCCTCACATTTCCTGACATCTCATCCAACTCAGTATTTTCCGTTCTATTTTTTGTTCGTTCTTCACATCGTCATTGATGCTCACTGTTGTCAGAACCAATATCCTGATCCATGTTCTACCAAATAAAGTTTTCGACTTCACCCCTTCGGAAACAGTACTTCCAGATCCCGTTACCAATCAAATATACAAACAGGCAGGCGCGTTGCATGTTGAACCACCAGGTACGACCTCAACTAGGCCTGAATAGGCAAGTGGCGGTAGGATGAACAAGCTTTGACCACAGGGTGCAGCTGGCGGAAATAATTAAACATGCATTTACAAGATTACGACCACTCAGAAAGGGATGCGCATATCGCATTTTCTTGATCATCCCTGCCACTGCTCTGAATATGCAGGTCCAAGATACGGCAACTGACAAGATGGGAAGCTCGTGCGGGACAAGCAGACTTCCAATTCCACCAGACTCGAGTTATCCTTTTATACCTATATAGGAGCTCTGCCTCCCTGTCTACTCTTTTCCCCTCCTCACTCTTGTCGAGCATCAATTTCCTTCTCAGTACTTCGGCGAGCCTCAGCATGCTTTCCAAGATCGCAGTATTCGCAGCATTGCTGTCTCCCACCCTCGCTGCTGTCCACGAGCAACTTGTTGCCCTTCCCCTTGGATGGAGTGAAGTCGCAACACCAGCCGACGATCAAATCTTGACTTTGTCAATTGGTCTGGCACAACAAAATATCGATCAATTGGAATCCAAATTGCTCGCTGTTTCAACGCCAGGGAATGCCGAGTACGGACAGCATCTCGACGTCGACGATGTGAACTCTCTCTTCGCCCCTACCGAAGAGGCAAATACGGCAGTCCAATCGTGGCTTACGAATGCTGGTGTCGGCCAGGTACATAGTGATGGGCATTGGGTCACGTTTGCTACGACCGTATCAAAGGCTAATGAGCTGCTCAACACAACTTTCAAGACCTACTCGAACAGTGGTGTTCAGAAGATACGAACGACGCAGTATTCTGTTCCTGATGATATTGGCTCCTACGTGGACTTGAGTAAGTGGTCCAATACCTCTCTGGATGCAATCTGCTGTCAAGGCGTGATGCTTCTCCTGGCACAAACCTGCAGACTCCCGAAATACCCCACCTTCCACCCTTCGAACGTGTAACACTGACCACGATTAGTCACGCCAACCACGTATCTAGGGAAGACCGTTGCTAGCATGCCGAGATACCCTAGGCCGGAATTCACAAAGACGAAGAAGGATGCGCCTAGCAAGCGCGATATTGCAGCTTCCTGCCAGACATCAATCACTCCATCATGTATCAAGGAACTATACAGTGTGGGAAATTACACCCCGGATGCGAATTCAGGAAGTGTGGTTGGATTCGGCAGCTTCTTGAACCAGTCTGCTCTCTACGCAGACCTCTTCGCATATGAGAAGCTCTACAACATCCCCACACAGAACTTTTCGGTGATTCTCATCAATAACGCAACAAACGATCAAAATACGACAACGGCACAAATCGGCGAAGCTGACCTTGACGTACAGAACATCATTGGTGTTAGCCATCCTCTACCAGTCGTGGAATTCATTACAGGTGGTTCACCTCCATTTATTCCTAATTTGGATGAACCCACAGCAGCAGATAACGAGAATGAACCCTACATCCCTTACTATCAATACCTGCTCAAGCAAAAGAATAGCGAACTTCCTCAGGTCATCTCTAACTCCTACGGTGATGATGAGCAGACAGTTCCAAAATCATACGCAATCCGTACCTGCAACATGATCGGCATGCTCGGTCTGCGTGGTATCACTGTTCTCGAATCTTCCGGCGATACTGGTGTAGGGTCCCCTTGCCAGTCTAACGATGGAAAGAAGACTCCACAATTCACGCCTACATTCCCAGGTATGTCGTTTTCTCGGAAATTTTCTATGGCTTGGTTATCTGAAGAGCGGAGTCGACTCCAGAAATATTGTCTCAATTTTCGTAGAATATTATTCTGGCTCCCAAATCTACTATATCAACAATACTGACTTCGAGATCTTGACGTATAGGTACCTGTCCTTATCTCCTCTCAGTCGGAGGCACACAAGCTGTGACTCCAGAAGTGGCTTGGGTTGCCGGCTCCGGCGGCTTCAGCAACTACTTCTCGAGGGCATGGTATCAGGAAGGTGCTGTCCAGGACTACCTCAACAACCACATATCGAACGCGACCAAGAGTTACTACCAGCCGTTTACAAACTTTAAAGGCCGCGGTTTCCCTGATATCTCGGCTCACTCTTTAACCCCCGATTACCAAGTCATCTACGATGGTACGCCTTCGCCATCAGGTGGAACTTCCGCCGCTGCTCCTGTCGTAGCAGGCATTATTGGTCTCCTGAATGATGCCCGTCTTCGTGCTGGCAAAAACACTCTAGGCTTCATCAACCCCCTTTTATATGACATTGGTGTTAAGACCTTGAATGACATCACTGGAGGTGGATCAGTTGGTTGCACTGGCATCAACGGACAGACTGGAGCGTCTGTACCGGGTGCCAGTATTATTCCGTATGCGAGTTGGAATTCGACTGTAGGGTGGGATCCTGTAACTGGACTCGGAACCCCTAATTTTCAGAAATTGAAGGAGCTGGTGTTAAAATTTTAGATGAGAAGGGCGACGCTTCTATAATAATAAGAGATGAAGAAACCCTAGAACCCCGTAGCGGTCACTAAAGTAGGAATCAATACAACTCCGCAACACCATCAATGACCAATTAGCCCTATTGAGATAGCTGATATCTAAAGTGAGAAGTGTTTGGTCACGTGTCTGTATCCGGATTGGGAGTAGTGGATTGATACTTATGTGAATTCAAGAATCTGACGAAAATATAGTGCCGCTTTCATTCCTTCATCCAGAGTTCTTTACATGTTTTACGGATACCTTCACGCACGAATATTTCTTCTAGTGAAGATTAACCTTTTCAAGTAAGGGGAAGCTTCAGCTAAATCCGAAGCAATCTCCATTCCCTACCGAGTCTAGTGGGGCTCCCATCGTAAGCCTCGGCTTAATACGCGGTGGCGTGTTAACGTGTCCTTGAGTAGCTGAAGAAAGTTCACCATCATCCCTATCGCGACTTGCCTATCATTATTTCCCTTGGCGCCGTGAATTGAAACCCTCTTTTGATGAAGAACCGAGGCCTCTCCGCTATTCGAACTCTCTTTAACTAAGGTACGACTACGGTAGCTTTTTGGAGTCTTGGGTATAGATACTGAGCACGTCCTTTCTATTTTCTTTCTTGCGACAAGTTGATATTATTATCGTATTGTTATTCTTGGTCTTGAAGTCTTTCCAAGTAAACATCCCACATCATTTGCTGCTGCTGCAACAAAATGGGCTCTATAGCTAGATCTGCCAGCGAGAGCTTCGATGTCATGATCGTTGGCGCCGGTCTCTCTGGCATCAATTCTGCATATCGAATCCAGACTGAGCTTCCGGGATACAGCTACACAGTCCTCGAGTCCCGCGACGCAATTGGGGGGACGTGGGATCTTTTTCGCTACCCAGGCATTCGATCGGATTCAGACCTGCACACATTCGGATTCCCATGGCGTCCATGGACGGAACACAGAGCGATTGCCGCGGGAGAGGCGATACGGAATTACATTCGAGAATCCGCTGAGGAGTTCGGCATTGATAAGAAGATTAGATTTGGGAACAAGATGCTTTCTGCAGACTGGTCTACCGAAGAGCAGAACTGGAACATGTTGGTTGATAGTAATGGAGAGGAGAAGCTGTACAAAGCTCGTTTCATTATCTTTAGTACTGGCTACTACGATTATAATGAGCCGCTGAAGACCACCATACCCGGAATCGAGAACTTCAAAGGCACAAGAATACACCCTCAGTTCTGGCCAGAAGACCTCATCGTGGATTCCAAGAAGATCGTAATCATCGGGAGCGGGGCAACTGCAGTCACCCTCCTCCCAATCCTCGCCCAAACCGCCAAGCATGTAACGATGCTTCAACGATCCCCAACATACATCCTAAGCAGACCATCTGTCGACCCTGTAGGAACATTTCTCCGCAAAGTCTTCCCCAGCTGGATCGCAAGCCGTATCGTGCGCTACAGATTCCTTGTCCTACCCTTCCTTTTTTCCAAATTCTGCAGCGCCTTCCCAGAAGCCGCGCGGAGAATAATCCACAAGCGCGTGAAAGCCGAACTCCCACCCTCAATGTCCATCGACCCCGACTTCAACCCGCGATACAATCCCTGGGAACAGCGTCTATGCGTCTGTCCCGATGGAGATTTCTATGAATCGCTTCGCAACGGGAGTTCGGATGTGGTGACGGATACTATTGAGCGGGTTACGGAGACTGGGATTGAGACGGTGGGAGGCAAGGTCATCGACGCAGACATAATCATCACAGCCACCGGCCTGAAAATGCAACTCGCCGGCGGGGCTACCCTCTCCCGCGACGGCACCCCGCTGTCTCTCCCCTCGACATTCGCCTGGAATTCCACCATGCTGTCCGACGTCCCCAACGCAGCTCTCGTGATTGGGTACGCGAATGCATCTTGGACGCTAGGCGCGGACGCGGCCGCGAAACTCGTTATACGATTACTAAAATACATGCGCAAGAATGGTTTTAGTAGCGCTATGCCGAGGGTTGGGGATGTGGGGATGAAGAAGCAAAATTTGCTCAATTTGAATAGTACGTATGTGGAGAAAGCAAAGGGGGATTTGCCGAGTGCGGGGGATAAGAAGCCTTGGTTGCCGAGGAGTAATTATTTTGTTGATCTTTGGGCCGCGTCGTATGGGAATTTGACGAGGGGCTTGGAGTTTACTTCTGCTGCTGATGCGGCGAGTAAGAAGGTTAATTAATTGATGAGGTGTGTTTGTAGATACGCGGTTTGCGATTGTGATGAGAGGCGTTTGGAGGCTTGGAGCGTTGTGTTTTTGGTTTTGTTTTTGAAGTCTTAGTGTATATTTTGGGTTTGTGCATTGATACTTCGTAGAGGAGTGAGATGAGTATATAGAAGTGTAATAATAATCATGTAACCGCATTTTCTATTGTTTTTCTCCTTTTAACATCTTGTCTTCGTCCCTTGCTAGTGCATCGTGGGGCGAACAGTGGCACTAGTGGTCTGGATCTTGGATTGTAACGTTATTGTAATCATTCTACTGAACTTCGTTTTACTATTATCAGAATATACCTCTTTCCTATATGTAAGAAAGTGGGTAGAAAGTACGGTATATAAGGTACTATCTTCGTGTAAAAATACCCTTTATATTTGCCTTATTTGAAGAAAATTCTAGGAGTAAAGTCTTGGATTTTTCAAGCAGTAATGCCTGGCTCGTGGCTTTTCATTTGCATTTTCTTACTCACGCAATAATATGGCGGGGAGACATTGACATTGCTTTCCATTCGTTTGTTCTGGTGGTATCTTCCTATTATAAAGCATGTGATCCGATAGTCACATGATTCACTTTTTACTCTTCAATTTATTTACTAGCTGATTATCGAGTAGTACATCTATGTTTAACGACCGTTTCCTCGTTGATATTCTGCTTGCTTGTATGTGTATTGTTTTATTTGTCTCGGTAGCTCGATGCTTTTAGCATGCACGTGTTTTTCAATTTGTTTTCTTCTTTGCCTTCACACATTACCATGATAGGCTTAGTGGCTGCTTCTGTCAGACACAGTGTGCAACTATGCCTATATAAAAATCGTGGCCGTTATTTCTTGTAGTTGTTGTACATGTAAAGCTAGATCCTACACATTTGGTGGTGGGGTAAGGGATTAATATAAAATGCAATCATATCCCCTTGAACTTCACAGCGGCAAGTGCCTACATCGAAACTCCAAGTCCACAGTCTATGTGAAAAGCGTCAAGTAGCAAGGAGCTTTTATGAGAGAGCCAGACTTTTACACGTCACATGACCTCACAGAGATGCCCAAAACACCCAAACGTCCTTCTTTTCCTTCTGTATATGATGCTCATCCAGTCGTTTAGATTCCGTGCCTTTCCGGACGCCTGCAAATGCCATTTCATTATCCCATTATTGCTGGAGATTTCCTAGCAAAGCTATCGTCGAAAGTCTCGGTGCGTATTTTCCTGATTCGCTATCGGTTCTCTGGAGAAGTCATCGTCAGTTCCAAGTTCAGAATACAATTGCTGGTTTAATCTCACCTTAGATTTGAGGGCGTCCATATTGTATTCGGCGCCGTCATAAGGACCACTTGGTGGTGATGGTAAATATGGAAAGGGGAAAAGAGGCCGGGAAGTTGTTCCTCTCTGTTATCTACTACAGCCTGATCAGCGGTGTTTCATTAGGATCTTCAGGAGAAAAGCGTGGTGGTGGAAAGAGAAAAAATTTCTGGTGGTCGTGTTCACTTACTCGTGCCTCTCTGGGAAAGCGCTCCCCGCTGCAGGTATTGCCAAACTAGCAGGAACGTTGGAGGAAGGGTGACTATTAAAGTCAAAATACCAACGAGTGCTTCCGTTGAGACTGTCATTTCCGGTCGTTTCTGTGCTTGCCTTTGGATAGCTACACATACATTTCATTTCCTTGCGGTCGACTTGGGTTTATAAGTAGTAAATCTCTCCTTGTGACATTATCTTTAAAGGCTCGCTTGTCGTATCCGCCTTGTGCTATCAAATCATGGAATCTTCCAATTACAGGTCTCCGGATGTAGAGTGAGCCCAGAAGCCTGACCCCGTAGTCAATCCCTACTATGTTAACGGGGAAAATTTTGGAAAGATCCAATCAACATAGCTTCCGAGTCTGACGACCGTGAGCTGATTCTCGAGGACTCGCTTGTATTGTTTGCCTTGTGTTACCAAATTATGGAACCCTCCAATTACAGGTCTCCGAATGTAGAGTGAGTGAGCCCAGGAGCCTGACCCTGTAGTCAATCGTCCTGTGTCGACAGGGAATATTTCGGAAAGATCCAATCATCGAATTTCTATCACAGCCCACTTCCCATGCGGGGAATCAGGCCTGGAGGCTGAGTCGGGCGTTCTGAACTAGGGGGTCTGCACGCAAATTCTGGCATCGGCCAATCATTGCGAGACACAAAATGCAACCACAGAGTGACATCGCGCCTGCCAACGGCTTTCGTTTTCAGCTTTGGTATGCGAGGCTATATTATATTGCTATCTTCCCACCCCCCAACGACCTTTGTTATCATTCTACAAACTTCGTCTCGGACGATAAATTCCCTGTGCCGGTTGAAGCTTCATCAATCTACCTATTGTTACTACCTTCTTGATCTATTATTATCTTGCTGAAATCTCCTTGTACCAAGAGCCTGAAGAAAGCATGGCTTTGCCTTGGGGAACCCATCAGGACTTCCTAAAGAAGCTATGGATAGATGATGATCAGACGTATGAACAAGTTCAGACAAAAATGAAGAGTCTTCATGACTTCAAAGCTTCGTAAGTAGCACTTCAATTGCGCAATTTGAAGGGCGAAGGAGTTGTACACTGACCAAACCAATAGCAAGAACCAATACGTAGCCCAATTCAAGAATTGGGGATGGAGGAAAAACATCGCTGCCGCCGAATGGCGAAGCATCAACAAGACGATCGTGCGGCGACATGACAAGGGCCGAAAGAGCATGGTCTACCTTAACAACGTCCTTGTTCCTGACGCAAAAGTCAGAAAGGAAATCTCGAGGAACGTCCTACTATCCTCTCAACTTGCTCAAGGTAAGTTCATAATAAATAGGCTTGCATGATGGGTCCATCTAACCTCTAGAACATCAGTTCCAAATACTCCCCCGCCTATCCCAGACATTCAAATTCGAACTCCGCCTTCAACACCCTCTGCGAACTTTACGACCGATGTATCGCATAACCCCACAAGCATCTCTGCTTTGGTCCAGATGAAACGAAAACGAAGCTTGCAAATAGATATCGAGCCCACAGGGTCCAAGGTCCAACGCATCTCAGGTACTTCATCCACTGCAGGACTTTAATACCCTTCCTAACATAATAGTACAACACCGGTCGGTGCGGGAACAATCCTTTCAGCAGGTCTTTTCGGCTACGGGTCTATTAGCAAACGGAGGAGATAAACTTCCATATTTCGAGTTTCAAGACCTGTTTAGGTCTTTGAACCTTGGTGAGTCGTTTGGATAGTAATTTAGCTTCAAATCAGGCTTTACTTACATCTACTAGCCGATACATTTTCTAAGGGCATGTTCTTTGACCAAGTCCCATCCCCATCCATAGTTCCCTCCGATCCTCTATTTTTGTTAGACATCGCGAAGTCTGAATGTAGCCTGGATTACGGTTGCGATAATTTCGAGTCCGAGGGTACCATGGAACAAAATTCGAAACAAAGAGGCATCGGTCATTTCTACAAATCTTTTGCCAATTTGTTGATACCACAGGCAGGAAACCAAGACCAACTGGATGCCAATAAACGGCTTCAAGAGAAGCTTCCAATGTTGTTGGAAAACATGCCCGAGAGATATTCAGGAGAACGCCAATTCATCTTGGAGACCCTACTAGGTCCACCACAACTTAGCGCAGCTCTTTGCCTTCTAGAGATTGTGGTTTATCTATATTCCAATAGACTGGTTGAAGAATATGTTTCTGATATTATTTTAGATTGGATAGTCAAGACCATTCCTTTCGACGCCCTGGGAAATGTTTTACGAACGAAACTTCCAACTCTTCAGGCATTCCAGTGCGCGTTGTTTTTATACGGTATCAAGATTAGCTCGATTCGCCTCGTATCGGATCTGTTGGATCTGGACGTTGGACTAAAGGACTTTGTTCGTACTTCAGATGAGGTTCTTAAGAAAGCTATCCTTGCAGGCAATACCGAAATCGTTGAACTTGTCCTGAGTCTGGGTGAAATCAAATATCATCTGTCGGGTCGTGACACGCCATGGAGGCGCAGTCTAGTTCAAGGCACGTTTTCGACGGGAATTGCTCGACTCCTGGTGGGCGTGGGTGCCGATGTGTGTGGGGAAGTCGCTCCATTTCGGAATAGGTATGCCAGGTTCCCACTTGCGGCTGCGATTTACAGGGGCGACTACGAACTCACCCAATATTTGCTGGGTGTTGGAGCAGACGTCAATCCTGAGGATCCCTTGTTAGAAATGGCCGTGGCCACTGGTGAAGTCAATCTTCTTCGCCTGCTTCTAGACCATGGCGCAGATGTTAATGCAGTCGGTGATAGTCATGACTTTCGTACGACATACTATACATTTGGTAGTTTCAGAGGTCCTCGTATGGTTGGAACAGCACTTCAGGCTGCTGCTGCTAGAGGGTACATCGAAATGGTGGAGTTGCTTCTCCAAGCTAGCTCAGCAATCAATGAGCCTGCACATGGCGCGTACGGAAAGACAGCTCTCTATGCAGCAGTAGATGCTGGCTTTAGAAACATAGTGGAGCTCCTTCTTCAACTAGGAGCCACAGTCGATGCTCCAGGAACATATTCCCCCGAGTATCCACGTACGGCACTGCTAAGAGCAGTTGAGACCGACAATCTTGCTATACTTAAAGTCTTATCAGAGTTTGGCGCTGACCCCAACGCTCCTGCCTTTGGCTATTATGGAGCAACAGCACTTGAGGCTGCAAGGGCACACAAAAATGGAACTGGAATTGTTTCTTGTTTGCTGCTCGCAGGTGCAATCGATGAGATCAGACATCACGATCCAGTCAGACTCCGGTACATGAAAGTTCAGCTTGTGCAGGCGATTATTCGCGGCGATGTCGTAAATATCTATCACCTGCTGCAAATGGGAACAGAGATCGATATGGTGCCTGTTGAATATGGCGATTGGTACGAAGAGGGGAATGATCCATGGAATAATACATATAAACGTTCGTGGAATGATAGAAGACCCGAATTTTGGACCAGGGCTACAATTCTACATTGGGCAATAGCTTCTGAAAATATTAATTCTGAAGTTTTCGGACATTTGGTAGGACAAGTCAATAACTTGGATGAGCAGCATTATATCAACACGCTGGAGCCAGTTCTCCACGAAGCGGTTTGCCGCGGAAGGATTAATTTCGTGGGAATCTTGCTGGATGCTGGGGTAGATATTGACTTGGTATCGAGGGTGACGGAACTAGGCCCTTCCTATCGTAAGGATAGCGTGCCAACAGCATTGCACATTGCTGCCCATCAAAGAGACTTGGACTTGGTATCTTTGCTGCTAGACAGAGGCGCAGATGTTAACCTCACATCCCTGGACGCCCACACTCCATTGCAACTATTTTTGCTTCGCAATCGCAACCATGATGACGTTGATAGTCTACGGTTCTTGGATCTCTTTGAGCTTTTCATAAGTCGTGGTGCTGACGTCAATGCACCGCCCCCAGCCACTAATTTTGGGAGTACTGCGTTACAGATAGCAGCCAGCGGAGATAATAGTGCGCAAGAAAACATGGTACTACGCCTTCTGACTTTGGGGGCAAACGTAAATGATCCTGCTGCCGAGAACAATGGTGATACGGCTCTGCAGGCTGCTTCTTGGCGGGGCAATTTGGACATAGTAATTATGCTGCTGGATCATGGTGCAGAGGTGAATGCTCCAGGCTCACGGGGGTATGGAACAGCTCTTCAGCGTGCGTCAGCGCTTGGCCACATCAAGATTGCTCAGCTTCTCCTCTCTAAAGGTGCAGAGGTGAATGCTCCAGGCTCGCATAGGGGTGGCACAGCTCTTCAGCTTGCGTCATGGGGTGGCCACATCAAGATTGCTCAGCTTCTCCTCTCTGAAGGTGCAGAGGTGAATGCTCAACTTCGACACTCGGGGTTCTATTGCAGGACAGCACTCGAATGTGCGGCTCGAGGGGGGGGGCTGGACATGGTACAGCTGTTAATCAATTCTGGTGCCGATTGTAACATGCCTTTAAATAAAAGATATGTTTGGGCTTTAAAATACGCCAAAAACGAATATTCGAACATGGGGCTTGTCTCGCTGCTCCAGAAACATAGGGACAGAGCGCTGGAAGAATGGAACAAGATGAGAGTATTCGAAGTGCACCCAAGAGGGAATCTTGAAGACGGCCCAAATGATTTCGACAACTCTTCCTCCGACTACAGTTCTGAAAGCGATTACGACAGCGAGCTGGAAGATGTAGTCGACGAGGGTGTCGAGGAATAAGTTACTGCACACTGTGGTCCTCGTTTTCAAGTTGTTTGTTCCTCGACGCTTCCTTGATACGGCTTGTTTGCTATCCATGACTGAGTGCTATATATGGTCTATACTAGTTGGACAAGTTGTCATCAAGACAGAAATCCTCGGCATTTATGGAACCATTCGAAGTCCACCAAAACGAATTTATCATTTCTCATGTCGGTGGTCGTCTACAAAGGGAAGCGGACGAGCATAATAAGCAATGCGGGCATTTCAACAAAGCGTATCTGGATTCTGTCTTTTGGCTATGCAGAATTTGGATTTTCTCGAGTCTGTGGAAGTTGTACAAATTGATCAATTGGGTTGCTGGGAGTTAATGATTGATTTGAAGTTACGATGGATCACGAGTAATAATGTCACAAAAGTACTATGGCAATACTACCATGATAGTATGAATAATTTGATTGCATAGTGGAACCTTTATTGCCCAGCAGTCGCCCGGTCGCCCAACCGCGCAGCCAAGTTAGCACAGTAAGCAATAATTATGGGGCGACATACTGCGGTCCTAAGATGGCGACATGAACGAGAACTTTGGTGTGATACATGCATCCGCTGATTTCAATATCAGGTATCGAATCAATCCCCAATAAAAACCATGTCGAGAATGGACCTTGTCAGTGATCGCGAATGAGTTGGGCGAATTCAGATATTTATTTAATTTGAGGAGCCCCCGCGTTCGACGCTCGCGAACGAGGAATCCTTTCCACACAAAACAGTACAGATTCTTCTCGGCATTGCTTTTCACCCATTCTTCAAATGGCTACCAAGATCAGGAGAGTTGCCGTCATTGGCGCGGGACCGTCAGGTGGGATTGCGGTTGATGCACTAGCAAAAGAACAAGCTTTCGATGTTATCCGAGTATTCGAGAGGAAAGATCAGGCTGGTGGTACTTGGTGAATAGATTCCAACTCAACCAATATGGCAGACGTTACTAAATACATAATCTCAGGGTCTTCACTCCCGAGCTGGAGCCCAAGATACCCTTGCTTCAAGAGCTCATCAAGCAGCCGCAAAATGGCGACGTCCAAGTCCCAATTCCCCCACAACTTCCAGCTCAGACACCTAAATCCACCCAAGTGAACAGCCATCAATTCCGCTTCTCAGACACGCCTATGCATGAACATCTCGAAAGTAATATCGGACTAAGCGTAATGAGCTTCACCCAAGAACCATTCCCAGATATCATCTCCAAGCGATCACGAGCTCAATTCGGACCCGAATCACCATTTCGGCATCGTGAAATTGTGCGGAAGTGGATCGAAGCCCTCTTTAACCGGAATGGGTATAGAGATTTTGTTGAATTTAACACGACTGTTGAACTTGCCGAGAAAGTTGGGGATGAATGGGTTTTGACGCTTCGCAAAGAAACCAAGGGAGCAGACGAAAAGGACTTTTGGTGGCAGGAGAGATTCGATGCAATTGTAGTTGCAACGGGACATTATAATGTGCCATTCATACCGGACATTCCTGGTCTGGTTGAGTTGAATGAGAAGATCCCAGGATTGGTATTGCATAGTAAGCAGTATCGAAATCCAGAGCACTATCGTGGCAAGGTGAGACAACTAGATTTCCGCGCGTCGATTTTGATTCATGAAACTAACTTATCATATTCAGAAAGTCGTTATTGTGGGTGCTTCAGTATCATCGTTTGATATCGTCCACGATATTTTAAGTGTTGTCAAGGTTCCGGTATACGCATCACTCAGAGGAGCAAATCCTGTCTTCGGCTACGTCCCCTTCACCCACCCTGAAATTGTGCGGAAGCCGGTCATCACTCAAGTTTCAGCCAGCAATCGAACAGTCTTCTTTTCGGACGGAAGCAAGCTCGAAGATGTAGATCACATCATCTTTGCCACTGGTTACACCTTCAGTCTACCCTTCCTTCCTTCGGTCAAGGTTGTCAATCGGAGGATACCAGGACTTTATTTGCATATATTTAACCAAGCGGATCCAACGCTCACATTTATAGGAGGGGTAAGCACTCACATTTGATGGAATCTCGGAGACAAATAGTAACCAAATAATACAGACTGCAGGTGGCTTCACGTTCCGTGTCTTCGAGTGGCAGGCTGTGGCAATCTCCCGATTCTTTGCTGGACGAGCTTCATTGCCATCGCTCGACGTACAAAAGCGTTGGGAGCAGGACCGTTTAGCCATTTCTGGTGATGGCGTTCCCTTTTACAAGCTTGCTCCTAGATTTGAGGAATATTTCGAGGCGCTTAGGTCCTTTGCTGGAGACCCGAGCCCTGGAGTTCCTGGGCGTATTCTGCCAAAATGGAACCCTGGATGGCTCGGTGGATTCTCTGATACACTGGACAAACGCCTGCAGTCATGGAAGGATGCGGCTGCTGTTGCGGAAGCACGACTAGCTGCGGAGGCCGTAGAAAAAGAGAGGAAAGAGGAGGAGGAGAAGCCGATTCGTGCGAAGTTATAGAATGGGCGAGAATAATTCCTAGGACTAGGTAGAGATTCATTTATTTGTCTATGTAGTGCTTCTTAGATGTTATCTTCATGTTCCTAGCTCTCGACTTGTCCTTTTCCACGGGTGTCAAACCTCGCCCGGTTTAAATCCTTCCGTTTACGAATTACCCAATCCGAATTCAGCCGTTGCAATCTTCTCAACACTAGTAAAGTTGGTGGCCACTAAGAGGGTGCTCAAGATGAAATCCAGATACAATTGTCAGTAGAAGTCCGCAAAATATCAGTGTGGCTTACCTAGAATCTAGCGTTTAATCCTCCGCATTGTCTACCCACGGGCTAGCAATCTCTTCAACCAGACAGAAAGTTAATTATTAGCAGAGTAACTTGTAATTGCAGTTAATCAGCAATTAAATGTCACATCCTGTCTATCCCGTAGTGCATCACAATATAGTATCACTTTGTAGGGAATTGCTTGGACTGTTGATTAATTATATTGTACATATATCAAACAATCACCTTCATCCAATGGAAGTAGGGATGGAGGAAGGGGCAGAGGGGAAGACAGGGCAAACAATCCTAGTGAATTGGAATAACGAGGGTGTGAAAAGGGAAAGCTAGCAGACCATGAGGATGGTATCTTGACGACCTCAATCACTCAGTTCCGCCCGCCCTCCTTGTTTAGCCACCACTCTCAACCTCCTTCTTCGCACCCTCCTGAGCACCATCACCTGTAGAGTACTGCTTCTCAGAAATGGAAAGAGCCACCTCAGCTTCCAGCTAGGATGCAAGAGCTGTCACTCCAGCGACAGAGGTCTCCTGACTTTCATCTATTGGACTGCTCTTCGTGTTATTTTGGTCAGCAGCAGATGCATATGCCGGGATAAGGGGTGTTTCTTTACTCTTAACCTCTGCCTTCGTTGAAAGTTTGTTGGCTTCGACCTTACTCCTTCTAGCAAGGAGCTCGCTCTGTATCTATATGGTATGTGTAAGTTTAGATACAAGCCCTACCTACACTATTAGCGATGTTCGGCGACGTACACCATGAGTGGATAATGAATATGACGACTATATGTCACGTGACTTAAGCGAGTGTAAGCAAGTCAAGTAGGGGGTAGATATTCATTCACTTCTGGATTACCCCTCCAGAATCAAGTGGCGCCTACAGCACCACAAGCATCGAACAAGAAGAAGCGGAGGGGTCAACACGATGTTGATGAGCAGCAGACAGCCACTCACAACGCCGCGGCTAATGATACACAACGTCAACAGAATCAAGAGTTTGCCGACGCAACTTTCCACCAGGACAAGCGTGCGCGCATGCAGTCGACTCCTGCTGGCAATGGCGGATGACATAATCAGACATGGTTTGATCGAGGACGAGGCCGTGGCCGTGGCGGGCGTGGTGGAGGCGGCATGTCCACTTCCAATCGACAGCCGTTCAGTGGCGAGATTAAAAATAGTGGTGGAGTCGGGGACCTGGAATATATTCTAGCCTTTGAATAAATGTCAGAATCTTCCATGGTGCATTTGTTTCTGTATGATGATCAAAGTGGGTGAAATTTCAAGTTGGACATCGATGAGTAATCGGGCTAACCGACGCCACCCCCACCCGCACACGCGCGGCTAATGTACGTTGAACTCATTTCGCCCTTCCCTATTTTGTGACCTCGCAGCAAGCAACAAAGTCCTTGCCCATTAAAACGTGGAGTCTCAATGTATTGCCCATGCTATTCCTCTGTTATAAATATCTCCCCCTTTCTCTAGTTGAGGTTGACGGTCCGTGGCTAATCAATTCAGAATCATGCATGGGCCATGAACAGCATCAGTGAATAAAAACTCTTTCCTATTCTTGGTTATTTACGAATGATTATCGATCCAGGAGGGTCTAAACAATAAGAAGATGAGACGTAGTACGCACTACAAAACCCAGGCAATCTTTTATAATCAAAGTCAATCAATACTAATTCCGAATATCGATTGCACAAAATATCCACCAGATCACCAGGATCTATCAGTGCAAGGCAGAAATTTTTCATGTAAGGCTATATGCATGGTTCAGGTCAATATTGTGGGAATGCAGTCGGATTCACATATCAAGGCTGATATCTAGTCACATAGCCCGCGCTTTTACTTCGCCCAGTCGTATAATCGTATTTGCATCGCTTCCATAGCTTTGATCATATCTTTGATTTCAAGTACTGTACCTCATTTGGCTCATCAAGAGAATGCGCTAGTAGATGATCAATGTCCTGAGTGTTGATCAAACCTGGGCGAAGTTGGGCAAGACTCGTGACTCCTAGTAATCGCATCCCGGTCTCCACCTCGTCTCGTAGGACTGGTTGATATCAGTTAGTACGATTCAAATGAAGCACACTTATTCTGGAAGAACCATAGGTTGGAACCCAACGTGCACTTACTATCAATCAGACGTTCCACACCCTCTTCACCGTATGCCAAAGAGTACAGAAAAGGTCTTCCAAGCAGAACGGCTGTAGCACCAAGACAATATGCTTTCAGAACATCAGTCCCTCTCGTAATCCCACCATCAATGTAGATCTCCATCTTGCTAAAAGCAACAGGGAAGTGTTTTCGAAGTTCTAATAGAACTAGCAACGATGGTGGAGAAGTATCAAGATTCCTTCCACCATGATTACTGAAATGCATGTCAGCGTGGTGAACAAGTGGAACAACCGTAGTTTTCTAGATGACATTTACCTTAATACTACACCATCTACTCTATGTTCAGCTGCAAGCTTTACATCTTCGACCGATTGCAATCCTTTCAGCACTAATTTGCCCGCCCAAGCTTTCCTCGCCCAGATCAGATCGTCCCAGCTCAAGCCGCTATCAATATACGTAGCCAAGGTTCTCGTTAGTCCACTGCCTTTTTCATCACTTGAGGATGAAGTTCCACTCATAGGAGTACTAATCGAGGTCTCGGCCTTGACTCTTTCGTCTGCTTCTCTCTTGCCAGGGACCGGTGCATCCACGGTCAGGAACAGTACTCTGACCCCCAAATCCCAGACTCTTTTTAAAAGTAGCTCAGAAGATTCTTTATTCTTGTTCACATACAATTGGAAGAAAAATGGATGATCTGGGGCTTCTGAGATGATGTCTTCAACCGGGTATGAAGCATTAATGGAAGCCTTCGCACACTGGTTAGAACCACATAATCATTTCCAGTAATTGAAATAAGTCTGGTGGAGAGATTGATGCTCACACATTGGATAACGCCATTTCGCTTACAAGCCCTAGCGATTGCTAATTCCCCTTGTGGATGGGCCAGTTTTGCCATTGCAGCTGGAGCGACAAGAAACGGCACCGAACTCGTCACGCCCTGGATTTTGCACGTGGTATCTACATGGGTAACATTCCGCAACAAGCGAGGGCGAAACCAGATTCGACTCCAAAAACTCGTGTTGGCATTGACAGAGACTAAATCAGTTGCTGCGGAGGAATAGTATGCATATGCTTTGGGAGTGAGCTTGGCTTTGGCAGCTTTTTCAAAATCTTGCGCGCTGAGGATAGACGCAAGAGGTGGAAAACCATTCTTGGCCCCGCTGTTCTGGGCTGGAGCTTGTGCACTTGGTGCCGGGAGGGTGTTATGTGAGGAAGGGCGTAGAGTCCCCTTGAGTTTCGAGATCGTGAGGGTTTTCTGGATAAGTGGGGGCGGGTGTATTTCATTGTAAATTTGGGTTGCATCTTGACCGGCAAACTTGAATATTACTAGGTATTTTGTCAACGGATGTCAATTTATCCCGCATTTGAGAATACTTTGAGAGCCACCCGGATGTTGAGGTGCAAAATCTGTGAGATCCCATATTTGTCCTGCGATCACTATCCAACAATCGTCTGGCGTGTTATGCTGCGATACTTCAGTCGCCGTTAGAAGATTTAATTCTTTCATAATTCGAATAGACTTTAATACAGGAATGCTGTTTCCTTCATTTGATTTTCAATTGCTCACTAGATTTATTGCTTTCACGTGGCTCCCCGTAATACCGGTGTGTTGCTTACTCCGTAGATTACTTGGGTTCAAAGTAATTTTTCCTAAGCTCAAAGAAGACTAGGGCAAAATTTGTACCCCAATTAATCCGTAAATTAAGCGTTCTAAAAATAAATTCAAAGCCGGGGGACGTGCGGGGGTTTGCCCCTGTCTTGGATTGCTGACAGGATCCGCATAGCCAAGTAGCAACGGCAAACTTTAAAACCGCTCTTCTACCCATCCGCGGCCTTTGGATGAAAGGATCGAATACTAGAAACTACCTTATTGAAGCTACTAAAACAAGGAAACGCTAATAACAGCGCCGCAACAGGGCTATAGCAGGCTCCGCTTTAACTAAATATTGCGTATCTCGGAGAGGCCTTTGGATCTTTTGTAATATTACTGTAAATAGAATTATGGGAAGTCGACGCTGGTGGACGTAATTTTTTTGGCACTATCTAAGCTCAAGTTCAAGATAAACGGCCTTGGAACTGCTTTTGCTACCCTGCTTTCTCAAACCTTTCTCGCAGTCTCCTTACTACGTAATCAAACGCATCAAACAACATGGCATCCTCAACTACCGTTCTAACAACCAATGATAGCTTTGTTCTCTCTGCTGTTTTCGATCCCGAATCTATTGGAGCAAGCTCTGCTCATGCCTCCTTGATCAACTCCCGGCTCCCAGCTGGACTTCCGTACATAAACTCCGCCCTTCTACCTGCACTTCAGGACGCCGAAAAATCTATCATTCTTTCCCTAAATACAGCGGATAACTCAATCTCTCAAATCGAAACCGCTCTCTCCAACATCAACATGCTGATATCATCGAATCCAAACTACGCATCGGCCTATAACAACCGTGCTCAAATACTCAGGTTGTTGCACGGTAACGATCTGTTCGCGAAAAATGTACAGGAGAGCACGATTTGGAGTGACCTGGAGCAGGCAATAAAACTTGCGACGCCGCAGAAGTCAGAAGTGGGCATCAAAGTATGTCTTTTGCAAGGGGACGTTCTGGCAGCCGCACATATGCAGAGAGCATACTTACTTCTAAAGGCTGCGAGACAATTTGAAGTTTCTAGCAAGGCACCTGGTAACTCGTTACAAATACTACAAGGATCGGATAAAGTCGTTCTCGAGGAGAGGGCGTGTAGAGATTTCGAGCTAGCTAGTAGATATGGTGATGTGGATGCTGGAAAAATGGCGAAAAGTCTGAATCCTTATGCGAAGCTTTGCGGGAGTATTGTAGCAGAGGCTATGAAAGCAGAGTTGGAAAAACTAGAGAAATAATATGAGATTATTAGGCAACTACTAGGGAGCGGCGAAGCAACGAAGTTTTTTCAAAATCAGAAGGGTACCGGGAACACCATTGAAACTCAATCCAGTCTGCCTCATCTCCTTGCCAATATGTATTAAACATACATTATTAGCCAGTGCGATTCTACATTATTTGAATGACAAGATAAGTGCTTCTAGGTTCTAGATTCGATTTCAAAGCCTACAAATTTCCCCTCGCAGCTTGATCCCTCTCGACAGCCTCGAATAAACTCTTGAAGTTCCCCGCTCCAAACCCAGTGAAATTATTTCTCTGAATGATTTCCAGAAAAACGGTTGGGCGATCCATCAAAGGCTTGGTAAAAATTTGCAAAAGATACCCGCCTTCATCAAAGTCCACTAGAATCCTCAATTTCTGCAGTACCGCCAAATCCTCTTCCAACTCCATACTCGATCTTTGCAGTCGATCTTTCAAATCACTATAATAGGTAAGCGGAACGTCAATAAATTGAACACCGCGATTCTTCAGATTGGTTATTGTAGAGACAATGTCTTTCGTTAGAAATGCAATATGTTGAACACCTGCTCCACCAAAAGAGTCGACGAATTCTTCGATTTGTGACTTTCGCATGCCCACCGCGGGCTCGTTGATCGGCATTTTGACAATATCTCCGGCAGATGACATGACCACCGAGTTCATAGCTGAAAAGTCAGTACACATGTCTTTGTCGTCAACCGTCCAATATCTTCGAAACCCAAGACACTTTTCATAACTATTTATGATTTAGCTTTGCCCCCACTTTATACAGCAAGGAGGTACATACTAGTTGCAAGCATTGTCCATCTCATTCCAATCTTGATTTCCAACGCAATGATCTATCACGTCTATATTGATTTTGGGAAGGAACTGTTCAATGGGATCCTCATAATCTACTGCGTGGTACCCCGGAAGAAAGACACCGGTGTAAGTTTGCCTCTCGACAAAGGTGTGTGTTGTATCGCCGTAAGTCTTGATGGTTGCGAGATATACCGATCCATTTTCATCCTGTATGCACTCCGGAGCTTTAACACTCGCTGCGCCTTGAGCAATTGCATTCGAATATATAGCTCGAACATCGTCGACTTCAAAGGCAACATCTTTGACAGCGTCACCGTGCTGCTCGAGATGTTTGTGTATCTCTGCCACAAGCTTCCTGTCATGCTCAGATGTGTTCTGTTCTAGGTTGGCAACTGCTCGAAGTGGAGACATGAAGACGAATCTTGCTTGTCCGTTGGCGACAACCCAAGATGCAACAGCTCGAGATCCAGTTTCCAAACTCTTTTGGGCTACGATGCGAAAACCCATACGAGCACTGTACCAAGAAGCCGCTTGTTTGGCATTCCCGACATAGAAGGTTGCATGATCATAACCTCTATATTCTCCCGTAGATGGTGAATCTTGTAGATTAGGGCTGATTTTCAAGGTGACTGAAGGAGACATGTCTTTTGAATTGGGCCCGAATAGAAGAGATTATATGGGACACAGTGTCAACAACTGGGTATATGGTGACGATATGTTGTAAAAATAAATTGCTAGTTGATTATATATAACTAAATCCCTTATTCTATATATAACCCATTTGATGTAGGAAATGTTGCCTAGTACAGATTTATTCCATCTTCTCATCTTCGCCAGGATCCTACCTGCGAGCAGATGTTTCGGGTTCACCGTTCGATTGCTACTACTGAAAATAGCAAGATTCTAATATTTCTTGGCTTACTTTCAGAAATTGCCACACTCAAACAATTGGTTTACGGTATACGAAGTATGAGGACCCTAATCATCAGCTTTAGGAAGGCGAGAAGAATAATATTACGGAGAAGTTATACTACGCTAACAAGGGTAATTTTTACTAATTTGCAATCAATATTATTTTTCTCTGACGTACAAAACCTAGAGATTTTTCCTGGTTCTCTGATTGGCCAGGTTTAGTGTGCACTATTTAAGTCCTAGGCTCTTGACATAGAAGCTAAGTGCGACAGACGTGAGCGAACGCGAGCAAGGAAGGACGGTCAGACTATTATATGTAGATTATATCCAGATTACTTCATATGATTTAGGGTACCCTAGATCTGAGGTTAGCGATAATACTAGGTACTAGCTACATAGGTACCTAGATGATCCCACGTAAGCATACCTAAGCTATAATTCGCATCAACTGCAAATTACAAGGGACCCAGCCCGTCGGTATCGCCGAGCTAAAATAGAATACATAATACTTACAAGTATCACCAAGCTACTTATATTTAGCACTTATTTAGAGCAACAAAATATATTCATTCGAAAACGGGTACAATTGTAGCTAAAGACCAGAAAGAGCAATCATCATCCAAGGGACTTGAGCTCTGCTATAGCCTATTTACATCAATATGATCTTGACTCACGACGAGCCCATCAAACAATCCGATAATTCGGAATACTCAACGATTAGAGTACCAGCAGAAGATCGCCAACTTGGCCAAACTATTCCACCTAGAAATCCACACGTATGCTTCAAATTTTTCACAGTCGAGAACGAGAAAAGAAGTACCCAGATTAATATAACTTCATATAGGGCGTGAGCATCTCCATACCAAGTTGGGATTACACTCTAGCATGGGCGAGACGAGAGTCATGGATTGTCAAAATCTTGCACCAAGGATACCCACGCTTTGTTTTACATCCATTGGTTAACCATCTGGCCGACTTGCTCATCGACAAATTTTCCAGTAATGCGATCCGAAAGTCTACGAGCAAAGCAATGGTATTTTGCAGTAGAGGATCGGCAGAGAGATGTGCTTTGTATGTGAAAGAAAACGGTACTGCTAAAAGTCCAATTTCAAGGTTGACTTCATTGACTTTTAAAACAGATCGCAATGGTACAGTTCAGGTCATCCATTTAAATACACGCTCCGCTAGCTTTAAAGCCAAGTATCCAGAGGACAATTTGTCGATGTCTGTAATAGTGTATCCGGAAGAAGATTTCATATATGCGAAACAGTTTTGGCAGCACACTGGCGAAGGAGTCTCAAGTCGACGTGCGGAATGCTACATCCAAAACTTTGACGCGTATGAACTGGTCGACGAGATCCAGTATACCTCAATTGCATACTCTGATTCAACAGAGAAGAATCTCGGGATGGGGCTTATCTCTAGGAGCGCCGATGCCAAGAGATTGATTCGGGAACGTATCTCTTCCTGGATATCTCAAGACCTGGCTTTGGGGAGCCCCAGAGTCGGTGCAAATGATGTATTCCTTTTTTCGATCGGAATGCAAGCACTGGCCGGGGTGTATAGAGCGATACTGTTGACGGAAAGAGCTAAGAACACCACCCAGACGGTGGCCTTCGGGTTCTGTTACGTTGACACTTACAAATTGCTGTCACATTTTGGATCCAAAGACTCTATTCTCTATGGCCAGGGCACTACTAAGCAATTAGATGAATTGGAAAGTAAACTAGAAGCAGGCGAGCAAATTCTGGCACTCTTCTGCGAAATTCCCAACAATCCATTGCTGCAGACTTGTGATCTGCCTCGCATCAGACGTCTTGCAGATCGTTACAATTTTATCGTTGTGGTCGATGAAACAGTCGCGACTTTTATCAACGTAGATGTCCTCCCCTTTGCAGATATTGTATTTGACAGTTTGACAAAACTGTTCAGCGGGAAGGGAGATGTCGCTGGTGGCAGGTAAGAAAAAGCTATTCACTCAACCTGGGATAACCCACTTGGGTATGGAACTGAATATGAGAACAGTGTTGTTATAAATCCATTATCATGTCACTATCAGGACATCCTCGGGAGCATGAAAAGCATCTACGTCGACCATTATTTCTCCAGCGATGCAGTTATCATGGAAGAAAATAGTCGCGACTTTCCTGCTCGGGTAAAAGCTATAAATTCAAGAGCTGAGGAACTGGTCGTCTTGCTGAAGAATCATCCGGTAGTGAAGCAAGTTTATCATCCTTCAGTCGGCTCGACCAAGCCATTATACGAGCAGTGTAAAAGAAGTACTGGGGGGTATGGGTATCTTCTAAGTATTGACTTCACGTCTGCCCCTGTTGCTCGCCGGTTCTATGATTGTTTAGATATTTCTCGGGGGCCGAGTCTAGGGACAAACTTTTCACTCGCATGCCCGTTTTCCTTATTCGCTCACTTCAAAGAATTAGATTGGGTAAGTTATTGCGCATATTCAGATTGAGGAAAGACATTGAGATAACAATAAAAACAGGTAGCTCAATTTGGGGTCGACGAACATCTCGTGAGATTAAGCGTCGGACTAGAGTCAAGGGAAGAGTTGATCAATATTGTTGGATTTGCATTGAGCGAGGCGTCAAAAGTCGTTGGAAATGGCTGTAACGTGTCATAGATTTGTCTAGTGAATTACAATCAATTTATCACACGATAGATATTATTTTATAGCATTTTGAATTTCAACTTCCTTGGCTTTATATGGATTGCTCGAGGTTACCAAAACACTTCTTGAGGGCTGAGCCAAAACGTTTCACCGCTAATTCCATCTCTTCAAATGTCGAAGAGGCGAACGTAATTCTGAAATTTACCTCCTCCATTCGAGCACTTGGTTCGGCTCTAAACCAACTCCCCCGGAGTACTAGCGCCCGCTCCTTTATTGACTCGACGTATATCAAGTCTTCAATAGCACTTGGCTCTAATTGCTGGGATAGAGGGTGTTTGAGATGATCAATTTTAAGCCAGATCTATGCAAAATGAATCAGGAATGTTTCATGAAGAGTCTAGTCGAAGGGATCTTGAACTTACAAAGAACCCTGCCGTCGGTGTGACCCATGAGACCAGGTCATCAGGCAGGTATTCCTGGCAAGCCAAGACCAGCGCATCCCGTCTTTCCCCGTACAAAACCTGGAGACCTGTAATCCAATTGAGAAACCCCACCTGTCCCCATTGCTCAGAGAGTAATTTGTATACCAGAATTTGCGAAAAGCCGCTGGGACTCTGAAGAGAGACCTCATGGGTACGGAAAACGCGTTCGATGATTTGTTCAGAGGCTGTGATCCACGACATGCGAACTCCTGGAGCAATGATCTTGGAAAAAGAATCCATTCTCAGTACGCGGCCATCAGTATCAATGCTGAGATACGAGGCTGGAAGATGCAGATGATTGAGTGCTTCCTGGAAGTCATAAGGCTCTTTTAATTCGGAAGTGGACTGTAATTGGAGGTAGTAATATGGATCATCTTCTATGATATAGATATCATGTTTTTGCGCGACGGCATATATCTCCTCTCGACGAGCACGACTGGCTGTAACTCCGGTTGGATTTTGACCTGTCGGGATAGTGTAAAGAACTTGCGGCTTGGCACCACCCCGATCCTCAGGGCTCCAATGTTCGAGGATATAGTTCATCTCGCTAGGTATCAGTCCATCATTATCCATCTTAATCCCAATAACATGAATACCTAGAGGCTCTGCAGTCTCGAGGGCACTTGTATACGTATACTCTTCAGTTAGAAGAAAACTACCACGTTTATGAAACATACGAAGCGCTATATCAAGAGCAAGGGTGTTACCACCTGTTAGAATACATTGCCAGTCCCGATATATAGGCCTGTGAATTTTCTAAATTAATTAGTCGAGAGCATTTTATCATCACGATGAGGATTATACCTTGACATGCTCCGTCATGAAATCTACAAGTTCAACACAACCGGTACCGTCTCCATAAGACAAAGCTTTGACAAGATCTAGGATTCATAATATTAGTCCGTTTCTACCTGATTAAATTCTTCAGGGACATGATTACCATATTTAGTTTGACTTTGCGCTTCTTCACCCTCTTTTGCTCCCACATACAGAGACGAAAGCTTAGGTTCTACAGAAGAGTTCGGGGAGGATCTGAGGATACTGCTCTCGAGATCTAAGAAGGGGTAATATTCTCCTCTTGGAGCTCCAGGGCCTAGTGACAGCATTCCTGACATAATGAGTTAAAGTGCAGGAACCGCTAGATTCAAATTCAAACCTGGTATTCCTCGGATTAAATGCATTCCCTGCATTATGGATGGCTTCAATTTCTCTTAGCAAACTTCCGAGACCTCATTTCTGGAGGGGTTCTCACCTTTCGAGTTTTTGTCTCGTCACTTAAAAGATCTGCGGGACTTATATTTAGCGAATTTCCAGCGTCGATGGTAGAGTATAGGGGAGGGAGGAACTCTTACGGTCCCATCTTTGGGCGCTCATCTTGTAGGCTTTGTTTGCACAACAATATTACAAAAGTCCGATTACTTTCATACACGACCTGATATCCATACGAGTAGTGGAATTAAACTATAACCAGACTATATATTTACGGGAACGTTATATTCAGGACAGGATCCATCCCTAGTGAAAGTCCCAATTACTTACATAGGGTAGGAAGACTAAATCAATATGGTCTTACTCATACACTAGTCTGGGTTCAGCTTGACTGGGAGACTTCGCATATTAAGCCCCAGGATCAGATTCCTAGTATGCGCAAAGCGCAATGCGTACGGCGCTTCCTTCGCGAATCCTTTATACTCGAGTACAACTTCCAAGCCCTGCGAAAGATCTGCGCTACTAAGAATTTCTCCTACTAAATTTTACGGGATTCCCATTGCCCTTGCCTCTAGAAGTGTGGCGTTTTTGGTTTCCGACTACTTTTGAATGTTCAGGGCAACATCAAAAATAAGTCTTATAGGAGGTATCATTCGGCAAACCCGAAGGAGGCACTTGAAGTTGAAGGATCCACGCCAGAGATCCGCGTGCACTCAATCGGTATTTTTCATCCCTGCGAAATTTTCGTCCTAGACGATAACACTCAGCGAGGATTTGAAGATCTGATATAGTGCGTTGATTGCATAATGCTTAAAACAGTATAGAGTAGACACCCTATACCTATATACTTTCTATCACAGCTAGAATATTCATCACTACCGTTACTAACTGGCTACAATATGTCTGCCAGTAATATGTCGACCGGTAGCGAAACAACACTGTTCAATAACACCAATTGCGCTAATAGTTTCGACAAAGAGAAAGCTCAAGATCTTACCAGTCAATTTTCTTCTACTCGCAAGGCCGCAATTGTGGCTCTTCTCTCCTTTATCGGATTTCTAGCAACCTTCTCCTCTACTGCTATCCTACCAGCGGTCCCAAATATTGCAGAAGATCTCAAGACCACTCAAGTGGCTGTAAACATTAGCAATGCGGTCTACGTTGCCCTTCTCGGAATTCCTACAATTTTCTGGGGACAGATGGCTCGACACTGTGGTCGTAGACCGGTTAGTAGTTATTCTGAAAAAAAATTGCTTCATCTGAGTGCTCACGTTGATAGCCTCTATTGATCGCATTGGTGATCTACACTTTGGCAAATTTTGCTACAAGCTTTGCCCCAGAAATCGCTTCCTTCACGATATTTCGCATACTCGCTGCTGCGGAAGCCACATGTTTTCTTGTGGTCGGCGCCACGATATGTGGAGATCTATACGTCGTTGTGAGAAAGCCCTTTCAAAAATGATTATCGAACGGAGAAAACTTGATATTAATAGATTGGTAGACTGAGCGAGCTACTGCCATTGGGTACTTCATTCTCGGCGTTTTTGTAGGGACGAGCGTTGGCCCGTTGATAACAGGCGCGATTATCACTACCAGTACTTGGAGATGGATGTTTTGGTCGCAGACCGCAAGTCTTTTTCTTGCCACGGTATTCACTTATTTCTACCTCCCAGAGACTGTCGGCGTGCGCGAATCTAAGTTTCGTGACTTCCCAGCACTTGAACGAGCCAAGAAGATTGTTAGCTGGTTATCTCCAGTATCAACTATTAAGCTTTATAAGTATCCTGGGATTTTAGTCACTGTAAGCTTCCCACCATCTGCAGTGTTCAAAGTTGAATCTCACCATCTATTAGAGTGTTGCATCAGGGGCCCTATTGTGGGGGATGTACTCCATTCTTACTCCGATCCGACAAGTTCTCAATCCTAGGTTTGGTTTGACTACCCCATTACAGAGTGGTCTCCTCTATTTAGCTCCTGGGATGGGCTACCTGGTAGGCTGCCCTCTAGCTGGAAAGTGGTCAGACTATATGGTCAAAAGATGGAAGAAGAAAACATCCGGAGTCGCTAGACCCGAAGATAGGCTGAGAGCTACTTTGGTTCCTTTTCTCCTCAATGCCGCATCAACATTAATATACGGCTGGTCCGTGGAGAAGAAGAAGGGAGGGATGGCAGTCCCAATCATATTTTTATTCCTATCTGCCTTTGCACAAATGGCATGTTTTTCGCCAATCAGCGCATACTCTGTTGATGTCATACCGGGTCGCGGTAGTGAGGTTCTTGGTAAGTGTTCATATTCACTGATTCATTTGAGACAAAATTAACCTCAAAGCAGCTGCAAACTACCTACTTCGTTACTCAGCAGGTGCTGCTGGAACCGCCGCTGTTCTCCCAGTAATTGCAAAGATTGGAATAGGATGGTTTTCAACTCTCTCGGCAGGTTTAATTCTGGTTTCGACTGCATTAATAGTGATCGTTATATATGGCCCTAAGAGATGGCACCCATAGATTATTATATGAGGCCCAATATATAGATTCTTCAAACTCAGGATGATGCTCGAAATTGTGTGATAGGAACAGCAGATGGTCAGTTCAGTTAATAACCCGTTGTGGACACAAGCAATTGTTTTTCCTTTGAGTTTTGAATATTCATGTTCTGCTAAGCTTGCTATAATGAAAATTTCGTTCCGCACTTTTTGTCCACCACGGAACTAGCTAAGGGCAGAATACTGCTGCCCAGTAGCTACAGCTCGTGGTTCTATGAAAATGACGAGACTCGCGGGAGTGGAAGTAATAATTGAAATGGTCGGTGATACTTTTTTAATATATATTCAAAACAAAATACTGCATAACCGATAACTCCTCTATCCTATTCTTTGTGCTTTTGTCTAGCCTATATACAATTATCTTCTCCGTAGTAACGCAGGTTCTCCCCCACTACCAATAACAGGCTACCGAGTTACAGAAATGCCCTCTCGGTATATGTCCCATACTTCCGAACATCTATTTCTATACAAGCTAAGCCAATAGTCCAAACTTTTCCCGTAGGATCCGTTTCCGTCCAGCCTGTTTTGTTCTCTTTAAATTGTTTGAATCCGAGACTTTCATACCAATCCAGAAGGGAATACTTTTGGCCAGACATTAGCAGAGTTCTGCGTTCGCCAAATGCGCAGAGGAAAAGCAGATATCATACGAACCTTAGGTGTTGGAACGCCAAAAGCAGCGTATCTCTCTTTTTGCCTAGAACTCTCCCTCGAGACGGTTTCAGCCGTCACAAACTTCGCATAAAACGGTGCAGCAGCGGCTACATATTTCATGGCCTCAATACTCTGCCGTGCAAAATCAAGGCCTCGGAGAACAGGTGAAATGTACAACAGCGAGGCACCAATTCGACCTTGAGCTGAATTGGCGATAGATAGATCACCTGCATAATGCTCGAAATCCAGAGAAAGATGACCAATGGGAATGAACTCTTTGATTCCGAGATGTGATGATAACCTAGGCGCTGTGTCCATGAGAGGGATTTTTTCGTGAGGAAAGTGAAGGATATGTTCCTTTATTAAAGCATCGCGTTCCGCATAACTGGGTTTAAGCATCTGATGATATTATAAGTCTAGTCCCTGCATATATAGTAATGACAGAACTCACAATCCAAAACATATATTTCTTTTTCTGTAGCTGCTGTTCTCTCCATTCATCGACACATTCAGCCCGCCATCCGCATGTCAAACGTTGCTGTCGCAGTCGTTCTATATGTGCGTCGGATCGAGCGTCCAATGGGATTATTTCCACGTCAAGATTTTCGTGATACATTTTCCAGAAGATATAATCAAGGATATGATAGAAATGCAAACATTGCCTTTAATAACAACAAGTCGAAGAAGGGTCGGCTTTTGAATTATCTGAGCTCTATAATAAAATCTGCTAAGCCTAAAAACTATCATGACCTATTAAAATGCCTGCTCTCTTCAAAGCAACCGACGGTCCCTCCGACAGCTCAAAATCATATAATAATTAGAGAACCTTGAGTGGAAGGATGCTCCGAGTCCGAGTCTCAAGTCTTTTATGCGAACCTAACTAGTAATTTCCAAAACTGTTTCCCAAATCGCGTCTGCCTTACGAAGCTGCTAGTAAAAATCAAGGCTGGCACGGATGCGTGGTATTTGGGTTTAGTAGTTTGCGAATGCATCCCGCAGGATTTGAAAGACGTGGGGTACGAAAGGCTCGGGGGCACTGGGGGGCAAGGCTGCATGGGTTTTGCAGGGGTTTAACTGATTGGAACTACCCGTGAATAGCTTCCTCGGACTCGGCTTGGTGCCTAGACTCCATACCTTAACTCGGTTCCTGATGCTTTCCTGTCTCGCGCTGGTATCCCCGTTTATTTTATACCAACTAATCCTTACTACCGGACATCCGTTTTCCCACCGCCGACATTTGAGGTACCTGGAGCCTCCGTAAATGTGCAGTCAACGATTTACGAAATGAAACAAAGAAATAAACGATGGAAGCTTCGGAAACTGATTACGGTATGCTGGCTCACTTGCTTCTTTTTTTCCTCTGTAGTCTTGGGGCTCGGGGGGGAACATCCAGCCGAGTATAATGCAGTAGCAAATCACACCAAAAGATTGGGTACCTTCTCTCCCTAGACGAACATACAATCACAGTACTACAGAAACCTAATATAGATGAGGTCGAATGAACCTATCACAGAGCACAGTCAGTGAGTACTTTTTTGGTTGGAGAGTTTCGGGCGTCAAGACAGCTCCTTTCAAACTTATCCTCCAGTTTACTCAACTCCGGTCTAAAACGAATAAATATTTCTTGAGTAGAACAATGTAATTCCATGCTTCCTTGTCCCACAACTTGAGTTTAATCAAATGAGCAAGACTAGCGAACTATCAAAGAAAACAATAACAGTCACCGCGATGACACTTGAGGAACAACCGTACAATGTTAGGAAGCACAACATGAGAAGAGTACATTTGAAAGCATGATTGCTAGAGGCTAAAACAAGCAAAGAGAACCTCTCCTCTTGAATCATGCCTTTGCGCAACCATAAAGTCAGAGAATTCGAGGAAATGAACGACTAAAGCATGCGTGACCCTCGTAGAGGACTTGCTCTCGGAGCATCATTTTCAGCCACCCAAGCTTATTAGTGGCAGATACTGACTCTTCCATTTCCTTCATATCAAATTTGCGATGAGCTCTTTCCAGATTCCCAGAGAATGTCTTCTCAAGCATAGGTCTGCTTGTCATAGAAGTCTTGTAAAGAGGATCTTGTTCCACTCGATATTTGACCTCAAGTTTAAGTCAGACACAAACGGCCCCTGGAAATTCTGATATTGAGGGAGGTTTAAATTCCAGCGGTACTTTCTACTAAAGAGAGAGAGAGAGAGATCAAATTCTTTGCACGGGATATTAGTTATGACCCTTCCATCTCCTCGTTTGAAGAACACCACGATAATACGAAGCTGTGACCGGTAGCTATTTAAAAGCTATACTGAGATGGAAAGGTTCCTAAGGCGTTCCAGATCATTGTAGTCAAGATATATATTGCTCCCACTCTATTGGGTTTTCTCCCATATTTTCTTGTGCATCTCGTTCCATTTCAGCAATGAGAATAAAAAGTCCTAGTCCCAGTCGCGGGGGGGCGATACGAAGTTCAATGAGCAAGCCACTTCAAACAGAAACGAGCAGTTCTTGGATGTTATTTGGATCAGTAGCTCTAGCAAATCAAACCATCCTCGCTGTTTTTAGATTTTGTATCTTTCCCTATCAAAGTCGTGACTGGCAATTGAAGACATGTTACTCTTAACTGCGATGCCTCCTCTGCCTTGTGCCCTATGCCACGGTCATCAATCTTTGCTTCGGACACGTCGATGGATTCTTTCGAGTACTTTGTTCGAATACAGTACTCGGAATGAAGAGTGACAAAGGTCTAATATGCTCTTTGTTCTCTGAATAAATATTATCTCGACAACAGACAACTTTCCTTTCAATTCAAAACAGACGTGTAACGCAAATATATATTCTTCTGAATCAGCATCCTACATAAACCATAATTACCAAATTAACATTAGTCAACCACAACTATCCCAGTCCTTCAAGCACAAACATTCAAGCACAATGGATTTAAATACGAACACAACCACTCGGGTGGAATCCACAAATCAGACATCTACCGCACCCTATGCTCCCGAGCCATCGAACCGCGCTATATCAACCCTGGAAATCGGCATAGGAGTCACCTCGATCTTTGTTCTCATGATCTTCTTCGGAACGCTCATCTACCTCTGGCGCTTCCGCAAACAAGCCAAGGCGTGGTTCGAAAAGGTAAAAAGAACAAAGAACATAAACGTGCCAGAAAAAACCTCTGAGGAGCCGATTTATATATCATCACGTGGGCATCGAGTGCCGGAACCAATACGGCCACAACCAGCTTATATTGATCGATCCGCGAGACCAGAATACGACATGGAGAATGTGCCCCTCGGTTCACCATCCACAGGCGTCCCGCACCCAGCCCGTTTACCACCACATTCATACCCCGCGCATCGCAGAGCAAGCGCAGTACAGTCGCAGCACTGGATCTAATATAATATAATCCTTCTTTAACCCCACCTGACCAGCCCTCCTCAACCCCGCTCCAGTGACTATCCCTACCAGCACCATTGCTATAAAACATGCATAAAACGTAGCTTTATACCCTTTCTCCATCGCCTCAATACTGACCCCCCCCACTGCTTACCGAGGAAGCAATTACAGCACCGACGGTCAAGACGACTGAATTCCCAATTTGCGAGTCTTTATTTAGTTGGGGTTGCAGGGGCTAGGGCAGTATCATGACGGATTGTCAACTTTGGCCGCTTCAGCACTGATTCATACGTCAATTCAAAGAAAAAGACCCGATAAGTACAAGTAATCCAAACACCAATTCGACAAAAATCAAGCGTAATTCCTCCGGTCCAAATTTCGAACTCCCCCAATCCACTCCTCATCCAAACCTCCAAACCAAATCAATAGTATACGAAAAAGGAACGATGCATACATAAATTCCCATTCCTAAAACCCGTGGTGTCCTCTAGCCAAAGGACTACCGACCTTAGGAGCCCATTGCAGACTCTTCCTCCTAGCAGCCATCAGGCGCATCATGACACTCTCGTCCTTCTTCTCACTTAGAAATCCCTTGCCGATCTCCATGCCGCTGTTATCTTCAGCTTCTGGTGTGTCGAAGAAACGGCCCTTGGCGGGAGGAGCAGTTTTCTGGATCAGCTGCTCGGTTTGCAGGAAGTATGGCGTCTGACCACCTGGTGTCTCGTCACCATAGAGACCATCTTCACCATATGCGGATATTGTCTCTGGTGCTGGAGTTGCAGGGATGGGAGAGAGGAGCAGAGTTTGGTCTTCGAATTCATCTTCGTTAGACGAAGAAGTAGAAGGCGAGCGGACCCATTGAACTGAATCACGGCGTTTAGACTTGGCTGTGTAGGGTGTCTCTCCAATTTTGAACTCCTTGGATGGGGTCCTATTTGTGTTGCGAGCCGGAGTGCTGGATGAAGAGGGTACCAGTGTACCGTTCAGGTTTGCCAGAGCTCGTGGCTCCATACTCTTGCGTCTGCGATGGCCTCCTCGAGGAACGAGGGCTGTGTCAACTGCGTATGGAGCCTCATCAAGCCACTTGTTCTCACGCTCACAGCTAGAGTTTGATTAGCCTAATTGCAAATAGGAAAAGTTCTGGGTGAAACTTACTCTAAGACCCAACTAACACCAACACAAGAAACAACACCGTTGGTCTCTCGTGCCTTTTCAAGGGTCCTCTTTCCACCATCCTTGAAGACAACATGCGTAATACCAATCTTGCCTCCATCCTCACCATTCCCGTTCCAGCTCCATGACTTGATACAGCGAGCACCCATTTGAGTAAGAAGCTCGGTGAAGAGTACACTAGCATCAGCGCCCTCTGTAGTGTGAACATCGACAAATACAACAGCGCCCTTCAAGAGAGCAGCATTAAGATCACGACGTGGAGTGCGAGCTGGCGTTCCAAGTGTAGACCACATTTCCGTTTCTTGCTTTGTAGGCGTGTTGTAAGCTTCCTCAATCGCACTTGAGACTCGTCGTGGTGTCTTTGCTCGGGGCGTGGTCTTGGTGGGCGAGTAGGAAATGACAGTATTATTTCGAGTAAGCCCACTTGAAGGTCTCTGGACGGGTAGGCGCGAGATACTGGCACTTCGCTTCTTTGGTGGTGGCCTCATTGGGGTCACTTCGGCCGGAGCCTTAAGAGGAACTTTTGATACAGTATGGCATACTCTTTCAGCGAGAACTCTCTTTGGGGTTGATAAGGTCGGGGGAACGGGGGCTTGGCTAATAGGAGGGGCAAGAGTGAACAAATCTGGATCGATTGGCATGGTATTCTCGTCGCCATACTCTTGACTGGCCTCTGAAAGTGCGAGCTCTGTTGGCTGTGGGAGCTCTTCAAGCTCCTGCTCTTGGACGGGCTCGGCGGGTTGAAGGAGTTCTTCGTACTCTGGCTCTTGGTTAAGCTCATCCAGTTGGAGGAATTCCTCACACTCTGGCTCTGGTGCAGGCAATTCTGCTTCAGTACCCATGTCAATCTCATTGGGTTCAAGCAGAGACATCTCATCAGCTTCATGAGCAAGATCCAAATCCTCGTCATCAAGCTCCACTGGGCTCAATTCAGGATCAGAGAGCTCTGGGATCTCTGGCTCTGGAGAGACAGCCAACTCGTCCCGGACAGACATCTCATCTTCAAAGAATGTACTTTTGACCGGGGAGGGCTGTGCAGCAGCTCCCATCTCAACCGGCACGACATCATCTGTTGCGCCGGCCGTTGGTGAGGCCTCTGGAGTAGAGCTACCGGCTTCTGACTTGTCTGGGCTGGATGCCAACCACTCATTTAATTGTATAGCCAATGGCGTAAAACCAATCTTCTCCTTTCGTGAGGATGCTTCGGGGCCTAATGATTTTCGAGACTTTGATGTCCGAGGCGTCTTGTTGATGGAACTGAATGGTGTAGGAGTAGCAGGAGCAAAGTCATGAGACGAGATGCGGAAGCCTGCAAGGGCCCCTGGCGAATAGATATCCGAGGCCAGCTCATCTTCGGAATCGGAGTCAACAAATGGGTTTTCATCTTCCTCTCGTAGAGCAAATGCTCCAGTGCTAAAACTGGGAGGAGATTGTGGAGGTGTGGTAGTCTTATCATCCGTATCATTATTGACAACAACTGTGTCGGCCTCATCAACCTCCATCGGGTCATCCGCAGGTTGACCCTCAGCTGCGTCCTCAGTGTCCTCAGTAATGGGCTCAGCGTTGACAAGTACAGGATCTGCTTCACGTGGCATGATAGATGAGAGACGACCCGAGAATTTCAAACTTGGCTCCGCAACAATCTCCGTGAGCTCGTCGTTGTCATTTGCCTTGGGGCTACCTCCAGCCGAAGCCTTAAAAGCACTTGGAGGGGCCATTTGGCCGGGGCGAGTGACACTCTTGGTAATGGTCTTTGGAGTGGTAAATCTCGACATCTTAAAAGTGTTCGGGGTTGCGCTAAACAGCGACTTGGTGTTGTTGGATCTGCTGGGAGAGCCATTATCATTGACCTTGGTAGGGGACTGGGGTCGTCTGGCTGGCGATTGGAGCAGCGATGCTTTGAAGGACGAGTTTGCTACTGCAGATTGCGGAGCTGGCAGTGATGGCTTGAAAGGAGATCGAAGCATCGAATCGCCAAAAGTCACTCGTTGTGATGAAGCATTTAAAGACTCCTTAAAGGCAGAAGTGGGAGGACGGCGAGCTGGACTGGCCATGACTGATGCTCCAAGATCATGTGTAGTACTAGCCTTATTGACAGTCATAGATGTTGAGAAATCAAGTTTCTTTGCCGTACCAAAAACGCTTGTCGGGGGTTTAACTGGGCTTCGAGAGAGAGGCTTCATTGGGGTCTTTTCAGTCGTTGCGAGCTCATCGTCGGAAGTATTCTCCTTGGTGGCGCCTACTTGCGTTGCTTTCTTTGGGCTGAGTGGAGAAATTTTTGCTTCCTTTTCTTCCACGACCGCCTTTGCTCGTCCACGGGTAGCTCTAGTTGCAACAGTTGCAGGCTTGCGAACAGGTTTAGCCCGAAGACCAGTACCGATTTCGGTGACTTTCGCCTTGGCCTTTGTATTGGCAGCAACAGGAGCAATATTCTCCTTGTCAGGTTCTTCAAATTTGACGGTTTTCTTGGGAGCAGTGGCTTTGGTGATTGTTGCAGCTCGAGTGCGGGTTGTTCTCTGAGGGGGCTCGACGACTATGGCTTCCTCTTTAGGGACTTCCACCTTCTTTGCTCGTCCTCTGGTGGGTCTAGGAGGTTCAGGTACCGAGGTTTCGGTGGCGGCCTTCTTTGGCCTGCCTCTGGTCGCTCTCGGAGCTGGAGCCTCTTCCTCCATCTCGGCCGTAGTTTGGACGGCAGTTCTCTTGGGTCTCGCTCGAGTCAACTTCGCAGGTTCTGGTTCGATTATTTGTTCCGCTTCGTGGTTCTCATCTTCTTCATGGGTCTCATCGGCTCGTGTCTTGCGCTTGGTTGTGGATGCGGCGCGTGTAACCTTTGCTTTCGAAGCAGCAGTCGCGATCCTGGTTGTTTTCACTCCAGCATCGGTGGTTTTCGCAGCTGCTCGGGCGCGAGTCACACGCTTTGGTGGGGATTGGTCATTCATGATGATGAATTTATTGGATTTGCTTTAGGAATGGATAGAAAAAGTTACATCGACGCGACTGGGTCTATTGTGAGTTGTCGTTACCTGATGTTGATATTGAGAAGTGGAGGTTGTATCAATGTTTATCTTGGTGCCATAAACATGGAGCCGATCGGGTGTCGTCATGCCAACCAGCCTGGTTCCAACTTGGTAGCATATCACATGATATATTGCACACGTGACGAGCTTCCAATGTCTTCTGCTTGATTTCTATCTTTCATGTAGACTTCTATTTTCTATCGATCATCTAACTATTTCTATAGTATCCTGGGACTCCCAACTAAAGTTGACGGCGCGGATAGTTTAAGATGTCACTCCTGGCTGGCGGCTTTGAACAATTGTTCTTCGCGGTCCAGCTCGAATTGATCTCTACAAGATTGAAAACCCGAAGATGACTACGGTTACGGTATACGTCGTACGGTAGATGGAATACTACTATAAAGAGTAACCTAACGGCTACCGGCTACCTACTGGTTACGCTACGCTACTTTGTACGTAGAGCTGACTGCATCTGACTGGGCTGAACTTCTAAAATAGCAACTTCGGGATGGAATCAATACCCCGTAGAATTAGCATAGCCAAACAATAATGTCACACGCTTCTCATGGATCAAAAAGAGGGCGGTGAGTTGATCGCGTGCTCATAATGGAATTGAAAATCGTAAAATAGAATACCTAGAAGTTCAAAGTTCCAAATGCATACAAGTACGTAGAACTAATCGATAAACCCCACGTCACAAGTCACGGCGCGGGGCGAGCGTCTCATCAACGCCTCCGTGTACGAAGTAGATATACGAAGTTTACGAAGTAACGCAAGGTCACCCAAACACAAACACAGAAATCTGCATCAATAGACGACGATTAATCGTTGATTATCTTGTTCATTGGTTTATACTTTTGGCTTTAAGTTCTCATATAATAATGTGATAAGTAGGGCGGTCATGAGTTATAATGAATTATAATTATGATCTACCTACAGTACAGTAGGTACTCACAGTATTACCCGTTTAGGATTGTTACCACGCCGCTTCCCACGGCTAAGATGTTCCATCCTCCGCGTTTGGAAATGCTGCGCCATGGGGCCGGGCATAAGATTGCACAAAGCTGCGCATAACGGCATATCTTTTCTAATTATATGGTCCCGTCGACCAATCAAAAGGGCGTCTCCGCCGTAAGCTGCAGCGGAAAACATGCTAACCCCTCTCAGCCGCCGCGCCTTGCCCAAGTCAGCCCTACTCACGAACATAGATACCTCCGTAAAAATCCTACATATAGCTGACGAGGAGCCTTGCTGACCTCGAGGAAGAGGGGGAGGAAGAAGAAGAAGAAGAAGACGAAGACGAAGAATATATCTTCACAGATCCATTTCTACAGACAAATACAGATAGCATTCGGCCTTACGGAGCACAGTTCTCTACGCGTGAACTTGCTAGGATCAATTGCAGCCACCCTGACGATCTCCCGCCAGCACAGCACACAGCGTCCATCTCCATCTCTCTCTCTCCACTAAAATAAGACCGAATTACCCGGCACCAGAAGGATCAGCGTCATCAATTGGATTCACCGACCACACTGTCTCTCTCTCTCACTCAAGCCATTCCATTTCACAACCCTCATTAAACCTCTTCTTTTGTACATTCTTGCCATATTATCTTCATTCACCCAGTCGGCGCACACTTGGGGCGTTGCTCTGTCATAGGCTTCATCATGAGGGGGCTAGTTACTGTTCTCGCGTCAGCCGCATCCCTAAATTTATGCCATGGTAACTATTTCCAATAACACCCTCAAACTTTTGGTCGCATGCTAACCCGTCTTCAGGATCAATCGTTCTTCCTCGAGATGCATCACCAGAGGTATTAGTTGCTGAAGCTCTTGCCGCCCCAATTATTGTCGCAGAGCGTGCTTTACCAAATTCCCCATCCGGAGGATACGCCCCTGCATCCGTCGATTGCCCGTCGACAAGACCAACACTCAGAGAAGCGAACTCACTCTCACAGAGCGAAGTATCATGGCTAGAGAAGCGAAGGAACAACACCGTTGTACCCATGCAGACATGGCTCTCCAGGATGAACATCTCCGGTTTCGATGCCACCTCGTACATCAACAGCATTAAGGACAATGCAACTGCGCTCCCGAATATTGGTATCGCAGTATCAGGAGGAGGCTATCGGGCTTTGATGAATGGGGCTGGATTTATTGCTGCGTCGGACAACCGTACAAACAATGCAACCAACACTGGCCAAATTGGTGGTCTCCTTCAAGCCACAACATACCTTGCTGGTCTGTCTGGTGGTGGATGGCTCGTTGGTTCAATCTACAGCAACAACTTCAGCTCCGTGGAGGATCTCCGAGACGGTAGCAAGGGCTCGTCCGTTTGGCAATTTGGAAACTCCATCTTCGAGGGACCCGACAATGACGGCATTCAAGTCTTAAGCAGTGTAGAGTACTTCCATGACATTGTAGATGAGGTCAGCGATAAGCAAGATGCTGGTTTCAACGCATCCATCACCGATTACTGGGGCCGTGCTCTATCTTATCAGCTTGTCAATGCCACAAATGGAGGACCTCAGTATACCTTCTCGTCAATCGCTCAGGAGCCCAACTTCATGAATGGAGATACCCCATTCCCGTTCCTTGTCACGGATGAGAGGACGCCAAACACGGCCATTGTATCCTTGAACTCGACCGTCTACGAGATCAACCCTTTTGAAATGGGTTCTTGGGATCCTACCACCTACGCAATGGTGCCACTCCAGTATGTCGGATCTAACTTCAGTGCCGGGTCCATTCCAAGCAATGAGAAGTGCATTGAAGGTTTTGACCAAGTCGGTTACATGATGGGCACTTCTTCGACCCTCTTTAACCAATTTCTCCTCCAAATCAACGCTACCTCTATCCCAAGTTTCGTCCGAGACATCTTCACCAATATTCTCACAGATCTAGGTGAAGATAATAACGACATTGCACAATGGGACCCAAATCCATTCTACCACTTCAATAACGACACTAACCGTAACGCCAACTCCACCCAGCTTACCCTAGTCGACGGCGGTGAAGATGGCCAAAATGTGCCCCTCTACCCACTCATCCAACCCCAACGCCACGTCGATGTAATCTTCGCCGTCGACTCGTCCGCCGATACCGACCTAAACTGGCCCAACGGCACCGCATTGATCGCAACCTACCAGCGCTCTCTCAACAACACCATCCAAAATAACACCGCCTTCCCTTCCATCCCCGATGCGAACACTTTTGTCAACCTAGGCCTGAATACCCGCCCCACCTTCTTCGGCTGCAATGCCTCAAACATGACCGGCGACGCCCCTCTCATTGTCTACATACCCAACTCACCGTACATATTCCATTCCAACGTTTCCACATTTGACCCAAGCTACGACAGCGCCGAGAAAATTGCCATTATTGAGAACGGTTACGACGTTGCTACTATGGGCAACGGTACTCTCGATAAAGAATGGCCTACTTGCATGGCCTGCGCAGTCCTTAGCCGTAGTTTAGGTCGTACAAATACTGCAGTCCCTGCTGCTTGCACTACCTGCTTCGATCGTTATTGCTGGAACGGCACCACAGACGCGAGCACGCCTGGTAACTACACGCCTGCGTTCAAGATTGCGGAGCTGAGTGCTGCGAGTAGTGCGGGGGTAGCGAAGATGGGGATCTATGTCGCTGCATTTACCGCGGCGTTTGTTGTTATGCTTGCATAGATGAACATTGGAAAGTTGTCTTAGATTGTATATATTAGGGCTGGATATGGGGAAGAAAAAATTGTATGTAATGTGTGCATTTTGGGGGCATTGACATTGGATTAGACGACAGCGCATGCTTGCTTTTCACGTAGACAATGAAAGAATTCTTATGAGCCTTATTATTATTCTAATGCTTTCTTTCTGTCCTTTAAACCGTCCTAACTCCGTTCCGTTTACACGGAAGTTTATTAGTCCACGTCGGACTCGCACTCGCTTAACTTAAGCACGTAGCGGCTTACCCCTTTCCCTTTTAACTGGTGGTGAACACATGTAACACCACACCACTATAGCATGGTGGCAATGGAACATCATTATACACATTGAACGCCAATTCAAATTGGATCAATCAGCTCCCGGGATTCCTTCCTAGAAAAGCGAATGCGAAGAGTCGCCAAGAATTACATCTCCTGTCCTCTCTACCTTACGCCCTTAACCAGCCTTGCCTTGTCTTCCCCAAGTTCTGTGTAAACATATAAATAGCATGAACGATCTCCCTCTCCCAATACCTAATTTCTCGAACTATATAAGAACACAATTCAACTCAATACACCTCAGCTAAACACGACTTCAACTCAACACCACATACACCACATCACTACACTATATCACATCACGAAATATATCAACTCCAACATGTCAGCAACAACATCAACCAAACAAGTAAAACTCACCATCCTGATCAAAAAACTCGACACCCTGAGTACAGAGGAATTCCACCACTACTGGCGCGTCGAGCATCCCAAAGCCTGGTTATCAGTCGCTATCGTGAAAGCTAATGTTTTGAAATATTCTCAGGTGTGTATACCCCTCTCCTATCCTATTCTCCAATCTCGCCAGAAAGCAAGTACGTTTATTAATACAAGGTGCAATAATATAGTTTCATGTTAATAATCCCGTAACGGAGGACTTGAAAACCAAAGGTCTGCCGATGGCGGGGTACGATGGCGGGGTTAATATTTACGCGGGGAGCGTGGAGGAATTGATGGCTGTGAGTTTTCCCTCCTTCCTACTTACTTCTCCCTCCTTTCCCTTCCTTTCCTTTCGCGGCAGCCCCGAGGATAGAGGAGAATATTAAAAAGAATGGGGATGCGTTCATTAATAGGATTTAATAATACTAACTATTATATCGCGTAGGTATTTCAAGATGAAGAATACCTAAGAGTTGTAGTTCCGGATGAAGAGAAGTTCCTGAAACGAAGTGAGGGGATTATGATGCTAGGCTGGGAGGATGTCGTTTGGGTTGATGGGAAGGAGATTCCTGCTTCTTCTGATGCTTGAGTATGTTGGTAGTAAAGCGGGGTTTGGATCAGAGGGTTGGAATTCTCGTTTATAGTATAATTTGACCTCAAATCTAAGATTCTTGATTACAATCATCACCTAAATCTTTGATGTATCTTACTATACTAGCTACTGTATTGTTATCCATATACTTAAACCCTTAAGAAGCAAAAAAGCACCAAAAAATTCAACTTTCTTAGTGATATAGGAATTGAACCACACCTGATTCGAACAGATACTATTATAGTTATTAGAAAAAGAGCTATAATTGTATAGATGGTTTGCACGTACACCTTTCGATCTGGAATCGAACGCGCTACCGTTGCGCCAGCAGTCCGTCCTTAGATAACGGTTATTATCATGATTTGCCTTATTTCACTATATTATTCTCGTGCGTGCTTCTTAGGTAGGAGGCCACTTTTATACTTAGTGTAACGAATCAACGAAAGCGCAGCGCACCCCACTTCGTTTCTAGTACGAAGGAAACACCATGATTTGAAATAGATCAGGTCTCTGAAATGAATTACACGACGCAGAAGTATTGTCTTTCACTACTGCTAGTGACAACATTCTCAAAACCATAGCATCCACCCATTCTGAAGAAAACATTGACCCAAACGCTTCATACAGTACCTCCGTAGAAGATGCACACCGCCTCAAGATTTTCCTTGCGTTCAAGATATTCTATCTAGACTATAACGATCCTCACTACCCACAGGGGCCACAAATGATGCATTCCTCTCTCATCTTCGTCCACAGTCGAAGCAGTCGACTCAAGCTTCATCGTCATCACGGCCCCGGAATCTATTCATAAAAAAAGTTGAAACCTTATGCCTTACACTTCCACTATCACGTGCGTTCCCACTCTTCTTGCCGCGGTCGCGTCCCTGTTCTTCTTTTCGATGATTGGCGAAACTTGTTACAGGGCGTTTAGGGGGGCTTCGAGGAACAATTGGGATTTGTGAATGTATTGATCCCATGGAATTAGATCTCACCAGTGGATTATCTGTGAGTTCTGGGCTACGAAGCGCCTCAACTGCTCGAAGGAATGCGGGATCTCGTTCGTTCCGTGCGTTGAGACGATTTGGGGTAAGTGCTCTTGAGCTTGCTGACGGTGTCTGAGAAGGTGCTTGGGAAAGTGTGGGGCTCAGGTTTCCATGTGAGGTTGATCTTGGAGTAGCAGGCACATATGGCATTGTTGTAATCTTACTTGGAGATATAGTGACGGTCATACTGTCAAAACGGGCCGGTGGAGTTGTCGAGCCTAGGAGCCCCTGGTATTCTCTTGCATGGTCTGAAGTCACTGTATGATCTTGTACCTCCTCCTCCACTTGATCCTCTCCCTCCGGTCTAAAGCCCACTGATAGGGTATAGGCAGAATACACGGAAGATGTCCTGCTAATGCCAATCTCGACTTCTTCGGTAAAGCTTTTACTCCTAGGCACTTCCAAAAGACTGATACCGAGCCCCAAAGCTTCTATCTCAGGCTCGTCCGGAATGGTGGATGAGAAGCTAACCCTTCGCTGAGCTGGAGAAGAAGGAGGAATTGTTGATGAGAAACTAGCGTGTTGATCTTGTGGGATGAAATTAGACACTGCAGATTCGAAGCTGTTTGTTGGCCCATGCTGGCAGGGAGTTGGGGCCATCGAGGTCGTCGAGGCAAATCTATTGGTCACATATTCAAATGGTGAAGGCCAAGCAGGTTCAACTGGTGTAGTGTATGGCTCCGAACTCCGGCATGCCGCTGATAGTAATGCATGTGTGTACTCTAGAGGGAAACCGGCGACTCTTAATATCTTGAGAATGCCTTGAAGTGTGCAGAAAGCGTCAACGATCTGTATAGGAGTTTCGGTCAGATACGGAACTATATCTCAAGCGGTCAGTAATTCCTCTCCACAGGTAGATGCATATGAGTGAAGAATTGAAGTACATGGGCTCATACCGAACTTGCTAGTAGACTGGGGGGGCTGATAGGGATGATGATTACTCTCGTAGCATCTGCAGAAGAGGTTCAATTCAGCCACTGTCGTAGATTCTTCTCGTCGAAGGAGACCGGCTATAATGTCCAGCAATAACGGCTCAATCTTACTCTTATTATAAACATAGTCTGTCCCAGGCTTCACGCACCCCCCAGCCAACTTCGTGAAGTCGAGTTCGACAGTGAGGAATTGAATGATTCCAAGAAAGCTCTGGAGCCAGACGTGGGATGAGGGAGATAACTTCGGACCGCTGAACGCATTCAAGGTGACATGGAAATGGTAGTTGGTCCAGAAATAGCTCAGCAGGTCCTTCCGAATCGCAGTGAATGCACTAAGCCCGCCCACGAGATCACCTAAAACGTCCCAAGGGCACGCAAAAAAGTCTTGATCAAAGACTCCCTCGATCGCAAACCGTGGAGAGAGAGAGATTTTCCGGTGTTCTTTTGGAAAGCACAGCTTATAAATGCTCTGTTGTACGCTTCTGGGTAGCTTGTGTAAGTGAAACTTCGGGTTGACGCCGTTGCATACGTATGGCTCTTCCCGGAAAAGAATGGCAAGTTCGGTGTTGTCTGCGACCGCAATAAGATCTACATTCTGGTCAAGTGGCAACTTAGATGAAACGTACTTCTGGTTTCCTGGAGAACGGGTTGCTTCAGGTGTAGTGTCGATGCGGATGATTTCAGGTCTGCCTTTGAGCTTGGCTTTAGATTCAGACTTGGACTTGGACTCTTTACTGAGTTTCAATTTCAACATGGGCTTGGCGGCAATGAGAGACGACCTTCGAGATGCCGGCGAACTTTTGTCTGCGGCATTTGGCAGGATGGGAAAGCTTGACGATATGCTGGGAGAGAAGCTGGTCCTTGTGTTCAACTGGAAGGGGTGGCGGTCAAGATTCTGAGGAGCCAATTCCACTGCATTATCGTCAGAAACACGGCTGGATCACGATGGGATCGATCAAATCAAGGAGGCAACAGAAAGGGGCATACTTTTGTGCGGGCTTGGGGTGATGAGGTCGCTCGATGTGCCATAGATTACTGGCATGGAAAACATGTTGACGGAAGGAGGGAAGGAGGGAAGGTGCGGGGTGGTTGGTTCAAATTCGGACCGGTGGGTTCTTCAACATTTGCGCCTTCCTTCACCGCTGGCCTCACTTTGCTGCAAATCTCCTTTGCTCTCCTCTTGTGTCTTTTCTTGTCCTGTCCTGTCCTGTCATTTATGGTGTTGGCTGGGAAACAACAAGGAAGTGCTCCACCGTTCGTGTACAGTTACCCTGCCCAGACGACAGAGGGTGTGAATTCTAATTAGAGGGGGAAATGTGCATCGGGGATGAGCAGAACCACGGAGCTCTACTGTACACACATTCGAGGTTTGGGGACACTATATCCGTGTAGGCACAATTGAGGAAGGATGGATGGCTTCTGAGTTGAGAGCTCTTTCATATCCAGGCCAATCTCATTGAAGCCATTCACTTACCACTTCTCAATTCACATCATCCATCGTAGGCAAGAATCTTGTCAAAGTACATTCCACTATTTAGTACGAGCATATTCTCGGAGCATTGAAATAATTGCCTAATAACAACATATACAACAATCGCAAATAAGAAGGGGATGCAATCAGACGGAAGGGGGAGGACGATATTCAGTGGCGACCCTTCTTTCCAGACTGTTCAGGACCGGAAGATGACTACATGGTGTAATGGTATAATACGGCCAGAAGTTGAAGTATTGGTTGGCCCTGGGACTAAAGAGTAAGAGCAGTTGATATGTTGTAAGCGGCGTAGTAAGGCAGGCAACACAAATTCATCAATCAAGGCTACGAAGAATACAGTATGTGCAAGCAGATTCTCCGACTATTTTGTATAGTAAATGCAAACAAAGATGCAGACAGGAGATGCAGAATGGCAGTGCTTTCAGAGAAACGACACTCAATAAAGTTAGCTGGAAAGGATTTTACATGGCAGAAGACGCCTTTGATAACGAGCATCCCTGGGTAATCAATAGCATCTTTGTCTCCATATAGCTGTATCTGTCACTTTCTATCTTGTTGCTGGCTGGATATCCAGTCATTATTCGGATAATGAAGACTGAGGAAGGAATGAAGTCAGCAGCCGATGCAAAAGCGGTCGCATCGGAATAATGGTTTTTCCGTTCCGTACAGTAGTGAGGTGAGTCCGTCCCTCGAAATCGATGGGCCAATTTCGAATTTCTCAAAATTCCTATAAACCTACCCCCCGCCGATCTACTTCCTGCCATACCAAAAGAGTTGTTATTCTTGATACTACAAAGAGTTGTATATTTCCAAAATTCTCCAGCCCACCCAACTTGCCATACTTTCCATCACACCGGGACACCATGTCTGTGGCAGCACCTTCCACTTTCAACCCCGAGGAGGCGGACAACTTCGAGGATGTAGGCTTTTCCCTTCCCCAGACAATCTTGATCAGAACACATTACTGACGCTTTTGTAGATTGAGAAGCAATTTGCTGTCAAAGGTTTGAACAATCCCCTTGCAAGACTCCCAATTTTACCCCGCCACTGACCCCGCGATTAGTCGTTCAACACATGTCCACATACTGGGCAATTCTCGAAAAGGTACCTGGCTCGAAACTCCGGCTCACAAAAATGGACGATGATATCTACGAGCATCTAAAGACAGATTTCCCCGAGTTCGATCCCGCAAAGACCATCGACGAGGACGAGATGAAGAGCAAAACCGGCAAGGAGCGGTGGCGCAAGTTTATGATGGCTTACGAAAAAAAAGTCGAAGATTACAACTTTGGCACAATGATGAGAGGGAATCCGAAGTGGGAGTATGGAAAGGATGAAACTATATTTGGTAGGTGCCAATTCCTTGCCAGGGCGATACCGCTAACAGCAGAACCAGTCCCTCGAATGCAGTTTTATGCTATCGAAATCGCGAGAAATCGGAGCGGCCTGAACGATTGGATTTACGAGAACAACCAGAAAGAACAAACTGAGGCAAAAGCTTAAGAAGGATGGCGAAGAGTCGTGATGTCTTGATATCTCTGGCGAACGAAAACTTATGTATCATATTGCCCGCGGGCTCGATACAAGGATGAACACGATCAGGTCAACGGTCTCGAGCACTTAGATGTTTGCGCGCCGATTCCTAATCATCTAGTCGGCTCATGTTAACGGATCCGGGTCCACAGCGGAATGCAATCCCATAGCCCATCAATTCAAGATGGAATTCGACCCCGGGGTTTAGAATCGAGTTGATTTTCAATTTAATACAATGAATGATATTATGCGGATCTGTGATAAGCCATGGTCGCTATTTCCTTGCGGTCCTAGATGTTTTGTTTTCGTGTGCTTTATATCTCGTACTAAACGAGGGGGAGTCTTCGCATTTTCCTTTCATGATTATTTGGTCAAGTTGCTCCAAGGCGGGTGAATATGGAGATCCAAGTTCAGCAGTACTATATCGGTGCTCAAATTTTACCGATAATTCTTTGTCTCTAAATTTCCCCCCTTCGCATTCTTCGTTTCCGAGAACAATACGAAGAAAACTCGCGAAGACAATCAACACCCCATGCAAGCTATTATTTACCTTCATATTATTTCCCCTGTTGGATATTTTCTTGCCTCTCGCAACGCCTTTCAAGATGTCTTTATCTACGTTTGGTATATTCATTGGCGATCTTTGCGCAGACACACTTTCGAAAATTTCCATTCCACGCCATGTCTATCTTCAAACTCTCCTCTGAGAGCTTTGAGAACTTTGAGCAATACCTAAATGCGTCTTCTCTCTCGATGCCGGCAAGCCCCACCACCTCTCAGCAGAGTAACTACGAGCTCCAACTTCTGGGTACTCAAAATGGCGAAAACCAGACGCCGGCGTCGTGGCGTTCTTTATTTGCATTTACGAATCGGCAGCACACAGGATACCTTGTACTTTCACTTATCTCGTCAATTGGAGCTGGAATCCCACAACCTACATCCGCCATCTTCTATGGTTACATTTTTTCCGACTTGGCGCAATATGGATCAGGTAATGCCACTGGCAAAGATACTCTGAATAACATCTCAATATGGTGCATAGCGTTGACGGTTGTGGGGGTGGTGGCTTGGGTTCTCCAAGGCGGATCTCTTTCTTCGTGGATGATATTTGGAGAAGTTCAGGCAAAGACTGTTCGCCAAGCGATGTTCGAGGGAATGCTGGAGAAAGACATGGAGTGGTATGACCTCCGCGAAGATGGCGTTGCCTCGCTTCTAGTTCGCATTCATACGTAGGTGTTCATCCACTAGAAGACACGTTTTTCCCTAAACCATTCCCAGGCAAACTAGGGAATTACAACTAGCCATTTCACAGCCTCTTGGTTTTCTATGTACGGAGTTCATAGGGTCTCTTATTGCGCTCGGTATCGCGTTGTACTTTTCATGGAAAGTTACTCTTGTCGTCGTCGCAACCTTCCCGGTCATGGCCTTGTGCTTATCACTAGCCACACGAAGCCTAGGGCCAGCCATAGAAGCACAGAAGAGAGAGCTCACGAAAGCATCTAAATACGCCAACACTGCAATGACATCCATCAATACAGTCAAAGCTTTCAACGGACAGGAGCAAGAGGTATGGCAATACTACGAAACCATTAAATTAGCTGCAGCGAAATATCTGATTCAAGCACGGGTCAACGCGCTTCAATTTGGGATAACCAAGTTTGCAATGATTGGTATATTCCTCCAAGGGTTCTGGTTTGGCCTGATCCTCGTTCGCCAAGGATTGGACCCTGGCCGTGTGCTTACAGCCTTTTACGCCTGTCTTTTCTCCGTTCAAGCCGTCGAGATCATTCTACCCCAATGGCTTGTTCTCACCAAGGGTATGTCCGCTGCTCATACATTAAAGTCTATCATGATCCAGATGCAGGATGGCCGAGAAACCACCAACATGACTGGTTGCATAAAGCCAACTGCTTGTATCGGAGATATTGAAGTAAATGAGGTCAGTTACAAAGTCCATTTCCGTGTAAATCGCTCATCAGACGCAGGTGTCGTTCGCATATCCGTCAAATCCTCGACAAGACACATTAATTCAGGCTAATTTATTCTTCCCTTCTGGAGAGACCACCTTTGTTGTTGGCAAAAGTGGATCTGGAAAGACAACGTTGGGGAATCTGCTCATGAAGTACTACGAGACAGCTAGGGGAGAAATTTTTATCGATGGACGATCAATCAAATCACTTGATACACACTGGTTGCGTCAAAATATCACCTTGGTCCCACAAGAAAGTGTCTTGTTCAACGAAACTGTGTTTCAAAATATTGCCTTCGGAAGACGCGATGATGCTACTCGAGAGGATGTCCTCGAAGCAGCTGAAACAGCAGACCTGCATCAGACTTTGACGGCTCTCCCACATGGTCTTGACACTGTAGTAGGAATGAATGGCAAATCATTGAGTGGTGGACAGCAACAGCGGGTGGCAATTGCAAGAGCTCGCCTTCGAGATGCTCCGATCCTGATCCTAGATGAATCTACCAGCGCTCTCGACTATACGAGCAGAACCAGAGTGATGGAAGAATTGAGACAATGGAGGCATGGCAAAACAACCATCATTGTTACTCATGATGTGACGCAAATCTTGGACAACGATTACGTGTATGTCCTAGAAAATGGCGTTGTTGTTCAAGAAGGCTATCGTAAGAAGTTGGCCGAAAAACTTCACGGAACCTTCTCGACGTTTCTACCAACAGTCTCGCCACCTACTGTTCAAGAACCCCAGTTCGTTGAGATCCTTGATCCGAGGCGCAAATCTGAGCCATTCACACCCTCTATATCAAGCCCAGATTCGTTTACGTTCTTTGGTGAAGAAACTCAAAGTTCCCATCACGTCTCGAGATTATTTGGCATAACGGATTATACCCCAACAATCAAACCAAGTAATCGCATGTCGCTTGGTGTCGGTCTCGGAACAGCACAGGCTTACGATCTTCGAGCGGGTGAGATTTGGTCTACTCCGTTGGCTCCAGAGGAAGAGAGACTTCAATACCACGATTCTCGGCGGTCATTCGTTCCTCTACTGCCTCCTAAACCTATTCAGCAGTCATCAGACCTACCTCTGAGAGCTTGTTATCCGAAAATACCACCTCCAGTACCACGCAAGAACAGTGTGCCTGGTTCTTCGATTAGTCCATTCGATCCACAACCAGCCTCCGGACAAGAAACTCACCATAGGCTTACCCTTCCAGCCCGACCTACTCTACCTAGTCTCGATACTTCAGCCGGGGCCAGTGAGCTTTTTATCACTGAAGTACCTGATGTTGTACTCCCACGGAGCTCTAATAAAGGTAAAGGAAAGCGGAAAAAGACAGCAGCATCTCTAGCTCAAATTCTGGGTACGATTTGGCCGATATTGACTTGGAACGAGAAGATCATTCTTATGATTGGGTTCATTGCTGCCTTTATGGTTGCAGCCTCTACGCCAGCTTTTGCTTTTGTTTTTACAAAGCTTCTTGGTACGTTTTACCTCGTCCACAATCAATCAGCAGCAGCTCGAACCTGGGCATTGTCTCTTCTGGGTATTGCTATAATCGATGGCATATCTGCTTTCACCACGCACTTTGCTCTCGAGTATTGTGGTCAAGCATGGGTCAATTATCTTCGAGTGGAAGCAATGAAGCGGATACTGGCGCAACCCAAATATTGGTTTGACAAGAAGAGGAACTCACCAGATAAACTTAACGAATCCTTGGACAGAAATGCCGAAGAGATGCGCAATCTGATTGGCCGCTTTGCTGGTCCAATCTTCACGGTCGCCTGGATGCTGGGTATATCAGTTGTTTGGGCATGTTTGCTTTCTTGGAAGCTTACTCTTGTTGCCCTCGCCTGTGGTCCAATTATGCTGGTTCTCACCAGAACCTTTAATTGGGTAAGCAGCACATGGGAACACAAATGTAACCAAGCTTCCACAATCACCAGCAGCATCTTCACAGAGACCTTTTCTAATATCCGGGTTGTTCGCGCATTGACCTTGGAGGATTACTTTGCAGGCAAACATGACAAAGCGACCTTGGAGACATATAAAACAGGTCGATCCCGAGCAGTCTACTCCGGACTGCTCTATGGACTCACAAACTCTGCAAGCTTATTCATCACAGCCCTTGTCTTCTATTATGGCACTGTCCTTATCATTCGAGGCGAAAACGATGTTGAGCGCATCATCCAAGTCGTCAACCTTCTGCTCTTTGGAATCGGCAACTCAACAGCCATGATTTCAATGGTTCCTCAAATCAACTCATCCCGCACAACAGCAACACACATGCTCTACCTAGCAAATCTACCACTCCAAAACTCCCACGAGTCTCAAGGAAGAAGGCGTATCTCAACTCCCTTCCCAATCCAATTCAACGATCTCTCTTTCGCCTACTCAACTTCACGAGACTCCAAAACCCTTAGCAATATCAACCTCACTCTCAACGCCGGCACCTGCACCGCCTTAGTCGGCCCGTCCGGCAGTGGCAAAAGCACCATCACCTCCCTTCTCCTCGGCCTCTACCCACCATCCCCCGCCCTCCCACACCACTTGCCACCGCTCACGTTTGCCGGCGTGCCTATTACCGAGTGCAACCTCCGCACCCTTCGCTCCTTCATCGGCACCGTCCCCCAAACACCCCTCCTCTTCCCCTCTTCCATTTACGAAAACATAACCTACGGCCTCCCCGAAGGCTCGCCCTACGCCATCCTCACAGCAGCCATGCACGCTGCCGAAGACGCCGGTATCCACGACTTCATTATGACGCTGGAGCATGGTTACAACACACGCATTGGAGATGGTGGCATGGGACTTAGTGGAGGCCAAGCGCAACGTATTGCTATCGCCCGCGCGCTTGTTCGGCGGCCGAAGCTTTTGCTCCTCGATGAAGCGACGTCAGCTCTTGATGCTGTAAGTGCGGAAGCTATACGAGAGACCGTAAGGAAACTTATGGAGAGAGGGAGGGAGAGCGAGGACGGTGGGGTTGCGGTGCTTATTGTTAGTCATAATGTTGAAATGATGCGCATAGCGGATCAAGTTATTGTAGTTGAGGCCGGGTGTGTTGTGGAGGCGGGCAGTTTTGCGGAGTTGAGGGGTGGGGGTGGACGGTTCTCAAAGCTGATTGGGCTTAGTAGGAGGGATGAGGTGGTGGAGGATATGAGGGCTATGACGCCGGTGGAAGGAAGGAATAGGATGACTTGGAGAAAGGAGAGTGTTTAAGGGCGTTTAGGGTATTAGAGTTAATGTTGGGATAAGGGCTGTATCCCGACCTTTATCGATACAGTTCCTTAGGCGATTGCCCCTTCCCAATATCTTCCAAGTCCTCTTCCGAATGACCTTCACCGTCATCGTCATCGTTGCCGCCTCCTTCAGCAGATCAAGTTGATATGCGGCGTCGCCAACCAATACTAAGCTTTTCCCGCAACGATGATAGGGATGGGTCAGACATTAGGAGCTGCTTCGATGCAGAAGATAAGCTAGAGGAGACCGACGCTGATACTGAGCCGACGGATATTGATATCGGCGGATGCAATAAGGTAGACTTAGCGTGGATTGCAGGAGATGATAATGCCTATCCACTAAAATATTACCTTGATCAAGAGAATGATTCTAATGAATCCGAGGATAAAGGTGAGGATTATAGCGAGAGTAGTTTCCTCCTTAATAGGATTAAGGCGCAATTCTATTAGTATATATCTAGCATCTGCCGTCTCTTGTACTTTTACTAACTAACTCTCTTTAAATATGCTACAATTATATATAAAAGGATCCTATCTAAATAATATAGGCTATCTCTTGCTACTCTTTAAAAGCCTTCTTAATATAGATATTAAATTAGCATTAAGGTAAGAGTAGGAGGTGTCTTGCAGGTATTAAGTCGGCTAGCACCTTTAGAATATATTAGAAAGTCTTCCGGCTTATCTATAAGCAGGCAATAGGTAAGAAAATCTAGAGCTAGATAAACCGCTATATATATTAAGTAAGTAGTATTACTAGTTAGTCTGCTAAACCCTATCTGAATTGTCACGGTCCCACGTGACTAGTCATGTGATAGGGCTGACTAAGCAGCTTCCACATCAAACTCTAGCAACCTCTACTATACTTAGCTCTCTACTTTATATTTTAAGTTATATTCGCACATCTGGTTCTAGCTTATTTAAGTGTAATTATAATATTATATAAAGTCCTTTTAGCACTACTAATTATAATCTTATTCTTAGGTTTTATTTCTAAGTCTTATTTATAGTTTTATCCTAAGATATAAATTACTTCTATTTTTATTA